TAAAAATTAATTAAATATAAATTATAATTTAAAATTATTAAATAATTTAATATTTAAAATAATTATTTAAATAATTTAAATAATAATTTTTAAAAATTTTTTAAAATTATTATTATTTTTAATATATAATAAAATAAAAAAATATTATAATAATAATAATAAATAATTATTTAATTAAATTTTTATATTTTTATATTATAATTTATATAAAAAATATTTATTTATTATTTTTAATTAATGTAAATATTTAATATAATTATTATTATTTTTTATTTTATATATTTATATAAAAAACGTATAATATTATTACGGAATAATTATATTTATATATATTTAATTAACGTAAATCCGTTAATTATTCGTATATATTATAATTAAAATTAATATAAAATTTTTTTATTAAATTTATTTTATTTAAAATAATAAAAAAAAAACTTTATAATAATTAAGATAAAAAATTTTTTATTTTTTATATAATAATTTATTTTATTTTATTATATTTTAATTAAAGTTTTAATTTTATAAATTATAAAAATTATATTTTATTATATAATTACCCGGAAAAAAAAATAAAATTAATTTTTAATTATTAAAATATAATAATATATTTTTAAATATACCGGTTTTAAACGGTAATTATAAATTTTAATAATCGTTTTAATAAATTTATTTTATTATTAATAAATATTTAAAAAAAAATAAATATAAAATAAAAAATATATTTTCCATTATTATTAAAATAATTTATTAAAAATAAAATAAAAATTTTTTATTATTTTTTTTTAAAATAAAAATAACCCGTTTTTTAACCGTTATTTATTTATTAATAATAATTTTAATAATTTTTTAAATTTTAAACTTTTAAAATATTTAATTTTAAAAAAAATAAATTAAACGAAAAATATATTAACGTTATTTTTTTAAATTATAAAATAATAAAATCCGGATTTTATTAAAAATAAAATCCGTGGTAATTAAAAAATTTAAATTTTTTTTAAATTAAAATAAATAATTAATTATATTAAAAATAAATTAAATATTAAATTATTATATTAAATTATTATTTAATATAATTAATTTATTAAAAAATAATAAAAACGTTAAAAATTTATAAATTTAATAATATAATAAATATTTTATTTTATAAATATTTACGTATATAAATATATATTTTAATATATATTTTAATATATATTTTATTAAATAAATATAAAAATATAAATAAAATATTTTTTTTAATTTTTAAGTTTTTTAATTAAATTTACGTATTATAAAATTTTTTAAATAAAAATTTTTAATTTAATTTAATTAAATTATTATAAAATTTAATTAATTATTATTATTATTTTAAATATTTAATAAAAAAAATATTTATTATAAAAAAATATTTAATTAAATATATAATTAAATATTTATTTAATTAAAAACCGGTTATATTATATTAATAATTATATATTAAATAAATATATATAAAAATATATTAATTTATTAAATAAATTAAAATATATTAAATATTTTTAAATATTTATTTTAAATAAAATTTTATTTAAAATTAAACGTTATATTAATAAAAATTAAATATTTTTATATATACTTTTATTAATTATAATAATCGTAATGATTTTATAATAATAATTAAATTAAATTAAAAACTTTCACTTAAAAAACCTTATAATAGTAAGTAAGGTAATGAGGCAATGGTAAAACGACAATTGACTTTTTTCGTGATGTTACGCTGACCTCATACCTATTAACCTGATTTATTTTGTTTTAGCTAGGTACCTGACTGTACGGTACCTACTACTAGGTAATAAGATGTCCACCATTAGCAAACTTGTACTATGTATATATACGTTCTTTGAAGACCAACCAATCAAATCATCGGTTGCTCTAATCTTATCATGCCTTCTGCATGGCTAAAAATTGATCTGTACAGGGAGTGTGTATACTGTGTTCGCCGCATACTTCCAATTACATTAAGAGCCTGTAAACTACTCTACTCACTTTTATATACACAAGATATAGAAAACACCCGAGGCCTTCCAACGATGGATCCTGGAGACAATATCGAGTTCTCTAAGAGCGACCTCGGTGAACTTCCTAGAAGTCTCCCTGAGAACTGTGTTGAGTATTTACTTTTTGTCTTAGACAATAAGAATGAAGCGCGCAGTCCTCTCCCCTACCTGGAAGACATCCGAAGAACAGCTATCCAACTATGTGATAGCATCACTAAAGGATACATATGGCAACGTGATTCCTTTCAACTACGCCTCGAAAGAGACCAGGACCTGGTCTATTTGCGTGGGGCTACCGACTACAGCGATTCGGTTGAGGATGAATGGCTTATAGTCTACTTACTTAGAGAGTTGACTAAATCCTTTCCTACACTTTGGGTGAGGATCTTTGATAGTGACGGGGAGTTTCTACTTGTCGAGGCGGCTAGCGTATTGCCAAAATGGCTGAGCCCTGAGATAGATAGCAATCGAGCATGGATCCACGATGGAAAGTTGTATATGCTGCCTATGGCAGCAAGTTCGGGGATAAAGCGACCCTTATCCTTACCCGAGGCCGTTGGATTCATCAAAACTAGCCCTGACGCTCTAGTGCATTCGACTTTTGTTGAGGCCGAGGCCTTCTACAGATTGGAAAAATACCCTAAACACATTACGGATACGATACATCACTCACTGGTCACTATACCTAGGAAATTGGCATGCATCCTCCACGAGAAACCTTCTACTATAGCACCTGCCGTCGAGGCATTCTATTTACGAAATCCTGTCGCAATGAAATCCCTTATGTCGCCACCGGAGGATATACACTTTCCGCCAAAGGACCTAGTAACCGTCAGCGTGAAATTTACGAAGGTCTTATTCGCGCAACTCAAGTCCCAGCGCTTTCTAGCTCCTCCGATGTGGAACGCTGTATTGGAAGCTGTTGAACAGCAGGTAGCCGGTGCAGAGGACGCTCAAAAGAGAATGTCTCGTTTGGAAATGGGTATTAAAGTGGCAAGCGGTTTCGAGATGCTTGCTACTGATGCGGCTAAGAAAGACAACCGCCTCGCGCGCGAATTTGCTATGGTTCTTGAGGACGTAGAGGAGGACGGTGCTCAGGCGCTACCAACTAATGAGGATATAGGGAGCTGGGAAGATGCGTACAGGGAAGACGATGAATCTTGGTTAGATATCAACTTTGAGCAATTTGAAAATGAGCTCGAGGGAAACCGTGGCCCTGGGGGACGATCCAAGGACGGGTTTGGTGATTCGTCAGCGCAGGCGAATTTACAGAAAATTGTGTCTCGGTTTGAGGCCTTTTTAAACGATGAAAAGGCCGGCATTGACGGCGCTGAGATGGAAGACATGGAAGACATGGATGAGGATGAGGATGTGTCGGATGAGAGCGAAGAAGATAGTGACGATGAGGATAAGGCTGTCAGTTTCGATGAAGAGCAATTCTCGAGGATGATGAGGGAGATGATGGGGCTCCCAGCTGTGCAAGCGGAAGATTCAAAGAGTGGCCCTGAACATTCAGATAATACTAACGCCCGAGGTGTTACGGAGGAAGATGAGGACGAGGACATCAGGCGGTTAGCTGCTCAGATGGAAGCCGAGTTGAAAGAGTATGGTGCTCTGAAGCTTGATCCGGAGCCTGAGCAACGGAGTGCGATAGAAGCAAAAGACGGTAATGATCCCAAGGGAAAAACGAAGGAGGACTCGCTGCAAAAGGCCGACGACGGAGAGGAAAGTAGTGAGGAGGAGGTCGACGTCGATTACAACCTCGCCAAGAATCTACTGGAAAGCTTTAAAAGCCAAGCTGGAATGGCAGGACCTGCGGGAAATATCCTAGGGATGATGGGTCTACAATTACCCAGAGACGAAGATGAAGAGGGTGATGATTGAAAACATACGCAAGTAGGTAGGTATGCAATCTCGAAAAGTTGTATAAAAATAAGAAAGTGAGTATAATGTGTATGTTCCAAGGTACTTACTGGCAGCACCTGTAGTTGTTTCAACTTTGACCTACAGACATGTACTTACCCAGGTACCTCAGGATTCAACTAAGAGGTACAAAGTTCATATGTACATGAACGTAACTTGACCCTGTACCCTGGAGTAGGTAGTGGCCCACTCATTATGGCGTATGCAATACTACACAGTACATATGGATACCTATTGCATCTGTGTAGAATTTCCAGCCTTCTACCTATGTACATAAGCCACACCGTTCCGGGCTCTTTCAAACCCCACCACGCAAGACCGGCGCGACGTCACTGGATCCTTCTAAAACTTGTGGCAGACGGCAGCTGGAGGCGTGAGATCTTCAAAGTCGTTCCTGGATCTGGCCTTTAGTTACCTTTTACCTTTATTATTGTAGCATCGCTTTCTATACGCGTCCGTTATTGGATTAGGGGTTTGCCCTTGTGATGCCTTGAAATAAGAAACGTCAGATCAATTCCTAACTTATTCCCTGCGCTCTCGATAGCGTTCGAAAAAAAGAAACCAAAAACCCATTGTCGTTGTAGGCGGCATATAGGTGCAAGAGCCAAGATCCCACAACCACGCCTACGCGAGACGAGCTGAGACGAGCCGAGGCGAGCATGTGGCCGAGCAGCAATGTTTCTAGCCTCCAAAAAACATACGATGAGGCTTATCTAAAATGTTCAACTGCTGTTTATTATGAGAGCCAGGTCTGTACATGTCCCTGTCGACAAATCATAGATCACAAAATTGGATCCAACTAACTCTTTGATCGCGTGTCTAGGGCGACGAGAAAGAGGCGATGCTGTGTTGGAAGAACGCTCTCGATCAGATCCGCCAAACCCCTACGAACAAGAGACAGGGCACCTATTCACCAAAATCTGAGACCGAACGGGCCTTATTAGAGAGTTTAAGGGAGTTAGAGGTACAATGCAAAGAGAGGATTGATCTCCTGGAAGCTCTTAGGATATCTCGAGAGGAGGATCCGTCGTTCCAATTTACCCAGTCAAGCGTAGGGACCGAAGCCAGTGCGGACGGCCGCACAAACCCAAATACGCCAGAAAGAGGTTGGATTGGTGATGGAACAATACCTGCCATAACATATACCGAGTTATCCAAACCACCGCTCCCTAAACGGCCATCCTTTCCCTCTAGAAGTTCATCGGAGCAGGCAATATCGGGACTCCGCAGTGCAATGATGGAACAGGATCCGTCATCAGCGACAAAGCCACCATCGCTTCCTCCATATGGCGCATCTGTCCCGAGAAGAAGATCCTCAAGGTCGCCCAGCCCTGAGAAGGAAAAGCACACCATGAGGACGACGTTACGGTCAGGTAAACAAGATAAATCCTCAAAAGCGCACCGGCACACACCAGCCAAGATAAGCAAAGGCCCAGGAGCCAGCAAGGCTGCGACGTTGGCTTGGAGTAGTCTCGAAAGGGGAACCTCTACAGAGGTAACTAACTCGCCATCTAGATACTCTGAACCGCGGCGATCCTACGAGCAGGTGCGAAAGAGTTCCTCGTCAACCCCTAGGCATTGGGATAGTCACACAAGACGACTAGTAATTCCTCCGGACGCCTCTACTTCAGCTGTCCGCTCAAGTCCTGAGCCTTCCATGCGAAATTCGGCTGATTACTCATCACCTACACCATCATCCCTCGCCCTTGGTGCTGCATCGAGTGCCCTAGGCGCGCTGGCCATCCAAGAACGAGACGAGATTAATCCTACAGCAATCCGGATAGAACGAAGGTCAACTCCTAGGAAAGCGACTGGTTCAAGTTTCGATGAACCGAACAGCACAACTGCCCGAAGTCCAGGATCTCTCGAGGCCGCCCTTAGGACAAACTCTAAGGAAGCTTCAGCCAGGAGGAAACCCGTGGATCGCAATAGAGCATTCGAGCCTAACAGCGCTAGGAAGCGGGTGGGTCAGCAGGCCTCTGATCATGACGGAAGAGACGAAATATCATCTAGCGATGAGCAGGTTAGAGCCGGCTCTTCTAGCCGAAAACTTAAAGGCAAGCAGAAGGAGACAGTCGTGACGTCTGACGCAGAGGACCGATCCTCAGCAGACTCGGTTAACGAAGAGGGGAAAAGAGCGAAAAATGAATGGGAAAGCAGGAAAAAGGCGATATTGAAGAATTTACCGCCGGGCATTGATGAGGGGGCTGCAAAGGCAATATTCAACGAAATCGTGGTGCATGGTGATGAAGTCCACTGGACTGATGTTGCTGGTTTGGAGATTGCGAAAAACGCATTAAGGGAGGCGGTGGTATATCCTTTCCTACGGCCAGACTTATTCATGGGCCTGCGTGAACCAGCTAGGGGTATGCTGCTCTTTGGACCTCCCGGGACGGGAAAGACGATGCTGGCTCGTGCTGTCGCAACAGAGTCGAAATCCACATTTTTTTCAATCTCAGCGAGTAGCCTAACCAGCAAATATCTCGGGGAATCCGAGAAGCTGGTGCGTGCATTGTTTGCTTTGGCAAAGGTGATGGCACCGAGTATTATATTCGTTGACGAGATAGATTCGCTTCTCTCTCAACGTACTGGGTCTGGAGAGCACGAAGCTACTAGGAGAATCAAGACCGAATTCCTCATCCAATGGAGCGACCTGCAACGGGCCGCAGCAGGCCGCGAAAGCAACAATGGGTCGAATAAAGAGCGAGGCGACCCGAATCGGGTGCTTGTGCTAGCAGCCACCAATTTACCATGGGCGATCGACGAAGCAGCAAGGCGGAGGTTTGTAAGACGGCAGTATATTCCCCTACCTGAGGCGGAAACCAGAGCTACTCAATTGAAGACACTACTCGGCCAGCAGAAGCATAGTCTCACGGACACCGATATCACAGAGTTGGTGGACCTTACAGATGGTAAGTGTGATATGAATCTGCATATTATATAATGTGAAAGTAATACTAATCGGTATTTATTTTTTCAAATCTAGGCTTCTCAGGCTCGGACATCACTGCATTAGCCAAAGATGCAGCGATGGGGCCCCTTCGCGCATTAGGTGAGGCTCTTCTCCATATGACGATGGATCAAATTCGGCCCATCGAACTCGTAGACTTCAAGGCTAGTCTTAAGACAATCCGACCTTCCGTTAGCAAGGAAGGGTTAAAAGAATACGAAGACTGGGCGAGGAGATTTGGGGAGCGTGGTGGTTGAAATCATTCCACGGTTGGATTGGCCTGGTAGAATTGGGGTTTGCCAGGTGATAAACTTAGGCCAAACATTGGTGGCGCTCGAGGGATTAGGAACGAGGGGTTGGCATACGATGCCCATGGTCAGATATCCCGTTCAATATGAGTTATGTCGACGTATTGCCCTCCAAATAGCTAGGGTCGATCAGATCGGCAATTGTACATAATGTATGTTACATGCGAGTGATGAGGTATATACAGATTATCGTATGTAACCGAATTCACGTCCTACCACCTTCGTCGGTAGGGGTGACACGACGAGGCCGATACTCTGACACTCATTCGTGAGCACTTTTTACTATTATAGGTTCGCGGTTTCAGTCAACATCGTCTATTGTGGTAGTTTCAGCAGGTTGTGCAGAATATATGCCAAGCTTGCGACTTGTTCGTAATGCCTTCTTCACTTCCAGTGCGATTCTTTCCGCGTCCCTTATGGCCGTCTGTATCTGCTTCAGAAAAGCTCTCCGCTCGTCTTTGGCTGCTCTCTTGGCTGCTGCCTCGGCCAACCTCTCTTCTAAGGTGGGGATAGGTGGTCGCTCGTCGATAGGTTCGCCGTATGGTGCTATGATGTGCTTGACGACGTGGCGCACATGCTGCGATACCCTCCAGGTTGGTGTTATTGCTACTATATCGCCTTGCCGGACAGAGTTGCGCGGATCGTGGACTAGCTTGAATCGTGGCTCTTTGAAATACTGCAGTAAATGAGAGAGTTGAACATTAGCCATGGCCGCTTTTCTAGTATTCTAGTAGGCAAACTAACCTTCTGGACTTTCGGCTCCCACCGAAATCCTCCCAACTTGACCTTCACGGTTTTGTCCATTAGGCCGGCTGACACCACGACACCAAGCATCTCCTTGGCTACCTGTCGCGTGGTATTAGCGGCAGCTGCCACAACTTCGACCACCATTCTTCAATGACTGGATTCCTTCTTTTCAACCCAGTCTCGTCCTTGAATTCCTAACCTCGCTAGTTCTTTGGTATCATTCGGTGTTAAGCGGCTCTGTTCGCCCAATGGACCAAAAGTTTTTGAGGCAAGAGCTACAATCGCTCCATGGTCCAATTGGGTATCGTACCGACAGGAAAAATAAATTTGCCGGCGCTATCGATAGAGTTTCGCTAACCCACTTTTATACTCTAAAACAACGGCCTACGAAGGTGCACCTATTTCTAAAGTACTTATGTAGCTACGTCTTCTCTAAAACATCCATCTCTTCATACTAGGCATTCCGAGCAACTGATTTCAACCCAGGTCATTTAACGATCTTAGTTTACCGAGATGTAAGGACGAATATATTCAGACATGAAACAATCATTTGCGGTCAAGGCCACCATCGTATTCTGCTGTTCACGAGATCACATCAACGCCTTATTTTCTCGAAAGGACCTCAACCTATCTGGCAGAACAGCGCCACACTATTCGATCACATCTCCTTCTTTAGTAACAACAGTATTGCATCTACTCGATGCCCCGGGAATGGCCCGGGGCTCCCTTAAAGAAATATATTTCGACCTCCCGATTGAATGAATGCACTAGCCAGGTATCATCCCATACACTAACTAGCTCAGATACCACAGCAGCATAGCAAGCGAGCTGAAACCATAATATCTCTCATGTTTTTATAAATGTCCAGGCGGTGATCAATTTTCTCATTCAGGCGCAGAACTATGCATATACAGAACTCCAGCTGAGGTTACTCTATTTCCTAACACCTGCCAAGGCCATGGAGGATCGGCAATTTTTGAGTCGAGCTGAAAGGAGAGGTATACTTTATTACAGAGTAGTCAATAATACTATGAGCCATGTTTTAACATACTGCTTGCCTGATATGTACAAATATTCCTTTCAGCATCTAGAAATTATCTTCATGTCTCATGCTACCTCTACAGCCTTGGCCCAATAGACAGCAGTCATCCCTTATGGCATTCGCGAAGTATTAAGCCCGCAGGAGCCATGAACCAAGGGCCAACTGCCAACAGGGCGGCCTCGTACAAGCCGGTCAATTACTTCTTAGCTCATGGGGGTGGCTGGTCGAGAGACTGCGTTACTCTCCTAGGTATGTTGGATTTGGAAGGCGGCTGTGTACGTCTCTCAACAAGCGTCATGGTCTCGTAGATTCAAGATATTGGCAATACTTATCATCGCAATACGAGACTCTACCCCTTTCTATATACGAACCCAACTTAGTGGGCTAACTACATCGATGATTCCAATGCTTTTGTCGACACAAATCCCCACGTCCTCGCTCGGTATAGTAGTAATGCCGGTACCCCTTCCTCCCCCGGTGACTAGCTATCCTATACAATTTGTCAGTTTGACGACGGGTATAAGTGCGGCGACGAATCAGATACTTTAACGGAGATCGTAGATAGTTGTCATTAATCATATTTTTTATACTTATCACCCTAACCTCGGAATGGCGGCTTAACCTTACTTTACTCTTGGTAATAAGTCTGTTTAGCACACGACATTACAGTATTTTCGTTGCAGAAGTTGGCTACTGGTTAATTGGCCCCTTTCCAAGATCCAGTAGCAAGATCTAGGATTTCGAATCATTTCAACCCGTTATACTACTTAATCGTGCCTCATATCTGTTAAGATTAAGATTATCTTGTGCGCACCATTCCTAGCAAATTATATTATTAATTCATTCTAATGGGGCCAAATATGACGAATATTGAAATGTTCACATTCTGTTGCTTGGTGTTCATAATATATAATGGGTTATAAGGATGATGAAAATATAAATGTTCACCTTAACATATTGACGCCTTTCATAATGAGCATCAATCGGCGTTTGCAGGGAGTGATTTGGTCGTGAAGAACAATACCGTTAATTTTATAAGCGGTGAACTAGGTTTTATTTTTGGTTGGATGATATGATGTCTGCACGTATGGAGGAGAATCAACGAAAATGGATAAGAAAATGTGTATTGCTTGATTAAAACGTGAGTACATAGTGGTTATAAGATACAATATATCAGATGTAAGGTTTCTTGCCATGTTGAAGTAATTAGAAGTGCTTCAATACTCCTCTTGACGAGTAAAATTTAAAGGCGTCGTGTTATTCGTAGCGTACCTTCAAAATTGTTCATGTGGATGTTTGTCATAATGTGCCTTCGAGATATCAGTCGTAATCTGACCTCTGTCTACGCCTTATCCTCGGAATATCGTACCCATAATGACTCATAGGACAGTCGGGCACAAGGTTTATATACCTAAATAATTACCGTCACTATACAACAACAAAGACGGCGTCTTGGAGAAGTGGTTAACTCACTCCCTTTGGGCTTAGGCATATTGGGAGAGGTCAGGGGTTCGAACCCCCTAGACGCCCTTCAATTTTTTTCCTTTTCTCTTGCCTGATTCTTCCCCTGGCTTAAAACTATATATTCCTTTAGCTAATATTGTATACAATCAGGAATCAGGGATAAGGAGACAAGAAACATCTAATCACTCGCAAAATTCGGTTCGGATCTACAGAGAGCACCACTTGTAGTTAGGACAATGCATTTTTGGTATAAATGGCACAAGGCAAAATAGAGGTAAAATCATGTACCGTTCATGATCTGTATTCTTGGTTTGATACACTAGGTCGTGTGAAGCTGTATTTTGCCTCCTAATCCCTGGCTGTAGACGGATATCAGTTCAAGGGATACATATTGTCATGATGCGGATCTAGTAGGCAGGAAATCAATAATGTTAGTACACGAGAGCATTACACCTTCCTCGCCTGATAATGCGGTATAATATATATACTATACAGGAAGTGGCTTTTGTTTAGGTACACTATTCCTCTCCTACGGGCTAAACTGCAGTCCGACCAAACCTCTAACACTTCCTGTACCCGCCTAGTTGTATATTAGTCGAACAAGATCAAATCTTATACACGCTCTTTTATTTCGGGTAGAATTAATAATATTTTACGCTTTGTGACAGCATCTATGGATGTTCCATAAAGTAACGACACCGAGCCCCTATTCTGATACATGTCAAGGCAAGTGTCTTCATTTTAAGGGGTAGGATTAAATCACCTAAATGAATAATATGATCGTACTGCGGATATATCAATTAACGAGGCTTACATACTCACCTAGCGGCTCACTTCTCATTTTTTTCTGTTAGTACCTATCTTTGTCATCCTCATTCCTACATTGTACGTTCCTACATAGTACACCTAGACCGGATACGTAAACAGGGATCCCAACCTGGGTTTGTATGTGGAATGACTCTCCGTTGCTCTGATTGCTAGGGTATATGCGCCATCTGGCTACACCGAGCAATCAGAAGGCTTCGCTATGACGGGGTTCGCATTACTGTCGGATGACTGCAGGTAATGTTGGCCCGTTGAGCCCGTCGAGTTTCTCCGGAATCCTTCACTAGTAGGAAATCTTGTAATAGGATGAGGGCTGAGTAAGACTGATAACTCCTTCTACAATTCTGTAAGCTTAAGCGGTAAGCAGCGGGTTTTCGTCCATCCGAATCTAACAAATTGCTTAGGGAATTGGAGACTGTGAAGTATAGTTCTGTGTTTCTTTTCTCAAGCTTTCGGTGAACTCTTCTCTTGAAGAGGAAATGTTTGATGGAATTAGAATCGGTGCAGTTAGTATATCTGTACTATGTGCCAAGTGGGGTTATGGACGGGGTAGGTGTGGGCTATGGCATATGCAGGTTACACTACTTATGTACCTAATGAAAAGCATCGATTGATCCATCGTATAAAAGCAAACCTTGTTCAGGCCAATCAGATTTGGTGCCTGTCCGGAGTTGTCGGAGACAAAAACCTTCTCCACATGGAAACGACCCATCTCGAGTTTCCTTTTTTCAACATTTCTTTCACTTAATCCTCCGTCCCCGTCCCCCGCCCAACAATAGTCAGCATTGATCAGATTTAGGCGTCATATTCTCATATTATATACTTTCACCATTCAATACCATTTACTACTAATTGCCTGTGGCGTGCTGTTGTCCACTAACAAACTTTGTTGAGGATCAACTCACGTTTATCTCCGTCAATCCGCCTCTCAGGAAATCCAACAATGCCTACCACAGCAGAATATCGTACTGGAAAACGCCCTCGTAAGTTGGACAATTGCTGTTTTTGACACTGCGTGGTGTGAGGAGAGACAAGAGACAAGACGCCTTCGGACGTCCCACCTATCGCCTATAGGTAGCTCCGAGCTGTTTCCCTCAGCCGCAATGCCTTGCTCTTTATTACCTACCCACACCGCTTTAGAACGGCTTCTGTTAAAGGAGATCGTCGCGGCCATTGTGCTTCTAGACCTGTGTGGCCTGCATAATATCTGCGAGCACGATTTTCCCACCCTGCTTTGCCTTAGCGACATCAGTATCTAACACCAATGGCTCCTCATACAGGTACTCAGTCGTTACCTCCTCCAGCTCTCCCTCAGCTTGTCGCCGAGCAACAAGTGCCCATACCCTCTAGTGATAAGGACAGCCAAAGGCTCATCGTCGTCCTATCCAATGCCAGCCTCGAGACATACAAGGCGTCCCACGGCGGCGGCGCCGGCCGTGCCGGTATGCAGCGCGACGACAAGTACTCGCTCCTCAACAGTGACGAACATATCGGAGTGATGCGCAAGATGAACCGCGATATCAGTGACGCCCGACCGGATATCACGCACCAGGTACGCTGTGAATGTCGTCATTTCCTCGCTTCTCAACAAGTCTTATCCCTCTCGAGTTGGCATTCAACATGCTAACTATCTATCCCACTGACGTAGTGTCTCCTCACCCTCTTGGACTCGCCTATCAACAAGGCGGGCAAACTGCAGATCTACATCCAGACAGCCAAGGGCGTTCTGATCGAAGTATCGCCAACTGTCCGTATTCCCCGAACTTTCAAGCGGTTTGCTGGTTTGATGGTTCAATTACTCCACCGCCTGTCCATTCGCTCGACCAATTCTCAGGAGAAGCTTCTCCGAGTCATCCAGAATCCGATCACTGATCACCTCCCCCCCAACTGCCGCAAGGTCACACTGAGTTATGACGAGAGTACGGTGCGTGTACGAGACTATATCCAAGGTCTTGGACCGAAGGAGAGCATATGTGTCTTTGTCGGCGCAATGGCCAAGGGCCCCGACAATTTTGCCGACGAGTATGTGGATGAGAAGATCTCTATTAGCCAATACAGCCTCTCAGCTAGTGTCGCCTGCAGCAAATTTTGCCACGCTGCTGAGGATGCTTGGGATATCCTGTAGGTTGGCCTCCCAAGCTAAACCTTTTTTTTTTTTTAGAGGAGGAATGCGAGAGGAGGGTAGGTAGTGGAACGTGTTAGGTATGAATAATGAATGGACGCTGACTTGCGGAAACCGCTATACAACATCGCGGCCGACGCAGGCATCGCCGGAACTTGGGTCTTGGGGTTTTTGTTCTGTCTCTGTTTTTACAACCAAAACATCAGGCGTTCAACATGAGATCCAAGACGTTTTCACCGTCTTATGTGGGCCACTTCAACTTGGCCCACAACCCTCTTTCTTTTGTCTTTCTCCTGAAACTCTCCTGTCTTCAATCACGCTGTCCCCTTTTTCCTGTCTGACAGTAGGATTTGAGCCAACCGTGGCTCGACGTCTAAACTCGGTCGAGGCCGAGGTCCAGAGACGTAACCAGTGGCCTCTCACACGGCCATACGGCCTGGGTTGGGGAGCGGGTCTAATCTATATGACAGGTGAATATGTCGGTACTATACTGGATAGCACTGCTCCGGTATGCAGAGTGCCCATTAGGGGGTTTGAGCAGGTCACGGCGTGGGGAAAGAGCTGCATATATGGGCGACTCCTGAACGAACTGACTTCGCCGATGACTACTGGTACCAGACAGAACGGAGCCCTTGGCAGTCTATTGCAGGTTAAATCGCTACTTCAAACAACTCACTCCTAGTCTATCGTCAGGTAGGCATCTTATCGGATGGCCTTACGATGCCCTAGTTGAGAGCTAGACGTATGTTAGAGCGTAGGATGGAACAAATACATTCATCTTGCATCTAACCGGATATGTGTTTGGGCAGGGAGTGCGTGGTGTGCGTTTAGTCACCTAAACCACTGGGACCTCGGTCAGGACTCCACGGCTTAGGTAGGAAAGGAGATGATGGACCACCGATACAGTCATACCTCTCCTACTTCAGGTATTGATCATGTACACAGCTGCATAGGTACTTGGGACCACATAAATCCAAAAAGACCAAACTTGGAATGGCTGCCCGCCTAACTTTAAACTACGTACGTGCTTATGTAAATAAGTTTCCACGACCAGAACGACGTGTAACCATAACTGTCCATTCAAAAAGCGGGGTGTGGAGAGAGTCCCCATATGAGAATATCGGGGTCAACGCTAATTCTATGCTGTCCACGGAGACAGCGGGCGTTCTTTTTCCTAAATCTTTCCAATTTTCCAATTTTCCTCTTACACAAATGTATTCTTGCATACCTAACCAGAATTACAAGTCCAATCAAGCTGTTCCTACCAAGACGCTGCTTTTGCGTGCAGATGTTCCAGTTATATACTAAGCAATATTCCTTCTAAACCTCAAATTTGTGCTGTTCGTGTAGGAAATGTTCCCAGGTACGCGCCATCCAGCATACAGCATAGGGCATATGGCATGGATTCGACGTGGCAGTTCATCCACCACTACCAGCACAGAGATATCTGGAGCCAGCGTCATTTTCACGCTGAAAACAATGGACACTTGAAATAATCTCTGTACCGCCCGCGTCGTCGCAGAAATCGTGGCGAAGACTGCGCATATACCATCTGAGCTCGAGCAAGCTCGTATTCAATATGGTTAAGTTAGTTACCTGGTAACGATATCAATAACCATGGGCCATAGTGCACACGCAAACGTTGTGGATGTTCGTTCACCACCGAGAAACCCCACCAGGTTGCTAGTCGTTCAATATACTACACTACACGTGTATGAGTGAGCCGGATAGACGCAACTAGACCAAGTCGGGTATCCAGTTGTATCCGATTCATGCGGCGGGATCTGCCGGAAAATTCTCAGAGCATGTCAAAGACGATGCCTCCTGCATTAGTACCTAATTTTGGTCTCTTGAGGGAGAGCTCTACACCATTGGCGGCCCACATGTGGGAAGTCCTCAGTTCTCTTTTTAAGATACTGAGTTAGCACGGCTGTTAGTATATTTTGGCTCCCAGGACATTTGCTTGTTCTGTTACTCAACTCAAGTCACTTTCGTTATCATTTCCCCCGTCATATATATATATATATATCAGCTTCATCAAGCCAAAGTTGGTCTGTCTGGAAAGAGTTCCGTCACCATCAACCGACATCCCCTCGCTCAAAGTGAAATTACCCTCCAAGTTAGAACGAAAAGTGTGGTTCATTCTCGCCTGTCAAGACAACTGTACATCTATCTGTCTGGATTTGGATATCTACATCATCCTTCGTTCCACCTTGTCCCACCTAGTATACTACCCTCGACTTTCAACGCTGGGATATCGCAAACTCCATCTTATAATTCGTTAATTATACCTTCACAGGTACCCCACAACACTGTTGGCCAGCTGACTAGCTGCGTCTCTGCATCCCTACCTTGCGAGGCTTCCTTCGTTATCCTCCCTCGCTCTGCATCTGTTCATACAGCTGTCCTTGGGTTGGCTACAGCTAGGCCAACGCGACTCGACTAGTGATCTTAACTTTTAATTTTATCGTGTCTGGCAGCTTGTCATGCATCATCAGCCCCACATGCAGGTCACACCGTTTGTTCAAGTTCGAGACCTTGCTCCGTCGGCTTCCTTCTATGCGGCCATCGTCCAGCCGCTCGGCCTGCGATATATATCTGCCAGTTCCTCTTCGATAATCTTTGGTGACGTTAACTCACCTACTCCTGAACCGGTTTTCGAGGTGAAGCAAAGCACCGATCCCAGTTCAAGACCAGTAAGACGCTGTCGCTTGATCCTCTCGGCGAACTCACCTTCAGTCGTTTCCGCCTTCCATACAGCCGCCCTACGAGCTAATCCTGACCTGGAGGGTGCCGGTGCTAACGTTAACTATCTCCGTTTCTACAATACTTCGGATTCGACCAGCGAGAGCTGCGCAAGGGCTGCAGACTTTGACGGCAACATAATGGAAGCCGTCCATATTCCCCATCCCGACTACGCTGGAAGCCATGCAGGCTCGTCCGTGCGTCGTACCCATTCATCATCCCATGAAGTCAGCCGTGTCCTTGATTGGAATCTAGATGTTGGTACTACCTCGGTTCCTTCGAGATCCGTCGCAAGCTCAGCTACGCCTAGCTCGACTGCAGTCAGCCGCACGTCCGATGGCGAGCCCTATACCTTGATGCGGAAAAGCATTACAACTTCGACCGTCGAGGCTTCACCGCGCGAGGAATCAAAAGGGTTCAGTGCTAGTGCCATGGTTGGCACCATCCTGAGTGTAGCTGCTGGTGTAGCTGCCGGTGGCGCGTTGACCTATTCCATGATGAAGGGTGGCGAGCGCGAGCGCGAGCGGATGGCTTACCGGGAGGCCGCGCCACCGCTTTCGCGACGCACGACATACCCAGACAACAACTCGGATAATCGACCTAGATATTATCCACCATCCAGTTACTCCGGTGGACATTCCCAGGCCGGCGGCCCGAGAAGCAGAGTGGTTGAAGAACTTGATGATCGTGCCAGCCGACATTCAAGTCATCATAGCACTGGCAGCCGAACCCGGGGTCGCAGCGAGGCAGGTTCTACAAGGCGTCCGTTAATGATTGCCGACGTCGAGCATAGGAGTAATGCGGGCTCGAAGCACAGCGATTCGCCAAGGCTCTTGATGGACACAGAACACCGCAGTCATTCGAGCACCAAGCACAATTCGGACAGCCGCAGCCATGCGGGATCGAGACACAGTGCAACGACACCCAAGCATTCACCCCGGTATTCACCCGAGTCTGATCAGCGTGGTTACTTAAGTTCGAAACATGCGTCACCGCGGCATCGTGAAGCCGATGCTGAGACCTATATATCTGCTCGGAGCGAGAGATCGGCCGCTACGGTTCGACAAGCCCGGCCACCCGCCTCGGTTGAAACCGCGCCGCCGTCGCGAGCGCAATCTCAGGCTGGTAGCCGGTATTCCGCCGCCACGGCCAGGCCTAGCGGCCCCGGTCGCGCTCATAGTTACGCTTCGGCTAGGAGCATCCCATTTCAAGAGAGCTACGTTGGAAGTTGTCATAATGGATGGGACGATGATTTGAGCAGCATTGCGCCTAGCGAAAGCATCAGCAATATTGGCTATCGCCACGCTAGACGATCACAGCGCGCATGAGCAACGCGATTCTTTGCGAAGTTCCTGTCAGGACAGGATTTGCGGAGTAATACGCGCACATCATCTGCATGCTGTCAGAGACCCGGGACTGGATCTTTCGTGATGAGACAATGCGGAAAAGGATATTTATGGGTAACATGAGGATATACGTCTTTTAGTTTTCATTTCATCTCACTCTTTTGGCTTAAGGGACTCACTAATTTGATAAAACTTTTAAACGAAAAGGAAGCTGGGTCATGCATTATATTGGGCGGTGGTTCGGAATACTACTGCTTACTTCTTAGTACACTTATCATAAAATCGATAAATTTAATATCTAAACAACTTGATTAATCAAGGCTCTTGTCTATTTGCGGAATCCGATTTAAACAATGTGAAATTACAGATACGTGTACATACAGCCCCTTTAAACCCCTTTAAACCCCTTCAATCTACCATAACCGAGGTAAGTGTAACAGTCGTAGCGCGATTGGAAATGAAAACATGAGGTGGGTCATAACTACAAGATATGCTACCTAGGAAATACAATATCTTCGTAAGAACCAAATATACGCTAGTAGAGGAAAGATTATCAAAGCTATGTTGTGAAGCTTTTCGTGGAGATGAAGCCTAAGTAAGTTTCATCTCCTGGTACCTTTACTTCAGTTTTATCACACAGCTCTCGTCCTTGAGCATATCTATTATGTTGAATGGAGTAACGCAAATGAGTAATATCTTTCCTCTTCCATCAGCAATAAATGACTGTTCAATAATACGAAGGAAGCGCGTTACTTGGCCATGCGTATACTGGCTGTAAGCATCATCCAGACCGACGAGAATACAGAGCCTCTGGTCCACCGGCGACAGCATCGGAGGCAATGGGCGTGGGAGAGACTCAAGTACGTCAAGTTGATCATCTATCGAGAGCATGTCGAAACGGGAGAACCAAGGTTGCCAGTTTTGCGGAATAAGGGGGCGCAACCCATAGAAGAATTGGTTTATCATGGAGTTTAAGATCGCCCCTTTAAGATTTCCTTCTGCGTTATTAGAACGGACCCTGTTGAGATTTAGCGGAGGTGGATAATGATCAATAATATTATATCGGCGCTGTCGACGATCAGGATCTGACGTGACGAATAACACGGGCCTCGTATTTCGTACGTCCTGCCATGTCAAACTTTGATATTTGTTTAATTCATCTCTAAGAAAACGGATAGAGTCTACGGCTATGTTGAGCGCCATTTCGTCACCCTTCTCATCTTCGACAGCGCCGATGGCCGAGTTGGGACTCCTGAGAAAATCTTCGGTTTTGTCGTTATAGAACCACCATTTAGGATTTTCCGGGTTGCGGAAGTTGATGTCGGCGGCGTTTGAGTAGACTTCTTCCTGAGGCCCCTTCGACGCCATACAATCTGACCAGCGTCTATGAACAGGTAGACATGACATGATGAATAAGATACGTTTGAAGTCAGGTCCATCTGGTCTGGAATGGTTGAAAAAGGTGAATAAGGACGATAGTGTACTCGCATTTTAATTTCAGCGGCGCATATCAATAGGGCAATTGTCTTGTTTCAAGGTCGCTTGCTAGCTTGAGTCAAACAATGCACAGCGCGGGTTCTGACGGTTTCTTTGTTCGTACCTAATCATTGTTGTTTGTCCCCTTTCTCCTAAACTCTTACGGTATTAATTCAGAATAATAAGAATAAATCAGGGACAAGTTACTAGCCTAGGATCTTGAAATTTGAAATGACACTTTTTGTTATTTGCTAAACAGAATTAGCAACATCTGGGTGGCACTTTGAGAAGCGACAACATCGATAACTCCAAGTAACAGGAAATATATAGTCGTTTGATAAAGTCAGTATAGCTCAGAGACGATGAACCCCTGAGACCTTGATAAGACAACAGGCATAGGTACACGGGTTTATCACTCCCCCCGAGATCCGAGATCCGAGATCCTAGAAGACCTTAGGTGCACTAACAGCTAACGTTTGCATGACAGGTCATACGATGTCAAGGGTTACTGGTGAGTCGTTCCACGCAATCCGAATGGTTGACAACTCTGAGTCTCTAGACCTACTAAAGCTTTGTTTGTATCTTGTAGCTTTTGTTATGAGCTGGGTGTGGAAATAGGAGATACACCGATGGTATCTTCTACGGAGAATAGCAATGCTGTAACCTAGTTAAGTACTTCAATCATGAGACCGCGAGGTGGTTATACCTTGACGTTTTGAGAGCCCTCAAAGGTTAAATGGCAAATGACGAGAATTTCTCAATTAGGGTGTAAAGGGAAATGCTGTCGGTTGTGGCTGTGCGGCTCATGAGGGGTAATTGGAGAAGTTCAAGAGAGTCCCTGTAGCTGGGTAGGTACATAGGTAGGTAGTATATGGGGAAAGATCGTGGTTTCTTAATATCGTCCAATATCATTGGATGGTTTTTGGGGGGGTTTGACAAAAAGGGACCCGCGGAGCACGATGAATGTGCCTGTCAAGCTGCGAAGTAACGGTGAATAACCCCCACCCTTTTTATCCCCACCGCTCTTCCTAAACCTACATATATACCTAGGTACAATATAGCTTCGATATCTTATATATTTTGCTTTAAGATAATAATCAAAAATGAAGAACGAAGACACTATAAGGCTAGAGTCGTCCGTATTTAGAGATGTTAATTGATGTTTTTCGAAGGGTTTAATTTAAACGAAAACAGCTCTCGGATTTATTGATATAATGATACGTACTTTAAGGGTTTGGTGTTGACGAGAAACATTTGGGTTCTACCCACTTTACATAAGTGGAGCCTCTAACCTTTTCAAAATGGAAGGCCCCTTATAAATCGAGAGAGCTTACATATACATGTAGTTTTAACAAAGTCAATTGGCTTTTAACTTTTCTTACCCTATCAACTATTTACTATTAGCTGCAAATTACGAACCTTCTGATATTCTAGTTTAATACAACACAACTCCTCGCGATATATTCCAATGGCTGCGTAAATTGTTTGCACTACTAGATTAGATTCAAGCAATTGAGTTATCCATGATTCTTGCCGTAATCCGAAGGCAACAATAATGGCTGCGAAAACATACCCGATTTTGTCGAGGAGACAGGTCGAGGGCTTGATCGCCGACGGAAGGACTGTCTTTATTCTCGACCAATATGTAATCAAAGCGGATCCTTGGCTTCAGTATCACCCTGGTGGTGACAAGGCCATCTTACACATGGTTGGTCGCGATGCCACTATCGAAGTCACTGCGTTAGTGTTACCTTCACCTCAATCTATCTTACATGCCGCACGAGACTATATCAGAGCTTTGAATAACCTCCTAACGCACTTATCTACTACTTAGTCTCCACTCCCCCGAAGCAAGGCAACAGATGAACAGGTATCGAATCGGGAGGATCGAAGGAAGATGGTCCAACTTTCTCCCACCTATCCAGGGCGGGAAATTTAGGCCATTGTCAGGCAACGGGGACGATGAAGATGACAATGAGGAGCGCGACCATAATTCTACAGAATCGTCGAGCCTTTCGAGTTCCCGTGATGTCTCCCCGGTCTTTGATAATGTTGAAGCTGTACGGAAGCGGCATGTCAGCGATGGATTACGTGGTCCCGCGTCTACATCGTCAGTGTCGTCAGCAGAACCTGACGACGATGGTATGGCATACCTCGATACTATCACGAGGGAGAAAACCACTCTAGACTTGGAAAAGTATCCTTCTCTGGATCCTGCTACGCAAGATTCCATTGTCGCCAAGTATCGCGACCTGGATCAACGAATCAAGGCCGAGAACCTGTATAAGTGTAATTATGGGGCATATGCGATCGAGGTCACCCGCTATTCTATTCTCTTCGGTCTCGCCTTTCTGTTCCTGCACTGGGGCTGGTACGTCTCGAGTGCGGTATGCTTGGGTGCGTTTTGGCATCAGCTTGTCTTCACAGCCCACGACGCTGGTCATATGGGCATCACCCATGGTTTTCATACGGATACCGTCATTGGCATTATCATCGCCGACTTTCTGGGAGGATTGTCCCTGGGCTGGTGGAAGAGGAATCATAACGTACACCATATCGTGACAAATGCGCCTGAGCACGACCCAGATATCGAGCATATGCCGTTCATGGCTGTATCCCATCGTTTTTTTCAATCTATGCGCTCTACTTATTACGATCACATCATGGAGTATGATGCAGCGGCGAAGTTCATGCTTAGGATCCAACCCTACACATACTATATAATATTGCTCTTCGGACGCCTGAACCTCTACCGCCTGTCGTGGGACTACCTGATTATGGGGAGAGGGCCTAGGAAGGGCCCGGCGTGGTGGCACAGGTGGCTCGAAATAACCGGACAGGTTTTCTTCTGGACGTGGTACTTCTACGGCATCTTGTACCAGTCGATTCCGAACAACTGGGATCGATTTGTCTTCTTCGTAGTTAGCCACATGGTCCCTATGCCGGTACACGCGCAGATCTGCCTTTCCCACTTCGCCATGAGCACATCAGACCTTGGACCCCACGAATCATTCCCCCAGAAGATGCTCCGCACAACCATGGACGTCGACTGCCCGCAATGGCTGGATTTCTTTCATGGCGGCCTGCAGTTTCAAGTGATACACCACCTATTCCCTCGAATCCCGCGTCATAATCTTCGCCGGACACAGAAGCTAGTGCAAGAGTTTTGCAACGATGTGGGCATTCCATATGCGTTATACGGGTTTGTGGATGGGAATAAGCAGGTCGTTGGCACGCTAGCGGAGGTTTCGAGGCAGGCAGCTATCCTTGCCAAGTGCCAGAAAGTCATCTCGGATAGTGATGACCCTATTCACGGGCATCACCACTAATGTTTAGTATGCTATATATCCTATATTACCATAGCCTCGATGGATATTGTAAATAGGTGGCAATTCCTTCTATTTCGTGGCAGAGCCCTCTTAGATGTCATGTCTTATGACTCGCCGAAGGCCTAATGCAACCTCGTTGAGACGCTTGTAGGCCAGCGTTCTGAAACTTGGCGGCCCTATTACAGTCGGACCGTCTAACCATTCTGGATGAATGAGAATTGGTATGTTTCGGGCTCCGAGGCGAAAGTGTCTCGTAGCGAGCCAATACTACGGTAAACAAGGGAAAAATCAGGTCTGGCTCTTAAGGTACTTGATCTGCAGCTCGTCAACCGTATTGCTGGAATTGAGTGTGGTGGGCCCCGAGGCCTCGGGGTTTTCGTCGGAATCAGGTTCCCATGACCCACGGCGAAAGCGGTTGACCTCGTTGCTGCCCTACCGGACGAGGGGACACACACCTGCCTGAGCTTGTGTCGTCACGGGAAGAATTTGGCAATTATCACAGATATTGAATTAATCCCATTGTGCAACACCGATTGTTCCCTTGCATCTCAGCCTAAGCTACCTAGAGTCAGCTCGTGCTTATAAAAAGCTGGCCGTGCTTTTCTTTAAATACCTCTTCCGTTGCCTGCGTTAGCTATAGTCTTGGTCTTGTGTCAGCCTTCGATGGGTGGAGGTATGTTGATCGGCAGCTGAGCGAAACCAGTGAAGCCGCAGGACACGTCCCATCAGAACACGATATACGAATATCCGAAGTTAATTCGTGGTTATTTCGCCTCCTTCTTGCATACACTCCGGCCTTGGCTTAGCAGAATGGGAAAGTTCCCATCCTCGGTGTCTGCGTAGATCACAGGAGCAAAGCATTGCGTATTTCTTCACCGACCAATATGGGCCCTCGGGAATTTGGTCTGCTTCGAACCACTTGCTCCTTATGCCGCGGAACGGGATTGGTAGATGTGCCTCGCCAACTCTTTCTCTCCCACTTCTTATCATCCTTGCTCTTGCCAATATGTGTTATTGCCCGGAGACAAAATCCTCCGTCAGGTCATTAATATTATTCCTTAGCGGTTTGGTATCTACACCTACATGCCGTACGAGAACATATGAGTCTTTGCTCAGTTAGAGCCAATATTGGTTAGTATGGATGGCATCGTGCACCTAATGCTTCTCTATCTAGGGAGAACCAATCTAAACCCCGGCATAATTCCTGCAGCCTTCCTTCCTTGCATACATTCAAGACAATGGTCCCGCTGCCGGTGAGGTGCTAGGGCCGGAGACAAGCATTGCCTCATGCGTAATCAGAAAATCCTCAGCGGGAGGAGGGAAAAAACAAGTACAGTCTGACCCTGATGCCTGGTCAGGATATCCTAATACTAGGTGGAGGCTGTATATATTAGTCGAGTCCCGTCGCCTCGAAACTCCGGCAGCGGCCACCCGTGCTTACCAGCCCTCCGAAGCCATTGCCCTCGTCTCTTCAGTACCATCGTTGTTATTCAACTAGCCAACTCTCCTCCAACAAGAAGTCCTTTGCCCGCCTACTTGTAAAATGGGGCCGAGAAAGATGGACGATCAGTCGGCGGCGCGGATCGCGAAGTCTCGCGGAAAGAACGTACATTACATATATATATAACCCAAAGGGATTTCTTGGGCACTTACAGTCAAATAGGACCCCTTTGCAAAGCGAGCAGACATGGCCGCCCGAAACAATAAGGAGCAGAAAGGCGAGGGCTCGGATAGTGCTGGACAAAAGGGGGACTCGAGCCAGAAGAAAGACGATGTCCAGCAGGAGAAGTAAAGGTGGCAGTTGGAGCTCTCCCTGACCAACCACCGGGGATTCGCATGCCACATGTTGGCATGGTCTACCGACAGGGTCAAGGAAATGAAGATCTAGACGAGTCTGTTGTGACGGATCACAAGGGGATATCTCGGTTTGTACGAAGTTGTCTATCATGTTTGTGTGAAATCTCCATGCGTTGGCTTAGGTATAGGGATGGAGGAACTGTTGAGTGAGTAACTATGTGGTGACATCGACGTCACTCCTGTTTTGTAATGACCCTCCATAAGACGCGGGAATTCTCGGGACAAGCCAGCTTCACTTCGAACCTGGATGTAGACCACGTAGGTATGGCGATGGGGAAATGGAAGTGTGAAGGGCTGGCGCGTGTCTACAGAAGACCCTCAAGAAGAAGCTCTAAGTGGGAAGAGAATGTAAAGTTTCATTATCGTTACCAAGATCAACATATACCTGCATTGACGTAGCGGTTAGTTGCGAAGTACCCTAAATAGGGTTGTATTTAGCATATGCTTGTGCTAAACATGACATACTCCCGTACCAGCTGACCGGTTCTGGGCCCCTTTCCCCCAACCCGACATGACGTACAGGTAGAAAAGATTGCTGCTCTTACTGCGTGTTGTCGGCATATCCTGCCAAGTGGGTTAGGTGACTTCAAGCATATTTATAAGCAACAGCCTGTTAAAAGTAGACTAGATAGAGGCATTTATAACTGTGGTAATTTAAAAGGGACTCTTCATATCTTCAACAGCGGGAAGCGCTACGACAGGATTGGAAGTGGAAGAGATGGGGTAAAGCAATAGCAATAGCATCTTTTCGACAATAAGCAGGTAGGATAGGCAAAGGAGTTGCCCATCCCACCTAGGCTGGACTTCCTGAATTGACTCTAGTCCCAAGTACGCTGCAGTCCATCATCACGCCGTGGCATGTAACATGCCTAGTATCTGGATAGATCTCGCTATGCCATGATGTGTACGTGTAGGGCTTCCTTGCACGACAGTAGCTAGGACATGTAATAAGTCTAGGGCTGTCCTGGCTTCCTGTGAACGTTTCTCAACAAGGAAGGTATTGTAGATCCTTTTGCACACGGAAAATGTCCGAACCCTGATCAGCAACGCTCACCGGCTGGGAACCACGCATATATGCAGATTGTTGCGGAGACATCCGACCGGTGTGGCTGACGCGGATAAGGAAGGGAAAAGGGGGCCAATGTAGTCAAAGAGTCGGAACAGACCTTGGGCTACCTAGCCACTCAGGACTGACCCCCCATCAGCTTGATCACGTCCCCGTGGGGTGGCAAATAACGAAGACAGCGGTCGAAGTCAGGCCGACGCATTAGATTGATTTCCCGATTTCCGACAGGTGTATTCCTTGGGCATCTTGTTGCAGTGCCTAGTCCCAATCCCACGTTCCCCTATACCGCAGATATCCAGGGATTATCTTGTTTCCCACCTTCTCCTCTTCCTCCACCTTGGGTATATCCCGGCACTCCAAGGTTCCAAGGTTCCAACATTCCCATATTCCAACTAACAGGTGTTGGAGCGCATGGGCGGCGATGGGAAACTCAAGGTTACGTCATTGCGTATGTTTCGCTGTCTCAACGTCTCAATGCCCAGGTGTCAATTTGCGAATTGAATAAAGACCTCGTGCAAATGGGATGGATGATGACCATGGATTCACGTCTTGATGTTTCAAGGAGGCACGATCGAAATCTGTTGATAGCCAAAGAGTATTTCGCAAAGGATTAGCTACAAGGTGAGTACAATTAAGAGACGCTCAATTGGAAATAAAAAGATACATAATATTATATATAACTTGCAAGTGAACGAGAGTTTATATTTCATCCCTTAGCGCGTTAAGCGCACAAAATTACGGGCCAGTGAAACACTAGTCTCGTTTGATCCCGGAACCTTACCACACAACCTATGCCTACTGTGGGTACTAGCTTAGAACTGTGGCGTCGAGTTCGTCCCCACTAACTGGGTAGGTGTGTATGTACCGTAGTTTTGGAAGTACCGAGACTTTGAACGTGAAGTTCAGCCTCGTCAGCCTCCGACGGTCAGCTGCTTGTTCTGCCCCGCCAACTATAATCCCTGTAAGTACATCATCGATGCTTCACCTATGTACTACGTAGTAGGCAATCTTCAATTCACCCTCTTCAGCCTTGCTTCTCCTTCTTACAAACCTTGTTCACCACCAATTTTATTTCTTCAATTCTAAGATTACCTAGATAGCTAGTTAATCTGGTGAAACATTACTCCTACTCTTTGTGGGCATACCCAAGCATCATTGCAACTCGACTTTCACTCTCTATCTTGACTTATCTATTCGGTCGCTTGAACGCCTACCTAGGCAGGCAATCGGATAAGAACCCTCGTACATCGATTTACCTGGAGTATTTGAATAACATTATTGCCATTCTTGCACACTATGATAACATAGCCTGCGACCCTGAGACGAAGGCGTAATCATGGAACCCAACGTTCAACGCCTTCTCAACGATAAGCTATACGATAAGAGAAAGACCGGCGCTCTTGAGTATGATTTCTCTACCCCTTATCTTGTTTGTCCATTAACCTGACCAACTCGTCCAGACTAGAACGCTCTATTCGAGAGCTGGTAGCTGTCAAGGACTACAAGAGGGTCTCGGACATTCTCGATCAATTGTGCAATGACTACGCCTATGCTGTTCATCAGCCCCACGCTCGTAACGGAGGGTTGATAGGTCTGGCCGCTGCTGCTATTGCCCTCGGTCCTGTATGTCTCTCGTCTCCCTCACTCGGACACCAACCCACGTGACTACCATTTCGTCGTTTCCCCTTGGGCCTGCTTAATCTGACCTTATTGAAAGGAACTCCCAAGATATCTCGAGGTCATAGTGCCCCCTGTTCTGGCGTGCTTCACGGACCAAGATGCACGCGTCAGATATTACGCCTGCGAGTCTATGTACAATATTGCAAAAGTTGCTAAGGGAGAAATCCTAAAATATTTTAACCACATATTCGATGCTCTGTGCAAGGTATTGTCAATGCTTATCTCCGTTTCTCCTATTACTTCTGACATCCGTCTTCTGTAACAGCTAGGCGCAGACTCGGAACTTTCCGTCAAGAATGGCGCTGAACTTCTCGATCGCCTGATCAAGGATATCGTATCTGAATCCGCGGCTACATATGTGTCCGTTCTGGAGACTGACCCGCCCCCGCCTTATGAGGCGAAAGACTCCGATCAAGACTCTTCCCCAAACCCGAATTCAAATCCAAGTCCACCAACAGCATTTTCTCTCCCGGACTTCATCCCTCTCCTAAAGGAGCGAATATGGGTTATGAACCCATTCACCAGGACTTTCCTCGTCGGGTGGATTACACTACTGGATTCGATTCCAGATCTCGAACTGGTCACGTACCTCCCTGAATTCCTAGCAGGTTTGCTGAAGTTCCTTAGTGGTAATAATGCTGATGTCCATTCTGCCACTTCAACCTGTTTAGACAAATTCCTGAACGAGATTAAGCGGATCGCCAGGGTAAAAAAGGGAATCGCCGAGAGTAAGAAGTCGAAGGGGGACGGTAAAAGGAAGCGAGAGGACTCCGTCGATAGCGGCAGTATGCGCTTGGCGCCGGACGATGCCGAGGAAGCAGGATCTACGACCGCCAACGAAGACGAGGATGAGGTAAGCAGCGAAGACGACTGGATTCCAGGGCAGGATGTACAGATCAACTACAAGGCAATCCTCGAAATCCTGACCGCGACACTCGATTCTCCCCTGGGTGAGTGCTCTTGCCAAGATGGCGACGATACAGCTTCTAATACTACTACGCACGCAGAGGAGGATAGCCTTCTGGAGAGTTTGCGTTGGATAGTATCGTTTCTAGACATCTGCCCCGAAGAAGTCTTACCATTCACCCCCAAAATCCTGGCCCACCTTCTGCCAGCAATGGCCAGCGGAGTTGAACCGATTCGTCAAGCTGCGGCAAGAGTGAACACATCGCTGATGGACTATGTCGTCTCTCTTACGGATGAATCTGAAGCGCCGTCCGGACAGCCATCGACACGACCCCCGCCATCTACAGCTGACCGCCCGGAGGGTGCGTCCAGTACACGTGCCTCTCTCTCGAGTGGCCGTGAGATGGATATGCGTAGTCCCACGCCAGCTCAAAACAGTGGAGTACCCACCCCGGCGGAGTCGATCCAGCGTCAGCCTGATTTAGATTATGCTGCCGCAGTCACTTCTCTCACTCTGCTATTCCTGAATGACCATGAAGCTACTCGTGTCGCCGCCTTGACGTGGCTTATCATGTTGCACCGCAAAGCACCAAGGAAGATAGTTGCGTTCAACGACGGGACATTCCCTGCTCTCCTCAAAACGCTCTCAGACCCCGCAGAAGCCGTAGTTACTAAAGACCTACAGTTATTATCCCAGATCTCAAGAAACAGCGAGGATGACTACTTCTCTAACTTCATGGTCAGCCTTCTGCAACTCTTCTCTACAGACAGGAAGCTACTGGAGACGCGAGGCAATCTGATCATTCGCCAACTGTGCATGACGTTGAGCCCCGAGAGGATATATCGGACTTTAGCTGAGACGATTGAGAAAGAGGAGGATGTTGAATTCGCGAGCATAATGGTGCAAAATCTCAACAATAATCTCATCACCGCCCCAGAGTTAGCCGACCTGAGGAAACGGTTACGGAACTTAGAGACAAAGGTAACGTGCTTTTGTTATCTGGTAGCTTGATATATGCTCTACTTACATTTTGCACAGGATGGCCAGGCGTTTTTCGTTGCTCTGTTCCGATCCTGGTGTTACAATGCTGTTGCAACTTTCTCCTTGTGTCTACTCGCGCAAGCGTATGAGGCAGCATACAACCTTCTACAGATATTGTGAGTGTTGACTCCGCCCATTGGAGAGGCCGACACCCTGCTAATAGGTGCCAGTGCGGAGCTTGAGATGACAGTGAACATTCTCATCCAAATCGACAAGCTTGTCCAGCTAATCGAGTCCCCTGTCTTTACATGCAAGTCACTTGGTGTCTATCCTTGCTAGCTTATACATTAACATTCGCGCTACCAGATCTTCGTCTTCAGCTTCTTGAGCCCGAGAAGTATCCATATCTCTACAAATGCCTGTATGGACTTTTGATGCTTTTGCCGCAGTCTTCTGCTTTTGCAGCCCTCAAGAACAGATTGAATAGTGTAAGCTCGATAGGCTACCTGCAAATCGGGCCTAGACCGTATGTACTGTCTTCTATTGGTTCCCCCTCGCACCCTTGGCAAGGTTCCGTGGCCGAGGCTGTTTCTTCTTTCCAAAATCATACTCGTTCCAAAAGCGGCCATGACACTTATGCTCCGTCTGCTGTTAGTTCTGCCACTACACCTAGCGCGTCAAGTTACGACCGACCAAACAGACTAGGCAAGGGCCGTGAAGACAATATAATTCGATGGGAGCAGCTTCTCGACAAGTTTAGGACGGTGCAAGATAGAGCAAGACGGGCGCAGAGGATGATGGAAGGTGGTCTCGACGACGGACCAGCCTTTAGTGGGATTCGCATTACGGAGAAGGAGCCGCCACGACCCGCCGCCGGCCCAACCGTACCGCCGAAGGATTCGACTCCTGCCGCAGCGCCGCCGAAACGCTCGGGACTGACAAGGCAATTTGGTAGACTCGGTGCGTCAGTCTCGGGCAGAGGGAAGCGGTCGCAACAACAATAGCCTTGCAGTTCGTCATAGGGGTCCAGATCGCCAGAGTAGACGTTGCGGCAAAATTTCTACACTAAATTAGAATCATCCACGGTGAAACCGATACACCATAGAGGGTCTTGAGCGGTTAGATTAAGTTCTGTACGAGTACTGTTAATCAACGTAGCGGCAACATCTATAGTGTAAAGAAACTTAATATTAATGGCGTCTATGCTACGAGCATCATTAGAGTCTTCTCCTGGCCTTAACAGGGCTCTCGCGTTCTACTAGTCTCTCGAAATTTGTATCTCTCTGGTCGGTCGCGTCGCGAAGCTCGGCACGTAGAGCCTCTAGCTCGACCCGGGCTGCTTCGATGTCCGGAGGCAGGCCGGCGAACGCCTTGACCTGGACATCAAGGTCCTTCTTCCTGGCTAGCAATTCGAGATAGGCATCCTCATCCTCCTTCACATCCTCGACGGTAAGGCTCGGTAGGCCTATAGACTTTTCGAGGGCAACAACCTGCTGCCTTAGTTCGGGTAGTTTGCTAGTGATACTTTTGATCTTGCGCTGGAGCTCGAGGTTCTGCTTAGCCAGGTCCGGCGCGGGCTGGTAGGCGTCGCCGCGCCGCAGCTCCTCGAGGAAGGAGTCCGTCTGCGCAGCCTCGCGGTCCAGGTATCGCTGCAGCAGGTTCACGCGCTCGACGCTGTCTTCTAGCTCCAGCGCTCGTCCCTGCAACTCGACGTACTTGGCCCCCAGGATCTCGGGCGTCGGGTACGCGACGCCTAGGTCGACGGCCATGTTGGACATGGCGTCGAGGGCGGCCGCGCCTTCTCTGCCGAGGTTCGACTCGATGGCTGCTAGCAGGTCCGCGGCGAGCAGTTCGCCGTCGATGGCGTCGCTGGGCTGCTGCTGCTCCGATTTCTGCCTCCGCGCCTCCAGTTCCCGCTCGCCAGCCTCGACTTCGGCTAGGGCGGCCTCCTCGAGGCGGGACAGCTGTTCGCGGTCCTCGTCGGCGGCTTCGTTGGCGGCGGCGAGCGCGAGCAAAGCTCTGAGAGTCTCCGGGTTCCGCTCGAAGGCTGGCGGTCGCCCGCGGTTATTGGAGGAGCCGGCGTATTTGCTGCGTAGCCAGCTGTCGACGTAGGACCAGTCTTTGGCGGTGGAGGCGGCGGCGCGGGCGACGGATGGGGAGAAGATGGCGGCTTGGGAGGAGGGGGCTAGGTGTGCCATCGTGCATATGTTATGGGGGTCCCTCGAAGTTGAAAGTGAGAGCTTTAACTTTCGTTTACTATAGTAGGAATCTAGTAGGCATGTGAGTATGATGTAAGTGTAAATTTCAATTGGCAGGCACACGTCGAATACACGCGACTGCAGGGGAGCGGGTGTCATTGGGGAATGGTGGGGTACATCTTAGGTACTTAACGGGTGCAACCGTCCGTCGGCGAATCACCCCTCTTGCCCTTTTAGGCAAAGGTCACCTGTGGCGCGCTATCTGAACCTTTCAGGCCTTTGTACCTTTGGAAGTGGCCAGGTTGTCAATGGCAGGGATTAATTTGTTTAGTCTGTACCTCCTTAGAACTCTTGATTAAGCCTTAATTTGATGTATTTTCCTAGCAGGATATCACCAGATACGCGTAGTAGTCGACAGAAAGTGCCACTTGTTAACCTCAGTTTTATAATTCGGCCATCTTTCTCTATTTCGACTTGAACAAACCTACATTTACATCTGTTTACCTTTTAGATATCTTGAGCTTCTCGACCCCTTTTCATCTTTTTCTTCTTACTACCCTGTGATACTGTTTGTTTTTAACATACCTACCCCCTGACGGCGCACGCGCCTACGGGCAACTTCGTTCAGTCTCTATATCGTCGTCTATCGCGTTGCCATGATTGTCCCTCTATCAGCGCTGGCTCTCGCAGCCACGGCGTTGTCATCTACTGGACTTGTACAAGCCCTCTCCGCCTCAGATATACCTTCCGACACACCTATCAACGCACTCCTCTCTTCTGCGCAATCACACTTGACTAAAGGCGAAACAAGCGAGGCATTAGTTTATTACGATGCCGCCATCGCACGAGATCCCAACGACGCCTTAACGTTCTTTAAGCGCGCAACCACCTACCTCTCACTCGGTCGCACGTCACAAGCTACTTCAGATTTCAACCAGGTCCTCAAACTAAGGCCCGACTTCGAAGGCGCACATCTTCAACTTGGCAAACTGAAGGCTAAGAGTGCTGATTGGAACGGGGCTAAAGAACACTACGTCTTAGCCAAGCAAAAGCCAGGCTCTTCCGAATACAACAAACTCATCGAGGCAGAGGGCGCTACCAAGCTAGCAGAAGAGGCTGCGAACAAGGGAAACTGGGACGAATGTATAAGTCAGGCGGGAGAGGCTATACTTGTCGCAAACCGAGCACCTAACCTACGCGAACTGCGCGTAAAATGTCGATTTGAGAAAGGAGAAGTAGAGGAGGGAATGAGCGACTTACAACATATCCTACAGATGAAAGCTGGCGATACCACTCCGCATCTGCAGATCTCGGCCACCACATTTTATGCTTTGGGAGATATGGACCAAGGCATGAGCCAGATCAAGAAGTGTATGCACTCCGATCCCGAGTCTAAAGCTTGTAAAAAGTTGTTGAAACAAGAGAAGAATGTCGAGAAGACTTTGGCAAAGGTCAATAAGGCTCTGGAGAGAAATCAGCCCATGTCTGGCGTCAAATTGTTGGTACCGTCTAGCGACGAACAGGGCCTGATCAACGAGGTGGAAGAGCAAATCAAGGAGCTTAAGAAAAATGGCATCATTCCAGAGCGCGCACCAAATGTACTACTAGCCAGATTGGCCGAGACCGCTTGCCAAGCTTATTACGAGGTATTAACGATTATTTCCATTTCGCTACTAATAATGTACTAACTAGCATATAGGCAAATGGCAAAAAGGCTAGCATGTATTGTCCCAAGGCGATAGAGCTGGATGAGAATTCGTTTTACGGATTGATGTATAAAGCCAAGACGCAACTGGAAGCCGAGGATTTCGAGGCTTCCATCGCAACGCTGAAGAAGGCGGCGGAAACCAGGCCAGACAAAAACAATGTGGTTAACCCTATGATGCAGAAGGCTCAGGTGGCCCTCAAGCGCAGTAAAACGAAGGATTATTATAAGGTCTTGGGCGTCGCTCATGATGCCGACGAACGACAAATTAAGTCAGCTTACCGAAAGTTAACCAAGCAACATCACCCCGACAAGGCGGCGAAACAGGGCCTGAGCAAGGAGGAAGCGGAGAAGAAGATGCAGAGCATCAACGAAGCGTACGAGGTATTAAGCGATCCCGAACTACGGGCAAGGTTCGACAGAGGCGACGACCCCAACTCCAACGAGCAGCAAAATCCGTTCCAACAGGGAAATCCGTTTGGCGGCGGCGGCGGACCGTTCATGTTCCAGCAAGGCGGCGGTCAGCAGTTCCAGTTCAAGTTCGGATCCGGAGGCGGCGGCTTCCCGGGAGGGTTCCCCTTCGGTTAAGATATTTCCACAACAGCGAAAGAAGAGTATACTTTGCATGGCAGCAGATGGGTTGTTTCTGGAGTTTGCGGAGTTTGTAAAGGGCGCATATACCTAATGCGTTGTAAATATCCATATCCGTTTAATGCAGACGATGCTGTACTTTGAGGGTTTTTGGCCGTTTATCAAGTGATTTGTTCTCTTGGTTTTCTATGTAATGGTTTAGGCCTGAGGTGTAATCTTTGAATTGGCCAAGTGCTCCCTGTACGTCAGCAATCCACCTGGGTACTTCAAGATAACTTCGTTACATAAAAGGCTATTTCAACGTCAACGTTCCGTTGGAATTCTTCTGGGTATGTGACAATCTTAATCGTGTTGAACCTAGTAGACTTAGCATCGTGCCAGCTTGTCCCTTGTACGAGTTTATTGTTACGTCCAATACTTCACTTTGTTGCCTTTATTCCCACTGATGGAAATGTGATTCCCGTAGATATCACCTAACCTAATCAGACCTCCCTAGTATGTACCACTTGATAGTCTCGCCCGAACATGCTATGTTATCCTACCCCCGGGGGTGGCCGTAGAGACAAGGGCTCAGCTGGCTATCACGAACACAGTTAGACGAACAAATAGAAACTCCAGGACGGAGTTGAATATCGTGTCGATATGGCGAACATAAATCATCGGCGATCGCTCTACCTATCCTGATTTGATATCATGCCGGAGTACCTAGCATCTATAAACTGTACATTGAGGTTTTTAACTCGAATAGATCCCGCCCCTATTCGTCATAGCTTCCGTGCAATTCCCACCCACCACCTGTACGTCTACCGCCATCGTGAGCGAAAGGTTTTCTGGTTAAGGAATAAAGATTTCAAACGCCGTCTCTTTCTTTTCAGAGAAATCCATGGTCATTATCGTCGAATCCATCGCCAACCCACGAGTAGCAGGGTTGGAGATATATGAGCACGGGAAAACAGGAAAAGAAAAAGCAAATTTTATGTACAACCGTCTAGCCAGACGCCTTCCGGCCTTTTGACTTTTCCATCTCTCCCCCCTCTTCCCGATTGCTCGTGCAAATCTTTCGGTTTGGAGAATGTTGAAATTCGTAGGTCCGTGGAAACCCCACGCGAATACCAATAGTGCAGGCAAGTAGCCAGAAAGGTACCTCTGGAGAGATCCATACGGCATCCGCGGAGAGGATCGGTGGGCTTGTGGACTGCAGTACCAAAGTCTCGTGTATGGCGAGACGAGATAAGCCCAAGCCAGGCAAATGCGGGACGTCGGATGTCGATGCTCACAATGTCGGACTCGGTCCTACTCCTCGGAGATATGCTGACGTCGGAAGGATCGGCAAGAAAGGTGGCCGATTTGTGGATATTTCGATGGATACCATGGGTACCTCGAAAAAACGACACTGGACTTACGTTGGACTCGTTCAAACCCTACCATCACGACGACGACGCTGCGATGTTAGTGCGAATGAAATAGGCTCTGAAATCGGGTTGTTAGCTTAGGTAGGTCTCGTTATAAGAGTTATAAGAGGTAGATAAAGATGCACTTACTTAGAGGCCTCGTAAGCCGACCAACAAATAGCCGTGCTCGGCATAGTAGTGACAACTCTCGGCCGAACCCCCTTGAAGAATCCACGCATGCCCTCTCGTCGGTACATGAGCTTGCACCCCGCCACGAATCCATTCACCGATCTAAGCTCCGGGTCGGTGGCAGTGCCGCGGGTCTGGAGCATCGTCTTGATTACGTCCATGGGGGTCGTTAGAGCCGCGGCAAACCCGCCAGCGACGGCGCCTGCCATGCAGTGGGTGAAGGGGTCATAGGTCTTGGTCGGGTTCATGGCAGTAGAGATAGACTCGTAGGCGAGGAATTGAAGGGCGGTGAAAGGCACGGTCATGGATAGTGTGGTAGGGTAAGAAACGTAAAATGCGGAGATGCCCTCCGTCTTGTAGACGTATCGTGCGCAATCGGTCATCGACCGGTACATCTTGCTGGAGTGTTGAATCTGCATACGTTGCTTGATCACTATAACTAGCAGTCAGATAGGAGTGCTCCCAACACCTTGGGCTCCGTCTTTAGCACCCAACGTACCGTCGAAGGGGTTCATCAGCGCATCGCTGGCAATGGTCGCACAAGCTCCACTCGTAGCTAGGGGGAGAAGGTCAAGTTAGAAACAAATTGCCCAGGCATCGGGTCGAAATCGAAGCATATGAGTCTTACCAGCTGCGAGGGGATGGTGAACGCCTACTCTGTTACCACCCATAAGATGCTTGACGGCCTCGTACGTCGCGAAGTAAACCGCATGCGCAGGTCCTAATAGTCGCCAAGGTAAGATAATGAACTATACCCAGCCCTTTCAAATGTATGGCAGCGGCATACCTGCTCCAACAACAACGCTCGACATTCCTCGCCACAACTTAAGGACGCCTTCCCCGCTCGCTATGCGCATAGTACTCTGGATCATGCCCTTGTATACGGCGTTCGCGGAGGGGTTGATGATTTGCATTCGTGTCTACATTACACCAGATTAGCGCCAAGCCGGATAGCCGGTTAGGAGACAAATATTGTCGCGCACCTTAATCGCGTCAATGGGATACATCACCGTATGTTCCTGCTATAGTGTTAGCATTCATAACGACCTCTATAGAAGTAAGGACCGTCGAAGCGTACAGCTATGCCTGCGAAGGCACCGGCGACCATGTTCTGCGTCAATGAGAAGTTGGGCGGGAGAGATTCGTAGCTAGTAAGATGATTAATATTAGCATGCGTACAACGACGTCGTTGGCCTTGTCCAAGTAGCTAATATCAAATTGGGAAAAGGCAACATACTCGTAATCCTCGACGGGCTCTGCGGTTGGCTGGGCCATCTTGGCCACAGCGGTTGGGCCTTCGCCGAAGGCCTTCGGTTGAAGAGCCAGGATTGCGTCTAGTGAGAATCGGGAGGAAAGGGTCGCAGAGGTTCGGAGTGGATGAAGCTGAGTATATGTGTTGCCCGCCCAAGGAATTGAGAGGTGCTGGGATGAATGCGAGATATTATGTTTGCCAGCGAGCCTGGCAGATAAATGTCCGGATGTAAAGGGGACAAAGAGCTTTCAAACGGATGCGCTCGAATTTGTTAAGGGGAAAGTGGGAAGGTCGGGAGAAGGAATTACACTGGTGGAATGGCGCGCGGTGGTGAAGATGAAAAAAAAATAGTGCGAAGTTGCGAATTTAGAAAATGCCCCCCGACTCAAATACGTATGTGAATGTGGTACAGATTACCGTAACCGTAGGTCGCTAGGCGTAGGTCGCAGCTGCATGTGCATGGACGACTTTTTCAAAATTCATCTCAGCGCAATTCGGAGGCCGGCCTTGCAGGGGTATGTCGGGGCCGATCCCCACTTCTGGGAATACCCTCTCATCCGAATCGGGACTAGCCTGTCTTCGTACCTTTTATGTACTTAAAAGGTAGGAATAAGCCTCATGAGGCGAAGGGTGGTATTCTGTCGTATGTGGCTTGTGATACTTCCTCACCTAGATTCCAAGTTGATAATAAAATAAAGATTTTAAAAGACCTTTCAACAATACAGAAGCTTTCCCTTTCATCACGTCTTCAATTATATGAATATTCCCATCACAGAAATGAAACTACTATACTCGTTTCCTTACGTTAGCTTAGGTAAAAATAAAGCAACAAGTCAGTCTCATACCCAATCCTTTTAGTCAGGATTTGTCTTTCGTTTGCCCCTACACCGTTGCCCGATTGCTATCTGCTTGCTAGAAATATACTAGCAATTAGGTACATAGTGTGCTTACATACAATTGTAACCTGTCTAATGTGTATAACACCTACTTGAAAAGAAACACAAGCATTCAGTACACATGGATAGATATCAAACGAATAACCAAAACGTTGGTAAGCAAGGTGGGAATGTTTCCTACCTAGTATTTAGCAAACATGGACAACTTCACAAGGGGTTACCTTCACATGAATAAGATCTAGAATCCTTCTATGTCGACAACCCTCGTTAATCTTTTATCTAGATCTGATCTTAAGATTTTTTTAATAGCTCTGCACGCTGCAGCCCTGTATCTGGGGTATTGTGGTTGCATCCCCGTTCGATCGGACAATCATCGTATGATGGTGGATGATATTCGGCATACCCGGTTTTGTCGCCTTGGCACCATAGTAGAGAGGCATATTCGCACATACCGAGTTATATACTTGGTATCTCCGAAGCTCTGATGAGAACATCTTAAACATAAATCACTACCTATTTCCATTAACCACTACAGCCCCTTATACATCATCATCTCTAATGTCCAAAATTGGACTTGTTTTCGTTCTCGAAATTTCATTTCACGCCACGCCAATTTTTTAGGCAATCCCCTTATCAGTCCACTACAACTAGATCAAAAGACATTTCGGAAAGGAGTTCGCAAAGTCGTTAGAAGAACATGGGCAATGCTATTCGTACGATGAGCAGGACCAAATATTGTGTTTTCCATTCAATACATCAACCAATTTCTTTTATATCATTATAACATATAATAACTAGTAAGGATTATTCTCTAGAAAAGACACTGCTCCAAGTCAGTACCAATGCTTACTAGTAAAGCATAAAGTGATATAGCTAAGGAGACTGATAATCACCGACCTACGTAAGCGCCACGAAATGTCCACTCTCGATGGACGCTGGGAGCATTACATTTCCGAGGTACATGTCAGCCCTGAGGTTCAAAGCAAGCTCTTGATACTACGCGGCATGGGGAATTAAAGACTTGGCCTGAGTTCTTGAGGTATGGCGCACCAGGGCACTGTCAACATAAGTGCCAACCATCTTCGAGGATAGGCTAATCATGCATATCGTCATCGGAAAGCCAGCCTATGCGAAGGCTAAGCAGCAAATCTCGGGAGAGACTACCACGGTGAGCCAGGCGATACGTGAAACCCTGCTCTTGTGTTTACCCAATAGGTATATAACCTACCCACTCAGATGCGAGCAAAAGCCCCAGTGAGCGTTTATATAGATATTTTCTCTTGCCTCTGAAAAGCCTGTCGTTGAAGTCATAACATTCGCTGACACCTACCGACAACTACCTAATGTAGCATTTATATCTTGCCTTTCGCCAAACTAATGACTTCATAACATCTTCGCCTTACATACATATCCTAGAACACATATAGTCTCCTGCGACGGCTGAACGGCGCTATAGCGACCTACGAGTTGTTTTTGATATCATACCAATCACGGTTGACATGATTGTAATGGCCACTGATCAATTATACACAAAGCATAAATACCAATCATAACTACATTTTACCCCCCTTACTTCGTTTGCCTGCGTACCTAGGTAAGTATGTTTGAATACTACTTCGGGAAATCATAGTGACTAGTACTTAGCAACTTCATATACAGCATCACATACTTATCAAAGCGATGAGAAATCCCTAACTTTTACATATTACACTGGAAGTCACTACTTGTTTTGTCAATGAAAGTGTTCTAGCTTGACTTGGATAGTATTTTCAAAAGCTCATGCCAATGGTTTTACATCAAACCTTTAAAACCAATAAAAGATATATGAAACGCCCCGACATACCCATATACTAGATTATGAAGACATAAGAATTAACTTTCGCTAATGAATACTAATAAAGTATCTTATATCCAGTATCCAGATAATGTGGAATTGTAAACTCAAGTTATATAAAAGTGAAAAAACAATCTTGGTCGCCCTTGCCTCCTAACTTACACGGCGTATCTACCTTATGTGTCACAGCGCTCCTCGGAGGAATAGATGTGCCTCGAGGGTTAGATCAAACATAACGTCTGAAAAGGTCGAAACAGGTTGAGTTTTCCTTTTCATTGCTTCCATCCGAAATTTCCATACATTCAAGTGCGACGACCAAGGCTAAAAGCTTGATTCAGGTTATTAGCAACTGCAAGGTCGCATTAGAGCTACGTTGAAGTTCTCTACGAAGGTTTTAAATGTGACTCATGTACAGTGTCTCGGTATTTTCATGTCCAAAAAGGGATAGATAGTGGGGCTACAGTGTTATATGGTCCTGCGTACATCAATCCAGACTCGCTGCAGGCGGGACCTGAGACGGGCTGAATGCGCAATTGATGATTGGCCAATCCCAATTTTCAGTACGTCACAACCCATCAGGCTAAACCGCATACAGGGATCTAAATGGTATGTAGTCATGTGACAGCCCCGCGGATGGTCAAGGCTGCTCGTGCTTTTTAGCTTAGTGCGACCCTGAACTGGGGAACCGACGATCGGCGTTACGTGGGGTATGGTACGTGCAAGTAATTGTGATTCATTGCATCCATGCTCTTAAGAATTTTCACCTCCAACTTTTAACATAAAACCATAGACAACACACACCATTTCCTCAAATCTTCCCATTCACTTTCCATACCAGAATACCCGAATACCCGAATACGCAAGTGCACTTGACCACCTAGTCGCCTTCTATCTGACTTTCCTATTTTCCCGACTTCCGAATTGCCAGTCCAGTAGAGTACTCACACACACCAAACATGTGTGGTGCAGACAGCCCCGCGGCCAGCAATGTACGTTTTATTCGACCTTGAATTCGATGCAAAAACTGACCACTTCTCCAGGGCACCACCAACGGCACCAACGGCACCAACGGCACCAACGGCACCAACGGCACCAACGGCACCAATGGTACCAATGGTACAGATGGCACAGCACCACCCGTTCGTCGCAACAACCCTTACCAGTCAAACCCCGGCGAGCTTCTCTCCAATGTCGACAAGTTCAAGATAATTGAATCAACGCTCCGAGGTCAGCATCCCTCGCCTCCTCGACTCTATTTCGACCCTTACTAACTACATATGCAGAAGGAGAACAATTCGCAAACGCGTATTTTGATACGCAGACCAAGATTAAGATGTATGTCCTGCTATCCTGTCTCCCGGAACTTACTAACACTATTCTTTTTTGTAGTGCCAAGGGTATGCCGGTTCTATCGAATGATATATCACGTAACTTCCTACTAAACTCTACTTCTAGCTCTTGATGCCTTCGGTGTCGACTACATAGAACTTACCTCCCCCGCTGCCTCAGAACAGTCGCGGCTTGACTGCATTGAGATATGCAAGCTCGGCCTCAAGGTATGATTATTAATATATATTTTCTGATTGTAAATTTGACTAATACTCTTTATAGGCCAAGGTCTTGACCCGTGAGTTTCTTGGAGCCCTACTAACTATTCATCTTCTGACCATAACCCACAGACGTCCGGTGTGATATGCGGGATGTCCAAATGGCCATCGACACAGGTGTAGACGGCTTAGATATTGTCATCGGTACATCACATTTTCTTAGGGAACACAGTCACGGCAAGGACATGGCCTTCATCACTAAGGCTGCCATAGAAGTCGTGCAGTATGTCAAGTCGAAGGGTATCGAGGTTCGATGTATGTTGAATGTCACTTCTTGTCATGGGATTTCTCCGCTAACACTAAGAAGTCTCGAGCGAAGACTCATTCCGTTCTGACCTCGTGGATCTGCTATCGTTATACAACGCGGTAGATAAGATAGGCGTCAACCGTGTCGGAATTGCTGACACGGTTGGCTGCGCCAGTCCACGCCAGGTTTACGAGGTATATTATCCGGTTACTCTCATAATCACACTTGTACTAATTATGGATATAGCTTGTTCGAACTCTGAGAGGCGTAGTGTGTGAGTTGGCATAACACTTCGCTTTAAACTATATCTGCTAACTTGTTTGCAAGCCTGTGACATTGAAACGCACTTCCACAACGATACCGGTTGTGCGATTGCTAATGCGTAAGTTTCTACTCCAAGAAAAACCTGACTTTCGCGTTGCTAAAATGACCTAGCTACTGTGCTCTCGAGGCTGGTGCAACCCACGTGGATACTAGTGTGCTCGGAAGTAAGTGCATCCATACTATTGTTTCAAGAGAGAACGATGGTTATTGACAATTTTCAGTTGGTGAGCGCAATGGGATCACTCCTCTCGGTGGCTTCCTAGCCAAGATGGTAGTAGCCGCTCCTGATTACGTCAAGAGCAAGTACAAGCTCAAGATGATCAAGGAGGTAAGTTCGATATCTATTGGCACATACGGACTCAACAGGAACTGACATATTCTAGATTGAGGATTTAGTTGCAGAGGCGGTGGAAATCAACACCCCTTTCAACAACCCTATTACTGGCTTTTGCGCCTTTACACATAAGGCTGGTATTCAGTAAGTTGGTTTTATTTTTAGCCACCCCATCATGACATTCCCCTGCTTGCCTTTTTCGTCATTAATCCGATTTGCCTTCGTGAAAGTTGCTGAATCTCTTACTAATATCCAATGTTACAGTGCTAAGGCCATCCTTAACAACCCCTCAACCTACGAAATTCTCAACCCGGCGGATTTTGGCATGACCCGCTACGTGCATTTCGCCTCTCGGTTGACTGGTTGGAATTCAGTCAAGTCTCGGGTGACCCAACTTGGTTTGACAATGACAGATGACCAAATCAAGGAATGGTGCGTATTAATGAAAAATCATATCTGTGGATGATAGTAACTAACATATTCCTTATAGTACTGCCAAGATCAAGATGCTAGCTGATGTACGGCAGCCCAGCATTGAAGATTGCGATTCGATCATCAGGACATTTCATCTGAATCTGCAACAAGATCAAAATGGGAATTAGGGTAAAAAAAAATTTTTTGTGGCAGATTCGGCGGGCTCTTCTTTTGCTTCTTCCCACCATATAAAAGGGGCACCATCAAAACGGACAAAAGGATAAAAGTTCGGGTGTGCATAGCTTCGGTTTGGGAAAAAGTTCATTTCATGCGAGGCATGACTAAATTAAGGTCAGATAGCCTCCGTAACTTTAAGGTGCTTGGGAGCATACATAGATGTTTACTGTTTTCTCTGGATTTCCAAATGCATATTTAGATTCCTTCACTTCATGATCAAGCACGAGTGGTCCTGGGCCTTATTGCATCTTCCCTGAGAGGATGGGGATTGGCACCATTGATATGGACCATAATACCATTGTGTGAGCTTTACTTAGGTGTAAAAAGGAGCTGCTCCTCATGGTATAAGTATATACTAGACTGAGCTCAACTACGACGAACAGGATCAGCTGTCCTTCGAACAATTCTAGTATGAACTAGCTGAAAACTAGTCTTGTGAGGTAGCGTCTCTAGAGCTGAAAATATCACGACTCTCCATTCTCTGGGAAAGGTGTTAGCTACTTTGAGTACTTACCTAGGTACTAGTCTGAGGTGTCCTATCTACGGGAAATCCATTACTCAGCGACAACAGGGTCTATGATAATAAAATCAAATTGGTAGTGGTCTATCCCTAGCATAGTTCTAGGATGCTGTATGCATGCATGCTCTGAATCGCCGACCAAAAAAAACACACACAAAACAAAACCAGTCCATAATGATGTGGCCGTGACCTAGTGTAGCCCCAGCCCCAGTCCAGCCGCCCGAACTCCTTTCCCTTCCCTTTATTCCCGGCTCGCTCTGCTGTGTCTTAGCAGTGTAACCTAGCCTAGCCTGACTGTCTCGTAAGAAGACCAAGTAGGCAAAGTCAAAAGTAATTAAAAACATAATGTGGCTCCTTCACATAACTCCCCGCCAATCCATATGCACCTGCTGAAACTGCTTCAGCATAGCGACGACTCCCGGACCATCGCCATCGTCCGTAGCGGTGCTCTCCTCACGACTTAGCCCGTGCCTAGGCGAGCCTTCCCACGTGGACTCGCCTAGTCGTGCCACACTCTCCTCGACATCGCCGTCATCCGTATAGCCCGTATCCTGGCGACGGAGGACGCTGCGCGAGGTGCCGTCCTCGAGGGATTCCTCGATGATATCCCTGCCGGCTTGATATGGGCCGCGCTGACGAACTCGTTGCGGGGTGCGGTTGGCTGGAGCAGTAGCGATGAAGGAGGCGGAGGGCTGGTGGTGGGGGTCGAGGAGCATAGATGCCATTGGCGACGGGGCAACGGCCGGCCCGAAGCGTGGTGTGCGTTGGGCGCCGGGTGGTGCTCGGCTCCGCGGTCGTTCGCTACGCCCGATGCGTGATGAGTGCATATCAGCGGCAAGCGTTGGCGACATCAAGCCAGGGAAGGTGGGCGGAGGGTGGAATTGGTGACGGCCGGCCGGGCCCAAAGCGTGGGAGCCTGGCAGTCCGGTTCTCGGATGGTAGACGTAGTTGTCAAGGAAGCCGTGTACTGAAGCTTGCATCTTCCCATGTTTGGTAGCATAATAGTCCTCACGAGCATCGTTTATATTGTTTTGTGGCGGCTGTTGCTGTCCACTAGTTGTACGTTTGTCTTTCTGGAAGTCGAAGACGGCGAACGAGCATACGTAGCCCAGTCCGTCGACGTGAATTGTAAATTCGCGGAAGAAGTCGATGATCTGATCGCTGCACTTTGGCAGACTAAAGAAAAGCACCAAGGGTGTGACCAAGACGCCAATGATTTCTTCCAGGAAAATGATGATTCTTGCCTTATACAGCTCAGAGAATTCGGCCTTCACCTCATAGCTGTGAAGTCTACCTTTCCACTGATCTGGTTGATAATGCGTATATTCGATGACGTTCTGCATCGCAAATTCGGGATCGAATACGTCGTTCTCCTCGGATATCATACCACGGGCGACAGCCCATATAGTCGTAAGGAGCGCAACAAAGGCGAACGCATTCATTCCTGGGAACAATTCGAAGTCCACAAACATTTCTGGATCGGAGAATCCCACGATGGCCATAACAGCGATGAGAGCTCCGGAAAAGAACTGGACTGTCCGAGCAGCTGACTCGGTCTTCTTCTTGGGGAACTGATCTATGTAATGCTTTGCAAAAGGGTAAGACATGTTGAGGCGTTCTTCGAACAGATGTGGAAGTTCGTTGAACTCGCGAAACTTCCATCTCGCGAGCGGTGTATATTGTCTTGCTCCTAGAGATGAAGTGTTGGTTTTGAATTCCTGGCAGAGATATTAGCACATTTCAATGATGTCTTTCGAAAAGGATGCTTACGTTGTAATATGTGAAGATAAAATCGACGACGAGAAAGGAGGCAGCAAAGGGAGCAAAGAGGAGATTCATGACCGCAGCAAAAGCGAATCTTGTCTTCATTTCTCGGCTGAGATGTCCTCTGTGGTCAGATTTAAGGACGCGTTGATGAACCTGACCGCCTTCATTAAAGACTAGGTCCAGAACACCAAACTGAACAGTCCATTCAAGAGATTTTGAAAATAGTTGCCTGTTGCTCAGAAATGGAATCGGGGCTGTCAGGTCCAATATGTCCTTATTGAAGAGAGCAATGATATAGTTCTCTCGTCTCATTAGCCTATTCGCAATGTCATGAGCGTCGAGTCTTTCTTTCGATTGACTAGCCATGTGTTGCCCTAGTTGCTTAGACAGGAAGCGCCGCTGAGACGGAGTTATGTTGGTGGCTGTCTTGACATTCTCGTCACGTAAGGCTGTAATCTTAGATACGACATCTTGCCAAGAGACGGTTTGCATATCTTCCTCGGGGATCTCCAGGAGATAAACGAAGAAATCGCGGATGTGCATCAGGCGCGGTATGTCGAGGATCCACTGAATAGTCTTCCAGATGAAGTAGAAACTACAGATCCACAGACTCAGGTTCCAGATCCCCCACATGTTCTTGGTGCACTGAGGGATCATGATTTGCGACAGATTCTTACTCTCTCGAATCTTGCTGTAGTCTATACATTGGGATAGCAAAGTGAGTAAGGATGCGACAAACACGACTTTCCTACTGGATGTGAGCCCGCGGACCTAAGATAGGGTTAAAGGGTAAGAGGGGAGAGAAGGGGCTTACAATAAATGCAGAAACCTCTCGAGCAGAATACACCACATCCCTGCCCCGAGGTAATAGTCATAGGCATCCCGAATAAAGACGTCCAGATTAGAAACGTTAGCCCATCTGAACATAGCCTTGTCTTTAGGACTGCCAGCGAAACCTGCTCTCCTCGTAGTGCCATCTGCCTGACGTTGGCCAAGAGGCAGACCGTATTCATCATCTTGATGCAATCTCTGGTGTGCCTGCGCAGTTTCCCACTGCGCCTGTATTCTTCGATTTGATCTAGTGGTATTGCGAGCCTGCCGGGGACTGGCTCTGTGGGGGTGTGGGTTCGGAGTCGTAGCGTCAGGGCCTTCGACTAGGAGAGATGCAGGCACATCATTATCTCCATCGTCTTCGTGCATAAGCCATCGTGGTCTCGCATCTTGTCTGCCCGACCTTACAGTACCGTGACGAGCATCTCTTGGGGTAGCGACAGGGCTGCGTGGAGTGGAGACGTGACTATCATCGAGACCCAAGCCATCTGCATTATCGAGTTCTTCGTCGTGGAAATGGTGGGCTAGATTCTGTTCATCTAGGTCCATACCAGCTGTGCCTTCGATATCGCCGTCATGATCGTCGCTTAGTCGGTCGTACAAAGTCCGATTATCGCTAGATTGGACGAGGCGGGAGAAGAGATTCGGAGGCATCGTTTTGACTCATCGGTAAATCGCAGCGGTGGTTAGGTAAGGCTCTCTGCTTTAGTGGGAACAAGCTTCTATTTTCTATCTTATCATGTTCGTCTCGACAACTTTAGATGGGAATGGGATAGGTAGAGAAAAGGAATAAAGTTGATGTAGTAGGTGAGGGAATGTGTGAATGCGTGAATGGACGAAGTGACGAAAGGAGCTTAAGCTCTGAGTTTCTAAGTTAAAGCTTAACTGCTGGAACCTTATGAACCTTATGAGATGCATACAAACGCGGGTGCCCAAAACCTTAAACTCTTACTTGCATGTTGGAAGTTATGACACAAAGTACTAGGTCCTGTGATAATGAGTGTTTGCAAAGAACAAGCGAAGATATGAATGGAATAGTTGATAGCGGTCATCTGGACCCTGGATTGTAGAATCGACCTGATGACTTGGACGTACTCAGCTCCACACCAAGAAGGCAACCATGCGCGTTCATAGGTAGACGCATCACTGCTACGTACTAGGTATCGCTATCATTATCCTTATCGTTATCGCGTGAGTGAAGTCATTTGACAGGGATTATGACTTTAGCTACGTACCTTGTACCTGCCCAGACTCCACTAGTCTCCTTTCCCCAGCTGTCAAACACTTTTCCCAGGTGGCGCTTATTCACACTTTTAACGATTGAAGCTATTCTTAGTAATTATATTGTATACCTAGTAGTTGGAGCATACGAACTGCTCCACCCCTTTTACTGCTATTGACTCTCATCAAAATACAATGTTGAGCAGGTAACATGGATTAGGTTGACTCGGGATTGCTTTGAGTAATTGGAAACATGGCCTCAAATGGCCTTAGCTCACCCCCTCTACCAGGACGGGATGGCATATCATCGGGGCCGTTGTCGCCCACAGGCAGCTCTAGTCCGAGTTTAGGGAGTCGATCCTCAAACCCCCTATCGTCAAAAGTGACATCGGTTCTCTCTACCTCGTATGCTGATTCCGAGTTCCGAGAATCTCTTGCTCTGTTGGATGAACGTGGCATCAGCAATACCGCGGAGACCCGAAGACAGCTACGGCTAGATGTCCAGAAAGAGGTCATCGACAGCAATGGCAAAATAATCACTGAATTTGGACGAGTGGCTGAGCAACTAAGGAGGATTGGCACGACCATCGATAAGCTCAACAAGAGCTATCAGGATATGAGAGGCCACGTCACCGCAGCCCACGAGTCGACATCCTCTATCTTAGAGGAAGCCTCATCTATTATGACACAGAGGCGTAATATTGAGACGAAGCAGCAAGTGTTGAAAGCCTTCCGCGAGCACTTCGTTCTTTCGGAAGATGAAGTTGCCTCCTTGACATTAACAGCTGAACCTGTTGACGATCGCTTCTTTGCTGTCCTAGCCAAGGCGAAGCGTATTAGAAAGGATTGCGAATTCCTTCTCGGATTCGAGAGCCAGACTCTCGGTCTCGAGGTTATGGACCAGACGTCCAAGAATTTAAATCATGCATTTCAGAAGCTCTATCGTTGGGTTCAAAAAGAGTTCAAGACTCTCAACCTTGAAAATCCCCAGATCAACTCATCCGTTCGCCGAGCCATCCGTGTGCTTGCGGAGCGCCCATCTCTTTTCCAAAACTGCCTGGACTTCTTCGCCGAGGCTAGAGAGCAAATCCTGTCCGATGCCTTCTATCTAGCTCTCACAGGGGATTCGTCATCTGGCGCAAAGGATCACTCCGTAAAACCGATAGAACTAGTTGCGCACGATCCGTTGAGGTATGCGGGAGATATGTTGGCGTGGATACATTCGGCCGCGGTTAGTGAGCGCGAAGCCCTTGAAATCCTTTTCATATCCGATGGAAACGAAATCGCCAAGGGGATCCAAGAAGGCCGAGAGAATGAGCTATGGTTGCTGATGGCCGACGAGACGGACGGTCCTCCAGAATTTGACGCCGTCAAGGCTTTGAACGAATTAGTCGACAGGGATGTCTCCGGTGCGGCGCGCATATTGAGACAGCGAGTTGAACAAGTCATCCAGACCAACGAAGAAACTATCCTAGCATACAAGTTAGCAAACCTACTTGGCTTCTACCGATTCACATTTTCCAAACTCCTCGGTGCCGAATCCGGCCTCCTACAAGCAATGGGCAATCTCGAATCCGAAGCACTGCGGCAGTTCCGCTCCCTAATGCGGGATCACATCACAACCCTCGAAGGCGAATTCCAACACACGCCCTCCGACCTCGCGCCCCCGGAGTTCCTCCAGGACGCCCTCAATCAACTCACCGCCATCATGAAAACCTACGAAACCTCGCTGGCCGAGGAAGGGGACCGCGAAGCCGACTTCGAGCCCATCCTAGCCGAGTCCTTCGACCCCTTCCTCTCGGGCTGCGAGAACATGTCCAAGAACATCCGCGCGCCCTCGACCTCCATCTTCCTCATCAACTGCCTGCTCGCGGCGCAAGCCGCGCTCGACCCCTTCCGCGCCTTCACGCGCGCGCGCCTCGAGCGCCTGCGCTCCGCCATCGCCGACCACGGCGCCAAGCTCGTCGAGAGCCAGTACGCCTTCTTCCGCTCCGAATCTGCGCTAGAGCCGCTCTTCGCCGCCCTGGCCCCGCTCAGCGAGAACAGCAGGGAGGACGTGGCCAAGGTCGCGGGGCTCGACGCCTTGCAACCGGAGGCCCTCGCGAGAGCCGGCCAGGGCCTCGACGACTTCTTGCCCTCGGCCGTCATGGACGCCATGGAAAACGTCAAGCACCTGCAGGACGCGGCCCTGGCGCGCGAGGTCACCGAGGAGGCTGCCGAGCGGTTCTGCGTCGACTTTGAACATGTCGAGGAGCTGCTCGCTGCTGCGGACGAGCTGGCTGAGGAGACGGGAGGAGGAGGAAGGGGAGGGGAAGAGGAGCCGTCGAGTCTAAGGGCGCTATTTCCGAGGACGACGGGTGAGATTAGGGTGTTATTATCTTGATACGAATACCTTGGTAAGTATAGAAGGAGTATGCATGGTGTGGTGACGCCATTGTCGTCAATATGAAGGAATTAGGGCGGAGAGGGAGGTCAAAAAAAGGGTGTTCTAAGATTAGACATGCACAGTATTTTCTCTTCTTATAGGCATGTCGATGTAAATGCGAGTCGCTAGCTGATATGTAGGACGGAGCACCTAAGATACACAAATATCCCGATATGTTTCTCCCTCCTTCTTGCTTTGGTAGCGCTTCGTATACATTTTGGATACTTCACCCTTGGTTTTTCTTTCAAATAATGCCTGCCCCTGGGCCTTTCATTCCGAAGCTGGGACCAGGACTATCCCTATCTCCCCTAGGCTTCTTCACCGGCCACACCTCCACGTTAGCACTGGGCCGTCTAGGCCTTTTCCCAGATACCTCCTCGTCAACCTCTTGGAGCCTCTTCAAGGCAGCTACTAAGCGTCTACGCGCCGTGATCTCGCGGTCGCTGCTGTTAGGACCTGGGCGGTAGAATTGTTTCACAACGCCTACGGTGGCGTGATAACACTCGTATAAAAGCAGGCGGGCTTGCACGCTCTCACGGTCATCGACGAGATTGCTGCCGTTATGTTGGGAGTTGAAGCCGCGTAGGAACTCGGATGGCGGGTCACGACTGAAGACCTCGGCAAAGAGCGGATCGCCGAAGACGCAATTGCTCCAGTCGCGGAATCCTGTGACAGCGATGATAGGCTGCTGCGTTTCTGGGGATTTTCCATCCTTGCCTTCTTTCCCGCTCCTATCTGTCTGCGATTTTTCACTCGCGGAATCTATCTCAATTCGGTTCGGATCATGAATAGGTGTTGTGTGTGGGTGAGATTCTGCCCCCTTTTCGTTGGATTTAGTGGATCTCGATACCAAGATGTTGGACTCATCGCTCGCGTCTAGTATTACTAGTCTGGCTGTTGTGACACCTTCTAGTAGATACCCTAATCTGTTAAAGTAGCCCCTGATTGGTTCATAACTAAACGTCACGGCCATATCTTCTGCATCTCGTAGGACGCCTTCTAACAGAGCATGGAAAGCCTGCCTCCACGTCCTGGCGCCACGAATACCAAAGCTGGCTAATTGCGCTCCGCGTGGATCTGTAGATTCAAATTGTGACCCAATGACCGCTATAGCTGGCCCAAAAAATCCATTTGGTGATGTGAAGGTAGAGAGCCGCCGTACGAGTTGGCCTCGTTGGAAATCTACTGTCTTCCTCTCAGATGCATTCAAGGGTGCTGGAAGCCCGGAGATGGAAACCCCTTTCGGCGGCTCGAAGATGTTGAAAGGAGAACCGAGCTCTGCTGGCGAAGGAGAGTGGGCGACTAGGATTGGAAGAAACCTTAGCATGCTCTCACTCGAATCTCCAATTTCCTCAGGGCTGATCCTAGGACCGCCGCTCTCAGACTGAATTCCGACATGTTGATAGGCATCGGTGCTCCCGCGACCAGTATTTTCAACCTGTGTGGAAGATTGGAGTACTTCTTCGAGAATCCACTTGGTAACGAGGGTTTCTGAAAGGTTCATGGCCCTCTCAGATCGGAGAAGCCTCATGATCGGAGGTGGAGTCATGCTGAGAAGTACTGTTCTACCATCTGAGACCTTGGCACTGAAGAATCTTAGCAGGCGACAGGACGGTAAGGGGTTGATAGACTCGACGGTGGTGTGTGGCAGGGCATTCTGGATTACCGAGCGCATTGGCTCGAAAGGGTGAAGTCTATCCATGGAGTTGACGGGTGACAAACGGTCGGCTCGTGCAACAGAGGATATTTGACGACGTGAAGCCAGCCATCTTGTGGAACGAGATAGGCCGGGTACGTCGAAGTCCCCTTTTGACGGGAGGGTTTGGGTACAGGTAGTAGAAGGCTCAGGAACGTGAAGGGAAAAAAAGGAGTTACCGGGGCCTGCGGCGACGGAGCAAGGGTCGGTTGGCAGCGCCAAATCCACCCTTGAAGTCCGCCGCATCACTTGCGTCTGCGGCATCTGACGTTCTATAGGTGAGAAGTGATATAACACAGCCAAATAATTTCTCAAAATAGAAGGTTGTGACGGGTGCTTGCTCTCCGGTAAGCGATAAGGATCCGCAATCTAGACAAATACGCCGAGAGCCTACTCGAATAAACTCAATAAGGAACGGCCGAGCCGCGGCTTAACTTGACGAGGCCGTATTTGAAAATCTATGACTAAACAGACAGCTATGCTAACAGAGACGTAGAAATTCGTCTCTCGAATATATAGCTCGCTAGACAATGCTGGTTGATAGAGAGACAGGCAGGCAGTCAGGCAAGCAAACAAACAAACAGAGATTAGATACGTATGAAATGAGAGATAGAATGAATATATAAGACCTAGGACTTCGTGAGAACCGACGAGGAGGTTTAGACAACGATATTAGCTTGGCAACGCAGAACAGACGAGGTCGGCCGTTAGGATCCGAGGGGACGAATTGGACCAAGGGGACCAAGGAGACCGAGGGCGAAAGGAGCGAAAAAGAGCGGTATTACATTGGTATGATACGTCTGAGGAGACGACAGGTAGCCCTCGTGAGGCTACCTAGGTAATTATGAGATACAGGTAGTCGGTTGCTGGCGAATGAGGCGTTCTCGCCTGGCGAAGAGAGACATCCGACTCGCGGCTCCAATGCGGGCTAAGATGGCAATAGGAAATACTCGCCTAAAGGAGGCGTATGTAGGTGACAGAGGGTGGAGCTACGAGAGTTGAGTGGCTGCAGCTTATTGTGCGTCCCAAGAGAAGAACGTCCTTCAGATGTGAAACGAACAGTACCAAGTAGCTGTTCCACCCAGGTCAATGGGTATCCGAACGCCAAGGCGCCAACCGAACGATTCCAGAAATCCCAGATTTCCTACAAGTCCCAGGAGGGTCCCAGAGGATCCCGGAATCTCGAGAAGGCGACCCCGGCTAGATTAAGAATATCCACGGCCGGGACCCTGGCTAGGTGCGGCAGGTGGGCCAGGTGGGCGGGCTGAGAAAATCCCAAAGAGAAGGTCGAGATGCTGTGGGACTCATCTTAAGGTAGTCCCACGCGTTATATGACACCAAAGTTCCGAGGGAACTGAGGAGGAACTAAGGAGAAAATCAGGTTGATCAGGTTGATCAGGATACCGAGATCTCGAGAGAGCATGAGGGCCTGTAATAGAGGAGAAAAGGACAAAATGGCATTGGCCATTGGGTTTTGACAAGCGAAGTTGCATGGACACGATGTTGTCTCATCCTCGGTGTTCGCGTCCCAATGCAGCGGTGTGCGTAACGGCTGAAGGGTGCCACGAGAAAAGAGGCAGTCCAAGGCTCCAAGCAGTCGAAACAGTTTAGCCATATGCTTGGGGGTATTTTGCTATTATTGGGGGCATTATGACGCGCTTGTTGCGAGAATAGAAGGTGTCCATCGTTTAGTAGTCTAGTGTGTAAGCGGCAGACAGAACTCAGCGTTCAGGTGGCTTGGATGTAACGGGCAACGTGGGACCTTATTCCAAGATTGTGAGTTTGATTGACCTACTACGTATATGGTAGGTCGAATGGAGGTAGGCGGAATGCTAGGTCGAGAAAATGCATCCATGGATGAAAATGAAAGTTTAGAAATCCAATTAGAAATCTAAATCTAGGTCGCGAACTGGTCGCGAGCTGGCAACCGAACTCTAAACCGACTAGAATAGCGACTGTGGATGATGCACTATGGTAAAGTTGCATTAGCAAGCGAGCCGGAGAATTTCTGATTGGTTGGAAGTAAGCGAAATGTTCCCAATTTGGTAAGGTCCCGAGCCTTAATTATGGGTCTCCGTCCTCCGTCCCTCCCCTTCTCCCTTGCTCCCACCCCAATCGACCTCAACGGCCCTTAAGCTTTTGCTCGGTGTGGGCCCATCTTGACCCGATTACCTTCTTAGCGTCTAAGACTTATGTATAATTCTTATAATCCCTGACCTCTACTACATATATACCTAGGTACTACGTATATTAACTAATCATCGGCAGCACAGGTTACTATAACTTGTTAACTTAAACCCTTTCCAAGTCGTACTAATGCGTTTTCGAAGTTTCTAAACTTCGATCTGGATCCTTTAGCTATCATATCATATCAGATCATGTCCTGAAGGATCTACGTATGTAGGATGACACCCCTTTTACCGTTATACTCTGTACAACCCATCTACAAGCAATTATTAATCAACAAAGTGCATCTCTTAAGCTATGATTCTTGGTCTGATTCCCAATTCCCGGCCCGGACAACCGTGCCGCGTCTTATTTAAATGTCTTATACCCTCCTAGGTCCGCTCGATGTAAAAGGCTACGAGGCACCGACAGGACAAAGCAACGTGGATGTCGATCGTTTCTTTTTCATTACTTTCATGTAGCCAGTTGCATCTCGATGTTCCAATTGACCGATTTCCGGAGATTGAGACGCTCAGCCTCAGCTTCTCATGATAGGTATGTGGTTGGAATGAAGCGAGCCCTTCCGGCTTCTTCCATAATCTTTGATGATACCCAACAACTCTCATGAACAGACCAATGATGGATAAGATGTAGCGATGCTTACAATGGATTATGATAGCCTCGCAAAGCTTACGCACTCTGTGCGAGTCCTTCTTCCTCTCAATTCACCCGCAACAATGCCTAAGTACTGGCACTAGGTGTGAATATTGTTGCCAAAATTAGACATGGTCCTCTTAATGGAGCAAATACTGTTAGATATTAGGTACGTAGTGCTGAGGTGTGCTGTTTAATCTGTTACGATGACTGAATCCTCTTAAAAGTAAGTATATCTCTATAATAGGTCATATTTTCCGTTACTCCAACAATTACTTATTGACAGTTTGGTCATTTCTCTAGCGGAGTGTCGTTGCAATCCAACCAATCTCGGCTAAGGAGGAAGCGAAGTCTGACTTGTAGCTGTCGAGCCAAGAATAATACTTATACGGTTGGTATGCACGCATCATACTGATACATAATCTAGCTTCAGCGTTGCAAGCGAGTCATATTCATGATACCTATTTCAAATCTGGACTAATCATTGCAGTAATAAATATCTTTCACAGCCTAACGAAGTCTGCGTGCACTGGATAGAAGTCACTTTGCAGGTAGCTTTTAGGGAAATATGCACAATAATAACCCATCAGCGAGTTAGCCGCCCAACTCTACAAGCGAACGATAACACGAGTGGCTGCATCCTTCATGGTCGAATATATCACTATGCTAGGATGACACCTTTCCGGTCTCCCAGAATGCAATACGATCTTTCTAGATCACATACTCAGCAATATTTCTGAACCGAAAGGCAATTATAAGCGACCAGCCCGTGCTCGTGACCGGCATGTTTTGTTTTCTCCGCATCTAAGGCGTCAGTAAATTCGACAGGAGACGCATTGTCATCATCAACTTAAGAGCTTAGATCAACAGCTCGATGGTTTTGGTTAGCCTTCATTTACGTGTATACTATGTAGTTGACGTGACGTTTCTTGGCAGCTTTAGAAGGCGATAGTTATTTTAGTCAACGCTAGACTCCTGCACTCGCCAATCTTGGCTCTTTTGGGTGATGCTTGAGAGATGAAGAGAAGGCGATATGCTAACGGAAGTCCCACCCCATACCTTTCATTAGTCAGTTCGCATGGGTTTCATATTCGCTGTATGAGGCTCAGCTCGTGGGGTGCGATCCATACGGGATACTTTTTAGAGAGATATCAGACGCCAAAGCAAAGATACTAGTCTCAGCTGATGCCAACGTTTTCACCATGAATTATCTAGTTTCGTAAGTTTTGTTGGATGATAGGTACAGTTCAAGGGCATGTGAATTGACGCCCCTTACACTACTTCTAGAAATCAAGATACTAAAACTTCAGCTGGGTAGCTCGTTGATATCTACCTAGTTAGGTTAGGTATGATTACAAGCAATGGGAAGCGTGAAAGATAGGTACAGTGCTACTCAACATAATCGTCAGAATATCTTCCGTGTTTCTATAATATCTCCAAGAATAATTTGGGATTTTTGAATAGGAAATAACAGTTCCCTAATATCAGCCTGGATACTTAGGAAGACATGGATTCAAGAAATGGGCTCAAAAGAGCCGCATGTGGTCAAGAGGTATATTTGCCGCGTTTACGTGCCGTCATCACATCCAAAAGTGCCACTTACAACGACATCCTTGTTAAGTACTGATTGGCATCATATTGAATCTACGAAGATTGTTTCCTGCCTATGGGTGCAGTGGGACGCGTGCGGGATCAAGACCGCACCTAAGTGGGTAACATTCCCAAAGACTTGGTAGCTAGGTGCGGTCCGAAAGATTCAACTACACTTAATAGGAAACATTGAAGACGTTTACGCAAGCATGTGCTTTAGTGCGCGCCTATATTAGTGTTTCCTCTAATCCCGCTTTTCTTTCTAGATCTTGGGAGATTTAAGGGGCTTCGGGACCGTAGTTTAATATACTTGTTATTGGAGGCATACAACCGCTCGGCATTCGGTGAACTAGGTGGGTTACGCATTTTACCAACTTATGACGATGGTTTTGAAGTTTTTTAAGAGGTTGCTTTTCAGATAATCGCCCTTACGTATCTGGGGCGGCTTCATGGTAGCTATACGCATATGGTGGTAATATAAAACTTCATACTCGGGCCTTGGCATAGAATAGCCCAACAACTCGCTAGTACTTCGTCATGAGCAAGCTAGATGATCACGCTATGTTACGTGTGATTGTTTTGTTATTGAGGTGGTTGCATGTTGGGGGAAAGATGCATGAAGATGGATACCAGAACGTTTTAACCAGACAATGTAGGTAGTGTATGAAAGTGACTATCAACCTACCTACCTACCTAGGCAGGTATTTGTTGAGATTGTTATGGAGGTTGTTTCGACATCCTATTGTAATTTGATCAGGTGAACTTCTAGACCATGATGCCTTACACACATGGTATACCCAGGCATGTATGTTATATGCGGTCGAATGTGCGGACACCGCGACCATCTGAGCTTCACAAGTTACCTATGTTCATGGAGTATTATATACTATATTAAATGCCTATATGCACATCCACATAAGGTTTTTATCTATGAGAAGGTAGTAATCCTTAATATATCCAACCGATCCGGCGGTGTAGATCGAGGTCATACCGAAACTCAAGATCGTGCACCTTGTTTGCTAACCAGGCGGCGTCGTCAGCTTTAGGGCTCCTCTTCAGTATGTCGACAAGTTGTAGGGCAGTCCTGCGCCTATCACCCTCTTGATGGATACTCTTGTTAGTTTCCATAAGCCCAAGCATGGCTCTGAGTTCCCTTTCAGCCTCATCAAACATGTTCCGGTTAGCTAGGTTCTCAGCTTTGTAGCCGCGTACTTGTAGCACATCTGGATGGTCGCCCCCTTTTGTTGCGTTGAGGATAGCGATGCACTTGTCATAAATCTCGCCGGCAATGTCAGAGTGACCTTGCAGATCATAAACTTGACCTAACTGCGACCAACATTTCTGGGTGGTAGGATGTTCGCGACCAAGACGTGCTAGATGGTTGTGTAAGGCACGGTTGAAGAGCTCCTTGGCGTCGTCGTATTTACCCTGTTTTAGTCGTATCGATGCCAGAACCTCGCAAGCCTCCGTCTTTTTTACGTAGTTGGCACCAACCATGTTCTCATATGAGAGTAGAACACGTCTCATGTTGGCTTCTGCTTCGTCATAGAACCCAACCTCGATCAGGTCCTTTGCAAGTTGTTGAACAGCGTCAAGTGTGCCCGGGTGCTTGTTTCCAAGGCGGTATTCTTGCACAGCCGCGATCTGCCTTGAGATTTCCAGTTCCTCCTCTGGATTAGATTGGTCGTGTGCCATTTTCTTTAAGAGCCGTAGCGCTTCGATGTCCACCTCATCTCCCCGTGGCTTTTCTTCCGCTAACGACACTGTCGATTCCGATAATACGTCGCCGTTTGACCGTATAAGTTCTTCACACTCAGCTCGAACGTCATCACCAGATACGCGACGGGTTATAGCCAGCCGCAATTTTGCTTTTCGGGTTACAGAAGCACTTCCACCATTCCGGTTAAGTAGCAAATTATAGTATTTAACCGCGTCTTCAGTTCGGCCCTGTCTTTCACACGTCCGACCCATCAAGTCCAGGTCAATCGCCCATTCGTAGGATGTAGGAATTTCGGCGTTGATGAGTTGATAACAACGGGATATGACAGCCGCTAGGTCACACTCGGCAAACGAGGTATCGGCTGACTTGTCTTCATCTCTAAGATCTTGTAATGACTTGACAGCGGCTAACGCAGATTCGCAAGCTATTTGACTGGCGGCTTGACGCTGATCACCCGGGAAAAGGCGACAGCTGTGTTCAAGGACTATGTTCTGGGTGATGAGGTATCTCTTGTCTTCGGTGAGAGCTACTAGCGAATGATGTTCAAGCTCCTTGATAGCAGCCATCGTATTGCCCGCTAGAACGAGTTAGCAGCACACGGATGGATGGGTTGGTGTGAACTCACGATATTTCTTTTTGAACGAACCAGACAAGAATATTGATAAGCAAATTGACTCCATTGAGAGGACACAGCAAACTTGGAATATCCCAAGGGAAGGGGGCTGCCGAAGCCTAGGGGTATCAGGAACATTGTTTATGGTGTTTAGCACCAATTTCTCGATTCTAATAAGCTCGTCCTCCAACAATGTGACGGGCTTCTCCTTTCCAGCATACAATGAGGCCTGGAAAAGTTGCATATATCTTTGTATAGATATCTGCGTTGAAGAGATGTACGAAGCAGCAGCACTAAGCGCTAGGGGTATGTGTTGAAGGGATCTCGATAGTTCGTCCAAGTCCCGTTCTACATTCATTAGCGGGTTCAAATTTGAGAAGGGGGGTTGGAGACGAATACATACCATCGGCGTCTGAAAGGCCCGTGGATGCCTTCAAAAGTGAGGAGGATTCGTCGGGGCTAAACGGGTGCACTTGATGAGTCTGGACAAAGTTCCATTCTATCGGTCGCCGTGAAGTAATTATGCAGTGCCCATGAGAACAAGTCGTCCTAGGGATACATTTCATGGTTTCGCGATCGCCGGCATGTTCGAGACCATCCACTATCACCAACCATTTCGAATTCTCGGTGCTCTGAAACCATTCCATCACCGCCTTAATGGTTTGATCCAGCTGGTTCCTGTCAAGTCCCGTATTGGGTGATGAGTCAGCCAGGATCCGAAAGGCCGTCGTTGAACTAGGCCCATGAAGTTGTTGACGAAGGGTGTTTGCGATATTTACGAGGCCTTGCTCAATAGAATGCCTGCTAGTAGCGGGGATCCAAAAGACAGATGTAAAGCAATTTCGGTATAAATGTGCAAATTCTTGGGCAATCTCAGTCTTACCCATCCCTACGGATCCAAAGAGGTTGACAGTGGCGCAAGTATCACGGTAAGGTAGTGAGCGTTCCCCAAGGAGAGTCTTACGGAGGAACTCAAGTTCTTCTGCTCTACCCACAAACCTCTTATTCCGAGACGGCAAAGGGGAATCATCGATACGAAAGTCATCCAGTCCCGCGATACTAGGAGTTTGATCTTCCACTATTCATTATTATCAGTAATTTTCGTAAGATATACTTATTAGGAGTAAATTTGATACCCTTTGCGCTTTGGACTCTTTTCATGTAGTCCATCGAAACCTCTTCTCCTGTAGAAGGGGTTACTTCTAGTGATTTGGTATATTCGGAGCAAAATTTACTTCTATTTCTTTTGTGCTTCTCCCAGTTATCCTGCGATCGTTGGTTTGATTCATGGCATAGACGCAGCAATTCGCGAGAGACATTTTTATAGTCCGGGTTTTCGCGACTGTTGAATCTGCACATGTCTCGATGACCCGCGTGAATTATATCCACTCTGTCACCGTATGATGGTTTCGTGGAGGGCTTGGGCACGATCTTCTCCTAGTTAGCTGCATCGATATATCCAAGAGCTACTAAGTCTACGTACTATGTGTGGCAGGGTAGTCGAGGCTTCTTCATAGTACGAGACGATAGAAATGTTGTCGCTCAAGGCCTTGAAAGGCTGTAGCCGACTTTGCAAGCTTAGACTCTGCTTTTCTAGGTGCTTCACTAGACTCGGATTGCCCACTTTAGTTAAATCGACAATATTCGCAAGGATTCTCGGCCATTTCAATTGATCCAAAGTTGGCATCGTCTCATTATGAGGTGTTCCTAAGAATATAATTCCAGTAGTAGAAACGGAGAGAGCCAAGAGGTCTGGGCTTTTATCCTGACTAGAGAAAATAAGAGCACTCTTGATGACGATGCCCCCAAGACTATGACCAACGAATATAAGTGGCCGGTCAGGACAGTCCTTACGAAGATTTGCCAGGGCCAGCAAAAGCGATTGAGAATGACGATAGAGAGTCCTCTGGGTTAGGTATTCCGGCGTCGGGGCAAATGATTTATATCCATAAGAGAGTATGCGAACATTAAGACGGTCCGCTTCGATATCTTGCGGTAGAAATTCTGCTGGCCAGGAATGTGTTTCTTTGGAATTATCATCAGCCCACTCCCAGGTCCCGGTACGATCGCCGGCCAAACCATGTACGAAACAAATGCTATTTATTTCGTTAACAAGAGATTAGACGACCAGGCGTTCACAGGAAACTCACTCGATGTTTGCGTTATCCGACCCGTGTAGCTGGACGATGCCGGTGTTATCATCCCGCGGTCGATCTCGGCGCTGCTTTCGTCGTAGTATGTGGGTTAAAATGGCAGTAAAGCCCACGAGAATGGCGTAACTTCCCGCCATCATTATTCACTCATACCGTGAAGAGCCCCGAGTCTTTTTTCGCATGGTTGGTTTCAAGGTTGCCTTGCCATGGATAGTACCAGCGAGATTGAGAATAGATGAATGCGATGATAAATTGGGCAAAGTTCTAGGTTCAGAAGGGGGAACAGAGTAGGCAGTGCTGAGGGGCAAAGTCGTCACTGCTGACCAGTGAGTGGTCAGCCTGAAGTTCTGGAAGAACGCCACTAGAAAATGCCTAGTTGGGAAGGGCTGGAACCCCCCAATGGCTCAGCGAAGGCAAAATATGAGGGAACCAATGCGCGCGGTACTTATTAAGCTTGTCACCAAGCGATACTCATTGGCCTTGTGATAGGAAATGGATACAGCAGGAAAAGTCACCAGAATCATAGAGTCGGATATTACGTGATACACAATCGTCCCTCAGAATAGCGGCTGTGAAGACTACGGCAATGAGTGAGTGTAGTCAACTTTTTATGAAACATATCTAAATCTGCTGGGGCTGCGAGTAGTTAGGGGACTGCTAATACATTCGTGATAACTTGCCCTCTTTGCCTCAGGGGTATCTATGAACAACCTAGATATTTATATATAAATGACAGAAATGCTAGTGATGATATGAGTAAATGAACGCCGTCCCTAAATGTTCTAGCGCTACCACCAACAGTTCATACCATGTTTATACATATAATATCATATCATCGTCGCTATTGTTGGAGGTCTCCTCATGGGTAGGGGCTTCATGTTGCTCGTCAAAATCGACGTTACCTCCCAAATATGCCTCGTGGTCGCCGGGAAGCCTACTAGGCGGAAGTGAAACGTCCATAGTTCTCGGATGGACGAATTCATCCTTGCTCGTGATGGTGATGTCGTCTATGGAGGTCTTCCTAGACTGAAAGAAAACCTTAGGTCCAGATTGGAGGAATGCTTTTAACAAGGACTGAGGCTTTCGAGTCATCTGCAAGTAGCCGCATGCCACCACAATCTCGCCATCATAGGTTCCCTCGGCCTCGGAAACCTTCGTGCTGCTAGTAGATATCCGAGCACCCGTATCCGAAGCCACGGGAGGTCCCCCAGGTGCTGCCACTGCCTCCTTAGGAACCTCTACCTGCACACCACTGTCTCTTGACTGGGCTTGTTGGATGTTGAGACTCATGTCCATCGCACATATAATACTAACGATAATTCCTAGTTTTCCATTTGGGTATTTGGTGAAATAATCAAAAATCGGTTTGGAATATTGGTCGTGTTTTAGCAATTGTTCGATTCGGTGAGGTGCTTGGTCAATTGTCAGGCGGCGAAATCCTGGGATCGATGCTGCTCGCTTGTTTGATTTCGAGCTAGAATGAAATAGCGCGAGCGCCTTCGTAATAGCCACTTCAGCATCCGTTCCCCGCGCGCTCTCGAGGAGGATCTTGGCTTCTTTCGCTTTGACGCCTTGTGGATAGAGATGTTTGTCGAGTTCACGGAGATCCGGGCCTTCAGGGGGGAGTATTGGGTAAATACGACCCTCTGCTGGGCGCTTTAAGGGGTTCTCCACATCTCCAGGTTTGGCTGATGTGAACGGTACGGCTCGGCCTAAAAGAGAGTTGATCTTGTCCTGAGTCGCCACCTCAGAGAGGATAAAGTACGGCTTTGGCGTCATGGTCGATCCGCTTCTGTCACTGTTGACTAACCAGGTAGCTACTTGAGCAATGAGTTGACGGCACTCAACAGTGGTTATGACTACCTAGGTACCCAAGTCTCCAGGTCCCTAAGGCCATGACAGCACCTAGGTAAGTTATATATCTACCTAGGTAGGTATCCATTCTTGTAATGCACATTGCCATGAGGCGCTCCCTGGGGCATGACGGGAGTCCTCGACCAACCACGAACTTATTCCATTTCTCATGCATTGCGCCTCATTTTGCCGCTTATGACTCGACAGAATCGCTATGGTTGAACAATAATCGAGTGGATCCGGCCCCCAAAGGGTTCTTCTGAAAGCCAATCAACTCGAGAGAAGTCGCCCACCACTTCGAGTTACTAGATAGGGCTATGCTAGGGGGCTCGCAAAGTCTTTCAGTGGCTTCAACCCGTGACGAAATGTGGCATTGCATCGTGATCTGCTTATATCTTGACCTTCAATCGGCTCCGTATATTACGTACACGCATATATTTGAGCCATGATAGTATGGATTATGTACGTAGTACCTACCTACTTATGTATATACCTGCATACACAGGTATGGATAAAGAAGTCAAGAGCCGTTTGATTAGAGTAGCTAATCCATAGGCGGCCCGAGCCCTAACTTTATACTCCACCTTTGCCCGCAATCTTATTTCAGAAATCGGGAAGGATTATGATGGATACTTGCATGCGCCAGGTAACATTTATGTGCATAACTCATCACGAATACCGAGTGTAACCCCGCTAATCCATGTATTCTCCTATTCCGCGTTACTCGTTTCTACAATGTTTGTTAAGACTCGACCTTGAGTCCATCCCTTTTCTCAGACAATACAGGTATCTAGGTATCATCCTATTCTACATCTGCATGCGCCTAGATTAGTTACCTCAAGCTATTCCTTGACTTAAGCATTATGACACAAGTCATTGGAGTGTTTTCGGTAAGTGGCTGCGGCTCATACTACCTTCGCCACCACGATGTCTCCAAATGTGTCAGGGAGCAGATCAGACTAAACCACTGAGGCAGTACACTATAGAATACTATGGAATACATACCTTAAGGGCTGTAGGTAGGTGGTATTAGCGAAGTGCTCTACAATTCAGCCGCGGCTCATACGTCGCCGTTTGGGGGTCTAAACCAGACCCGGCTCCAGAATGCTCCAAAAAGCCCCCAAAATCCACAAGCCCCCAAAAGCCTTGAGCCTCCAAAATCTACCAGGTCCTTTCCAGGTCCTTTTCAAGGTCCTTCTGCCCTCTTCCTACAGTCGTAGACATACTGGCTAAATACATGATATCGCCCTCTAATATGTCTACATTGTCGGTGTCACGCCCGAAATGAACCGCCCAAAATCCTATAGCTCGACGGCAGCCACACCACTCCTCACTAACTTATATGGTGCACCAACCACGCCAACTACTGTCACAGGTACCAATGGCTCTACCAATAACATCTTTGCCAATGGCTCCCCCAGGTCCAATAACAGTACGAACTCAACTCCAAAACAAGTATCGCCGGTAGACAAGATTGCTATTCACAGCAAAGAATATGTCGGTCCTTGCTTCATTGACGGGGAGAACCATCGAAAATGGATAGTTTCTGTTTCTATTAATGGACAACCAGAACAAATTATTGACCTAGTCGACCCATTCACCGAAAAGGAATACCATAAGAACAATGACAACAGACTGCAACGGGGAAACCTCGAACTTAACCAAGATGTAAGTATTTCACAAGCCATTTCCATATGGGGATATCGAAGGAGTGTCATCAAGATCATTTGATTGACAATTCTCCTCTTAGCGCACCGAAAAGTATTTCAATAGGTTGTTTGACCAATTAGGCCTGAGTTATTGCCGGAAGAAGGACTGTCGTATCTCCGTTCACGAGGATGTCACTCAGGTCAGCGAAACGAGTGACTTTGCTAGTATCCACTCTCTTCTTTGGGAGGTTCTCGAGCATCCCGAGTTTTGGCCATACAGCGAACGTAGCGAGACACCTACGAAGAGGGTTCGACTAAGCCGGACATTAAACGTCCTGAGCAAGGAGTTAACCACTGCAACTATAGATCGCCAAGCGTCTTGCCTCGTAACAACCCAAGCCGAGTATCGCGTTCTTCTTGTTATAGCTCGGTCCTTCAAGAAAAATATCGACCAGAGATATGTTGATTACCCGGCAAGCCTCATACAGTCAGTAGTCCCGGAGAGCATCCTCTTTTTCTACGGCATGATCAAATGAATAACCAACAGTTATTAGAGGACCTCTTCTCAATATCGCACGACGAACAAGGGAGCGAGGAATCACCCCTAAGCTGAATATCGATGTTGTACGACCTGGCACTGTCGAAGAGCTTGATGAATACTTGAAGCCTGGTTGCGGGAAGCCATATGACATTGTACACTTTGACTTGCATGGGAAAATCGGTCCCGTCAACCCTCCCGTCAAGTCATGGACCGGTGGACGCCCAAAGCCTCCGGTATCTGACGAGAATACACCTCTAGAAGTCCAGTCTTATCTTCGTTTCGCAAGACCATACGACCCGGAACTAGCTAGTTTCGGCCGCAGAGATAACGCAATCAAAATGCTTCTCCATGATGATGCGTCTCTACACGACGTGCCTGTCAAAGAGATCGCTAGGAAGCTCCAGAGATGTAACATCTCGAAAGTGACGCTCAACGCGTGTCTATCTTCATACGCGCAGAGCCGGATATTCTTAAATATGTGCCATACATTCATCAGTTATGGCATAGCACACGTATCAGCTATGAGCTTTCAGATTCTAGAGAGCACGGCCGAAGTATACTATACCGCGTTTTACGAAGCCCTCATCCTGAAAGGCGAAGAGTTTCATGTTGCTGCGGCGTCTGGCCGTAGGGCCCTTCGCGCCAATAACAACCCATACGGCCACGCTATGTTGCCGACTAACTATCACCGCTATCCCCGGAGTTTCAGCAACGAATGGTGGCGAAGGCCTCATGAGAAACCTGGTCGACTGCCCCTGCTAGCTTCATATTTCGCTCGATACGGTGTCATAGTCATCCTTTTTGCACTTTACCTAACATACCTCTGGCACCATCCACCATTTATCTCTATGCTACTTCCCATCGCATCCATTTTCGCGATGATAGTATGGGTGTTAACAAGGCGCTGGCTGACGAGACTTGCCCCAACCATAGAGCCAACTTACGAGCGTTACAACGGGAAGCTAACTCGCAAATCCCGTTTCGAGATTGATATAGAGCATTTAGTTATCGAAGACCGCCTCAAGTCTGAAGCCAACCAGGGTGCTCTCTATGTATGGAGTAGCCAATATTCTAAAGAACTCAGCAACTCCGTCCACGATCTCGCACAGGCGTGGGTTTTGACCGGCTTCGTCGACAAGGCGGACATTATCTCCGCAAGCGTTTTCTCCTGGGCATTCACAAGCCTGTTTCCTTGTCGATGGCTTCGCACTCGACGGTACAGAAGCAACAGAATTGGTACTGTAGGACGAAGGCAGCTACTCATCATTAAAGACTTCGATCATTTCTACCCCAAACATGCGAAAGAGGAGGAATTCGAAGACCTTCGTGCCGCCCTTCATCGCATGGTATCTTTTATCGAGGGTTATGATCGCGAAGACACCTATCTACTTATCACTGGGTCATATGACGAAGAATGGTGGATCGACGGGAACCGGTATAATGATGAACGCATTGTAAATACCATCGTTAGGGCGGTACCTCATAATCACAACACCACACCATCCCCGCCACCACAACCGAGAAAGGAGATACCACAATGGAGCCTCAATGTTATGAGAAGGCGTTGGCTAAAATTCTAGAATGAGGTTGTATAGGCATGTTAGTCTCGGCGTAGGGGATACCGTGCATATTTATCGGTGGTTATTTCTTGAGCTTTACGATACCTCGACTCGTGCTACTTCCCCTTGCTTACTTCTATTAAATTTAGGATCGCGGCGATTAAGAATGTAGTTTCTAAGTGTGGATGATATAGAAAGAAAGAAAAAATTAGTCGATAATACAACATATTCAAATTGTTCGCACGACTTCTACACACGATAAATAGATCAGGGGCATATAGATCGTAAGAAGAGCACTATTATGCCTCATACCCACATAAACGAGAGATAAGATACCAATGCTTTGAAGAACTTACGGGATGGTTGTTATTTCATTGAGACTTATAAAACTCCGCAGCCTTTCATGTCTACTTTACGTATGTGTAGCCATATATCCCCCTTTTCTCAACCCCACTCCCTCCTTTTCCGTTCCCCCACCCTTGTTTTTTATACTCTTCTATTTTCATCTAACAGCAACCAATAACTCAACTTATATTGCTTAAACCATAGGTGCCAGACTGGTAGCTGTCAAATGTGCCTAGACATGTAAGTGATAAGTCATGATGCGGACCTAGCGAACGTAATAACAACACATTGCTACGCAACTCTGAATCTCTCTGTATAGGGTCATGGTGTCCATACAGACTCCGCTCCTTGTCTATGCTTCCCTAAAACCAGCCCTCGACATGTCTTCTACTCGCAACGAACCAGGCCCTTGATAGGCAAAATTTCAATCCAGCCAGAACGATCTCCGATATAATGAGTAGACAGCCTCTTAATAAACACATGGACATCCATCAAATCACACATTTCACATCAAACCAAAGCTCACGGCCACGGATTTCACTTTTAGTAGCGGATGGATCAAATATAACGTTCATTAAAAGGATACCCAAGAACACCCGAGCGATCCTACTTGGGCCTCCCTCTTTTTGTAACCTCATCAGATAAAAGTAAGCGAGCAAGCAAACAGCCCTATCCCACAAGAGCCCCCAAATGCTGTACCAAAACCGTAAACACAATAGCAAAAAAATCGCAAACGCAAACGCAGCCGTGGTGAAGTATCGGAATGTCATGCATAATTCATTGCGGTATCCGCCAAGGAGACAACCTGACAACGTTAGTCTACATCGTGTCACATGACAAACAGTAGGTTGGTGTCTAGGATATCTATGTTAGCTCAAGGTCTCGCGACGCACGAATATAGGACCGAGGGACTTACTGAGAGGGTGACTGCACGAGAGTTGAGGTTTCTGGGAGTAACGCGTAGCCAGCTCATCCCGAATGCTATTGAGTAGCTGTACGTAACTTTGCTGAGGATTCTTCTTGAGAGCAGTGATGAATGCCCATGACATAGCTCCGGTAGCTTGTGAGGCAATAGTCGCGTCGGCCCTGTCAAAGTAATTAGTAAGTCTCATTTTGAAAAGTGTGGGCAAGGCCGTAAAATAGCAAAATAGCAAAATGAGAAAATAACCATCGGCCGCTTGACCGTTCGAACGTAACCCGTCGCCCTAGATGCAAAGCTACAGCTTCGAAAGCCGTACTTTGATCTAGAGCGCCCAAAAAAGGAAATGTTATATACAATTAAACCTCATCCTCTATCAAGACAAAAAAAATTGGCAGATACTCTCATGTATACATGTCCTCCCAACCCGAAAAACAAATTATCATTAGACCATTAATTTCCACGAGAGTACACGTCTCATGTCGTTAGATGAACCCAATATATACCGCTCATGCAACCTATATGAAAAGGGTATCAATATGAGGGAAATGTAAGGAAAGGGTAGACAAACGAAGTCTGGTCGTCTTTGCTTCCGGAAAGCATGATGACATCTGCAGCCGAAGTCTTTGTGGCCATAGCTCTGTGGTGCGCATCTTCGCCGATAGTGGCTTTCTTGAAAAAGCCCATGATGTTGTTGGCAACACCACCGAGATCGCCTTGGCTGTAGGACGAAATAACACCCAGAAGACCTTGACCGGCTTCCTTGGCCAGGTTGGGTTCTTTGAGAATGCCTTGGGTGGAGTAAATGTATGGGAGGTCCAGCGCAGTACCTGAATGGCACGAGTCAAAGATGGCCGTCAACCGAACTCCAGATTGCAGGGGTCGGACCATGATGCGATGCATCTCGTCGTCGGTTATGTGGCCGGTGTGGCGGAAATCCACGGGATATATCACTTCGTCGTAGCCATCAGGCTCGTCGCCGTCCAGATCCTTGGTTTGACCGCCGTGTCCTATAAACCCGTTAGAAGCTTACAAACTACGCAATACCAAGAGTCGCCGTACCCGAGTAGTGGAAGAACAGAGAGTCATTAGGCCTTGCGTCTTTCACGAGCCAATGCATTGCTCGCAATATGTTCTGCTTAGTCGGTTGGCTCATAGGGTTTTGCTGGTCGTCGGTGAGGATGACCATATCTTCTCGCTTATAACCAAAATGCTCGACGAGATAAGCAGACATGTTTCTAACGTCGTTGATACACCCCCGGAGCTGGCCTCGTTGACCGAAGTAGTTTATGCCCACAAGCAGAGCTTTCCTCCGGCCCGTACAGTTACTATACTGAAATGCGTATCCTTGGGGAGCACCATGGCCGAAATGTTGGGGGCCAGATGGCGGCGGCGGAGGAGCGCTGAAGTTACCATGGTTATACGAGTTCGAGTTTACCGTAGGTAGCCCTATACCTCTCTTTGTTAAACATTGATCCGAGAAGACGATCAAAACGCCACCGGTCTCTTACCAGGTCTGCCATATTGATTTGGGGGTTGGTGATAGCCGCCGGGTTGCGGGGACAGGCCCTGACGATGCATGTCAGCGTGGGGCTCTAGGCGCGAGCCGGCACATTAGAATAATATTCACCTGGTTGTATCCGTAGGGTTGAGGTGGTGGTGGTTGGTTATAGCCGAATGGTGGCTGCGGCGCTCCCTGAGGAGGAGGATATCCGTTATATTGCTGAGGTGGACTGGGACAGTGTCAGTAGCCGCGTCTATTTCGTTGTCCATGGCCGGAAGGCAATGAAGATGGAACGGCGACCATACGGTTGATAATAGTTGCCGTGGTATTGTTGTTGCGGCGGACCGTATCCTCCAGGATAACCGTAACCTGACATATCAATGACTGATTCCGTGCGTAGTGTTCGCAATCGTAGTTGAGGTTATGCTGGTAGTCGATAAGAAAAGAGGAAGAAGGCCGGTTCGGGTTAGGATCGAGACAGGAACTCGTGGGGGTAGACAAGGCGGGGGATTTTGCCGTCGGAATGGAGGGGACAAGGTAGTAGGTTCTTATAGACAAGGCTCGACCTGGTTCGATGCGCGGAGGGAGTAGTTGAGCGTTTGACGATATTTGTATAGTAGTATGTATAAGTATTCGTGTCGAGGTATGATGTAAGTTTAAGTTGAGTATGTAAGGATGTAAATAGGTAGCCCTGTCGCTTCCTGCTGGAGGTGTCAAACTCGACTCGGCTAGTGTCGTAGGTAAGCGCAGCCCCATGCAAGTACCAAGACTACCAAGACCACGAGCCTCGACAGCTAAAATAAAATAGCAAAAATTAAGAAAAAAGGGAAAAAAGAATGCCAAGGACTTCCTAGTCGGGCTATAATTGTGCGCGCTAGCTCCCAGCCGAGCGGTCAAGCGATGCGGCGCAGGGAAACCTTGTTGACAGGTGCACATCACCTCACTTACCAGACAAGCCCAGAGAGCAGGGGTCGGTGTGGAAATCTCAATACTTTTTCAAGACGTACCAAACCGCAGTCGATGATTTGCTTGTTAAGTTCTTTCTTTAGTAACTCTGTAAGGGAGGTGAGAGGTGGGAGGAAATGTGACAGATGTAGCAAATACTCTGGGCTGTAGATCAACAGATTTGGGCCATGAATGTCATGGTTGCAGATTGCAGGTTGCAGCCGGGGTGAGAGAAGGAAAGAAGAGGAGGGGCGGATGAGAGCGATGTTGGAGATCTAGAATTGCAGTGTATATGCGTGTATGTCGTATGTCGTATGTGTGGTATGTACTGCGTATCGAGTAGGTGGATGTGTGTCTGGGTAGGCTTAGGTTAGGTAGAGAGAGATAGAGGAAGTATGCAAAATAGACTCAGAATGCGATATGCGGGATACGGAATACGTTGAAAGTGGAGATCCAAGCTTGTTCAAGTCCGATGCCGATATGTGGAGGTTCAATACTGTATTATGTTCATGTTCTTTTGGCGCAGTAAAGCATGAGGCAGGTGCAAATCAACCAATGACAAATTTTGTAGCTCGTGACTTTCAACATATGTACTACAACATACTACAGCAGCTCTACAAGTACATATGGGCAGTTCGTAATTCGTATTAACCTTAAAGAGTAATAAGCTATCGTCATCCGAGCTAGGACCATCTTTTAGAGGGGCTTTGTCGCATGGAATAATACATAATTACATTAAAACAGGGGTCCCCATGGACAAATATTTTATGAACAAATCAAAAACCAAAATTTCAGTCGGCGATTGAACCGCGGCTTTTCCCTCTAAGCAACATCAATTTTATTCGTACTCTACCCGAGCTCTCGACTATAGCCAACAAAATCCAATAGTCTGACTATGGGGATACTGGGTCGCAATCCCATCGTGGTGTACTAGTCGTTTAGAAAGTTCCTATTTCCCCTTTTCCTTCACTCTACGCTGAAATATTTTGATGATTCTTACTATATGATCGACAATTATAACCGTCAGGTCAAGAAGGATCCTCGAGATCCAAGCTCGGAGCTGAATGGTCTTTCGGCAACCTCATCAGCTACATGCCTACGACCCTAAGGATAGGGATGGGAGATGGTGTTGCTAAAATTCCTAGTTCTATCTCCGTCGTCCGAGCTGCCCAGGTATTAGAGCATTAACCATCGCTATGCGGCTATAGACTGTAGACCCAGTACACGTCAGTACTGTTGCAGCGCAATTTCTCTGCAGCGTGTGCTTCGGACGAATGAGCAGCTTGGGCAGCCTTGTAACCACAAGCCCGATCGGCGACCTAATCAGAGTTGAGACTAGGCACTCATTAATTGTGCAAAATTCCACAAGGTATTCTCATAATTCCAGCTGCTAGCTATTGTTTATTCAGGGTCCTGTCTTCAAGAAACTCAAGCTACCACCGGCGAATCCGTCTTCTGCGGCATAGGTACCTGCGATATTCATCCCTATGTCCGACATGCTAGGCGATAGTTAGCGTATCCGGCACATCATGGTGCATATTCATGGTGCATATGGTTATCTAAGACATCAAACGAGATGTCCTAGCCTCAAACGCCATAAGCTAGTTGCCTAGATAAGTCAGTATGATGCAGTGGATGCTTTCGTGGACCCACGCTCCACGTTGGAGAAAACGGGACTCCGTGGATCTCTTGCGTGGACGGCTGGGAATAATCAATTATCCGGCCCTACGATCCGACCGTGGATGGTTCGGGATACCCGACAATGGTGGCTGACTTGCAGTTAGGCGTCTGAACTTGCGTCTCCGGCGGCCGGCCGGCCTCTGATACGTCTGTACTTTCCCACTGTGGCTGCAGTGCATAGGTACCGCATATTGACGCTTCAGATTCTGCAATACCTGGAAGATCTTATTAGACGGCTATCTAACCCGGCTCTCTTTTCTACCGCGCATGCGTTAGTTCGCATACGTAGTAACGAACATATCGTGGCTGTGATGCCTATTTCATCATATTCTGAATATCTTCACGGAAAAGTGAAAATCGATATCGAAACTTCCGCGGGAAGGTCGGAGTTTGTCTACCATTATAGGCGTTTCCGTTTTAGAGGCTTTCTTGGTTGCAGCTCCTAGCGACGGGATCTCCACAAATGGAGTCGGAGAATGAAGCGTTCCTCGGCTTAATCAGAGGTAACCAACGAGCTAAGGAACGGAGACTGAGTCGCGTTTAACAACTAAACTATAGAACTTTCAGTCTACCCCAAGTAGGAGCAGATCATCAGGGACGGTGTCAGTGCTCTCGTCCCGTATTTTCCCTACAGGCGCCACATGCATCGTCCCTAAACACTCCCAGGTGCTTGGGAAGGAAGATTATGTGGAGGAGCCAATCGAGGTGATGCCGATGAGCACAGCCTTGCGCCAGTACCGCGTCTTCTGCAAGTTAAAAATTTTCGGGACAGCATGGGCCACAAAACAACAGCCTTATCTAGATATGATGCCGGTTAAGCTACTCCAGAGTCGCATCTGCGAGTCAGCGGTCCGATACTATAACGATTCCAGTGTCGGCCCACATCCAGCCACCGTTGCAACGTTATCTTCATTTTACCGCTGGGAATGCTGCATGTAACTTCTGCCGGGCTATGCTCTATCGATAGTTGTTCGCCGGGTTACAGCGCTGTTCCCCTGCTTGCGTTGCTTCCACTGCTTTCACTGGTACACAAGAGCCGTCTCAGCTGGTGAGGAGAGCTCGCGCTATACCTTTTCTATCTCTTTACCTACGCGTACGTCAAAATCGTCGAACCTATCACGCCTCGCCACGGCTCAGCTCCGAGCGAGTAGGGCGGTTGAGGCTATACAGTTACCTTTCTCTATCTTTAGCAGTAGCTTGCATCTTTGAGCCTCATCTTAAGTCGACTCGGCCTGCGAACACTCGGGTCTAAGGAAGAACTTGGATCCCGTTGAGGGAGCAGAGCTAAGACTTCATGCGGTTAAGTCACCGTCTTTCTTGCAAGAACCTTTGAGCGTGTTGACCTTAGTCAGCACTAGATTATGGGGCGACGGGTCCTCCCGTTTTTCTTTCCGGACATTAACGTTGAACCAGCGACGACGTTGAACTTACCTGAGACCAATCTACTAATATGCGCCAAGAGCTGCATATATTACGTTATACGACGGAGAAATTTCGCTTCGCGTGATACTATTTCATGATATCTAATCTCGCTACGTCATTCTCGTGATCCAAAAGCTCTCCTAAGAGGTAACCTGATCCGAGATCTTCATATCGACCTTGAATGTCCTGACGAATTGGTCTCCTGTATGATTCTATAGAGTCTGGGCTCTGTACGCGCGGGCTACGATGCTATACCGCTATGCTATACCGCTATACTATACCGCCCTTTGGGACGCGGGATGTTTCCAACAAGAAGGCGGCATTGAAACCCGACATGCAAAGCATAAGTGCCCAATGCTGCGGATAATATATTCGTGCTGCATACATACTCATTAGGTGAGAACTTTGTATACATATATCACCGATCACATGCTTGAGACACATAGCATGTGTATAGATGCTTTCGCAAACAAAACTGCAACGTTCACCGAGCGGCGCTCTCAGACATAGCTATGTTCTATGTGGCTTTCTTCGAAACGACTTTATACTCTACTTACATAGTGCCCAACATACTTAGTTTGACTTAGGTACTTTAGTATGTATAGTAATTGTAGAGAAGTCAGGAAGTAATCTTCTTGATTCAGTTACCACGTAGTTCTCATGCTCAAATATGTCTTTCAATACTAGATAATGTTGAGTAAGCACCATAAAACATCAATGAAGGGAGGCGACAAAACAATTTCGAAATATTATATTCAGTCTAGGTTCTATGCCATTCTAGCTCCATGCAGTCCTGACATGAGACTGTTAGATACTCCCGAGAAGATACATCAATATCCATAGACAGATGATTCATTTGTAAACAAAACGTTGGTAGCATTCTATATAGACATGTAGAATTTATTCAATTCGAATGTACTATGTACCCAATCTTTCCGTAGGAATATAGTTTAAAGTCATGTAACAATACTAGAATACACTACTTACTCATACAAGAACTGCGGAATACTTCAAGAGTTGCGGCTCGATAATAGTTAGGTATCTAAGACGCAGGAATCCGTAGTAATATAAACCGCATGTGAGTTTTTACCCAGACTGCCAGAGATCTAGCATGAGCATGTCCGTAAACTTATAGCACCGCCACCATGATACACCCCCGCTGAAAGCAAGTTGTTGCCCGAAAAATCTGGGAAGGCGATAAACAGACAACCAAGCCAGGGGAGCATGCTACTTAGCACGACGCGAACAAGCGAATCAAGGAGAGTAAGTTTTCGTGACATTCATTACATGCTTAATTCACGTCTATGGGGTCGATTCCCAGAACTAGACAAAAACAAGCGCACACCAAGTCTAAATCCAAAGAGCCAGCTGCCGCCGTCCTCTTAATCTTAACCCGAATCCAAGAAGCCTATACGCATCAACCAACACACATTTCCTCGCATTCTCGGGCTCAGGCATTCTTCATCGCAACATCCTCGTCGACCTTCCGCATAACCCAACCCATCATGCCCCAGAGCAGACGCATAGCTTCGAGCCTCTCCTCGACGATGAACAAGTCGAACCACCTGCTCCGCCACATCTCCAGCTTGCCCCAGCTGCGCAGCTTCTCGCCGTCCGGTCCTACCTTGGCCTGGACCACGCCTTCTAGCTCCCCGCCCAGGACGTCGAGCAATTTTTTCGGCACGCGGACCCTAAGTATGCTAAGGTGGTGGAACAGGCTGCTCAGCACGAACACGTCGTCGTAGTCGGCGCCCTTGACCTTGCCGATGGTCGCGTACTTCGTCTTCTTGTCCCAATTCGACGACGGTAGACGCACCATGCGGTAGCTGTCGTAGATGCTCATGTTCTTGCGCGGTTTCTTGCTGACGGGTTGTCCGCGCATCGGGATAGGGGGAAGCGGCGACGACTTCCCTTTCGATTGGGAAGAAGACGAAGAGCCTGGTTTGCTGGCCCCGACGCCCTCGCCGTTCCCGAGAGCCACGGCGTCCTTATCGCCGACGACGGGATCCCCGTCAACCTCGCGACCTATAGGTCCGCCCTCGCCACCACCCCAGCGCTTCTCCGTCGCCCACCACTTTCCCTCGCCAAAACGTTTCTCCGGCTGGCCCTCGCGCGCTCTATGCTGGGCCGTGATCAGCGCGGCGACCAATTCCCTCCCGAAGTCGATGTAAGAGTCGGCGGGAGTGTTAAAGTTCGTCGTATTGCGCGCGGACACCGCCGCAATAGGTCCTTCCACGATACCCGCGCGCGCAGCCTCACGTGTCGTAGGCGCTTTGCACAGGAACACGCAGCCGGAGGGAAAGTACGATGCGGTCTGCGAGAACGGGGCCTTCGGTTGGGAGCTCTTCCTGAACGGCGGCGAGAGTAATTGTAGGCGGGGCTCGACCCTGGGCGGAAGGACGTTGCAGCCGAAGGCGTACGCGATGAGCTTCACGAAGGCCGATATGAAGTTGTGGCGGAACTCAGCCGGCATCTGGGACCCGGGGCTAGTGCGGTAGGTCGTGCGCTGCGGCTCCTTCTTCGGCTTGGCTTCGGGATCCGCTTCGGAGCGGGTGTTGGACTCGGGGGCCGCGCCGGTGGCGAGTTGTTCAGAACTGCCATCTGCGGGACGGGGAGGCAGGGGCGGCGACTCCTCTTCGTCTTCTTCGGGGACGAGCGGTGGCAGCGAAGTATCATCCCAATATGAAGCCATTAGCTCCATCTGCTTGTAGAACTCGTAGCAGTTTCCGAGCCGAGGCTGCTGCTTCCCCGGTTCGGGTTTTACACGCCGGACAGAGCGGAAGGCAGCCTGGTTAGGTACGGAAAGCTCATTGCGGCACTCCAAGAAAAAACGAGCTTCGGGGGATTTGCCTCCGTTACACAACGGTTGGCGAAAAGTTTCATCCCTGCGCCGCGCTTCGTCCAGGTCTACACCCTCCCACTCCGAGAATACGGGTAGGTAAGACGGGTCCGGAATGACCTCCTCGGCGGGAGCATCAGCATGTACGTGCACGCCGAGGGCGGCGAAATGAGCCTCAGTAAGCTCGTTAGGGCGCTGCAGCTGTTGCAGGAAGCGGACTAGAGAAGGCTGAGGCTCTCCGCGCAGTTCTGGGTTGCACTGCGGCAATCTGATGGGAGTGGGAGGTGGTACGTCCTTAGGCGGCGGACCGATCTCCCCAGTTTGACTGACTATAGCGAATAGATGAGATGAGGTCCAGCAATAATAGTAATAGGTGTAATCATGTATAGTAAAGATGGCATCGACTTTAAGTAGATGCTTGTCTAACGAATTATGTACTTGTTTCCCTTTCTTTTCACGGGCTTAATATGTTTAATGTCTTAATGAGGGAACGTGACACTCATACAACGCTCTCTGATTAATTCACATTTTTGATTTAATGGTGGGAAGGCTATAATGGAAAGAAGTAATGAAGTAATAGGTATATACTCTTAACTAGTTCTGTCTCGCACGAAAGGTGATGAGGATGAGAAAATAGGATGGTATCTCTACTTACCGATGGTGACTAGTGACCCAAACATATTTCCGGGTACAACGGTGACTTCTTATAAAGGGACACATATACTGGAGTATGTCTAAGGGATAATAGGTCATAACAGATTGTATAATAGTCTAGATGTGTAGTGATAGCGCCGTGCAAACAGGCAAACGACGAAACGGGCAACGAAACGGGCAACGAAAGGCTCGCTAGCTGGAGGTCACACAACTTGTCTCCAACGGAGTAACTGGAGCTGCTGGAGGCGGTGGCTTGGGCCCTGGTCAATCGAATAGGAGAAAAGACTCAGATCTCACAGACCTGAAATAATATCCAAAACTTCCCAAAACGGAATGGAATATAATTCGTCGCGACTCTCTTTGAAAGACTTCTTCGAAGATCTATGTAGAAGACATCATGGGAAGTCCCTGTCAAGATTAGAAAGCGGGTTAAGTTAGTTTTAGCTTAGGGCGGGATTCACCCGAACTGGGGAAACGAAGCGACTTTTTCTGGTTGTGGTTACGGTTATGGTTATGTACTGGCCCGTGCACGAGCTAGGCTACTATCCCACTATTGCAATGTGCGATGTGCGTTAAGACGAATTACATATACATGCATGTGGTACTTCAATTGTACAGAAGGTACGTACTTCCGTAATATCCATTGGATATAACATGCTGAACGAATATGGAAATGTGGATGTTGAAGTTGGAGTAGAGATTAACCAAATATCGGTTGTTGGAGCATCTCGTGAATCGGAAGGAGAGATTTGCATTATGTAAAGAAATGCTTGATCCGCGGGGAATGTTGTCTCTGCTGATAATATTGGATAACCTGATAATATCCATTTGGATAACCCCGGACTAAATCCTCCAGTCGCGCTTGCATTTATGTAGGTACTAACATAGGGGTAAGGAGATGCATAGGTAATCAATCTATATACTATCACTGGGTGATCAAGAAAGGAGACTAACTGATGCTCTTCGGACATTATAATGTCCTAGTGTATTAGTAAAAAGCTTCAACTCAAATATCGATCCTTACCGTTTGATGCACCGTAGATCGAGTATGTCAAGTGGATACAATGCGACGACAGCACCACCATCATATACTATCGTATCACGGCATCACCCTGCTTCGGCACTCGGAAAGGTACCTGTTCCGATCGCCTTAGGGGTTTGATGGAATTTCACCATGACAGATCTATCCTTCTCTTGATTCTTGAAACTTGGAGTCATTCGACGACTTCTTTCTTTTTTTTTCATCCAAGTTTGATTCACCAATCCAGATCACAGACCGCAGACCAAAGCTACATGGTAAAGAAGACAACCTACCTGGGACTAATCCTGTGTGTTTTAGTATACTAGTACGTAAGCTAGCCCTGCTCAGGGCAGCTGCTAGGTAATGGTAAAACTCCCTACCTTCTTTACGTGACGCCCCCAATCCGTGCCAAGAGGCTACTGTCCCCGGCCCGAAACTTTAGCAACTCAATCGGTAGTCGCCTTATTCTTTAGGTAACTATCGACGAAATAAGCCACAATCTTCAAGTAACAGAAGTCGATATAACCCATTTTTTAGCTGGGATTGAAGAAGATCACCTCGAACGATTACTACTCCATCACCACCACTACCGCTACAAAATATAACCTCCAAGGGTTTCTTAAGGCTATCGCAATTAATATGGTGTGGCGTTTTCATGCGGCTGAAGGGGGTCCCGTTGCTTCAGGTGTGTCGCAAGTCAGGGGTTAAAGTGTTTTACCCCACACTCTTTAAAGGCGATTCTGAGGCTATCGACTCTTCTCAGGGGTTTGCCCCTGTCTAGAGTGTCTCCGCCGCTTTGTTTCTTCGAACGCCCAGCCAGCCAATCCCGTCTCTTCTTTACTAGACCTTCAAACATGCTATACAGGGTCTTGTCCTTAGCGACAGCGAGCAACGGCCGTGCAGGCTCATACTTGGTAGCAATGTTCGCCCCCAGCGTAGTATTCTCGCACTCTATCCTGGGCTCCTCGGGTAATTCAGTCTGCCGTTTGACGAGCCTTAGTCTGCGTGTCTCGCTCATGTGAAGCCACAACACCATCTCCATTCCTGTTCGCTTCTCTTCGTCCGGCCCATTTCCTCTTCTTTTCTAAGCTTCATTTTTACGAGTCTCTTGCGTAGAGCGCTAAATCGCAGTTTCTCTGGTTTCCGGGGGGAAATAACGGGTATTACAATATTCTTCACAAATCATCGTTGATGACCTTGTGATCGTAGCCCGGCCGCGACGGCCGCCTCCCTTTTTCTCTTCTCTTTCGTATAACTTCATTTCGTCTAAAATTCGTTTGCCTAGAGTGGCGGTAATTATCTCACATATTCGGCTTCTGCGACAGGTATCGCCTACTCTTCATAGTTTACGATCATGGCATCGATTACAACTCGCAACGGTCAGAGGTGTACGGCAGTGCCGAAGTTAGCAAATGTACTACTTGCATCAAATTCATCTTCAGCCTCATTATCGTCTTCATCATCATCGTCGACTTCAACATCGACTTCGACATCTTCAACTTCTAGCTCGACATCAACATCGACATCTTCTACTTCGGCCTCGAGTATAAGTACGACTTCATCTTCATTGTTGACATCTTCATCCTCTACATTTATATCGATCCCGACCGATCCCCAAGCGACTCCGGTTGACAATCCAGCGCAACCGGATGCCGCTACTCAAATTTCCTCGGATACATCCTCAAGCACTTCAAGTACAGCAAGTACTGTGGCAATAGCTAATAGCCCTCCAGTTATTGTACAGCCAGCGATAACTCAGAGCGCTGATCAGCCATCGTCTACTACAGACCAGTCAACTGATCAGATCGCTCCATCACTGCCGGCGTCAATTGTTAACACGATTAACCCATCTTCTCTCAGTACCGATAATACCGGGGTCCTTACTGATACAGGACCTACTCCGTCTCAATCAGGAGATCAAGCACAGAATACAGATGGTGCGACATCGACGCAGTTGGGTCAACCAGGGGACTCGACTATAACAACTGGTCTAGACGGAAACACGGCAACCCAGGCGGCAGCAGGGACACAGTCTACAGGGTCATCATTGGAAACGGAGACGAATAAAGGAGGGCTGTCAACGACTCAACAGCAGGTGACTGGCAATGGCATCACGACGCAGCAGACGATAGCAATAGCTGCTGGGGTTGTCGGAGGAGTCATAATTATCTCATCTATAGCATTCATGATCTGGATATGGCGGAAGAGGAAGATGCAAGGTCGGAGGAGCACGTTGCTGACGCCACTGTCTCCAGATGCGACTGTCCGTGACCGCGAGAAAGATCCTTATCTTATTGATCGGTCATCTCTGGGACCGACACCAATGTCCGAGAAGCTCTGGGCCGTCGTTGGGATGAGATATAAGAGATTACGCGGGAAGGTTAACAACATCGTAGCCCGTAGCAACAGCCCGAGCCCGAGCGTCAACCTTGACCGGGGGAACTCACAATTTGGCCCACCCGACGGAGCACATAGTCGAAATAATTCAAATGCCGGAGTTATAGGAGGACCGCCAGCTTCCAAGGGTCGCTTCGTGGATTGGTGGGGTCGATTAGTGGAAGATGGGAATTCCAACTGGCGACTGCGTCGCGAATCTAAGGCCGATCCAATCAATAACGAGTCATACGCAGCAGTTCCAAGGTCCACGCATAACAGCAATGCGTCAAGAGGTTCCTCGCAGCCCGACTTCCTCACACTCCTAAACATGGACGACAGGCAACTAGAGCAAGCGGAACGGGGGCGAAATGGCGTGAGAGGGAGTCAGCGCCGCTCGATATCTATGGGCAACGAGCAACATATCCTTGGCGGTCTTGACATAAACTTCGACGACCCCTTTTCGGATGTTAACGCCATAGGGAACAATACGGCCAAAGCAAAGCCTATAGTTGTTTCTGCAGCAAACAACCCATTTTCGGACGCGAACGCTATCACAGCACCATCAGCCGCTGCAAGTGGTGGCCTCACAACATATGTGCACAATGTCCGACGCTCACGTGGACATAGCGTGAACGGTGGCGGCATCAGCCGGCAGACGAGCAACGCCGGCACTCGTTTGAACAGCGTGATGAACAGTCTGTACCGCGAATCCAACGCGAGCGTATCCACGGTCGGCACCCGACGCAACAAGTTCCGTTCCGATCCCTTCGACCTGGACCGCCCGGATCTACTAAGCGCAAATTCTAGCTTCGACGCCACCGTGAGGGATGCTAGAACTAGCCGCGGCAGCAAGGGGGCCCCGGTACCGTTGCCAAACACGCCAAAGCCGGCACACGTGCGCACGGAGAGCTTCACGTCGAAGTATTCGAGCGGCGTGAGTATGAGCATAAGCCAGTGGAGCGATCCCGGTCCAGACGTCGGTCCCGCGGCTGGGAGATACACGCCCACGCCAGATAATGGCATGCCTCGAAGGGACTCAGATACGAGGAGGAGCGGCGGGAGCCAGGGTAGCGTAGGGAGCCAGGGGAGCGTGGGCAAGGCCTTATAGTTATCGCTCCCGTATGGTGCCTAAATATTAGGTACGAACGGGAGGACACACATATACGGCATAGCTTGGGCGTATCGGGCGGAAGAAAGGTTCACTTATGGTGACGAGGCACGAAGCGCGTACTGTCGCCTGTTGTTTGATTATCGCATAGAAATACCGAAAGGGGTAGCTCGGAGTTCTTGGTGCGATGCATTGCTCTTTGCTTTTTTTACGTTTTTATGTTCTTTGTTGGGTTTGTGATACCCGGCGACCACACGCTCGCTTATGATACCTACCTCCGGGGACGATGATGGCGGGGGAACAGAAAACGAGGACGTGCCCCCGCCTGAGCATACATATATAGTAGATATAGTGTTCCTTTTTTTTATTGTTTGAGACGGAAAGAGGAGGAGGGGGATGTTATACCCCGTTGCTGGATACAATACCCAAACTAGGGAAATAAGAGGCGAGTCGTGTGACTTTAGGGAGATCTTGGGAGTTTGACGAAGATCTGAGTGGACGGATGAGAGATGAGGGACGGATAGATGAAGAGACGGAAGAGATATATACCTACGCTGATAACGTGGGATGTGTGAAATGGAAACACTCGCGTAAATGAGAGTTTACTGAATTGAATCAAAAGTTCTGAAGTTCGAATATATGTCTTGATGTGTGTGCCATGTAGAATTGGGCTGCCATAGGTACCTACTAAATCTTGGTGATGTTATTAAGAGGCTCAACTACTGGTGAGACTACTATATAAGTACCCAATAGGGGTACCTGGTGGTGAAAGTATCCTATAGTATTTGCATACCTGTGTATATGTATATTTAATGTCTGAAACAACATACGATTACTTACACTTATTGAAAATGATTAGTATTTTGTAATAGCCTGCGTCCCTTACCAACTCTAAGATGACCACTTAAGTGCTACTGGTAGACCTGAGCTTATGTATATGTATAAATCTAGACCAACTCGCCCCTCTCGTCGCACGTGTAACGTACTAAAAATGACACTAAGACATGGGTTCGAACGAATAGCAATTAAGAGACTTGTCCATCCTCAACTCATCGTATCTTCTAGTAGCATAGTATATTCGGACCTTTGCCTCGTCTTCTCTCAGAACAATTGAATGGATTACTCTACATTTTGTAAAGGTGCTTACTCGTAGTCAGTCCCCACCTACGGTTGTCTTTTCGTAGGAGTAATTGAAGGTAAAAAAGGGGTTAGTTTATACTCAGTCATATCAAGCAAGTATGTACTTGATCGGCAATACGACTTCTAGAATTGAGGTATCAACCAACACAGTAAAGACCGGACGGAAACACAAATAAACAAATATCACACAATTCATCGACTAGCAAAGACTGTCGATGCAACTATCACCCGATCACGCAAGTAAATCGCCGAACCGTCTCTCTGAATCCCTCCAACATCGACAAAAGGTGACATCAACCGGAGTATTCCCACACCAGAGCTAGGAAGATAAGAGGGGTACCCCTGCCTGCCCTGCCTAACCCCTGAGCTCCAACGTCCTCTCATTGGCCAACAACTCTACGCGAAACGCGAAAATTCCCGTCGCGTGTTTAATGACGCGTTTTAGCGTCGCATCTCGCGTGTTTTTTTCTCTTCGCAACCATACAAAAAGTGCAATGCCTATCAATCACATGTGTTCTCCTCACGAATTACGACGACAATCGCTTCTCACCACCCAATTCGTCCGATTATCTATCTCCGCATCTTCTCTGTCCTCGGCTGAGGATGACGGCCATTACGAGACCACGCAATTGATTGTCAAGTCGGGACCTCGTTGGGCGTTGCAGAAAAAACAAATAGACTCGCATTGTCAAAGTGTGATTTGTGAGTGAGCTAGAACTACACGTCCTCTTCCCCATATGTGTTGGTGCCTCCACCCTATTCCATCCTATCAGGCCATCCTGACTCCGTACTAGGTGGTCGTTTGTCGCAGGGCTATGCAACAGGTTTTCCCATCTCGTGAAAACAAACAAAATGCAAAATGCAAGCATAGGTAGAAAGCTACCTTATCGTGCAGGATTGACAGAAACAAAAACAAATTGATAATCGAGGGTTGATAGTCGATGCCGTGACCAATAGACTCCACGCATACCGCGTTGCTGACTGAGAAATTAGAAAAAGTCCGTATCCTGTGTTATACAAGCATATCGACCATTGAGGTCTATCCATCCGTCCATCCATTCCGTAGAAACATCCATACTAAGTGATCATGGCCAAAGCCGGGTATTGTCATCCGTTTGTGTGTGTGTTGTGTATGTGTGGTATGTGCACACTAGGTAAAAGGGGTTTGTTGAAGTAGATATCGAAGGGAAGAGAAGACAGTCCGTAATTATCCCGACATTAAATACTAGTAGAATAGAAGAGCATTGAATACCTATCCGGCTTAAGGTAGACCAAGTACAGGTTCGTCAAACGTTAACCGTCGTCTCGCACCGCTCAAGGGTGTCTTTGCTGTAGGCGTCCTAAGCGACAGCGGAGTCTTCCATGGCTTCTGTGCTGGGCTGGGTGTGATATTGACGAAGTCTGAAATGTCGAACGGCTGGCCGGGGGTCGTCGGGAAAAGGCTGCCACCTCCTGGTGTTGTCATCATAGACGAGGGAAGTGTTAGGTCCTTCTTGGGAGGGGGTGTGGACGGGGGTTCCATGCGGGTCTTGGTCGAACGTGTTGCGGGCGAGGGAGATGCCGCTAGATAGAGCAACAAATCTGCGCCCTCTTCGGGTTTTTGTCCATTTGCTGTGTTCCTATCCTTACCCCGACGATTGAGCCCTCTGCTGCGCATAGGAGGTGTTCGTGGAGGTGATTGGTTGTGGTTGACCGCAAAAGAGTGCGCTGGTAAAAGGTCGTCATCATCATCCGAAATTGCCGCAAAATTCGGTGTAAGATCCACGGAGGGGCGGCGTGCACTTTGAAAAAAGGAGATATCTGGACCAGTAGATGTTGTGAAGTGTTGTTGTCTTCGTGGCTTGATAGGGGACGATTGGGCTAGTTGGCGGTGTGTCCTCCAAGATCCATGTCCATGTGAAGAGTTGAAGGACTTGTGAGCGGTGGGGGAGGTACGGAATCGCTTAGTCGGACTAGACATGGCCATATCCATATCAAATGAAGCCATGTGATATGTACGCTTGCGATGACCGGTACTGCCATTGCTAGACCCAATGGCATCCGAAAAGAGGGGGGCTTTGAGCGGGGAGCTCATGAGTGTTCTACTACTAGGATACGGTAACTCTGACGTGCTGGACGAAGAGTCGGATAGGACATCGCCGTCGATGAGACGTTTTCGTCGGATCTCCTCTTCGATCTTAGGCTCGATATTATCGAGTGACAGATCCTCCCATCCATGTTTAGTCTTGAATTGTGCCAGAGCCAGTCGACCTTGTAACCTTCGGGCGATCTGTCATTGTGAGAAAACAAATGTTAGGCCTTAATCCTATCTTAATCATCCGTCAAGTAGACTGGATTCTTAACATACCTTGCTAACTTCCACTCGTTTGAGTACCTTATCTGCGACAGCCTCTGGCTGCTTCTTTAACGGCGACGACATGTTCCCTTGCTGAGACCAGAGGCCAAAGATTCTTCTTAGTCTCTGCCCCTAAGTTCTAAGTGACGTTCGTCGAGTAGTTATCAGAGAAATATTGCGGGGGGTGAGGATGATTGGGTCGAACTGTTGGCCGGGCGCTTGCTGGTGTAAGCGAAGGGGGGTTAATGGTTACTCGGGGAGGATCGAGGATAGTGATAGGTATGGATGGAAGGATGGAATTAGGTATTAGGAATACCGATTTTTCTAAGTCTCAGGTTTATTAAAAATGAATCTCGAAGTTGATCGGCACGGGAGACTTTTTGAAGTGAGTGTATAGAAGAGAAAAAAGATGTATAGATGTATACTGTGACTACGATTGTAAATTTTGGTAATGAACGACGATGGGTGAGATGGAGTGCGTTAGGGAAGGAAAAAAGTCAATTCAGTTGGCGGAGATACAAACCAAGGATCTTTAGACTTTGATCCCGCAAAGGAAAATAGTGCAGTACTAAAGTTTTACTAATGGGAATAGTCCTAGTTCGAGGCCTAGCTCCATTCTAACGGTACTTGCAGCTAATTGACCTTGCTAGGCTAACCCAGCAAGGGTTAAAACTTTGCATTCCTCTCTCCATGGAAACCGGGTGATGCAATAAAATTGATGTTTTAAGCCCGAGCTCAGCTTCCCTTGGGAAACCGCTAGTTCTCAGCACCTGCCTAGATCTCATAGGGCCAGAAATCCAGCGCCCATAGCACGATACACAAGATACACAAGCATCTTTAGGGAGTTCGTCATATCCACTAATTTACCGGCTACATATTGGGAACCAATACCGTCGCTTCTACAGGACCAGGATATAAATATTCGCCCAATCGTTTCTTGGACGACCTGGTAGGCTGCAGAACAGCCTGCGAACAATCATCATGTCTCTTCAATGCCATGTTTTCATAGGTCGGCGTCTACGCTGAAAGCCATAACCGAAGCTTACTGGTGTCTGTTCCCTCTTCTTTTGCCAGCTGGCGTGATCATCTCTGATCATATATCCATACTGCGGCATATTGGAGAGGCTTGGCCCCAAACCCAGCAAAACTTAACTAGAAAAGGGGTGACGGAGAACATTTAAGGTGAATTCATCTTCTAAGACATGCTACTAATTGAGAAATATGGGAAATAGGGAGAGTGTCCTTTTCATCGACTGTGATGATATTGTTGTTGTTATAGCACGTTGGAATGGGATATTCTTATAGTCCAGGGGTAAGGACTAAGTAACACAGCAACACCTTCCAGACATTACATTGCTTATCAGTATCCCTATTCGCATACGTTGCCCTAGAAGTTAGCGGCAATACATAGGTGATTTTGTTGCAATGCGATCGTCAACGCTGTCTCAGCAGATAGCCAAGCTTCTTTCCATCAATTAAATATTTCGAAGCCATAAATCTGATAGAGGCCAGACTGGCTCTGCTAGACTGAGCTGATTAGATTGGTGGATAAGGGGTAAAAGCACTGAGCGTTTTCGAAATTCTCCTGTCTCCACTTGCTCTTGATATCAGGTTTCTTCAAGTGCAATAATAATTATATGAATGTCCATATGAAGGGGATCGAAAAGGCAAAAAGGGGATCAGGGTGACCTTTTATCATTCTTCCATTAGATGCATGATATGGCGAGCTTCGTGGCATGCGACCTCTCATCCAAAAATGGAAGCCAATTTAAACCCCTGTCAAACGAAAGCAGGGCTAAAACGCCTTGAAAAACGTGCCATACCCGCATTTCACTGCAAACACTTTAAAAGCGTGAAAGCTTGCTCTTTGTCTACTACTTAGCTACCTCGAAGTAATAAGGTATAATATTTTTCCAGCACGAGAGCTGGCTTGGCTGTACAACGACCCATTTGAGTTTCCAGCCTTATGAGTGATGAGCGATGACGCTCTATAGTATGTATGCATCATAAACCCATTCGAATACGGGTCGCACAACACCCTACTCCTGCTTATCGGCAACTTGCGCCAGCAAAAGTTTCAAAGAAACTCATGAGTTTTAACTGATCTCGAATCTCGTATTGGCGGTTTACCATGCAATCGACAGTTCAGATATAGCGTAGTGTAAATTATACGCATTTTTGTGGTGGTAGAGAAGTGAGGATACGAGATTTTGCTGGACGAAGAATACCCGCCTTCGACTTAATTCATTGGTTATATCGTAAGGCCGACATGCACACATGCCGCACGGATATGCGCCGATGTTGATCATGGAGAACACAGTATACTCCGCCTGCATAGACGATACCTGCCACAGCATCTCTGGCGTCTCTGCATCTGCACTTATGACCTGACGGTGTCATGGGGAACCTGTCACTAAGATATACGCAGTGCAGTTTTAAGATGTACAAGGTCAGGTAAGGAATGTGAGACTGCGTGTAACTTCGTGGAATAGAGTTAAAGAGTAACATTGAAAGAAGCATCTGGGTATCTTTCGGCTCGGTCCGGTTAGTATTTCTGGGAGAACCTTAAACGTTCGTTTGGAATTCCAGATGTCCTTATTCCAATGCACCTGCATTTGGTAATAGGGAATTGGGGAGGAAGGCGCAAAATACCTACCTATCCATATCATACCTACCTCTAATGTACCGGTACGTTTATATGTATGTACAATAGACGGTATCAAACCTGTTTATCGAGGTAAGATATTGATTATTGCATACGGATATTTCCTCCAATCATGTCTTTTCCTTTTCCGAAAGTAACCCATCAATGCCATTCGTCTCTCACCTTGTCATTTACACACTCATCTTTCCAGCATCCAAATTGAATATCGCAATGCGCATCGACGCCATCCCGTTATTTGTGTTACTAATCGGGAGTGCCGAGTTTCTTTCATGCTGTTTCGAATAAGAACTTCCTCGGGTATAGTTGAATCATTGTAAGTCGAGTCAACGGCGGGCCGTCAGTAGACAAATCAGATACGCTCACGCCTTCGCTGTATTTGTGATCTATCATCGGCTGGTTACATGGCTTGATAGTGTCAGAGCCGCGCTGCGAAACGTCAAGCAACACCTAAGCATCATCCTGCGCACGAGATACAACTAAGCAAATTTCATCTCGATCCTAGGATCTGTGATACTCCGGCACATTCCTAGATACCTATCAGCACCCATTTAATCGAACACCTCTCTACCCTATTCAATTCCAAGATTATTCCTTGAAATTGTTCGAAGACCCTGTTCTTCACCCACGTCGATATCTTGAACCACGACTACTGCGTACTGCGCAATCACACCCACTTGCCTACTAGTTCTACATGCACTAGTACCACCACCTAGGCATATCGAGATTCTTGCAGGACCCAGTAACAGCACTGCAACCTTGACCCGGCACTCCAAGCGTAGGTCAACCTTTCGTCACCAACATATTACTGTATTACCTGTCAGTATCTGCCGGTAATACCATCCGATACCATCCGAACTATTCTTGCTTTTGAAGCGCAAGTAAGGACTACACCTTTTATATTAATCATTCACAAGAATTGTTGACGTGTGTTTTCTTTAATTCCCCTTTCTCGAGTGTGAAGCTCAACTTCGGAAATACAACACATTAATAGGATACTTATATGTACTTTGCTGGGTACGTAACACGGAGCCTCGCGGCCCTTGCGTAGCGACTTCTCGTATCCAAATTTTCAACTTCCAAATAGGACAAGCGTCCTTCCTTGGAAGGCTTGGTTGAACTTGGTTGGACCTAATTTCAGCGATCCAAAAGTAGCCCACTAGTTTCATAACCCACTTTAACCAGTATTTGGCTACCATTTAGTTACAATTTGGCTACATTTGGTTACCCACTTATCAGCCGCGACGTCATCATCATTCGTCAATTCGTCAAACATCCCGCCCGCAGACACATGTCAATCCGGTGTCAATCTACATTCTAGAGCTCTGATCGCTCTGATCGTCTGTCCAATCTAGCTGACCACATTCATTGTACCACAGCCCGTACAGCCTGTCGCTCGTTCGTTGTACTCTCGTCGTACTTTAATAGTTCAGGATTGCGGATTGCGGATTACGGCTGATCGATGAATCGGTCCTTTACTAGGACCAACAATCGTTTTCTTTCTTTCTTAGATTTAGCAGAACGCTTGAGAGGATACACCTTGCTTTCGTTTCGTCACGTTCGATACCGACCCTGAACTTGGCTTCGCTGAGGTAATTCCGGTAACAAGCTTTCAAGGGTGATGCAACCTTTACGATAACGACAGGATACCAATACATACCTAGTCGAAGCTACCAGTTTCCAAGGCTCATACGCGCTAGTCGATCGTTGAAGATCTATCTACACTCCACCTTGTCCTATCTACTCTCCCAACCACGCAACACTCACTTCTTACTTCATAAAGTGAATCACCCTACTACATTCTCTCTTTTTCCCCCTTAACCTACCTGATTACCTAGTAATCAGATACGTTCGTTAGGGAAGCTTACCAGCTGTGTTAGTCGGACTAACAGTAGCCGTTTGCTTCCCTCTTCCTAAAATAGCTCTGGGAAGATTAGCTACTAAACTAGACTGACTACTCGATATTACGAAAGAAAACAAAAACAAAATAGGTTTCCTTCGAGTTCCGATTTACGTTAAAGGATCGCCTTTATTTACTCAGCTTTGAAGAGTCGACCAGCTTCTGCTGGAGTCGAATATCGCCATGGCGCCTTCATTTCTAAATTTTAAGGACTTTCGACGACGGTCGCGAGCTAGTATCCGCACCGATCGCTCTACCGACACCTCGAGTTACGACGACCACCATAGCCAGAATACTACTCCTACCAACGGTTCTATTACACCGCCTTCTATTACGGCCAATTCTGATCCGGCGCTTAATGCCCAGCTGAAGGACCAGCCGCAACCTCCTCCAATTCCTGCCAATAGACCACCACCTCAACCTAATTCTAACAACAGATATAGTGTATCTGGAATGGCTGGGTTAGGGTCCCCTGCACTAAACGGCAAATCCTCACTACCCGTGTCGCAATATGCTCCTCGAATTACTAATCTTGGAGAAAATACATGGGTATGGTGAAATTTCCTTTTCGTTTGGAGCCCCGAACCGTATTGGTTATGGTCAACTCATGTTACAAAAAATTGGACGGACTCTGTTTTAAAATGCCGCTGTTTTTTTGCGTACTGATTGCGTGGTAGGTCTCGCAAAAGATTCTTCTCATCAATGGCATGGTAGGGGAACCAGGACAACGGTCGCTCGAGGGGTCTGTTACGGTTTGTAGGCTAGACGATGGATTCCCGCCCACGCACTGGCCAGTCTGCGAGTCGCAGTTCAAAGCTATGGTCTACCTTGTGCCTGGAGCAAATAGACTTCGTTTCGATTTTTCGAGTCCGAAGCTTGCCAACAGCGGTTCTTCGAACCCGATCCATTCGTCGTATCTTACGGTACACATGGTCCCTCCGATGAACTCGCCACCGCTACAGCTTGCCATTCTGCTCGCGAAGGATTCTCCGGGCACATTCGACGCAGTTCCTACCCGAGCGGAGAGGGAAGGAAATGATCTCGACACAGCTATTCGCAAGTTCCGAATGGCGGCTTACCTATGGCAAGCGTTCACGGCTGAGCAGATGTGGAGAAATAAGCTTGGGCGGCGCGTATTCAGGTTCGAAGAGGAATGGACTACTGGTACCTGCAACTACCGGGATAGGGAAATGGGCATGATGCGGTCAGAGGCGCGCATCCACGTCATCCGATCGGACAAGACGATGGCCGAGATAAGAGACCTAGATATCGCGCAGCAAAACCCTAACGCGGCAAAGAAGGGCGACCTTTATGGTATTGCGGCTGATGCGCTCAAGAAATATTTCAAGCCACTCCCGGGACAGACGCAGTACGTTTCGGTGCTGATACTGGACTCGCACTGGGATACGCAATCCAAGATCGTCACTGGGCATGCAGCCTTGGGCGGGAATTCCGGTGATCTACACATGGCAATCTTCGGTTCCCATGCTCTGCAAAGCTACCCTACGAGCTTTGAAGAGGTTGTCCCGGCATTTACTGATTGTACGCCTACTGATACTAACTTTGTTGCCAACGATTGCAATGAATCTGGAAGCTCCTGGGAAGCTGCGAATATCGGCATTGGCGCCCATCTTCACGAGACCGGCCACCTTTTCGGATGTCCGCATCAGGAAAATGGTGTTATGTTAAGGGACTATGTCACGTTGAATCGTACATTCGTGGCCCATGAGGCTTATTCCACTCGAACTAAGTCGAAAGGGGGTCCGGTAGCTCAGGCTAACGAATGTACCTGGCACCGTCTTGATTGTCTACGATTCCGCAGCCACCCGTGCTTTAGGCTACCTAATGATCCGCTCTTAAACCCAGACGCGAGTGTCCAAGCTTGGCCAGTCGAAAATGGGCACGTCCAGATAACAGCAGCTACGGGAGTGTCATTTATAGAGATCTATCCGGAAGGTGACGATCTCTGCCATACTTGGATCGAATATCCGTTGGAAAGCGGTCCCGTGCAGCGAAATCTAACCCTTACAGAGCAAGAACTTCGGGACAGACTCCCAGAGAAAAAGCGACGGTCGAAGATAAAGGTTTGCGTCAAATCACACGGTGGCGGAAATCTCGATATAGATGACTTCCATAGCCTATGCTCGAAGGCATCTTCCCTAAAGATATCTTTCGGCAAATCAGCATATCGAAGTGTTAAGCTCGGCTTTTCGCAGATGGAAGGGAGCGAGCCGCATGAGTTCCTTTTCACGAGTGTCACGCAAAAAACCCGAGTTCTTTCTCGCGTGGTAATCTATCATGGATTCGCTGTAGACGGACTAGAGTTCTTCTACGACGACGATTCAAGTCAATTGTTCGGAAAGCGCGGAGGCAAACCTGGCGGCGATACGTTTGAAATGGGTTAGTTATCACCTACATTTCGTGGGCAACACTTATTCCTAACCGATTTTAGATATTCGACGCGGCGAATACATCACTGGCTTCTTCGTGAGGTCCGGTCTATGGATAGATGGAATCCAGATCCTAACGAGTTTTGGAAGGAAGTCGCCCATCTACGGCAATGCGCATGGCGGATCTCCGTAAGTAGTGACTATTTCTATTCCACGCCTTGATGAATGTTGCTAACAAAATTACTTAGTCACACGCTTCTTCCACCACGCGGCTACACAGTCTGTGGAGTGACAGGATCCTGTGCAGCGTGGGTTGACGGTTTTGGCGTCCTCATCGCGCGATGAATAAGCCATTCGGTATAAACTCCGAATGAAGGATAGGGATAATGAATACAGGAAACTGCATTCATCCTAATGTCAGAATACCAACTACATCCCCGAGGGGTTTGATGGTTTTCGCATCTGCATATTCATTTTGTTACGGACGGCATAGTATCCCCGGCATACACAGGATTCGCTACCTGGGTTTTCTCTTGTCTGATTCGCTTCGCATCTAACATACATAATTACCGCATCATATTCGCGTTGGACCATAGGAGCGTCCAAGGAAAGGATCAGGTTTGATCCAGTGAGCATAGCAAGACGGGCAGGCAATCCGGTACCATTCTCATAGGTGGGAAACGGTTGGTTGTAGGACTCAGGGGTTGGCTTCATTGAGCTAAATCATTGGAGATATACAAGTCTAAGACGACGTAGGTGACGTTGTCGTTCGAAGGAGAATACCCTAATTATTTATGCCGACTTTTTTTTTCATCAGTCGAGCTAGTCGAGGAGATGAGGAGAGAGAGACAGCGGTGTTGCTACCCAAATCTTTGTACATAGGTAGTAAGCAACATCCAGGAACTAATAGTGTGTCTCTGTGAAAGAGAGAGGACCACCTGGAAGTGCGTCGTGTTATTTTGTGAATGGTTGATACTGCGTTGTCACATTAAGCAGTTGGTTGAATTAAATGAATGTGTATATACTACCCAATATGATTCGATAACTGACTAAGATATCTGGATCACCAGATACATACATACAAAACGAGATAGTTTCCTTATCAATGTTGAATATGACGACTTGAAAGCTGTAAGGTGATGGTGATGTTTGACATTACTGGTACGTACCTAGAGCTAGGTACGACCTGTAAAAAGTGTACGAAATACATCATTGATGGACAAAGGAACTTGCTGGTCACGGTTCTAACTAAGCCTCCCCCGCGCTTGTCCCAAGATAGACTAGCGGACCCTGGACGTGTCCAAATGACGGCATCAATGATGCTGCGCCTACCCGACGCCAAAATAGGTTCAAAAAAGTTGCCCAGTTCTGCTTCTAAGGTTTACTTTTTGCGACCTCCATTCGCTACATAGCTTCTTCTTGATTCAACCCCCGACAGTCAAATTCGCCGGTGTTGGAAAATACTGAATTAACGGAATCATCTACTGCTTTAGCACTTCAGAAGTAATCTGACTTCTTTTCCTACAAGAGGAGCATTTATTGCTACTCGGCGACGACAATCGACTACTTCAAGGTCCTCCACGCGAGAGACGAAAAGAAAGAATCGGGGAATAAAAGAAACTTAGTATCACGAATACAGCTTATCCGGTAATTCAAGTTGATATAAAGGAAAGATATATCGTCAGATTCCTGCAAACTGAACGAAAACGAAGGAAGTATCTTCCTCGGTCGATCGAGCGGTGTAGCAAGAAAAACCGAGACAGAAAGAATGTCGAAACGAACTGGCAGTGGCAGCAATGGTGCTGCATCCAAGATCAGTGCTGCGGAAGAGCCTTGTATGTCGTCTATCTAACCAATGTCGAGCGAATGAGCTTGCCCGGTAGTGATGAGGTAGCTTCCCAGGTACAATTTACTAACGATGCCGTTCTCATGTGTAGCATATAATAAGCAGAAGGATCTCCTATCCTCCAATACGGGCGGCCATTTTTCCCTGTTGAAGGCTCTACATATGGCAGACTACATTACCGAACTGAATGGTACTTATTACCTACCCATGTATTGTGTCATAAATGCTCGATAGCTAATGAATTGGGGTTTCCTCGCTACACAGGATTCTGCGGTATATCGTCCGTCTTCTCCTCCCTGCGCTACTGCCTTGGCGACCCCGCCGACAAGACGAATCTGTACCTCGCGCTCATCTTCCTACCCTTCGGACTGTTCTTCGACTTCATGGACGGCCGAGTCGCGCGGTGGCGGAAGAAGAGCAGTATGATGGGCCAAGAGCTGGATTCGCTGGCTGATCTGGTATGTCTCGCGCACACTTTCCCCTCCGTCCAGCTGCTTGGCGGGAATGCCTTTCACCCAATAGCTCCTCCCCGCACGCCGGCTATATCAGAGAAGGCGGGGCCAACGACATGATTATCTACAGAACAATTAGCTAATACAAACCCTACCTAGATATCCTTCGGTCTAGCTCCCGCCTGCGTCGCGTTCAGCATCGGAATGCGCACGCCCCTCGACCACATCCTGCTCACTATCTTCGTGCTCTGCGGGCTGACGCGGCTCGCGCGCTTCAACGTGACCGCGAACAGCGGCAACATCCCCAAGGACGCCTCGGGCAAGGCGAGCTATTTCGAGGGCACGCCCATCCCGACGACACTCGGCCTTGACGCAATGATGGCGTGGTGGGTTAGCAAGGGATGGGTCTTGGACCAGGTACCCGGCGGTGTCTGGTTCGAGGGATCCATACTGGAGGTCCATCCTGTCGTAGCGCTTTTCCTTGTCCACGGCTGCTTGATGTGTAGTAAGACGCTGCATGTGCCGAAGCCTTAGGACTGCCCTGCCTACATACATACCTGGGTATAGACAAGGGTTTAGGCCAGAGGTTTAGGGAACGAGACATCCATATGTATTTGTACCGCCACCTAGGTCTTTTTTTTTCTTTTCCGTCTTTGTTGATAAGGCTGCTCCGTTTATTTATTCGTGGTTTCTTTTCGGGTCGGGTGTGGGAGCAGGGGATGGGGATGGGGGGTTTTGCAGGGTCGGCGGTTTGATACCTACTACTTCTACCTAAAGTAATGATTAAGGGATACGTACGTACGGGAGAGGGGAATTTGCATGCATGCGTAGCGCCTGATTCCTTAATTTTCGGCGCTTTTTTTTAACGTTTGGCTGGGTGGGTTGATCGGGTGGTAAAAAGAAAAAAGAAAAGAGGGTACCTACAGAAAAGTAAAGAGAAAGGAAGAGGAGGAAAGAAAGGAGGGGGGGGAAGGGGAGGTGATAAGAGAAGACAGAAGAAGGAGAAAAGAGTAGAAATGGAAAGAGAAAACGCAAGGACGTGGACGTTGACGTTGATGCAGCATACGCGGCATGCGGTTAGGTATAGATTGGAATGATAACACCGAATAGAACGGCGCTTTCGGATTTGCTCCGCTCCGTATGATCTGACTTTATATTTAGGGGTGAAAGGTATTTATTCGTAGGGGATCTCAAAAAGGAGAGTGGCGAATGCTCTCCTCTCAAGTTGTCTGAGTTTCTGTAGGGGACGGACAACTTCCAGCATATGATGATGTGAGACATCATTGGTAGGAATAAGCCGTCTTCAGGCCGGGTCTATGTAACGCAACGCAACGTCGTCGGACTATCTAGTTAAAAATAACACTCACCAACTCGCCGACTCCGGTTCCTTTGTAGCATTGATCATCACGATATCTAGGGTCTTAGACATTCTACCCCATCTCTTGAATAAACTCTCTGAGAACCCCCTTCTCAGCAAGCGCCTTCACCCACTGATGTATTGCTGGCGTGTAGTCACGCTGCCGCCCGCGTACCGTCTCCACGGCCTCGTCCACAGTCGCCAGCTCGGCGACGTACTGTGCATTGAGGGAGTCCTGCTCCATCTTTAGTTCCTGAGCCAACTGCAACGCCGCCGCGGTGTCGAACTCGGGGTGGCTCGTCTTGGTCGTGAAGGATTCAGTGAGCTCGGCTTTTTTGAGACTCTCGGACGTCATGTTTCGTTGCCCTGGGCGCATGTTGGTGAATATCTCTGACGGGTCCGGGATGGTCCAGGCGGGATCATTGCTGAAGCGTTCGTGCAATGTGCGGGAACAAGCAAGGCTCGTTGCGAGCTCGGTACATAGCGTCTTAAGCGGCGATTGGCAGATCGCCAGGAGACTATACGATGAGAACTCGGAATTACGCACCATGCGCTCCTGGATAGCTGTGCTCGCTGTTTCGAGCCACGAGTCTTGAATACCCTCTATAATATTACTAAGGCGCAGTGGCTTTACGTGTAAGCCATCAAGTTCCCATATTTGGCCGTTCTTGGGTACATAGGCAATGTAATGATAATTTGTCTCGACACTAGCCTTCGAGCGCTTAGCGCGAGAGGACTTCTGTGTTCTCTTCTTTAATGACTCTTCGTACTTATTGTCAAGAGCTAAATCCTCAGCAAGGAGATCGATACGCCTTTTACTTCAAATTAAACGACTGTCTGTGGGTAATATTTAGAGTGACCAAAAGCGTACCTCGCAACTGAGTTATGAATACCCCGAATGAAGTCATTCCTATCGAGATCAGATCCTCGATGAGGCGGTGGTAATGTTTTAGTACAGTCCTTAAACTCCTGCAGTTGAGTGCCGAGATTGATGTCTTCTGCGTTCATAATGATATTCACAAGCGCAACAGTAGCGCAGGCATTGGCTGTTGTCTATATATACATTAGCTTATATGTAGTTTGAAAATCCAGTACGGGTGGTTTACCTGATTCGCGAACCAGAGACCATCAGGACAGTTCTCGCGGTTGTCATCGCTTGGCTCATTATCACTCTCATATTCGAATAAGAATATAAGCCCATGTACCGGCTTTCTATCTGTTATTAGCTCACGATGAATTGAGGATCTCTATTTGTGAACCTACGGCAGCAATCCTAATGTGTCTGCGTCGAGGCTGTATACTTCTTGGACTCTGAAATCCTCAGCCCCTAGCTCTTGCAACATCGCATTGAAGAAGCCCTACGGATGAGTTAGTCGGATAGTCATACGCACAGGAGCCCGGATAATTGACTAACGGGTTCAGATTCTAGTTCTACCCAACCTTCATATTCCTTACGCTCATCTGGATACATCTGAATTAGGACATCTTCGAGGATAGGGGCGACATCTTCCGGGATGATATTATCCGCAGCAACTTGGGCGGCCTTCCGCTTCGGGCGGGTTTGCTTGATAGCTGGTTGGGTAGGTGTCTCGGAGGTCAGATTGATATACTCTTCTTCATATCTAGAAGGTGGCTTTTTCAATCTTGTCGTACGCCGGACACCATCGTTTTCTTCGGGAGCTGGAACTGTTGTTTGGACAGGGGTTTGAGAGGGGAAATTGACGTGATCATCGTCGCATCTGAGGGGGGACTCATTCAAACTTTCCCTTTGGTCCGCTAGGGTTTCCAACCTGGTCTCGGGTGTAGCCATTAAAATGGTCTCAATTGATTGGTGTTACGTGATATCGGCGTAAAGATAATAGGGAGTCATGCGAAACGGGTAGAAAGTCGAGTGAAGATGAAGTGCTTGGTGAAAATTGATACCAAAGGCCAGAAGTAAGATTTCCTATCTGTCCCGGACAGAAATAATGGTGTGGGTTTTAAAAAAGAAGATAGCCCGAGGCGTTGGAAATAGATTCCTACGCAAGCTTGTGGGATATTTGGAAATGGAAAGCGCGGTTGTCCCTAAATTTGAGACTTCAGGGACATGTCCTGCTACAAAACACAGACCTTGACTCATACAATTCTGCAGGTAGTTAGCCTCTATGATTTACTTGTTTGTTTTTATATAAAGGGTTAGATTCGACTTACACACAGCCAGTGCGAAGTTCTGCGACTTGGGATTGGAAGTAATGATTAGGTAGATAAGGGGTTAAGATATGTCTTTAAAAAAAGGGGTAACTCAAAGAGGATGAAATCGCCAAAAGATGCGGTAAGAGTTTCTATTAGAGATTATGCTACCCATCTTGCTGAGCTTTCAGACTGGCGAGATCATGTTAACTATTTTTTGCTTGCTGAGTTAACCTTGACTCAGAGAGGCTTTGGGATTTGGGAAGCACGGAGACAAGTAACTTGAAACCTCATACCTCTATGAATACATCTTGCTGTTTCTTCTTGCCCTCTTCCTATGTATTTAGGAAATAGACCTTTGTATCCAAACGTCTTGACTTTGAGCTTGGTCTTATGCAACCCTTACTCAAAGTCAGTCTCTACCTTATTCTTTGTGCTAGAGAATGTCTTCTTGTGAGATCAAGGCTAGGTAAGATGTGACCAGATACCTGAGCTGGATTCAGGTGGGTGATGTGTGATGTGGTTGAATTGAAGCGACAAGGCTGATGTGACACAGTAATTTCGTTGTTCGAGCGATGTGATATTGTTATTTCCTAAGACTGCTGGATCGTCGTAGATCTAAGGAAGATGCAGGAAGAGATATCTTTGAAAATTGGAAATATGGGTTATCCTCAACCAAGATTATTTGATGTGGGTATTTAAGTATAAGTTTATAGTTTACATCTAGGGGGAAATGGAATATGAAAGAACGAAATATGGTATTCAAAGGTACAATGTTGGAAGGAAGAGGGAGCTCATGCAGGTGTATGTAGCTTCCCGGTTTCTATAGCTATCTGGTACGTACATGGTACCTACCATTTTCCATGGAGGTGAACGTTTGAACCTGCATATGAGCTCAAGTTCCCCACTTATCCTAAGCTTAAGCTCCCGGCTTGTTGTAGCTGCCCCGCAGATACGTACATTTGGAAAGAATCAAAAGCTAACAGCTGTTACCAGCTGGGTGTGATAGCTCCAATCTTGGCACCTTTCAGAAATTTGGACGTTCTTGACGCGGCGCGTCGTGATCCAATCTTTGCTGAGTTGGTATTTACGGATCACCTAAAAATTTCCGCCCACCCTGCAAGCTCATGCAAGCTTTGCCAGGTATTTACATCCCCATACCTCCCGTCTGCGTTTGTCCAAACAAACTGAACTGACATCTAGTCAATCCTTTTTTTTCCCTCGTAGTCATTTTGACTAATTACCACATCCGACCGCCACAAGGCGCCCTCCCTGCGATCGATCAACCGGCCGATCCTCTTGCCTGCGATTTTTATTACTGCTTCCTGATGGTTTGGCGTTGCCATCACGGAATGCGATGAATAATATTGGCACGCCGCTCGTGGGTGCTGGGGGTTACCCACAGACACCAGCCGCTGTCAGAGCACTACAGAATCAGCGTCAAGCTCAAGATGCTAGACCGAGGCAACCGCTGCCAGTTGCTCCAGAGAACCATCCGAATCTCGCACCGACTAGCCAACCCGTCATACCTCTAACTCTCATCGACGCACCAACTCAACGTTTCTATGCTTGCGCCGTTTACGTTGCCTTATTAGCATGGCGGTTCTACGACTGGGTACAGATGCTAGAAGATAATGGCGGATCTTTCTACTTCTTCTGCAAATGGATCCTTTTCGATTTCATTTTCTTCTTCTCCCTGCCTTCGTTGCGGATACCATGGCTAGAACTCTCTGCGCCGTCCACTTCTATGATATTCTTCGCGCATATGGTGTTTAACTGGCTTTTGATGTTTAATATCCCCGTACCTTGGCATGGATGGCTTCTGGGACTCGTCAAGATCTTCTATGACAAGGAACTTGCTATTTCAGAGCACAATGTTAAGGTCTCGAGCATTTTGCACAACTCGTCCCTTATCATGGGCAAGCAGATCATTAATATCCTTCCCGAAGGGTGAGTGATTTTGGAATTGCCTTGCGTGTATCGAACACCGCTAATATCTTGTTAGTTCTGCTCTTCTTAACCCCGAAAAGCAGCCCTACTGCCTAGGCCAAGGACAGAATATCGCAAGTGTACCTATCTACTTTAACGCCACCGTGCCTGTCGATGTCGAACTTATTCGCTTTGATCTAGAATCAGACAACCAAGAAGTAGTGAAGCTCAGCCGCAAAGAAATCAAGGAGATCGGCAAGCAATCCGCGAGGTCAATCGAAGATGGATCGTTGGGGATTTACAGATACGATATTACCTTGAAGAAACCCGGCGTCTACCAGCTAAATAGGGTTCTCGATGAGTATAAGCTCGAGGTTCAGAGAATCACCGAGCCTACATACATCGTTCCTTGCCCCAGGGCCAAGGTCCGGACGGCACAATCGTCAACAAAGTGTCTTGGCGAACTATCTAACTTGTCACTTGACGTTTACGGAACACCGCCTATGAAGATAGTTTACAGTCGGACAATCAATGGCAAAGACCACAGCTTCCATTTCCAGAGCCTGCAACCTGATGGATTCACGTCACCTTTGATTGGTCCTCAACGATCATCCGGCATAATGCCTTTGGGCGAAGAGGACTATAGTTGGGCCAGGCCCCGGACGGTCGAGGTCGGCCTGAATGAATCGATGACTACCCAGGGAGAATGGCAATACTCTATCGATGAGGTTCATGACGTTTTTGGAAATGTCATCCAGTATCCCCAGCCTGAGGACCCGGATGCGAAGCCTAAACCGAAGCATCTGTACCAGAACTTCGAAGTCAGGGAACGCCCTAGAGCTACCATCGTGGGCTGTGACCTTCGCCATCCGCTTAAAGTTGCAAAAGGAAAAACAGCAAAACTTCCTATTGAGATCGGACGTCCGGGTCAGACTCCGCCAAGCGCCTCGCATACTTTAACCTGGCACTTCTCCCCGATTAACACGCTTACAAAGAGTGGTGATCACGGAGATGTCGTTGAGGTTGGTTCTTTCACCGCTAAGAGTGCGAGCGACCAGCCTACAATTTCTGCGCCGGGATTGTACACCCTCAAGTCCGTGTCTTGTGACTCTTGCGAAGGAGAGATCGAGGAACCATCATCTTGCCTGCTGCTTAACCCTCTTGAGCCTACGTTGACCATCTCATCCGAGGAGATCCCAGATAAATGCGCCGGCAACTCTATTGGACTTCGTGTCAATCTGGATATGATCGGAACGCCTCCGTTTAGGATCGCATACACCGTCAGCAGCGATACTGAACAGAATAGGAGGGAGACGGTCGAGATCAAGGGTCTTCGGCAACAGATTGACCTGCTTCCAAGGAATGCCGGGCGCTATCAATATCGGTTCAGGAGACTCGAAGATGCTATCTATAGCGTGCCTTTACCTTTATCGGACGAGTACTACCTGGAACAGAATGTCAAGCCGCCCGCAACAGCGTACTTCAGACAAGGACCTCGCACTATTAACGCTTGCCTTGACCAGCCAGTCAAACTGGATGTCAATCTTCTCGGGGATGGTCCTTTCACTCTAGAATGGGAACTGATTCACGAAGGCAAAAGAAAGTCTGAAAAAGCAACCGGCATCACCACCGATACCTTTACTATAGAGACCGCTCCCTTATCCACCGGTGGAGAGTATACTCTGGCCTTGAAGAGCATCCAGGATAAGACCGGATGTCGTATCTTTCTCAAGGAAGAGTATAAGATCTCGGTACGACGCCAACGGCCACGTGCTGCGTTTGGTCTTCTCGAGGGTAAAGCCTCAACTACAGTTGTTGAGGCTGCCCCTGTCAACCTTCCTCTGAAGCTTTCCGGTGACGGACCCTGGAGAGTGGGATACCGGAACTTGAACAGCAGTTCTAGCGAAAGGCTTATTCGTGTTGCACGGTCTGGCAATGACTATATCGAAGCAAAGGAGCTAGGCACATATGAGATTATCGATGTGATGGATGATCAGTGTCCCGGGACTATCAATCCCAAAGCTAAGACCTTTGAAGTTAAATGGTTCCCGCGCCCCGAATTGTCATTTATGCCGAGCGATGCCATCGAGCCGATCGAAAAGGACAATAAGTTCGTCAAGAAAGACGTCTGTGAAGGCGACGTCGACGGATTTGAAGTCGCCCTCAAAGGTAAATTTGCTTCGTGCTTACATTCTTCGCAGTTGATTGTTCTAACAAAAGTTTTAGGTTCTCCTCCGTACCACGTCGAGTATGAAGTCAGACATAAACCCAAGTCGGGTGGAGTTTCTATCACTCGAAAAGAATTCGATGCTGCCCTTGGAAAAGCAGCCATCTCACTAGACACGACCAAGGCTGGATTATACACCTACACGTTCTCCGGTCTATCGGACAATCTCTACAACGATAAGAAACATTCTGAGCCCCTAACGCTAGAGCAGACTGTTAATGCCAAGCCATCTGCTTCTTTTGTTAAACCTGGCCAGACAATCAAAATGTGTATGTCTGACGATGGACCGAACGAAACGATTCCTATCAAACTGGAAGGCAAGGCGCCGTTCTATGTCGAGGTTGAAATCAAGCAGCATTCCGGAAATCTACCCGAGATTTTCAGAATTCCCAACATCCAGACCAACAATTACGGAATTCAAATTCCCAGACAGTACCTGAAACTTGGAGGTCAGCAGATCAGAATCCGCAAGGTACGCGATGATCGTGGCTGTCAGCAGAAGACGGAGAGCGGTGGCGGTGTGGTTCATATTCAACTCTATGAAGCCCCGTCTATCTACCCACTTGAACAACGAACCGATTACTGCGTTGGCGAGCGCATTGCATACACCCTGTCAGGCACGCCTCCGTTCGAGGTGCATTACGAGTTTGCAGGAAAGCAAATGAAGGCCAAATCCCAAACGACCAACTTCCGCCGTATTGCCGAATCTCCCGGTGACTTTACGATTACCAGCATCAGCGATAAAGGTAGTGAATGTCGCGCTGCTGTTAATCTAGCTAAGTCCATCCATCCCATGCCGAGCGTTAGGATTAGCAAGGGTCGTGTTATCCAGGTAGACATACACGAAGGAAGCGAGGTCGAAATCCTATTTGAGTTCTGGGGCACGCCACCCTTCGAATTCACGTATACCCGTAGTACCAACGCAAGAAAGGGACAGAAGAGTCAAATTCTAGAGACACGCCACGATATCAGCTACGAGCATAGCAAGGTGATTACAGCGAGCCTGGAAGGCACGTATGAAGTCGTGGCAATCAAGGACCAGCACTGTGCCTTCTCGACGATAGGTCCGGAGGGGAGGGACAAGGGGCAGAAGTCACTGAAGTATTAAGGGAGTTTCCTATCTTGGGGGGATGATTGGCGTGGATGTGGATTTGGGCGCTACCGAGTTGGCGTACGAATGAAAAAGAAATTTGGACACAGACGCGGGAACGAACTGATCCACGAGAACGCATGAGTGGACGTAATGTAGAACGGCGAAGGATGTGTGCCGATGAGGATGGGCTATGTGTGAGCCCTCTGGCATTGCATGAGCATGGCGTTTTGGTAGGATAACCAGCTTTCACCGCTGATGGATTGCGGCAGCAAGCAAATGCAAACCAAATAAATGTTTTTCCTCTTGTAAGTTCATGAGCAGATTATCTGGATTTGAGGTCGGCATGTCGTGATGTTGATGGTAGGGGTGTTAATGCTGGGTGTGTTGTTGAGTCACCGACTTTATCAAGGGACAAACAGTGGACCTTACGAATGACGCTTATCGGTTTAAAATACAAGAGAATTCGAAGGCAGCTTTTTCTGCATGTTACTTGGGATCAGGAATGGATTTCTCGACTATAGGTTGCGTTACACCACACGCCTTCGAGAACATCCATACTGGTCGGTGTGATAGCCATAAGTGAGGCGGAATAGGAGACGCCACCGATTATACTGGAGAATAGACCCAAAGTTTGACAGCATCACTTGTCCTCGGATTCATTTATCACAGAGCTTGTAGGATCCCAATCCCGGCATCGGGCAAAAGAGTCGTTCTGGTAGTCTAGATGCCGCCGTAGTACGTCGCATCCCGTCAATTCCGTAAGATCGGTTTAACATAGGTATACACTCGCCTTGTCTACAGTAGCGCCGATCTGATTAGATCGTGGATATTCTGTCGACCCTATGACTCTACGGTATAGGGCTAAGGATAGGCTACTAAATTCGCTGCTTAGAATTGTTAAGATATACAAGTGATGTACGAAACGGTGTCTACTGTAGCCTCACTTTTTCCTCATTGACATAATTCGACGTATACAGTTCACATAAATTTCTATAACTATATGATCACTGATTTAAGGCAGGAGTCTTCCGTCCTCCTTGTCTCCCAAGAACCGCTAAGCTCTTAGACTATTACACTATCAATACTTCCGACGACTAGTTGCTTTAACGGTTAGACCTCTATCCGCGCGGGATGGGATCTACGATATCTTCATGCAACTAGTATGCTTTCGGGAGAAGGGTCGAGTTACTAGCTCATCCAGCCTACCTAGTATTTCCGTATTATTTCCTAGGCTTCTAACGACTAACTCGATAACGCCCATTATTAACTGGCTCGGGACTATGGAGATACGACACGAGAACCAGCAGAACTTCCTGGCAACCCGTAGCATGTATTGATCTACTCTTTTTGGTGATGGCATTAATCGCGGTGTTCTAGTGTCAAGTCCATAAGAATCTACTTGCCTTTCAAGTTGAGAAAAGGGAATTACATAGCGCAGAGTAATTGGGTGAACATAGACTTGCTTGGATACTGGCTGGCTGGTTGTCCCGAATCCCTGGTATTTGCCATCTTGGTAACGGACCGCTAGAGTAGAATGATATAGGACTAGCCAGTCTCCTATACCTCACGAGGTTAGCCGTCTCCCTCACCCTGAAAGCCGTTTAAGCCTCTAACGCTGTTGAAGGCATGTCATCTCCACTTGGCTCATTCTTGGCCCCTGGGGTCAGTTACTGACCGCAATGGTCTTGCCGAGGCACTTCAATAATATGTATATATCTACATATATCTGTATCTCCTGTTGAAACCTACGCAATGCTCCTCGGACTGCAAACTATCTCCGTCACGACATTGCCGTCGTAGTGGAAAACCGGAATCCATCGTATGATAAAACGACGAGTTACCGGTTGCGGGTGACGGGGATGCTATCCTCCCAATCACACAGCTCGATCGAAACAGGGCCGCCTCTACCCCGGATTAACAAGATCCTACCACCCTTCGTATCTTCAATCACGCGCGCTCGATATCCGGGCGGTGGCAGGGCCGGGATCTTGCTATTGCCGTTGTATTCTTGTTTCAGGAGCGTCTGTGAGTTTGACACAGAACCTGCATATCGGCTGTCCAATAAACATCCGTTCCCTGACGTCTTTTAGTACCGTGCACCGCCCGGTCAAAGTGTTTCTGGTTCGATCTCCTTTCCGGTTGGTCAACCTGGAACGGCCTGGTTTTAATCACGAACCGTTTGCTGGAAGACTTGTTAATAAAATCGAGGCTGACGATCTGAAGCCTCATCCTGTTAACTCGTTATATTGTCACCTACTTCTGTTAGGGACTGCTCATTAACATCCTCGAGTTTGCCCTCGTTGTCAGCGTCGTTTTCTTGACTGCAAGGGTTACATCTAGGGCTGGGGGCTTGGCATTCTACTCCGGCGACCTGGATTTTCGCAACGAGCCGAAGTTCACAGCCACCCTCGCACATCCAAATCCAGCTAAAACTCTTAGGATACAATTCTAAGGGTATTCGGAGTCTCTATAAAACTGCATAGACTCTAGTCCATCTATAATTCTGTTAGTTGAAGAGAATATCGAGAGTTACCGCAAGGATAATTATCCTCCAATCATCAAGATGGTGTACTGCGGAAAGCCCTCAAAGGGTTGTCAGATGTGTAGGACGAGAAGAATCAAGGTAAGTTGCCGATTGGACTCAACTTATCCTCGCAAACTAACCAACGTTTCTCCCACAACGCAACAGTGCGACGAGACAAAGCCTACTTGCAACCAATGCGCGAAATCGCGAAGACAATGTCCTGGGTACAAGGACGAATTTGACCTCGTCTTCAGAAACGAGACGCAGGCCACAGAACGCAGAGCACGGAGAGCCGGTAAGAAAAGCCTGTCGCAAAAGACAGTAAAACCAGACCCGGACTCTCCTTCGCGAGACCTAACCGTGTCTCCGCTCTTCGCCGACAGCATCAAATCGCAGCTAGCCCAGGCCATCATCCCCTCGCTCAACGTGCCCGTCGAGCACCAAGCCAGCTGCCACTTCGTGTCCAACTTCATCCTGGTGCCGCCCGAGGGCGAGGGCCACACGCGCGGCTTCATGGACTTCATCATTCCTTTGCTGAAATCGGATCCGCACGGCCACTTGCAACACGCGTTCAGCGCGTGCTCCATGGCTTTCCTGAATAACCGCGGGGGCGTGGCGGATAGGTTCTCGGATAGGGCGCTGCACGAGTATACGAAGGCGCTCAATGGCACGAACGCGGCGCTGCGGAATCCGGATACGCAGTTAGCGGATTCGACGCTGGCGGCGGTGCTGTTGTTGGGGTTGTTTGAGGTATGTTCATCTTGCCGGGAGGGTTCGAGGGTGATTTGTGTACTAACGTATTGTTACTACGCGTAGAGTATCACAGCCAAACAAATCGGCATGCTGAATTGGGGTTCGCATACCGAGGGCGCTATCCAGCTCGTCAAAGCCCGGGGGAAGAAGCAGCTCAAGACTAAGGTTGGGCTGACGCTGTTCATCGCCGTGAGGACTCAGATGGTCTGTCAACCTCTACCCCTTTTATCTACTATCACCTACCTACCCACCTACCTACCTACCTACCTACCTAAAAAGGGATGCATTTACCACGTACTAACACAGAACCAGATAATCCACAGCCTCACATCAGGCACAACCCCCATCATGGGCGCCGAATGGTGGATCGACGACGCGGTGCGCGACGGCACGGCAGCCAAATGCCACCGCCTAATGATCAAGACAGGCGAGCTGCGCGCCGAAGTGACGCGGCTGATGAACAGCATGTCGCGGACGCCGCGCAACATCGAGGTCATGCTAGAGATGATCCGCCGCCTGCAAGCGATGGACCAAGAAGTCGTGTCGTGGATGCGCGGGGTGCCCCCTTCGTGGCGGTACCGCACGGTGGCGTGGGAGGACAGCGTGCCCAGCGGCGGCGACTACGCGCGCGCCGAGGTGTTCCCGGGTAGGATCGATATGTACCGCGACTTCTACATCGCGAGCGTGTGGAACACGGGCCGCACGGCGCGGCTCGTGCTCATGAGCCTCGTCGTGCGGTGCGCTGCTTGGGCGTGCAGTCCTGTTGATTATAGGACGACGAGGGAGTATGCGACGGCGGCGCGGACGTGTGTTGATACGATTACGGATGTGATTGCGAGCGTGCCGTATCATCTGGGCTGGCACTTGAAGGAGGGGAATCGGAGAAGGATTCGCCAGTTCTTGAGACATCAGCGACAACAGCAGCAGCAGCAGCAGCAACAGTACGACGACGGTTCCAGTTTCCACCTCGGGCTTGGCTTAGCCGATAGCGCGGAGGACGACGACGACGTGCTAGGCTTCAACAGCAACGACTCCGGCTCGTTCGCGTGCGGAGAAGCGAACCACGTCAAAGCGCTGGCGGGCTACTTCCTAACCTGGCCGCTGACGTGCCTCAACAGCCAGGACTACACGACGGACGCGCAGCGGTCCTGGGTGCAGGGCCGGCTGGGCGTCATCGGCGACGAGCTGGGCGTCAAGTACGCGCACATCCTCAAGCAGCTGCAGATCCGCATCCCGTCGATGCTGATCCGCCGCGACGGCCTCATGGCGAGCCCGTACGGCGCCGCGCACGATTACCTGAGGTTGGTGAGCGAGGCGCGGAGGGCGAGGAAGATGCAGGAACTGCAGGAGCAGCAGCAGCAAAGGTTATGTATGGGTATGAATATGAGTATGGACATGAACATGAACATGAATATGAATATAGGACTGGGACTGGGAGCGCAGCAGGGGGCGCAGTGGCAGGAGTATGGGGTTGATGGAGCGGACTGCGGCGTGGGGGCGCAGTTGCTGTCGCCAGCGAGTAGTAGTAGCGGTAGTACGAGCCCGCTGGAGCACGCGGAGGCGCTGCAGAAGGAGAGGTTCGAGATACACCGCGCGGAGCTACTGGCGCGGGCTGCGGGAGGACGGGATGCTGGAGAAGGGGCCAAGTGGGTTGCGCAGAAGTGGCTCACCGTGTGATATCTCATCAAACCAGCTTGGGGGGGGGAGTTACATCAGGGGGGTGCTTCGATTTAGAGCGGCCATTCACGACATCTCCTGTCCACTGGAGGGGAGTTCCGAGTTTTTATTTCGTCTTCGAGAGCGTGTTCACATTATGATCTATCATCGACTTGTAGGCTTAAGGGGCTAGGATATTGGAAAGGTTGGAAGTGCGCACAGGTTATAGTTGCGGTGGAAATGGTCCCTGGTCACGACACGGTTTATATGCTCTTGAAATGGGCATTGTTATATGTAAGCGTAGGAGCGTTAAATAGTAAGGAGATAGGCAAAAACTCGACATCTGCTATGAGCACTACATTATGCACGATACCGCAGGAATATGCAAGATGATGATCCACGAAACTCATCAACCTCTCAACGCCATTGATATATAGTGATATATCCCCAATTTACTCACTTTTCCTCGGTTTAGACAAAATTAGTAGCACGAGATCATGGGGCTTTATGAAGCTTGTGTATCGGATGCGACCTCAAGCAGTTGAACCAGGCGACCTTGACAATGGTCATGAGAATGAATGAATTCGCAAATGTTTCATTGCTGTTGGTACAAAGAAGTAGACTGTAAACACCGAATCCTCTCGTCTCTGTTCATAAAAGGCCCATCTAACCTTTAGCCAGGGTATCATCGTATATCGTATAAGGCCTCCTTGCGCAATCATCCTCCAGTAACCGTGCGTGCCTAGGTGAGTTTGAATCAATCGTGGTGTTTCGTCGATATGTGGCCTCGCGTCTTGTGATTTCGCGATCGCGTAGGCACAAGTGATTTGATAAGCGTAGAACATGTGAGCAGGTCCACCTGAATCGCATAGCTCTAGCGGAGGCCTCCAGAGCTTTGCGAAAAAGAAAAACCGAATGTCTCACAAGCATAATCTAGACCAGACAAGCCCGCAACGGCGCGGAACGTCCCTCAATCCCCCCTTGCTTATTTTCTCTTAACTGCTGATGGATTGGGCGTACTCATATTCCAGGCTTTCACGACCCAGCTCTGTGTCGCGTCGACGTAACTCTCCTGCTCGACATGCTTGACGCCAACTTTGAGCCCGTCTTTGGTAAAGACTACGTTCTTCTTGGCCATGCGCTTCTCGGTGCTTTCCCGAATCTTGGCGACGCTAAGGTAGATCTGATAACCAACGAAACCGGCGCCGCCCACGACAACGAGGAGGATTAGGAGAGGTAGAAGCTGTCTGATAGGGGAGTAAGCGATTGTGCTTATGTTAGTGAATGATATCTTACGAAGGATCGCGTGCCTGGTGGCTTAGGTGTTAAGTGGTAGATAATAGATAAGATGTTGTACCTGAAAGTTGAGGGTTTGGCCTCAATCCGAGGTGATTTGCTTTTCCAAACCATGGTTATCGATCCGAACTATCGATGCGATCTTGATTCTTGATTGGTATAGAGCGAGTATCTGAGTATGGTTATATCTTGAATCCGCAAACCTCACGAGAACAATGAAATGAGAGAAGGATCAATTCCTCGGTGGCGACAAACAATCTGCAATCTGGAATAGGGATTATAAGTGTTCTAGGTAAGAATAAGTTACAAACAGGGAAATGTCACAAACAGAGAAATTGGTAGAAATATACACCTCTTTAAACCTATGGTGATCTGTAGGGCAGAGAAGAAAGATCGAGTCTAGACTTCCAGAGAAAAGGTGCAAAAGGTGTAGGTCTCAGCCGAAAGCGAATACTTCCCCAAGAATGATTATAACATGTGCTTCCATCCTCGATGAATCGCAGCAAACCGCTAACAGGCAATGCTAAAATTAGGCGGATACTAGGTACGCCGCTAAATATGTAGGACAAGGGGAACCTGGAAACCCATCTAAGCCTTCTAGCCTTCCCAATCGAGGTTTGTTACGCAGGATTCCATGATTCCAAGCAGGAAGTTCGGCACCTTTGTACATGATCAGATCTGGCTTGGTGCTTACGCAGTTATGGGAAATATTCATTAAAGTGGACAGGTGGGGTAACGGGTTAGGGATAGGAATAATTGAGGGTCCGATCGATAAGTAGACGTATCTGGTACTAGGTACACAAACCGAGGCTGAGCTGCTGTGGCTGCTTGAAGTACCTACCTACTTACTACGTAGTACCTTACCTGTAAAGATGGAAGGGACTGTAGATGAGGTCCATTAAACAGCTCACGTGACTCTATATAGCTCACATCTAACCTAATCCTAGCATAGCTCCGATCTAAATGAGGTCAAGCTGGCATCTGGCTGGTAAAATGCTAAGGTACCTACTGGTAAGGAAAGAACAGAAAAAAAAGCTTGGACCAATTCAAATCCCAGCCCAGCCTGCCCGCCCGCCTCTTTAGAGGGCCGCCCACCATTTTTATTGCAACTCTGTCGAATCACAGCGTCATTTGGCTTGTGAATTTGAACAAGTTGCTAAATTCCGGCAACATCAAGATCGTAAAGGACCAAAAGCCCAAAATGACGGCCTTGTAAAGTCATATATCATAGTCATTTGTTGTTTTAACATTTTCCCCTTTTCTTCTCCCTTCCCCTCTGTTTTACGATATTAAACTGTTGAATCGTGTAGGACGATCACTAGCAGTTAGCAGGGTTTCTCCATTCTTAAGCTGCTAGTACTCAACTGTTAATCTGTTAGTACTCAAAAACGTGGCCTCCGCCGAAATCCATCATCCCTCCAGCCCACCAGCCCTCCTATCGAATCGTGGCCACAAGCCCTACAGTCGGTAACCCAGCAACCACCACCACGTTCCACCTCCTTAACCAACTAGACTCGCAGATTCACTATCTCTCCTCGACCATATCACGTCAGGTCTAGTGCGCACCGAATTGCTACGATCGAGAGAAAAGAATTGTCCGGCACGTAAGAGGAAGAAGAAAGGCGGGATTCAACACAGGCCAGGTCGGCATTATATAACTGACCGCTTGCGCCAAGATGGCTGCTCCTAACGACGGCTACGGCCAATATCCTCCTCAGCAGTATGGCCAGGAGGTGCCGTACACCGATCAACCACAAGGTGCCGCATACGAAGGACAGACCACATCGCCTCCTCCGCAACAAGCCGCATCGCATCATAAGAAGAAGAGAGGCTATGCCACTCAAGCGTTCGAGTTTGGAAGCGGCGCAAATGCCGGCGCTACCGGCCCAACCGCTGCCGGTATGCCCCCGCCCGCCTTTGGAGCTCCTGGTCAAGCACCGCAGCCTTCGCCGGGTTATGGCGCCTATCCTGGCCAGGAGTACCAGCAGGGCGGGTATATCTCCCCCGGAGCCGCGCCGTCACCGTACGGCGCCCCTCAGCAACCAGGCACTCCTGCTCAGCCAGGAATGGGCTATCAAGCTCCCGATCCTTACCACCAGCCGGCAACTGGATATCCAGCTCCGGGTGTCGCTGGCATAACCCAGGGAATGGCTGGTATGAACATGGGCGCGGCACCTCAGCCCGGCGTTCAACCACCCGGTCAGCAAGCTCGGCTCGCCTTGAACCAGCTCTATCCCACCGACCTCCTAAACCAGCCTTTCAACGTCTCAGAACTCGACCTACCCCCTCCTCCTTGCATCCTGCCACCAAATGTGAGTGCTATGGATAACCGATTGACGTACCTAGCAGTCGATACTAATTTTTATCGTAGGCTAGCGTTACTCAGTCCCCCGATGCAAACTGCCCTCCAAAATATATTCGATCTACCTTGAATGCCGTTCCGACTACGCATTCTCTACTAAAGAAGTCCAAGCTACCATTTGCTCTCGTCATCCAGCCGTATGCCGCTCTTCATGACATCGATGACCCCGTCCCAGTTGTGCAGGATCAGGTCATTGCCCGATGCCGAAGATGTAGGACATACATCAACCCTTATGTGATATTCCTGGACCAGGGCCACAGGTGGAGGTGTAATATGTGCAATCTTACCAACGACGTACCGCAAGCGTTCGACTGGGATGCCGCCGCCCAGAAGAGCGTTAACCGGTGGGATAGACATGAGTTAAACCACGCCGTGGTCGAGTTTGTAGCGCCTCAGGAATATATGGTCCGTCCTCCGCAGCCGCTCGTGTATCTTTTCCTTTTCGACGTTAGCTATGCTGCTGTCTCTACCGGGCTTCTTGCTACGAGCGCGCGAACCATTCTGGACAGTCTTAACAGGATACCCAATGCCGATCGACGGACTCGACTGGGATTTATCGCGGTCGACTCGAGCTTGCATTATTTCTCTATACCCAAAGATGACGAGGAAAACGCAGAGACGACCATGTTGGTGATAAGTGACCTAGATGAGCCGTTCCTGCCCGTTCCTCAGGACCTTCTAGTTCCCTTAATAGAGAGCCGGAACAGCATCGAAAACTTCCTGGCTAAGCTACCCGATATGTTCCAAAACAACCAGAGCAATGGTTCGTGTATGGGATCGGCCCTGAGAGCCGGCCACAAGCTCATCTCACCACTCGGTGGTAAGATTGTGGTTCTAAGTGCTTCGTTGCCAAACCTGGGAGTTGGGAAGCTAGATATGCGAGAGGACAAGAAGCTTCTTGGCACATCTAAAGAAAGCGGTCTTCTTCAAACTGCCAACAGCTTCTACAAATCATTTGCCGTTGAGTGCTCCAAAAACCAGGTTTCTATCGACATGTTCCTCTTTTCCTCGCAATACCAGGATGTAGCCTCGCTGAGCAACCTCCCTCGATACACCGGCGGTCAAACTTGGTTCTATCCTGGATGGAATGCTGGTCGTGCCGAGGATGCTGTCAAGTTTGCTTCAGAGTTTAGCGATTTTCTATCTTCGGAGATTGGTCTAGAGGCAGTGCTCAGGGTGCGAGCTACCACCGGACTACGCATGAGCACATTTTACGGAAACTTCTTCAATAGGTCTTCAGACCTATGTGCTTTCCCGGCATTCCCCCGCGACCAGTGCTACGTGGTCGAAGTGGCTATTGACGAAACTCTACAGAAGAACTATGTTTGTCTGCAAGCCGGTGTTTTGTACACCACTTGTAACGGCGAACGACGTATCCGTGTCATGACGCTCGCGATCCCCACTACAACTAATCTTGCAGATGTGTACGCTTCAGCAGATCAGTGCGCTATCACGACTTACTTTACTCACAAGGCTGTCGAAAGAGCACTGAGCAGCGGTTTAGATGCTGCCCGCGACGCTCTTCAGAGCAAGCTGATCGAGCTTCTACAGACTTTCAAGAAGGAACTTGGGGGTGGAAGCATGGGAGGTGGTGGGCTACAATTTCCTGCTAACTTACGCGGGCTTCCTGTGCTCTTCTTGGGTTTGATCAAGCACGTCGGTCTTCGAAAATCAGCACAGATCCCATCCGATCTCAGATCCGCAGCTCTATGTCAGCTTTCTACGTTACCCCTACCGCTTCTGATGCAGTATATTTACCCTCATCTGTACTCGCTTCACGATATGCCCGATAATGCCGGAGTCCCCGATCCGGAGACGAGCCAAATTGTTCTTCCGCCGCCCCTGAACCTGTCATCCGAGCGATTTGTCTCATACGGTCTATACCTAATCGACGATGGTACAACGCAATTCTTGTGGGTTGGCAGGGACGCTGTACCGCAACTATTGATGGACGTTTTTGGTGTAGCAGATCGTACACAGCTACGCGTTGGCAAGGGGTCGATTCCAGAATTAGACAACGACTTCAACGAACGGGTACGGGCCATCATTTCAAAGAGCCGGGACCACCTGTCGCGTGGGGTTGGCAGCATCATCGTGCCGCATCTATATATCGTGCGGGAAGACGGCGAACCAAGCTTGAAACTCTGGGCTCAAACACTGCTTGTGGAGGACCGGGCAGACCAAGGAATGAGCTTCGGCCAGTGGATGGGGAACATGAGAGAAAAGGTAAGTTAAAGGAGCCTCTGATCAAAGCCTAGCTTCAACCCTAGTTCCAATTGTCATGCTCATCTTTCGTCATTTGCAGGTTGTGCAGTAGCAAAGGGGGAGGGGCCCGTAAGCGATAACTTGTATAGAGGGAATAGATATTTGCTACCAGAACCCAAGAAAACAAAAACATAAGGAATGTTAAAGTTAAAGATGAGCGAGCTTTTCTATTCCAGACTTCAGACTTGAGACTTGGAATGAAAACCGAAATACCGGAATATTGGCATGTCATGATGAAGTAGCTAGCTATCGCTAAAGAGTAGAGTGAAATGGCGTGTGCTTCCGATAGGAAGGTAGGAGGTATGCAGGCCCGTAGGCATTTATTTAGTAATAGGTCGAAGAGTAGCTTTATGTCGGCGCCAGAGGCTGATGTTCTTGGTTCGATCTGTGTAGTGTGCGGCTGTGTTTAGTCTCTATCTGTGTATATGGGTGAGTGAGCTGGAGACTGATTATGTTGTGTACGTAGGTATGTGCCTGGGTATTTTGATGTATACCTAAAGTAGGTACCTAGGTAGAAAGGACTAAAAGTAGAATGAATGGCGAACTGCTGATATTTCTAAGGCCTACAATTCTTAGTCAGATACGTAGATGCGTGTGGATGATGGTGAGTGGTCGTTGTTCTGCTGCTTGGACTTGGGGAAAGAGCAAGATAGTGGGCAAGCCCGTTATTAGTACGCCTTTCTGTGTTTGGTTGGCGTGTAAGCTTAGTTGAAGAGGTTTTTTCTTCCCTCCTTGTGGCTAGGGGATATATGTTGAGGCGAGTCCTTGGGTGTGTTTATCAAAGATATTGAACTTGGGAAACCCTTTATATGGGAATATTCCTTCCTTTCTTATTTTTCTTCCATTTTCAACCATAGTGTCTATGAGACCGCTAGATGTGATTATAATATATGAGCATTGTCGTGGTTCGTGGTTGATAGGTGGGTAAGAATCTATGTTATCTAGCCTTTTGAATAGGACTTGTCCATGGTTTTATGAGAACGCCAGCATTGACACGGTAGAAGGTTAATATTCCATGATTTATACTGGACAAACTGGAAGTCATACCATCTTAAGGATATCTTCAATGCTTTCAAGCTTCATATAAAGCGTTCAGAGTATGCCGGTAAAGAGGACCATGAACTAAAGTTGATAGATCAACTATAAGACCACACGCGTTTCTTCTGAGAGGAAAGTTGATATCATAAATCACATAGAATTTTAGCTTAGATAGCTAATTGTGCTAGCTTTTCATAGTCGAATTGCTGTTTCCCTAGATTAGGAGCTTAGATTAGGCCGGTTTAGCGCGGATCTCTAAATGAACATGCTCATACAGTCCAGATATTCCATTAGAAATTAGTCTTTTCATCTATGTGGCATGTTCTTTCCATTAGTAGCTAAGATCGTGTGATATCGCGGAAGAGAATACAAGGTATTCTGTATAATGGTAGTTGCTGTCGTTCCCGGCCGTTATTTATGACGGTAACTCGAATTACATGCCCTTCCCCTGATATTGGGTCATTTAGCCTTCTCTGTCGGCCGTATAAATGGACTTAGCACTATGGCAGGTGTTGAGACATGCAGCAACTATACGATTCCTTCAAGGCTATGCCAGCCACTTAAATATTCCAGCCCGTCCCGATAATCTGGTTATTGGATGACGTAGCGGATATATGACTATCATAGCCACCATGTAGGCGCCTCGGTTCCTTCAACAAAGCCGAAGCCACTCCTAAGCGATTCCTAGAACCACGACAGACTTTATTGCTCCTTCGTATTACGGGAAGGATTCTGTGAGATACTGCGTGCTGATATTCAGATTGATATTCGTAAGTAAGTGGCCGAGAGGCAGCCCGTGCCGAGGATTCCTTGAACCCATGGTCACATCTGTACCGGCCAGTCATGAAACGGACCAGGGGAGAGTGCCGGAAGACTTTAAAACACACGCGCCCACCTGCGGTGTGCGGCGCTTACGCTGGGGTATGATTGGACAACCAGACGTATCTTGCAGTCTATCAGAGCACGAGGGTATTCTTGTACTTTTGGTTGCGTTGCTCGGGCGCTTACAAGGAGACGGGAACCTTGCAATTGAGTTGAGTAGATAAGATACTGTTAGAGACTACACTAGAGAAACAACGTGGAAGCGCCGCCCTTCTGCTGTGATAGGGGTTTCTTCGTGGTTTATAACGTCGAACAATTGAAAGTAGTTAAAGTTTGAGAAGTTAGATCGGTGCCGTTTCATCGGTTCGGTTCTACATGTAGGTAAGCTTCAATCTAACGTTTATGATTTGGTACCTGTATGCAGGTGACAGGAACGGAAACAGTAACAGGAATACAAGGATGACACACACAGTGCGATGCAGAGAAAAAGTTCTTCTGTTAGCGAAGGGACCCCACGAGAAGTATCAGTTTTGTATTGTTTTCGTACTATGTATACGCCATACATGGATACCTCCAAGGTTGATCCCTTTACCCCTCCGACCCCACTGTCTCTCCTATCAATTCTCCTAGCTCTTACCCCTCCCCTCCCCTTTCCAATTCCATCACACTCCGCCGTCCCATCTCGAGTCAAACTTAAAACACACTGCCTGGCACCTATGCCGTGCCCGTGATATGCTTGTTTGTAGGTCTGGAAAGCGGCAACTCCCTTCCCTTTTTTGCTCATAAAATCGATTTCACTTGCCCAATCCTATGACAAGCCAACCGATTTTAGATCCCACGTGGGGAATTACCCGGAGCTAGTATCTCAAAAAGGGTTTTTAGTTAACTTAGCTAAGTTAGATGGAGAGTTAGAATAAGAGAAAGAAGGGAAAAAAGGACCATGACCATCCAATTGATCTTGTGAATTTGCACGACCCTTGTTTCACACATTTTAATACCTAACAGCTCCTTTCTAATCCATCCCCATTCCCTTTAATCCCTTCCTCTTCGTCTTCGTTTTCCTGTCTCTACTACTTCATATTTCCATTTCCATTTCCAATTCCCCAGTTCCCCCATTCCCCATTCTCCATTCCTCGATCTAGTCTTCGGTTTGTATCCGGCAACCCGGTGCATATTCAAAAAGTCCTAGTGTCTTGTCGCCGTCGCATTATTGACGGTTCCACACAAGGCGGACTCTTACTCGATTCGATTTAAGAGACTTGACCCATACATAGGGGCCCGAGGGGTTTTATCCACAGTCATTGTAACAGAAACAGAGAGCTCTACTCTTTTTTACGTTCGATTCGGTCGAGCTCTTTGACGTCTTCCTCCCCCCTCCCTTCAAATTTCACCTCCACAAACTTGGTCCTTGTTTCGTCGTATTATTTTATTTTCTATTTTCTGCCTAACCGACTCAGTTCGACTCGTCATATCGTACTCACTTGTGGGATATAAGATATTGCTGAGGTGTCCGGATCGGAATTCTCTATTCCATGCTTGGTACTTGAGCACGACCCTCCCCCAAAATAAATCGCGAATATCTCAAGTCCCTCGGTACCTCCATACCTCCATCTGAAGGCGGGGCTTGGTCTTAAGCTCGACAATTCAAACTCGTACCTAACCATATCGTACGTACCACTTCCAACTTGCGCCGCCTTTCTGGGTAGCCCAACGGTAAGAAGAGTCCTGTTTATTTTTGCCATCATCCCAAATCATCCAAGATTGCTGCGTTATTCGGTCTTGAGTCTGTCGTGCGCCGTCTTCCTATGGTTAGGAGGCCTGCTATTCGTGTTGGCGGTTAGCGCACATCTTCGATACCCTGTCTTCCACCCTCGCCGGGCCGAGAGGATCAACGGAGCGTCTGAAATTTTGTAACACAGCGTTACAGCTACATGCACTCTTTGACCTCACGCCTGTTCGAGCTTGGGATCTGGCGGTTCTAGCCGCTGTAGTGCACCTCGCCTCATTTTCTCATGACCGTTAATCTCACGCGAACTTCTTCATATCCGGTATTCTGTCCCCTTTACAACAGCCACATCGGCCGAGTTTAGCAGCAGATTCCAGCAACTTCAGGCGAGGGCGTCACTGTGGCCTAAGCTTGCACGGACCTGAGAATCAAATCATATTACCCCTTCGGCGTTATACGATCTACACATCGGAAAGATCAGCTGTCGCTCTCTTCCTCTACCACTCCACCGCTTTACCACACTGTCATTGGTTGTCGTCGTCGTCGTCTTTGTTCTTGGATGGGACTCCTAGCTAATATACTAAATCCTAATAGTCTCGGTCAGATACCCGCAACTTGGACGCACTAAGCTGAGTTCGACGAGCATAAAGAAGTTGTGGTCTTGGGCTCGCCAATCTCAAAGAACGAAAAGTCGCGAAATCCCAATAAAGCGCGCCTAAGCCCTTTTTTGCGACGATCTTGTCTACTCTGCCAGCCTACAATCTGACAGGTCGGACTTGATAACTTCACACTCCGGACAAGTCCGACTCAAATTTCGATACCTGCGAACAGCAGTCGCCGCATTTGATATTTTCGTGTTGCACTCCGCTGTGTGGAGCGCGCACGAGTTTGATTTCCTTGGCGAGCCGAGATTACCTATATCGACTCTCTTATTGCTCTGACGGGACTTTATTATACCCGTTCCGGAGGCCTTAGAAGTTAGAATCTCTAGACTCTTGGACTTCGTCCTGTTCTCGGTCTTGATTTAACTCAATTTATCTCTAACTCCTGGTCGACATAACACATCATGTCGCGATCAAACCCCCCTAATCCGGCCGGATCCCGAAAGATCTCGTTCAATGTTAGTGAGCAGTACGATATCCAGGATGTCGTCGGAGAGGGTGCCTATGGTGTTGTCTGGTATGTTCCTGGATAGCTTCAAACTTCGTCTTAGGTCGGGTTATTAACTTGTTATGCTCAGCTCGGCGATACACAAGCCGTCAGGTCAGAAGGTTGCTATTAAGAAGATTACCCCGTTCGATCACTCTATGTTCTGCCTGAGAACTCTCCGAGAGATGAAGCTTCTCCGATACTTCAACCACGAAAACATTATCTCAATTCTCGACATCCAGAAGCCGCGTAATTACGAGACCTTCAATGAAGTGTACTTGATCCAGGTATGGACAAAGATTGGAGTTCATAGGTTGGACCAATTGCTAATATTGCTATCTCGTAGGAGCTCATGGAGACGGATATGCATAGAGTGATCCGTACCCAGGACTTGTCTGATGATCATTGCCAATACTTCATCTACCAGACGCTACGAGCTTTGAAGGCCATGCACTCTGCGAATGTGCTCCACCGAGATTTAAAACCCAGTAACCTTCTGTTGAACGCCAACTGCGACCTGAAAGTGTGTGACTTCGGTCTCGCACGATCGGCCGCGTCTCAAGAAGACAACTCAGGATTCATGACTGAATATGTTGCCACTCGTTGGTATCGTGCCCCCGAGATTATGTTGACATTTAAGGAATACACAAAGGCAATTGACGTCTGGTCCGTCGGCTGCATTCTTGCCGAGATGTTAAGTGGCAAGCCTCTATTCCCTGGAAAGGACTGTAAGTGGCTTAATTTTGTGCCCCGTTTCGTGATATCGCCGCTAACAACGATATAGACCACCATCAGCTCACGCTGATCTTGGATGTCTTGGGAACGCCGACGATGGAGGATTACTACGGAATCAAATCTCGCCGAGCTCGCGAGTATATCCGCTCCCTGCCTTTCAAGAAGAAGGTTCCCTTCCGAACTCTCTTCCCGAAGACTTCCGATCTCGCCCTGGATTTGCTAGAGAAACTACTAGCCTTCAACCCCGTGAAGCGTATAACCGTGGAGGAAGCTTTGAAGCACCCCTATCTCGAACCTTACCACGACCCCGAGGACGAGCCCACGGCCCCTCCCATTCCCGAAGAGTTCTTCGATTTCGATAAGCATAAGGACAACCTTAGCAAGGAACAGCTGAAGCAGCTCATCTATCAGGAAATCATGCGGTAGAACCGAGGATTTTCTCAGAAACCGGGAATCTGGGCCAATATTACGCATCTCATGCAGGCCCTCAGCCTTCGATCCGGTCTTACGGGATCAACGGCGAGCACCGTTAGTAGTAATGCGCAACGTCATCAAGCATAAGGGCGGTCCTAGGGTTTGGTATATTAGGTAGTATCGGGCGAAATGATCTCGGGGATCCTCGATTAAGCTATTCGGGGAGAGTATGAGATCATCCTTTAGAGGATTCATATGAGGAAGCGGTTTAGTTTGCTGGAGGAGGTGGAAATCTTGAGGGGATGAGAGATCTTAAGGAGCCCTAGCCTACCTACGTGGTTGCGCACAAGATCTGGCATGGACGGCATGACATGATTTGACTTGGCACAGGAGAGCTTGGATGGATATGGATATCTATCTTGTCTTCTCTCCGAGCCTTTTTCTTTTTCTCTACGCTTGCTGGTAGTAAATACGAACTATTTTCTCCTGCCTTTGGTCTTTGATGTTTATGTGCTGTGACTTGATTGAATTGCTCTAGTGATGAGTATGATTTTTGTGCTACAGTACACAGATCACTCGGTCGTAGAACTATATGTATAGAATATTAAGTATAATGTCCCTATTTCTCTACTGTGTACGTAAGCTTGATACGGTACTTCGCAGATGATGGCCATATGTTAGGTATGATTTTTTCTAACCAATGAGCAATATATCTATATTCGTTCAATATCACATATCCGGTGTATTTCAACTCTGCTCTATAAGTGGCTGTCAATAATCAATAGAACTTGTTCCATTTCTATCATGACGGGCGAGGTGAGTTACTTACTAGTAAACTCATCTTTACTACGTATTATGATATATTCATTAAGAGAGGAAGTGATATCGCATAATTTGTCCCGGTAACTATGCTAGACTGAACCTCACTAGGTACCTCTCATATCTGGACAAGGCGCTACTAAGAGGAGCTTTTTTTCTGGCTTAATATGACAATAAAAGGATTGTTATATTCCCCGGCTCCTACCCTCCCCTTTTCGCTAACTATGTGCATAGTTCTATGTATTTCTCACATAATTGAGCACCGATATACCTACCTACGTGCCACGAAACACGAAAAGAATATATTCTCTAACCGTATCACTCAGTCTGATCTAGATTTTCACATGTAACTTGTTTCCGATAGCGTGACTTGACGTAAAACAAGAATAACGTCTGAGCGAGGAACTTGATCCATTAATCCCCTAATTGAGCTAAGTTAGGAGAGTAGGCCAGCTTCGCGGCTATATATTTCCCCTTCGCTCTGCCTTCTCTTCTAATGGAGAAGCTATAGACCGTGCTGTTGCTATGAATATTAAGTGACAGGTGCTAGTTATGCCACCCCTCCGCTAATAATTAGAACATGCCTTATAAGCGCCCTGAGCACCAGTTCATCGAAGCTGAGATATGATATTGGCGGTTAACCCAGATTGCCATCCTCGTATTAAGTCATTCTCACGCCATACAAGCAGTTGATCGGGATTCAACTGGGCTGCTATGAGATTCCATCCATGCATCAGATTAGTAGAAGTAGTCCGTCCGTCCGGCTTATCGAGCCTAGTCGAGAACGACTTGACGAACCGCCATGATCTCCATATAGACACGTGCCTCTCATTCTTACAAATCATCAGTCAATACATACCTACCCACCCCAAACCTAACCAAAAACCTATCTGATCCAAAAAGCATTATGGCCAACTCCTATCCGCTCCCTACAACCCAGAGCTCGACCCCCAGCACATCGAACTTCTCGCCCTCGTCGCTGAGGGGTTGATTCGAGAAAGTATCGCACGGCGCGCTATGGCCCCTGCTCAGTCCATCGTTCAACCATAAACCGTAGGTCCCTCCACCACCTCCGCCTACGGAGAGGAACTTGGTCTCGCAGAAGATGCAATAGTCGTTGGCGCCCGTGTACGCGAAGTTCTGGAATCGGATGCTTTGAGCTGTCGGTTGCGCTAGTTTATTGGTGCTGGGGTCGGTTCGGCCGGGGGCTAGGGATTGCTGTTGTTGGCTCGCGGATTGGGCATCGCTAGAGGGGATGGAGGAGGTCGTAGGCGATGCTATTGTCATAGTTCGGAAGTTTATGTTCGTGGTATCGGCGGAGGGGGGAGGTGGTAAGGGGGCATGAATACTAGCTCGCCAGAGGAAGCATTCCCCCGTTCCGTAGTATGAGGCGGCCGGGTGTGGTGCTTCTGTTAGATATGCGCCGAATGTCTGTCATGTATATAGTCAGCAACTTGCGCTTATGTCTACCCTCTTAATACCGTCCAAATGTGTCGATACATAGCTGAATAGATAGTAGATACTCACCCCATCCTTTCCATCCCTCACGACAAGCACAAACCCTACCCTCCGCCCGCGATACTCCTCGCACAGCTTATACAGCGTCGATAACGAACTGCCATCCTGGTACAAGCTATACACTAGCCTCCAATCATCAGCGATCTTCAACCGCTCCGGTAGGAAGGTCCGGATCTCCTCCGCCACGCCTCGCGCGAGCAATCGCTCGTCCGCTTCAGTGTCAGCTCGGTACCCGCGCAAGTTCAAGGGCTCAAGAGACGGGAGCCCGCGCGGCGACGCGGAACGTCCTGGCGGCCTCGAAGGAGGTATGAAGGGACCGTTAATCCCGTCACCCGCTATGGAGGCCGGTTCCGACGTCGCGTGATAGAACTGCGAGCTATGCGGAGGTGAGCCGGGCGTGTCTGCCGCGGAGAAGCGACGCCAGAGGCCGAGGACGGCAGACCCGATGTAACTACCGCCACTTCCGCCACCGTTGTTCGAGCTATGTGGGGGAGGGGATCGCGGTTGCGGGTGAGGTTGCGGATAGGATTGGGAGAGGCGGCTGACGGGGGTAGAGATGCCGGAGGAGGGCGGCGAGAAGTCTATTAGGTTGTTGTCCTGTCGGCTACTACTCATGATCGGCTGTAGTTGGATGAAATTGGACGGGGTAAGGTCTCGCGGGGTGGCGCGCGTGATCGTGGTCGTGTGCGTCGATCTAGCGGTATAGAGGTTGGTGACTGCAGCAAGGAGATATAGTGCCAGCTAGCAGTACCTAGGCGGTAACTCGGAGTTGGAGAAGTGGATTTAACTCTCGATCAACCTACCTACCACTTCTTTTTCGGAGGGTAGGCAAGTTAAGGTAGGGTAGGGTGAGTTGTAAGGTGAAATCATGAATGTGACGTAGTCTGACGATGGTCTTGGTGGATGGTTTATCAATTAGGCGGTGGTGGGGTTGCAGGGTTATGGATCGTATTATGTTATGTGTTATCAGGTAATAATGAAATGATGAGGGTATCGACTATGACTTTGTCTATTGTGTATGAGGGTGAAAGAGTGGTTGAAATTAATAATGTATTGAGTACCTAGAAGAGAGAAAAAAAGGTAGGAAAAGACAATGACTGAATACTCGCATAGTATTCTCAATTACCCAGGCATTAGGTAAACTCATGCCACTGAACCTTGGAATTCCATTCGTTACCCGATTGATATAGTTGTTCCCCACCAGAGCTTATTCGCTGTCTCACCTTTTCTCTAAGGTTAAGTTATTGCTATAGCCCCTTCCTCAGATTTAATCATCAGACCCGAGTTTCGTTTATAGTTTAACCCGTTTAACTATAAGGAAAGTCTGTATTATTCTTCACTTTAATTGTACAACAATCCGAATCAGTAAGACGGGTGCTCCCGGACTTACGTGGATGCACAGGATCTAGGTACACTATTACAGGTCAGGGATGTCGCCATGTATGTCATCGTAACTCATGGTCAAGGTAGGATGGTCTTGATTCGAGTCCTACACATCCATCTCCGTATATATAAAAGATAAGACACATAAAATACATCTGAAAATAAATGATAGAAAGAGCGTTGAACCGACTATGTTAGCCCTTTCATAAATTCGGTGATACCCTGCCATACTCCTTCGGGACTCGGCTTCTCAGAACATACGTTCGGTTCGTAATCGAACGTCCGCTTTAGATAATTCCGCGTTGTCGGCCCAATCGTCGCGATATATGTCGCCGGGTTTCCATGGGTCTCCTTGGCAACTTTGCCTGTCTCGCCGTCTAACATGCCCAATCCCTTGAGCATGCTATCGCAGCCTGTTGGTGAGAAGACCACTACCCATCTTGACTGACAGGTTGCCGTCTTCTGTAACACACCCGCGAAGTCTTTGGGGAACGACTCCATCACACCGGTACCATACACCACGATTTCCGTTACTGCGATTCGCCGATTGTCCGGTAGATTCTCGTCCGTCAACGTCTTTGGTATGATGTCTCGTCTCTGCTCACCAACTAAGAATAGTAGTGGAGGTTTAGTCGGCCGGTCTTTATACCAGTCGCCGTAGTGATCGAGAATGAATTGCGCGAGCGCATCGCCGTTTCCCGTGTGCTCTCCAAAGATCCGAAGCGGAGGGGTCTGCGAGATAGCTTTGAGCGCCCGAGTTGTAGCAGGACCGACGCTATAGACTGGTATGTCTTGGAGGTGAGGCCAATTATCATCACCTGTTCATTCTTACAAGTTAGAGACTGGGTTATCTAGTTATCCCCGGACATCCGGAGGCTTCGAACCTTTGCCTTCGTCGACCAATCTTGCGAACGCCTCCACAGCTCTCTGCGATGTGAAGATGAGGCCACCATAAGCACTATCCAAGCCTTTACTTATCCGTCTCTCTCGCAGTAGCTTTCCGAATTGCTGCATCCCATCATCTTCGAATCTATGCTGTAGCACGGGCACGAAAGTGGGTTCATAATTGAAGCTGTCCCGCGGGGTAGAGAAGATGTCTTGGTATGCATCCGTTGGTGTTGATGCAGTTTTGAGGAGTAATACTGGAACTTTTTCTGAACCTGAACCTGAACCTGAGGCCATGTCTACGAGGAAATACCAATCAAGATAACATCGATTGATGCTGTTTCCACTCTATCGTGAGAACATCAGTTCCTCATGCTGAGTGAGATGATAGCGTTTGCAATAACCGGAGCTTAGACAGCGTAGTGTACCTATCGAGGGGCGCCAAGAGCTCTAAGCTTTATCGATAGGTACCAATGCGCTGGGGCGCCTGGGCGCATGGATTATGTAAAATGTGGTTCTCTTCGGCCTGTGTTTAGCGTGGTGGCGTTACCGGCCGGCGCCGGGACTCGCTTTCCGCCGCAAAACTGACAAATCCGCTTCTTTCTAATTTTACTTTCCTACCCAGCACCTTTCGATCTGTCGCAAGCTCTCGTGAGCTTTTCGCGTTGAATTTTTTTTTTCTTTGCTACCCATCTCCACCGGTCAGAACGTCAGGATGGCCGCAGACACGAGAGAACCGCAGCCTGCGCAGCCCAACCAGCTACCCAAAGGCGTTGTATTAGGGAAGGATGGCAAGCCGTTAGTATCTTCGTTCCTGCACCTCCTGCACTGGATTGGAGGATCTCATTATGCGGGCGCTTAGTAACGCGAGTTTCACATAGTTGTCGATCATGCACATCGAAGAGAGACTTTGCTTCGTGGGCGCAAATGACAAAATCGTCGCTCAAGTCTGGCAGTGGCGCCGCTGCGGGCGCTGCAGTCGGCGTCGGGACTGGCGCCGTCGCTGCCTCTGCGCTCTCAACCCCCGTTACTCCCGACGACTGCCCCGCCGACGTCGAAACACTAGGTCGAAGTACATGGACGCTGTTACATTCTATCGCGGCAACATACCCTAAGCAACCTAGCGTCTCCCAGCAATCCGACCTCAAGACCTTCATGGGCACCTTCTCAAGACTGTATCCATGCTGGGTCTGCGCTGAGGACTTTCAAGCATACATGCAGAAGGAACACATCCAAGTTGGCAGCCGTGACGATTTCGGCAAGTGGTTGTGCGAGGCGCATAATGCGGTCAACGTGAAGTTGGGCAAAGATAAGTTCGACTGCTCCAAGTGGGAGGAGAGATGGCGGACTGGCTGGAAGGATGGGCGCTGTGATTGAGACAAATGAGCGAGCGACTGATTTCCATACTGATTTCAATCCAAGTCCGGGAATCTGTCTATGGGTTCTTCGCAACTTCTCCCCTGCTAAAAGGATTATGACCGTGTAACTTTAGAAGTTGCGGCTGATCCGCGATGAGCGAAGTTGGCCCTGTACCACCTATCTAATGTACAATATGTCACGAGAGATGACTAACGACCGCATAAATGATGTTTCAGAACTAGACATTAGAAATAGCTTCACCGCTCATAATTAGGTATATATATTAAAATCACGAGATTTGACTTCCGAGTTGTTTTGATCGGTTGGCCCGGAGGATCTGAATATCTTGGTCGAATCTTAATGCGTAGCATTATACTGGGCCGTTCCAGACCAGCGGTCCAGAGCTAGCCGGCTAGCCAAAGCAACTCGGGGGCGGCCGATTGGTATGCTGTATGCCGATAAAAAACGGGGGGCTTTTCAGCTCTAGGAACATGGAATTGTTAGAATCTGAGTAATAGTCACGAAATATGAAGTAAATTATACGGTGATTGAATTGAGTTATGACTTATTAAGTCTGAAGATCTTAAGCGAAAGTCAATTTAGAGTAACGGCTAGTCTAACGGCTTTCATGCGCGTTAAGTGCGTATATGGCAGATTCTAATGGAAAGAATACAAAGTCCATTACATCATCTCCTGATCATCGCGAGACGCCGAAGATGCACCACGGTCCACTGAAACAAGGGCCGACTTGTTAAGAACAGGCGATGAGAATATCGACCTTACGATTTTGAGAATACACTGCTTTCTAGACTTCGTATCCCACGTGTCAATGTGCGAGGCCGGCGACTGCAGAAATATATTTATTAGCTGAACTTGCCCCTGAAACATTTCTTTGTTCTATTCCATCTATTCCACATCGTCAATCAGACTTTATTCAACGTCATTAACATCGATTTAGTGTTGTGTAACCAAACCTTGTGTTCAGGGAAACCACAGCACTCAGACCCAGAGCCTTGAAGACCATTTATAGACTCGTTACACTTGAATCTAATTATCCCTCACTTTACACGATACTCCACATTCCACTTATACTTACTAAACATCAGAAATCCACAATGACCAGTGTGGATATCCGGACAAGAAATCTCAAAAGGCCGGTCGACGTAGCCGAGTATCTCTTTACAAGGCTTCACCAGATCGGTATTCGCTCCGTTCACGGTCTTCCCGGCGATTTCAACCTTGTCGCCCTCGACTACTTACCCAAAGCCGGCTTAAAATGGGTCGGAAACTGCAATGAGCTGAATGCCGCCTATGCCGCGGACGGCTATGCCCGGGTTAAGGGTATCGCCGCTATCATCACCACTTTTGGCGTAGGCGAGTTATCCGCCGTCAACGGTCTCGCCGGCGCCTACAGCGAACACGTCCCCATCGTGCACATCGTGGGCTGCCCATCCACCATTTCTCAACGCAGCGGTTTGTTATTGCACCACACGCTAGGAAATGGCGATTTCAACGCCTTTGCCAACATGAGCGCCGGTATCTCGTGTGCCGTTGCCAAGCTCAATGACCCGACAGAGATTGCAACCCAAATCGACCACGTTTTGCGCGAGTGTTATCTCAAGAGCAGACCTGTTTACATCATGTTCCCTACCGACATGGTTGAGAAGAAGGTCGAAGGAGAACGCCTTGAAACCGAGATTGACCTAACTGAGCCCGCTAACGACGTCGACCGGGAAAATTATGTGGTTGATGTAGTGCTTAAGTACCTGCATGCCGCGCAGCGACCCGTTGTTCTGGTCGACGCTTGTGCCATACGGCATCGTGTGCTACCCGAGGTGCACGACCTAATCGAAAAGACTCAGTTACCCATATTCGTCACGCCCATGGGTAAGGGTGCGATTAACGAGACACACCCAAGTTTTGGTGGTGTGTACGCTGGTACTGCTTCCAGTCCCGCCGTCAAGGATATGGTGGAGAACTCAGATCTAGTTATCTCCATCGGCTCCATGAAGAGCGACTTCAACACAGCCGGATTTTCCTACCGACTCTCTCAACTCCAGTCCATCGACCTTCACAGCGACCACTGTATCGTGCGATACTCAGAGTACCCCGGCATTCGCATGAAGGGTGTGCTACGCAAGGTTGTCGAAAGGCTCGACCTCTCGCAAATCAAAGTCCTACCACCACCTAAATTCGTAGAGCCCGAGGCGCAAGTAGACTCTCAAGCCGTCATCACTCAGGAATGGCTCTGGGGACGCGTGGACCGGTTCCTGCGGGAGAACGACATCGTAGTCACCGAGACCGGCACAGCCAACTTCGGTATCTGGGAAACGCGGTTCCCGGCCAACGTCACGGCGCTGAACCAGACGCTGTGGGGCAGCATCGGCTGGGCGGTCGGCGCGTGCCAGGGCGCCGCCCTAGCGACGCAAGACGAAAGCGGCGCGGACAAGGCGCGGCGGACGATCCTGTTCGAGGGCGACGGCAGCTTCCAGCTGACGGCCCAAGAAGTCAGCACGATGATCCGGCACAAGCTAGACGTGATCCTGTTCGTCATCTGCAACGACGGGTACACGATCGAGCGGTACATCCACGGCATGGACGCCGGGTACAACGACGTGGCCACCTGGCGATACAAGGACCTGCCCGCCGCGTTCGGCGCCACGGAGCAGACGGCCAAGTCGTACGTCGTCAAGACGCGCGGCGAGCTCGAGGCCCTGCTCACGGACAAGGACTTCAACGAGCGCAAGGGCCTCCGGTTCGTCGAGCTGTACATGCCCCGCGAGGACGCGCCGAAGAGCCTGATGTTGACGGCCGAGGCGAGTGCTAAGAGGAACGCTATGACGGAGTAAATTTGTGGGGAAAGGGGTACGGGTGGATCAAATCAGTAATAGGGGATATAGGTAGAGGTGGGCACGTGATGAGATATGATTACATATGCATTGAAATGGGCTGGATTACTACTGGTGTTAGACGGTTTTAACTGTGGATTTCTATTTGAAATGGACCGGAAGAGATAAAATTCCAAAATTATGTTACACTTATGTCAACGGGTTTCAGCTGTGAATTGCGTGTATGGGATGCCTTTTGTCTAAGACTATCAGAGTGCGCCGGGAGGCTGGGTAGGTATCTATCAAGTTAAAACAAGATCTTCAATCATAGAGAATGGATATCTGCCAGTCCGACCCCGAAATAAACCGAGCTAATTAAGTTTTTTCCGGCAAACTGTTACCGCCTTCACACCTATGTAGTTCGGTATCACCCCGATGATGATGAGCGTGTTTACGTCCGAAGGACGTATATACTACATACGGGCAAGTATGGTATATATACATCAACGCGCACTACTAGCGCATGGGACGTCTAGAGTACCTCTCTAGGTAGAGAGACAGAGCTAGAGTTTCGCTTGACATAAGAAATTATCCTCCACTCCTGCCTCCAGTGCATTACTCTAGCTAATTGGCGACGGCATTAGCTAGCCGATTATATTCAGGAAAAACCCTACTCCGGATCCACCTTCTTCTAACGTCTCAGAACCACCCTCCAACGCCCAGTGAGCCCTAAAGCGGGCGGTATCACCCCGAGTATATCGTCTAGGGTGTGATCAAATGTCGGAGGTCTAAACTGCTGGAAGTCTAGTCAGATCGGGTGGCGATGATTGATAAGCGTTTACGTCCGCAGGACGAATACAGTATCAGTATTGCCGAAAACCTAGAGCCAAGATTTAGCTAATGAAGGTTGATATTTTGTAGGTGTTAGCGTAACTTGGTAGTCAGTGTTCAAATGTACTTATAGACACCTGCTCATTAAAGGGATAATAAGTAAAGCCAGGTCGGAGTTTGGCCTGTAGCAGAGGAGCAGGGTAGACGAAGAGCTTTTCGTGTATTTATACCGTGGTATCCTAAGAGGGCTGAAGAAGGGTGGGTTAGAGCTCCACGCACCACACTGTTGCTCCCTCGTATGCTAGGACTGTATCGTGACACTGGGCGCCTAGCCTAGCACCACCACTGCACCCTTTGTGGGTTCCACTGCTGTTCTTGGGATTGCTACAGCTCGTGTGTGCATTACGTTATTCGCAATCATCATTGCAACTGCTATACTTGACATAGCTGCTGCAACGATCGTGAATAGCACGGGATTTTTGATCGTTGTGGTTGCCACGGTCGCAATGACTTGCATGACTGTTGCAATTGTAGCGATATTTGTAGTGATACGGTCCAACCGATGTATAATCTTGGCTATTCTTAGCATTTCTCCTTTGTCGTCCTCTCTTTTCTTTGCTGCAGCTCTTTCCTCCTCTATTCTGTTTTCTTGCTCTTGAAATTTGATCTCAATGAGCCTTTGCTGCTGCTTCTGGGTTTCTTGTAGCTCACTGATCTTCCTGTCGTAATGTTCTTGGAAGTGAACATTTGGTATGCTATTGTCTAAAAACAATAAAGTGTTAGTATCAGACGAGGTTCCAGATGCAGTTATAACTGACTTTGGCGAGTGGCTTTCTCGATTTCTTCCTTGAGTTGGATTATGCACTCTTCAGTCCGCTGCTGGTATTTGATTAACTCCTCGTTAATGTATGCACCGGCATCGGTCTTATGAAGAGAACTTCCACCAGCCATTTGTTTCTGGATGCTGAGGACGACAGGCAATTTGTCCAAGAGGCCGATTGTGGCTTTCTCAGCTGACTCGGCCGTGCCGTCATGTCTCATGAAAGTAGCCCCGTCTGCTATCATGCCTTTCCAGAAGTCCGAATTCATCTTGAGTTGAGATTCTCGTTCGGCACCCTTGACTTGGTCGTCTCCAAGGTCGTCCCACTTCGTCGTGAGTAGGACGACGTTGTTCATGTTCTCCTGACCAGTGATCTTCCTGAACAACTTGAAGGACTTCACAGAGGAGCGTCCAACTCGAGTTTCTCCTATATCGTGCATATATATGAGAGCGGACAGAAACTTCTTGTCGTTGTACGAATTATGCAGCCATTTTGCGATACGTTCAAGAACGATGACGTCCTCGCCAGCTGTATCGTCAAAGCCTGGTGTGTCAATCAACAGCACCTTGCGTCCCTTGACTCTGCACTCAATCTCATGGATGAAGTGTGTTTCTTTAGTTATGACAATTTAGCTATATACGCATCAAGTTGTGTACGGTACCTACTGACCAGACTTCAGATCATGTCCAACTGCACCAGTGTAATCCTTGACGGCGAGTTTTGAGATGAAACTAGATTTCCCACATCCAGTCTTGCCCATGACCGCAATGATTATGATGTCTTCTTGCATATCCTTGGGCGTGTTAGTTGCTCCACATGTTTCCTCTAAATTGTGTACCGATTGGTTGGTTTCCACACTACTCCTCGGGGAGCAACATTCTCGCATCCAGACGGAGATTTTTCCGGGTATTGACTCAGGGGGGTTCATGTTGAAAATATCAAGGGGAAATGGGTTATCGAACTAGAAAAGGTAAAATACTTTTGCGGCTCTAGGATATATTGCCAGGAACGAAGTAGTAATACCTCGGATATGGAGGTCGAGATATATGTGAGGTGCGGCCTACAACTGAAGTTGGGCACATTTGAACAGGGACAAAAAGTATTTTTAGGCCAATGGTACTAAAAGTGAGATTATATTAATTGTCCCATCATTTTTCCTGTTCTAGACCATGATAACGGTTCCGAGTGGGTTAGAGGATGCCAACGAAGATATATTAACATAGCTAGAAGTTGCTTACGCCACGTTGTGTAGCTGTGGATGAGAAATGTGAGATCGGTGAATGTGTCCTGGCACATAGTTTAGCCAGTTTGGCACAGAGCGTGGCAAAATTATGCGATAAATCAACTCCGATAGATCGTATAAGCTTTCTCTGTGTTTTGTTTCTGGCCCCTGTCTGACTGTGAATGCAGTGGATTGGCTGTCTTTTTCTATAAGGCGTCTTATCTTCGTTCGCTGTCTCACTACAAACGCCCAATTACGTACCTAATCATGCCATTTAGACGCGCCTGGGTCGTATACTCAGATACTTAGGTACATATTCCGGACATATTCCTATACATATCAGGCGTGATAGGTAGTTGAGGCCGAGGGATGTGAGTATCGTTTACTAGCATTGGCTTGTGATGCCTCTTCATGCCTTCGGCACTGCGCTTTAACTAAGGAAACGGGCAGCAATTGCTACATCTCCGAAGGTTAGCCGATATACTGAATTTTAGTATAATTTTTATTATATTGAGTATCTTTATTGCGTTAAGAAATATATATAATTGTTATGAAGATATAAGGTGATATAAGAGATCTTGTGTATAAAAGAAGTATTGTCTGCCTGTTTCCCTAATTAAAGCGTAGTGCCGAAGGTACGAGGAGGCGTCACAAGCTAGTGCTAGTACCAAATTTCCGGTTTGAACGGTCTATCAGATTAACCCTAGTTAGATGCTTCACTGTTACGGAAGATATTCAAGACCTCCAGGGCTGGCAATAAGACTCTATTTCTATACGAGGAAAATAAATTTGTACGGACATGCAAATACGTTCTATGCGGTGAAGTGAACTGGGTTCAGCCCCATGTACTGGTATATTTGTGATAATTTTCGTGCATGTGACTGGAAGGCTGAGTACTTAGCTCCTAAGTACCTCCGAAGCCACCCACAGCCTCAACAGGGCATCGTGATACTTTACACGGTGTCAGGTGTACGTAGGCTGTAGGTACATAAGAGATGATGGTATACTTCTGTAGGGAACCACGTGTAACTACATAGCCGATCCTCAGCCTTTGTCAGGGGCATAAGTGGAGTAGGCCTAGCAGGAGGTCCTGCGGACCTCCTGCTAGGCAAACGCGAGTTAGCAAGGTATAAGAAGGGGGCGAAGCCCCCTTCAACCTTAGAAGAAGTAGCGTTATTAGTTCATTCATACTTGCTATATACTAGCAGCGGCTACGCCGCTCCTCTGCACTCACTTTACGCTTGACTTAGGGACCTATTACTGACAGCCTTGTAGTACCGATTTATGAAAGGTCCCGCTTTAGGTTAAGCCACTCAGTGATAGAAAATAATGATACACCCTCAGGTCGTCCGCCACCTAGATAGTACGTAACCCCTGTCCCTTTCCTCCTTATTGTCCCTTCGTAAATATCCCATAACTTTCTGAATTGTGTCAAGCTCTCAATCATCAATGTTCAATACCTGACTTATCTTGATCGGCAAGCGGAATAACTCATGATCCAAAATTTGGCCTTAAGCCCCCTTATATTTCAATCGTCAGCAATGATTCTATAATATCGTTAAAAGGGCTTCCTAGAGAGGGAAGGAGAGAGATTTGTCGGCTCGAAACCTAATCGACAACCCATAATCACTATAAGAACTGATTTGCATACTATTGATCAAATTGGTAACCATTCGGAAGGATCTGAATAGCCTCATAACATCCCGCATCCACCCCAAGAGAAGAACGGCCTGTTTCAAATTGGTCAAAATCAAACATCGTTGAGCGCATTCTCAAGTTCCAAAATGGAGATATCTCACGAAACATTCGAGGCCGATCCGTTCAAGCGTCTCAGAAAAGAGCCACTGGGGAAGTCAAACTCGGCGGTCTGGGAGGTCGCGCGCGAGTCCGATGGGAAAGTCTATGCGCGCAAAGAGTTTTCAGAAACGGGACATCGCAAGAAGGAATGGTTCGGAAATATTAAGAAGGAAATTAGTAACATGGCTAAAGCCAAGCATCCCCACATTGTTAAGTTTTGCGGAAGCCATTATATCGAGAGTTCCCAAATCATTGGCCTTCTCCTGCTCCCAGTTGCTGAGATGAATCTTGCCGAACTCTTCGACCGGTTGGACCGAAAACAGTACAATGATGTTGAACAGCTTGAAGTTCGCAGGAAAATGTGCCGGTGGCCACCATGTCTCTTCTATGCTATGGAATATCTACACCGCACAGGTCTTCGTCACAAAGACATAAAGCCTAGCAATATCCTTATTAAGGATAATCGAGTCTATCTCGCCGACTTTGGAATTTCGTACAACTTTCGCAATGATAATACCTCCAAGACCGATGGCCCAATCGGTGCCATCACTGAGCGCTACATTGCCCCCGAAACCTATGATGAGCAGCCTCGTGGAAGGGCTTCGGACGTCTGGGCACTAGGCTGCACCGTACTAGAGATTTGTACCGTCGCCTCAGGCGAGAATTCTATAGGGGATTTGAACAACCACCTCAAGCAAGCTCGGTACGGTCGAAAAACGCCATTTTGTCGATCCGCATATTTCGTATTCGATTGGATATTCCTGCTTCTATCGTGCCCTGGGCAAGACGACTTGTGTACACGCCCCATTCAGAAGATGCTACAACTCGCCTTCCTTATGCTTGACCCTAATCCCAAGACACGAATCAGTGCGCGACAGTTAGTCGATCTGTTAAACCCACTGGGATCGAACCCTTTCGACTCTGTCGGCCGGTTGGCTTGCGACGAGTGTAAGCGAACAACCCTTGTCCCATCGCATGATGCCACACCCCATTCTGTGTTCAAAGAAGAACATAACGGAGGCACGTACATACCATTGAAGGACGGTCTTTCGTCTGAGAAAGAAAATCTCTGGGAGGAGGTCAAGCGGCGATGGCTGAAGAGCCATATTCCATGGAATATCAGAACCTGAGCTCCGTTTCTTCGCTCTCAAAATATATCCATCTTCCAGGTCAATCACATCGCTGAATCATGGTTCATATTTGTTCAACAGTTTACTAACGAGAAGTAGGTGCTATTCGATGATAACCAAGTGAGTTGATATTCCTCGGAATCTGGGTGTTTAAGTTGGCTGGCGTTGGCAAGACATCCTGTTACTGTGGGCATCCGTGCTGATTTGGTAGCACGCCCCCATTCTTTCATAACTTGATACTTTGCAAGATTTCTTGCACCATCTGCAGACACCCTGTTGAAGACTCTTCTAGTTTATCACCCTCCTCCGAGAATACGAAACTTTCCCGCCCGCTTGTTAGGCCCCCTAGGTTTCCAGTCAAGCATAACTTGACAGCATCTGTGTATCGTTCCCCAGTCTCCGACTCCAAGATTGCGAGTGATTCGGGCTTCAGGAGGTTACAGCGAACTCCTCTTATAATTGGACGTCGGATGAACCGATTTAAAGAAATTCCAAGGAATTGATGAATGGGCTGCCACAAACCAATCTCCATCAATATCACCCCTAGACTATATATGTCGTGTTTCTCCTTGTACCCGTATTCGCCGTCTCTAGGAACGTCAAATTGAATATCAGGATGTCGGTACAAATCATGTTCTCTATTGTCGCTCGGAAGCTCCGTCATCTCATTCGGATTAGCTGGCCGAGAGTAATCAAACCCAGAGAGACAGAAAGATAGCCAGTCTCGGTCAGAAGGTGCCAGGAACAGAATATTGTCACTCCGCAGACCTTTATGCAGCCATTTCATCGCATGGATATACTCCAAACCTATTACGAGTTTCCGCGCAATGTTCAATCTCGTAGTTAACGAGGGCTTCGCGACAATCTGAAATCGGTCATATAGAGACGGTGGGACCGACGTCTCTGTCAAGGCCGGCAACTCGAACACGATTCCGAATCTAGCTGAAGCAGGATCATGGACGTAACCCAGAGAGGTTGGGAGCCTAAGCTCTTGAGGTGTATCTGGATGCTTGAGGAGCAATGCAGCAAGGCGCGTAATTCGATTTCCAACGGAGCGGTACTCCAATGTAGTGGTATTTTCGTCGTACCCCTTCCATTCAACCCATATAGGAGTGTCGCCATATTTCCCAGTAACCCTCTGGTTGCCATGTTGTCTTTGACCTCCATGTAACTCAATCTGCGAGAGAAGGAGCTCGAGGTCCCCTGGTGACGGGATTTCGAGGCCGACTTGTACCATCACATCATCTTCACAGGGAAGTTCCCCACGACTAGCCGCCATGCTGAGGGCCTTGAACCGAGCGAGGCGTTCTAAGGTGTTAGGTACACCTTGATCTAAACCCTGCGATGAACTCGTTAAATCACAATGTGGGGATAAGCGGAGCGACTGAATGAGCTCAACAATTTGATCTAACTTGTCGTGTACTTGTAAAATCTGTATGTGAGACGTTTCCTGAAGTCTCATATAATGTCGCCTTTGGTCTAACTCCAAAGATAAATGCATAGAATTGTTGAGTTCAGAGAACCGAGCCAGGAGCTGCTCAAATTTAGCAGCATCGAACACAGCCCATCGGAGTCCTATCGGGCATTTCAGAACAGCATCAGCATATCTAAGAGACTTCTCGCGTAGTTTATCTCTCTTGCTTGGAGTCCCCGAAGACTGAGGGGTTAGTCATAGCACGCCTCCAAACTCTTGTGATGTTAACATACGTTAAATTCGAGAAAACCTCCTGAAACTGCGGCATCGTTCCCCCGACCTTCATCCGAGACTTTCAAAGAGAGATCGTAACGATCCTTGATCCGGCTGATATCAAGCGTTATAGACCTTATCTGGAGCAAAGAATCAACCATAGTCTGTTTTCTCTCATCCAATTGAGTGTCTTCGAACGCAGTCTCTGCTATAAAACCAGATGCATCCCACCAATCCAACAACTTAAGCTGCTCCAGACGAAGACGATGTCGAAGATAGCCATATTTCTGAGGTAAGTTCTTCGCATCCAATAGTAGCTGACACCCCTTTATACACCCAGAAAAGACTTGGAATGCTAAAGATACCACGCTCAATGCGGTACCGGGATCCATGGTCCTTACGTGTACACTGGCGACGCTCAAGGAAAGTAGTCGAGATGTTTCGGACCAGTAAATCTCACAATGAAATTGGAATTACCCTAGGTATATTCATATGTAACAACACACTGAATGAGCCTATAGGACTATCATCGCGAATTTGCCTCACGAGGGGATCCATGTATCTGCAAGCACATCGCCCCCTGATCATCCCCACCATGACCGAGTCTTGATACACAACAATGCGAGACTTTAGACATTAATATACTACACGGAAAACCTAGTGCTGAAAGGAAAAGGTAGACAATCACATGCAGAAAAACTAGATTAAGTTGAATGGATGACTCATAGCGGTTTTTTGATATCGAACAAAAGCCACAGTTGCCCAAGTCTCTTTTCAGCCCAACGCATTTACCTCTATCTGGGAGAGCCCAATCTATGCCCAGCATAACGGCTCAGACAGCCATTCGCTCACTCACCAATATATTTCCAGGGCTTTATCAAGCACATTGCCAATGATACCTTTCAAGCATACCAAGAATCCAGTAAATATGCTAATCTCCATTACTCTTAGGTGATATATTTTTCTATTCGCTTACGAGCTCTCCGGGGCTGTTATGCTAACCTACACGATTACCAATGAAACTTTTCCATGTTTATCATCCCGTATATTCTGCCACCGAGAAATGCCTACAGCCTACGATATCACATATGATGTATCATATATAGCTAGCAAGGCTATCATGCATGTGATATCGGCGATCAAAACCTATCTTCTTCCCTTAAGTTCCTCTATATGTGACTTCCACGCGTTCCTACTGATCTTAAGGTTTAATTAGGCGTCATCACATTATAGGAGATGATATCAGCCATGTTGTACCAAAGCAAGTATTGACGTTGACTCTATTCAGATGAATAGCTATCATCACATTCCTACACTCGGATACAGTGAAGCAAAGCAAGCCAATATTAATAGTTATAATCCGACTTGTGAGATCATTTATATATGTAAATCATAGAAGACTCTTATTACGACAGCGTGATACTAACGAGGTGGTACGGACATATTCAACTACAATGTCCAATATCCGTCCGCCGTCAAGCTTCATAGGAATATTCCCGCTACCTCAATTCACGAATCACAACATATAATCAAAGACGAAAGTGATGTGTGTATGGAGTTCAACGCGAACTCACGGCATATCCATTGCGATGTCTTGTACATCTGACAGCTAAAGATACCCTGCAAAGAAAAAGCACCTTCCACCAACTCCCATGGCCTGCACTCTATGCCCTCCATCCCTCATGCCTAACCAGCATGCTCTCACGCAAGCAATGAAAGGTCCGGTCCGGTCCGGTCCAGTCCAGTTCACTTCAGCGCAGCGATGAACCCCCACGCCACCACCTCAAGCAACCAAACCAGCCCAGAAGCGCGCGCACGCGCAGCCAAACCGTCGCGAATCAAGCCTCAAGCCTCCCCATCGCCAACCTCAGAGAAACTCTCAAACTCATCATACCCGCCCTCGGTCTCCTCAAGCTTAGTCGGCACCAACCTCTTCTTCCCCGCACCCGCGCCCTTAGTCTTCGCAGCAGCGGCGTGAGCGATAGCGCCAGTCGTCTTCTTCGGCGCCATCTTAGGCTTAGGCAGAGCGGTGCGGCGCGACTTCCTGACCCCACCTCCTAATCCCCCACCTTCTCCTACACCTCCTTCCTTGGCTGCGGCGGCGGCGGCGGCGGCGTCCTTGTACTCCTCGTCGTCATCCTCGGCGTCGCTGAACACCTTGAGCTTGCGCTTTCCCGAGGCGCCTTTCATGGCTTTGACGGGGGTGCGCGGGGCAGGCGCCGCAGCGGTGATACTGTTTCCGGCAGGAGCGCCGGACTCGTTGTTTCCGGGGTGCGACTTCACGGCCGCGGCGATCTTGAGGAGCTTGTTCTCGATGGGGCGCCAGCAGTGCCGGGCTGAGTCTACGGACTTGTACAGGCCTTTGTCGACGAGTTGGTTCATGTCCAGCTGTGGATGGGTGTTAGTGATTGGGAAGTCGGCGGTGAGGCGGCGGGCAAATGTGAGATAATAGGACGTGGATGGGGGACATTGGTGTGAAATGAGAGTAGAAATAAAATGAAAAAAAAGATGGACGGTGAAGTGAGAGATATGATGATGAGCGCGATATCGTTCACTGGGGGGCGACGAAAGGAAAAGTACTTACGATTGCCTTTCCATCCTTGATTGACTTAACAGAACACCACGCCACGGCCACGATTTCGATCTCTCGCTGGGACAGTCTTGTGTCTTCGCCGTTGGCCTTGGCCTTGTTAGGAGCCATGTTGAAAGCGTGATGAGAAGTGAACGATGAGAATGGAATTGGTGCAGATTTGTTTTGTTGATGGAAAGAAACTTGCACGGAAAAGAACGAGCATGTGATGGTGGTGGTGGTGGTGATGGTGGTGGTGGTGGTGGGAGAATGTGGACGAAAGGTTGAAAGGAACTTCGTTGAGGGAAGTATGTAGGATGGAATAAATAATAAATTCTTCCGGAGAGTAGAACAGAACTAGTAAGAAGGTGGGGGATGAGAAATTTCTTCCTACGATTGTGAAGTGTTGTGAATTCTGTCGTTCACAAGTACTTAAATGGTACTTGTCAAGGCTACCGTGGGCCACCTCAACATAGCAATGTGTGGATATATCTAGCCGTTTGAGTCATTTTTGAAGACGGGATGTATCTATGGCAAGTATAAATTAATAACCGTACCTTCTACACGTTGGCCCGGTCGCCAACGAGTGTTGCGATGGAAGCATTTATACACCCCCTTTTAGGTACCTAAGTACCTCAATCTCACAAATGCACATTTATTAACATTTCATCAACACACTGGTATACAGACGGCTATTCCTCTTATAACGGTATTTAGATACCCATATGTGCTTATACTCGAATTGATTTAAAAGATTTCGAGTAACTGTGGTGGAACTTGCCAATATGGCTTGAAGGTTATGTGTATATATAATATCTGACCTCCCTGCCCACATCTTATTCTAAACAGCCACGAGATCCTTTTTTTTTTTGAGGGATACACATCAAATGAACAAGCCGCTCTTAGTATCTTATGCTTTCGTAGATAAATTGAATTGTTTATTTCAACCGTAATGACTCATCATGCATGAGGAATTACCGATATCTACTTCAGATTCAAAGTGACTCAGAAGTTTCTCCACGGGGAACTAGATATGTATTGTTAAATCTAACGGGAGCAGTAGCAGCGTCAGGGGCACTCACCTTATCCTTTGTTGCCAACAATGCTTCTATTTGGGCAATGTTCCTCATTCTATCATAAACATCAAGTTCAACAGTCATAATTTATCCTCGGATTCAATTCGAGAAATCTCGAACAACCCGACTATTCTGGTCGTATATATGATTACGGAGTTACTCGGCCCAATAAACTCCTTCTACGGCATTCCTTGCCGTCAATTCAGTCACCTAGGTCTATTTTTTCGAACGATTGCATGTTGTTTCCGGGTCTAACTCCATTCCCCGTCAACACCCGCGACTCAGACGGCATCATTGAATGAGGGCTGGCCTCACTCCTATTTCTTTGCAATGATCTCTCTTCGTTTTCCGCCATCGCGACACTCTTCCCTGGTGTGGAAGGTCTCGGGTCGGGTGTCCCGGTGCGTGAAGGGGCGCATGAGGGAGCGCGCGAGGATACCCGCGAAGATACGCGAGAGGGAACGTGTAGCGGGTGAGGCTTTGTTTCAGATGTGAGGGTATGTCCACTTGATACGCGATCTAACGGAGCCGGCTTCCGCGGGTGCGATGCTGAGCTTGCGCTGGTAGAGGATGGGGTCTGCATCCAGGTGACGAGGTTGTTCAATATGAACAGCTCCGCCTTCAGCTTAACAGTGTAGACGGCCGGTCTGAGAGTAGTCTGGATCTGAAAATTGCCCACCAATTCGTTCACGGTGAGCGCGCCATCAAGTAAGACGACGATGACGACGAGTGCGATAAGTTCGTGCATCATCTTTTTCACCTGGTCCTCTCTAACCATACGCAAGCGCTGCGACGTACAACGGAACGAGTACAAATATATGCCCGCGATCACGACTTCCTGTATCATGAAGCCTACAAGCTGGGCTACCTTGAATACACCGAATGCGTCCTTGAATGGCTTTCCTTTTCGGCTGTCCGGTGGATAGGAACTCATGGCCAGGAAAGTAACGGTCGCCGGTACCTGTAACGTGACGAATGTGAAGATTATGAGGGAGAGGACCCATCGTAGCTTGCGCCGGTCGTGAAGCACAAGGTGTAGTCGTAAGTAGAGAACGAAGGACTGGCCGGTCGACATGAAAACCCAACCAACAGACGTGCACACGGCCATCGGGAAATTTGGTGCTAGGCCCCAGAGATGAAACATGTATAACAAGCAAGGAAAAACTCCTGAATTGGAAACCAGTATCGTCCAGAAATACATGGTATTCTTTCGTCGGAAGGTTTTGAACATCAATAGATATACCTCGAGGGCGTTGTACACGGCAATCCCTAAGAAGATGCCGACGATGACATCGATCCCCCAATCATTTCCATGGTCTGACATCGATGCGTACGACATCATAGCATCCATAGCTCGAATAGAGTTGGAAAGTTAGCTAGATTCCTTAAGAATCTAAGAATCTGTTTGTAATAAGATGGCTATTTTCTTGTTTCTCCCAAGTTCACCCTCTCGATTTGACCAGCAGCAGGAAGCGTTTCTGAATTCCAATATCGAACAGCAGTAGATCATATTTAGGTGAATATGAGCGAATTGAGAGCGGATATGCGGCTGTCCCTGAAGGTTGGCATGATGAATACCACGAGTCAGCCCAGGACTACCGAGCATCCCGTGCAGCTCCCTACTCATATACCGGACGACTCTGGTTGTGGGGAAATAAGACGAAATAGGAGGAAATAAGGGGCTAGAACGAGAGCCGTCGATATGATTACTATTTAGATAAGAGCCCTTCTATTTACTGGTACCTTATTAAACTTTGGCTATATGAATGGTACAAAGCTTATGTCTTCCCTTTTATCCTTCCATCTTTCCACCTTCCCACCTTCCCATCTTCCCATCTTCCCACTAATTTTCCAACCATATTCGTCCGGGATGACGTAGCCATTACCTAGGTAGAGATATAGTCCCTGCCCGGGTACTCAGGACTGGATGCCATTCGACCTTGTTGGAGGATAGAACCCAGATCTAAAAATGCGAATCCTCTGTTGCTGGGAACAGAAACCCCAAATAAGGAGCTCTGCAAAGCACTGATTGGAATGTCTACATTGTAATAGTAATAGGAACCGATAGGAACTATCAGGTCACGGACTGTGAAATGATCGACACAGTACACTGTGCTGCAGGAGCTAGCCAATAGTCATCAAGTACTAGGCTCTTTATAGAAAATGAAGAAACGATCCAGCCAATCAGACTCAACCATTATATATGGTATACTGTGCAGTCAACGGTTGTCGCCTATTGGAATCATACATAGAACTCATTATTCCCAAGTACATATCCTGTCACAGGTCATTGTCATATTGTTCTGTCGCATATGAAGAACTAAGGATAACCACGGTAGTTTCGTCGAGATGTTCTTGTCACCGGACCTCGATACCATCTGTCCAGCAAGACTGACTGGTCTCTTAGGAACAGAAATATCAGACGATAAAGTATATTCATAATCATCCTGATTGCTTACCATGAAGTCCGAGCCATTGCAAGTCTTGGACTTTCCCTTTGACAGTAGTGTAACTCTGGGGTGGCTCATACCATTCAAGTTACAGTCGTTAGCCAAAGCCTTGGCTGTGAGGGTCAAGATGAAGCTAAGAATGGTAACTTCCATAGTCAGGAGATTGTTTATACAAATTTATAGAAACGGCCATGTGGTTCTGTCAAGAGGATATTGTAGTATTGCTATTATTGATGGAAGCACTAGCTGAAAGACCATTCATACGCCCTACAATGGTCCCCGAGCTTTATAGTAGGTAAGGAACGGGATTCTTATAAAAGCCCCGTATTTGACCTTTCGGACTAGAACGAGGTTTGTGAAGATCGTTACATGGAATTATCCTAGGAACAAGTTGGAGGAATAAAGCGGCAGGCCTCGTGAAGTTGTTGTTATGGTACACCGCGTTTACCCCCTTCTACTAATTAAGACCTAGTACATTTCTCCAAGCCTTATATTTTATAAATTAAAAGACCTATTGCGACCGACCTTGTATAAAATACATAAAGTATCTTTCCTATATTTTCTGGCACCTTAAGCCAGTAGTTCGGAGCTCTTCGTACAATAACATTGCTGTCTCTTCGTTCATGTTACATGTGATAGAGTGAGCTAACTTGTTGATGTTAATCGAGAATCGTTTGTTAGGACACTGATGATGTATACAGGCACCTGGTAACTTGATGAATTCCGTCGACGCTAGAAGTTTTTCGCCCTCGGCGATCATCGTTGCTGATCCTCAAAACCCAAATCCCCTTCTAAGCCAGCTATCCTTCGACCCTGTCCTTTCCGTGTAGGTGGATTGTTAACATGGTATATTCTTTCTAATTACTCATCTACACCAAATAGATGTTTCCCAAGTTTATTTACGACATTTCTTCGAATCTTGTGTTGTCTGAGAGTTTCGTTTTTCCCTTAGTCTGCATATTCAGGCCCGGTTCTAGTCAAGAGCACGACAATGGCCCCTTGAAATGCCAATTTTGAGAAACGGGTATTATGAAAGAAAAATCCGAAGAGAGGAAGTTCTTGACGTTTCTCAACATCCGTTGATTTATACAGTCACACCGGCAATGTTGTGCTGGTTATACACAAGGATCGCCGCGTGTTAGTAAGGGGTCATATCCGCCCCGATACTAGGAACTGATATCTTTAATTTTGCGACGAGCAAAGATGCTAAGTCATCAGCAGGAATTACAAATGGGAAAAAGGAAAAAGACGATGACGAAGAAGAAGAAGATGAAGATGAAGAGGAAGAAAATGAACATTTAGAAGCCGTGTTTCCGTTGCCAAGCATTTAGACATCAGATCAAATTTCCGCCTGCCAAGCAATAAAATAAGCACGCATCCGCAGATTTCAGCAAACACCTTGGCAAGCTATAAAGATACTTCGTTAGGGTGACAAGAAAAAGTTGAGTATTCATCACCGAACACCTCTCTAACACATCGCAAATGCCAGGTCAACTCGCCTAGAGCACGTGTCTTCGGCCTCTTTACTACAAGTAGATTAGACAAACGTCGCTAACACGACCCGAATACCACCACGTAGGGACCAGAGCCGCACGACATCCATGAAGACCTTCCTGTTCGGCACCTGTTGTAGAGCCGCATCAGAGTTTGGTTCGGTCACCATCTTAATTATACGTTTTACCAGGTAGCAATAATACCTAGGTAGGAAGTGTGAAGGGATAGGAACGCCGAGAATGGTGTCTTATTACTACGTAGAAACATCAATCAAGCACCTAGACCTTTTAAGATTTATGTCTCACAACAATTCAACAAGCCCTTACCATTCCTACCTACCTATGCGTGAAGAGAATGGATATATTTGTCATCCACTCCCCTCCCCTCCCCTCCCTTTTCCACCTCCCAAGAACCCCAAGAAACAATCATACGAGCCTCGTAGATTACCTCCTCACCACCGGTCAGCGAATCCAACCAAACCCGTCCAATCTACGCACCATCTCACCTGCAAGAGATGCCGATACCCGTACCAAGAGTCAAAGGATGTCCAACTGTGCCACATCGTCGCGAAAAAAAAAAAAGAGCCATAGCCTACCTACAGCCTACCTCTACCCACCGCTAATAGGCCCTACCGTACCATCCCATCCCAAATTAAACCACCAAAATAACTCCATAGTCCGGCACCCTCCCCCCCATACTATCGAATCCGCCCGCATCAAGGTTGCCAAAAATGGGTGTCCGACGCACCGGGACGCGCGTCCACCGCCCACTACTGGGTGCATATATGCTTGGGAGCGACCCTTTTTTCAGGTGGCCGGACCCCATATTTATCTTACGCTGCACCGTAGATTGGTCGAACGGATGGGAAATAATTAAAAAGATTGGGATGCGATTCATATACAAGGACGTATGTATCCATATGTACGTATGGACGCCGCCGATTCCTAAATAACATATCTACTACGGTACGCCTCGCCCCTTCCACCCTCCCGTTCGCCTTCTTCCTTGAACCCGTAGTATAAAAAAGCAGCAAACGTCGCGAAAACCCCAATGCAGCATCATCCCGTGAAATTTCACCTAACCGAACCTGTCAAGCACCTTTTGTACGGAATTTGGGCCGGACGGTTTCGTTTCGTATGGAAGTACCCAGGAACGCCATGCAAAAAAATGTCATGGGATTATGAGACGCGAAAAATATTTCACGCTCTTCATATCCCTCTCCGTTCACCTCAACTCTCAAGTTATGCCACTACTACCGTCCTAGACCGCCTTCAGCTCGGAAACCATCGCACATCTGGTCATATGGCTTCTTCAGGTTGTTTGGCGTGCAAACAGCCTCGTTTGCGAATGCGCGATACCGATCAAGGAGATCACTTTTGGTGATCCCGTCGTGTTGAGTGAAGAAGCTGAAGTGGCCGACAACGGAGCGCGTATCGATGAGGAATGGTCGACCAGTTCGTCTGGGGATGTCCGCAGTGATGTCCTGCTCATCATCGTCCGCGATGGGGAGTTGGTCCCTGATATCGGAACCCCAGACCGCAACGAAGTTCAGATTGTATCGGTTGAATCCGGTGTCGTATGTCTGCTCGCCACCAGGACCTTTTCCATCACCGAGAACAACCGCTGTCGCATTCGGCTTCGAAGAATTTTCTGGGTAGCGAATATTTCTACCGAAGAAATAGCGGTGCATCTTATTCTGCTCAATATTGTATAATAGGGAGTACTGCTGTTGCGCACCAATAGCCCACGATTTCCACGCTGCGCCGAAAGCAATCGGATCACTGCCGCGGTCCTGGTCATATTTGCCCATCGGAGTCTTAAGCAGGTCATAGTGGTCGTCGGAGATAAGAAGCCATGGGTGACCACGGTACGAGGGCTTAATATCCATAAGATCATAATCGGCTACCAATTCCTCTTCGGGATACCTCTTTTTCTCGGATACGCGCCACGATTCCGCTGCGAGGAACGACGGCTTGCTACTTGGATCCGGAAGGAAGGGGTGAATAGCACCGTAGTGGTACTGTTCCATGCCCGTTACAGGGCTGTTGACTAAATTTGCCGAGATGGCATACGGATGAGGCAGGGCAATGCGAGTATGGATGAGTTGAGGGATAGCGTCATGGTGGATATATACCTAAGTCATAAGGTCAGTCAATGCTTCTCTCCGGTCCCCAATTTACCCTTGCCCAAAAATAGGAGCAAAATGCAGCAAACAGCAAGGAGGGTTGCTCACAATATCGTCATCTATCTTGACGTAGATGGTGTTGTCCTCAACCGCATAGTTCCACATGCACTTGTACTTTTTACCTTCGCAAACTCCCTTGCCAACAAGTTTGTAACCGGGTGTCTTCTGGACGAGCTCTTCAACCCATTTAACATCATCCTCAACCTTGGTGTGAGCCATGAACCAAATTTCGTCGAAGTAGCCACCGTTGGATGCCAGGTTCTGTTGGAGGTAACAATCCAGAAGGTCCACATATCTCTTGCGACCATAGAAGACCATACCAATGACCTTAATACCAGCCGGTTTCTTCCAACCATCCTTCGGAGCGATGCTATCTAGCTTGATCTTATCGACGCGGTCCGTTGCTTGCAGCTTGTAATCCCCGTGTTCATCTACAGGCCAAGTGGTGCAGTATTTGCTCTCCGGCTTCGGTTTCTTCTCCTTAGATTTATCCTTATCGCCCGACTCTCCTGCTTTCCCGGAAGACGATGCGGTGGGCGCAGCTGAAGATTTAGATGCGGACGCAGATGTAGGTTTCGAGCCGTGAGTTGCGACTGTTGATGTTACTTGAGCCGCGGCGGTCGTCGGTGTCGTCGTGGGAGAGACGTCAACATCTGTTTGATGTTGTGTAGGCTGGGCAGGAGAGTAGGGGTTAAAGATGAACAAGGTTATAAGTAAAGAGACGATCAGAGCGAATATGAAATATCTCGGGTTAAATTTGCGAGCGGGTAGCCAACTAGGTATCGGGATAGACTGAAGACGACGCCATATTGGATTAGGATGATCAGATCTAAGCGGCGAAGACCAATTTTGACTGTCTTCGGATTCGTCAAAGTCGAATTCCTCACTGCTCGACGACTGTGTCTCCTTCGACAGTAACTGGGCGGAGGACTCGACGTCCTTATCCCACTGCTCCTTCATCGTGGTATGCGATTGGCGCAGAGTACGACCAAGTATAGCCAATGCGCCCGTGTATTGGGCCAGATAGCGGTAGAATATCAACACCGATATTATCCGCAGCCGGTTCCTCGATTACTATATCCTATAGCTAGAACCTAATTAATAGGTGTTATCCTAAAACTTCGTCGTCGTGATGCTATTGCGGAGATGCGCTAATGTGGGCGGACGCGTGACTTGACGTAGCTTTGACGCGGGAGCCGACAAGGATGAGTAGCTAGTTAATTCTAAAGAATGTCATGAGGAGGATGGAAACGGCGGCGGCGACAATATTGGCGAAGGGTTCATATTATGAAATTGTCCCGCGTTGAAGTGGCCGAGTACTCCGTGATAAAAAAGAACAAAAACAAAAAAGGTGGATAGTGGATAGGTGGTAAAATGTAGGATGGGGGCTGAATAAAGGAGAGGGGCGAAATTGGAAATATGATAGGCAAGGTTGTTAAGTTCCCAGGTTGTCATTCAGCAATTCAGGCAGGTCAGCTTATTATTGTATGGATTTCTATTCCGTTATTAGAATAGAGCGAGCGAACGAAGGAAAGTACCAAGGGTGTTAGGTACAAAATAAGAGATAGCCATCTGCAGGACGCAGCATCAATTGATGCAAACACCTGTGGATGATGGATCCATTAGACAGATCCATGGATGTCGTGGGTAGAAAAGCCAAGACAAATTACAAAGAATTAGTGCTGATGGCACAGATGGGACTGAGAAAGCCGAGGAGGCTTGGTTAAAGTTAGGGGATCCTTAGCTAAATCCACGTTGTACTCCATCCTGTCCATCTTGTTCCACCCATGTACTATCTATGGTAATTCTGCTAGAGATTGTACCTACCAAGATACTTATTCTAAGTAACCTTTTAAGTAACCTAACGGGTTCGGATGGAACCAGACCCGCATTGCCCACAATGCCCACACTGCCCACATTGGACGATAGGCAACTTCCACTGCTGCTTCCACTGTTCCATTTGGGCCAAGGACGCTTCCTTAGGTAGGTATTAAACTAATGTATTGCATTGCCTATTGCCTTTCTACGCACTAAGACTAACTTAACCGAGCATGACCCTTATGCAACTAACATAAGGCTATTTACATGGGATGGTGCACTTAATTTCTGAATTCCCATTGGGCTCGCATTGCCATTTTACATTGTTATACCTCGTGTACCTTAATTGCCTACATTTGCATACCTGGTCGTATTTGTATTACGATGTACTCCTAAGTGCATACACTTCCCCCGCGGTCGATATCATTAAGGACTCCAAGGACAAAACTCAAAACGACGGCCTGGAAATCGAATGGTTCACTCTTAAATTTCGTATTACTGTGTGCGATTGTCGACTGTTGTCCAAAAATCATATCGCTGATTCGCCTCAGTATACGGCACACAAACTAAAAAGCCGTCTGCATACATATCTGCCGGGGTATGTTGCATTCGGGACTACCAGCCGTATTTGTCGCTTCAGCTGTGCTACGCTTGGTTGAATTAAGAACAAATATCCGGGCTCATTATAGGCGGCACGTTACTGTTATACGAGATGCGATCCATCCCAATCATGAGCCTTTGTTTTAGAATATGTAGCTAACAGCCTAGATCTCGCATATCTACTATGTGGTATAGTAGTTTGGTATTCCTACATAGTACGAGCCTTGCGGCTATCGCGACTCGCTAGGCATCGTCTATTATTATATTAGTGTTGGCTCAACCCTAGCGCTGGCGCCATCCGATCAGCATTTTGTTAGTACGGAACTCATATTATCGAGTTACATCACTTTGGACAACGAACAGCATTCTATTGCAACACTGAAAAGTCGCTGCCTAGGAACACACTGAACATCCATCCAACCACGGTGGCTATGCAGCTATAACACCTATTGTTACTGGCCGGAGCAGTTACACCGCATCAAAGCTGATCAATGACACGTGCGGCGACCTATAGAAACGAAGATCCAGTCTTCCGGTTGCGAACGCGAAAAATTCGGCCACGGGCAGGCCCTCAAAACCCGAACCATCCGCGCCGCAAGCGGACAGGATCGTCCAGCAAATAGCACGTCAGATAAGACTCGCGAGAAAAGCTTATGTACATATTTAGTACATATTTTGATCATCAACGCAACACCGTATTACAGCACAACATTCGATTATATGCTGAAATTGAGGCTTTAAGCGGTCTAGCATATCTCGTGAACCCCTCGTCTCACCAGCTCATCGCTCCCATCTCGCGAATCTTCGCCGGTCTAGACTGTCATCTACATATGCCAAGATCTGACTGGTGCAGGGGCTAACTCTTTCTTCAGTTACTAATCATATACCAAGCCATAATGGATTCTTGGACTCGGCAGGTTCCAAGATTTCGAAGCTAGCCTTATTATGTCTCTGATAATTGTAACTCAATTAGACGTCTCAGCTTTACCCAAGGATTCGGATGCCACGCGATATCACAACGCTAAGACAGCTAGAATGGGGGTCGCGGGCTCCAGAGTGTTCACATCGTCATCCCTCCGTATCAGGTTTAGCACAAACGCCGTTTTACTCAGTCACGACTCAGGAAGAGAAGACGGACTTTTCAGGGCAACGGTAACGTTTAGCTCCACGTCCAATTGGTATGTCAGGTGACCACCCTAATCCAACACGCTCTTCATATATTAACTACGCGTCAAATATACCCAATATCTACTCTTTATTCAACGTACACTTATAAAGATTGAGCATTCTTACCCGCATCACTCACTGTAAAAACGACATTCTTCAAAATAAGCATCTCACTCTCATCCTCATAACTTTCCAAAAAACACCAATCAATATCCGCCCAACACATCCCATGCCAAGCTCCCGTATATTCTAGCATAACCTGAGCCCTAAACCTACAAACCGACATTGCATTGCCATGAGAATCCATGTTGAAAACTTCCAACATCTCCCTCACTATAGCCTCCCGATCAACATCATACAACCGCGTAATAAGTCTCCGATTCCGCCACACATCCAACCTACCTACCCCAAATGTCGTCCTCGTCCCGGCTCTCCGATTTCCCCGTTGGCGGGACCGGGGTACGTCTGCTCTTTGTAGAGCTGGTCCGTGGGTAGATTTGAAAATTGGGCCTCAAGTAGGTAATTCATGCATATCAATTCAGGGTTAAATACCAACGACGAAAATCCTCCGTAAAGAAAACGGAAACCCTCACAGTACAGAAACGCTGGTTATTACGTCAGATTGAATTACATATATGCATGCATAACATTTCTCATACTTTTGTTTAGCGAAACACTCCATAATTCTATTTTTATGAAGCGTTCATTATTATGGACCACCTAAAGTGGCACAGTCTGACAGTTCAGGTTTACCGCCGCAAAAGGTACAGCCCAAAATTTCCACCTTTTTCAGCCCTTCACACGCTTGGCGAATCCCAAAGACCCTTTTCATATCATCGCACGGTTACACAACGTCATACCAAACCGAACTTGCTAATTTAAGAGTTGGCGAGCCTCGCCCGGTTTCATCATACCAAGATATCGCTGATTGCTTACCTTGGTAAGGTATGGCTAGGTACAACAGCATCCCGTCTTATGTCGATGGCTTCTCTCGCGATCACCTGTCTTGGTTGTCGTGATCGGCGGGGCTCACCGATATGTCACCAGTGACCAATCATACCTAGGTAGGCTACCTAGAGCCTCTACATAGTAAAGGTCAAAAAGTTGAGTTGCCCGTGGCTGCCGAATATACAAGTCTATATATCCTTGTCATTCCAGATGTCCTTGCTTTAAAATCTTGGCAAATTTTCAACGTTGTCTGAAGTTTATGACTATTAGTTCAAGTAGCAAACAATTGGCGAAAATATGCCGAGTTTAAAGCATAAGAAGCATCAAAGTCCCAAGACCACCCTCGAATGGCAAGGTGACACGAACGCGGCATGATGATGGTCAAAACGACCTCACACTATCATATGGCATAGCACATGTTCTGCATATCTTGATAATATGATGAATGAAGGCTAGACCATGTATGTGCTGTATATATCTGAACATATCCCACGGCTAATCACTTGATCTTACTCGCCTACTCACGCCGGAATGATTCGAAGCATGTAATTGTCTTGGAATTGCAAAGATCTGAATAAGGCTTGTTTTTTCATACGAGACACGGAAGCGCGCCAGTCACCAAGCAATCTGTTGGTGTGACCGAAGCGCATGATGACCGGAGGCGGGCGTATTATTCATTCTCCATTCTCGTATAGGATCCCCGGCTCTGGTGATTGAAAGGTGGCGTCGCCGACGATGGAACGTTTCTATCTGTTGCACGTAGGACAGCTATAAAGCGGGTATGGCTCAGGTATACATTCGAAACTGAATCCCGGATGTAAAACCTATTTATCAGGTGAAATGATTGTTAACATTCGCAAGGCGACAACTTTTTGTCAGGGGACAATTGGCACTAGGTAGTTCCCGATTAGGTATAGTGCAAGATCAGGGTAGACCGTATATAAGGTGCGCAGCACCCTCAAAGGTGCTTCGAAGCGCAAGCGTTAATAGTTCATTAATATTATACTACTACCTAAGTAGCATTCACTTTATGTATGACATCCATCAAAGGAGCACTACTTTTCCTGACACTATTTGGGATCCGGATCCGGAAACAGGACCCTATAATCCACAAGTACACGCCGACCTCATTCTTACATAAAGGGCATGATTTCTGTCTTGAGCCTTTTCAAATCTCGCCTTATGCTAGTATTTTCTTTTGAATCCCTCATTTTTCGTCCCATCCACATTTAATAAGTGATAAGCTTTCCTATTCCAGTAGCTAAGCAGCTGTTCTACCGACAGGTGCCTAACCTAACCATTAGGCCATCAAAGATTGCCAAAAGATGGATAAGAAATGAATATTAGATATGAGAAGATATGCGCAACAGAATAAGTTGAAAAATAATAGCATGGAGATCGACGACAACAACTTATAAGAATATAATGGAGGGTTGAGATTGCAACGTGCTTTGGCTTAAACGGACTTAGGTGCCTAGTAAATCCACGTTTGACTTGCTCAGTTGTGCAATCATACCATAATATATACTAGGTATGTAGGTACCCTACACAGAGCCTATAGAATAACTAGGCAAGAAGGGTGATGCAATTATCCTATTACATCTGGCGCCGCTCCGTCTACTGCATCATCAGGGGCAAGACAACCTCCTCGTTGAATCGCCAAAGCAATGCGCTATACGGTGTATGGAATGCCGCGCCGCTGTAAAACATCCTGCCGCCAAAGCCGCCCTGTAGCGCGGTGAGGTTCCCGAAGAAGCCGTCCCAGATAGCCTCGGGAGGAACTTGGAGTTGGAACGGCGTGTGCGATGAGAAGGCCAAAAACTTCGGTTCCTTCGCACTAGTAGTGACGTTGTTCACAGATCTCAAGGTGCGGATTTGCGCTTGTATATACTCTTGGACTAGGTCGTCGCTCAGGTCCGCGGTATTGGACCCGAATTTGACCGCCCATACGTTGTCGACCACCCCGACGGGTGTTAGGACGTACAGCCCCGGAAGCACCGGGATCTGGAAAGGCGTGGCGGCCGCGGCGTTCCAGTACGTTGTTGTCTGACTAAGTCCGACATCCGTGACGAGTCCCGTCCAGTACCCGTTGGCGTTGACGTACTGCGAGAACACTGCGTACTCTTCTGCGGATAAGTCCCATCCCCCCAGATTCAAGAGGGTCGGAGGGATGGTTAAGAGGGCTTGCTTGCACGAGAGTAGTTGGAGTCCCTCCCCCTTGGTCGAGATGAGAAGTTCGAGATTTCCTGACGTTGTATTTTGCCTCTTAGTAGAAACGACGGTGGACTGAAGAAATATGTTGGGTCGTCCCACGTAGTCTCTGGCTTTCCTGTAAAGCATTGACGTATCGCCATTGGCTGCGGTAAGGTACCCCTGGGATAAGGCTTGGAGGTCGCCCAAGTTGAAGTACTTGACCACGTAGATGGTCGGGATATCCAATAGATTGCCCATTCCCTGTGAAAACTGGTAGTAGGTAGGGATAACTGCTGTTAAATTATGCTTTTCGAGGAAAGCCCCAAATGGTATGATGAGATCTTCAGGAATTGGGTCGGGGAGATCGTATCCCTGAAGGAGGTATGGGTAATCGGAGAGTATGCTGCCTAGACGCGAAAAGGCATCGTCAACTCCCGGATCGATGCCGCGGTCTACGCTCGACCCATCACGGAAGTCCACGTCTTCCCGGATAGAATTGTAACATACAGCTGGTAGTGATGTATTTGCAGGATCCCCAGGCTTGTTCCACGGGACGGAAGACATATTCAGTAACGGAATGTTGAATTTGTTGAAAAAGTCATAGACCGCCTGAAGCGGTTGGTGTATAACGACACCGTAGTCGACAGACACCCCAGAGCTAGGATCCGTCCATGTTTCGCAATGGCCCCCAAGACGATCATTGCGCTCGATTATCGCCAACGTCCTATTCATGTCAAGTAGAGATACAGCAGCGTGGACACCGCTGCTTCCTCCGCCGACGATACAGACATCCTTCTCTATAACTTGGGCCCATTGGCCGTCCATTATGTCGAAAGTGCTCCAGTCATGCGACCTGGATAGTCCTATGTAGCTGATAAGACATATCAACCGCAAGGGCTGTTCGAGTGTACGTTTTCGCATTCTTTCGGCCTGCTAGGTTTGGTAGCGGTTAATTGATCGTGACAAAAGGAAAGGAACAGGCTTTATTGCTATACACTTACTCAAAGGATTATAATTATATGAAATATATTCGGAAATTGTAAGTCAAATATGGCAAGTAAATCTGGAGGGGTGGGGGCGGGTGTGAGGTACATGGCGTACCTCCCACCCCCTAAACCCCTGCTCTTTAGATACCGGGTACGGTTGCTTTGCAGTCCCGGTCACTTCGCTGGTCGCTAACTCCCTGCCAACTGTCACATCTCTAGTGATTTTTAGGGGGGGAGTCGTTGTTGTTGTTGTTCCGTGTTAACGTCTGAGCGAACGGCGTGGGCTCCTCTTCGCAACCTTCCTGGGGATATGAGACGTGACAAGCTCTAATATACGCAATTGGTGATACATCTGATGACCCCGGTATTCTACTATGATGCCAAATATTGCCTCTGGGGGCTCAACATTCCCTGATTAGCAATTACTACCTGTCGATCGGCCTAACCTCGAGCCTTACAGGGTTGGAAATGGATGGTTGTTCTAGGTAATGGTTGGTCTGTAGAGTTCCTCGTTCTGCGGTTTTCTTCTGTGGGTTCTATTCACCCTAACTACTAGGACTCGCTCGTGCACTCTTTCGAGGGAATGCTTTCAGGGGTCGGGATACGGATAATTACTTAACATAGATAGAAAATTTTGACTTTTCTCTGTTGACAGGTGCCTAGGTACTACTCGAGATGTTCAAGTCTAAGATATGAGATACCTACCTAGTGATGTAGTTTAAACCCTCCTGGACAGCCTTTTTGGAAAAGACCCTCTGGATCGTACTTTTTGCTGACCTCCGTTAGATGCCTCTTGCTGTCTTCACCATAAGACCCTACGGGGTCCTGGTTGACAAAGGCGTAGTTCATATACACGTAGGGTACCAGCTGCTCTCGAGAAGCTGCCTCTGCCTTGATCTTCTCAAGTGCATTGCCCATCATCTCCAGAATCCTACCGTCATCGCCTACATTCTGCCAGTAGGAAAGAAGCAAGACCGACACAAGAGGTTCGTGGGTTGTCTCTAGACCCAAGGAATTCCCTCCGTTCTGAGAAGACTTCTCCAGCAGTGAAGCGGGATACGGCTGGAGAGTGAAAGAGCATCTAAGCCCTTCTACGGATTTGACAGGTTCGAGGGCTTCTTTGTATATCTCCGAAGCAGCTATCAACGCCGCAGCATTGCTTTTTACCGTGATGTTCATATACGCACACCTATTAGAACGTAAGAGTCAGGATACGAGTTGTTGACACGGATCAAGCGGTCTACACATACCGTGTGCCCATCGAGACGCCTGCAGCCTGATCTGTGGCAGCTTCTTTCAATGTCATTGTCCGTACCGAGCTATACTGTTCGATCTGCGGTTGGACGGACATGAATGGGGTTAATTCTGGCGGGTTTTCTACAGCCTGCGTGAAATAAACCGTATTCAACCCGACGGGATCCGGGCTCAGGGCGCCCGCATATCCGATGCTGACCATGAGATGGGTCTCGTGGGATGGATTCGGTCGATTGAGCTCATTCACAAGATTCTCGATTTGACTGGGGATACTCGGGAGAAAGTAGTAGATGTTACCTCCCCAAATAGAGCCCTGAGGGAAGGTCTTGAAGTCGTAGCGTGTGACTATCCCAAAGTTGTTTCCACCGCCTCGCAGCGCTCTCCATAGATCTGGATGTTGCTTGGCGTTGGCATTGACGACTTCACCTGAAGCCAGCACAATCTCATAGTTGACAACATTGTCGCATATGAATCCCTCCCGCGAAGAGAAGAAAGAGAGACCACCTGCGAATACTCAGCTGCCGCCGTAAGAAATGGTATTATATCTAGACGTGCGTGAACATACCTTCGAGTGACAGCCCACCAATGCCACAGTTGTTGGCTCTGCCACCGGCGACTCCAATTCCAGAGCCATCAAGCTTGTCATAGACGGCGCCCCAGCGTGCCCCAGCGCCAATTTCTATCAGGCCCTGGTCTTTCTTGACCTCGATCCCGGCTAGGTTGCTTAGATCGACGGTGATACCATCTTGAATGTTGGCACAGCCAGGTGCAGGCTGTTGGCCGCCCCCACGAACGGCGAACTGAGCTTCTCCCTTGCAGGCAAAAGGTCGAATAGTCCGCACGAACGTCACAACGTTTTGTAGGGAGCGGGGCTGGAAGATGCAGGCTGGCTTGAGGTCGCTTTCTAGCTGAGAGAGATATGAAGAGTTCCTGTCTCCGTACTCAGTCGTACCTCGAAAGAAGAATTGGCCATCTGGGATGGCCTCCTTCAGTGCATCAATAGCCCGCGATGGATCCATTCTAGGTAGTGTTTAGTGTATATAGATTGGTAGGTAGATAGATAGGTAGACAGGTAGGTAGGTAAGTAGGTACGATTCCTTTTTGCTCGTCGAACAGTTCTACGTTTTATTAAGGCGAGGGTTGATAAAAAGGGGGGCCATGCCGATCTTGTCTGTTGGTACATTGCCTACCTAGGCCTACCTATCGACTGTAAGCCAAGAACTCTTGATTGTCGTACAGGACCGCCCCTTACGAAGTATGTATGTAATAAATTATGTTTGTGTATCCTGACAGCCTGAGGTGCGTGCATCCATCCACGTGTTACATTCTCCAACTTAGGTACTAAGTACCTACCTAAACATAACACTATGTACCTAGGTATGTAGGTAGTTATCCTGCACCGTCTCCCTATCAATCGAGATTGAAATTTCATAATGCTACTGACAACTCAGTTTCAAGCAACTAACGGCAGGCCAAAAAAGTATAGAACCAGCGAAATCATCTTCCAAGCATCATATAAGACCTACAATCTTGCGCTTTTAACCATTTTATTTCTAAGCTATCGTAGTAGAGTCTTTTCATCAATGCACGTCTCTGCATTAATTATTACTTTTTATTACCGCACCAGTTAGTCAGTCAAAGCGTCTTGAAGGATGCTGGAAGGGCCTTCCGTCGAAAATAGGGCAACTTCGGCGTCCCTGGTGGACCAGAAGTCGCCGGCCCAGTCCGCAAACCGGCAAACGCAATTCTGGACCATCATCGCGTCGCTGAGTCTACTTGCCTTTGTCTCGGCGCTCGATGCTATGATTGTCACAACAGCTTTACCCACGATTACCAAAGACATCGGCGGGTCCTCACAATACGTGTGGATCGCCAACTCTTTCGTTATCGCCTCGACCGTGCTGCAACCGCTCATCGGCCAGTTTGCCGATGCCCTCGGTCGTAAACTTCCGACTATCGTATCCGTTGCCCTTTTCATTATAGGCAGCGGCATTGCCGGCGGCGCTTACAATGTTGGCATGTTCATCGCCGGCCGCTCCATCCAAGGAATAGGGGCTGGTGGTATGTACGTCTTGATAGATATTATCTGCTGTGATCTGGTCCCTCTACGCGAGCGTGGCAAATACCTGGGCATTGTCAACTCGTCCGCTGCAGTAGCTGCTGCTATCGGTCCCGTCCTTGGCGGCGCTCTCGCCCGTGCGAATTGGCGCTGGATATTTTGGTTGAACATCCCTGTTTGCGGCGTGCCATTCTTCACCCTTCTGCTATTCATGAAGATGAAGTCAGGAGATGCGCGAGGTCGAGGTTGGGGCAGACTATTGCGTGTTGATTACATCGGAAACGTCGTTTTCATCCCAAGTCTCATAGCCCTTATGTTTGGGCTGGTCACAGGTGGCATTGAGTTTCCTTGGTCTTCGTGGCGCATCATACTACCCATCGTCCTTGGAGTGCTCGGTTGGATCGCCTTCCACATCTGGGAACATTTCACTGCCTATCCCAGCGTACCGTCCCGTCTCTTTAGCAATCGCACCTCGGCGACGGCTTACGTACTGACCTTCTTTGCTTCTGTCCTCGCTACAACACTTGGATATTTCCTGCCCGTGTATTTCCAGGCAGTACTACGGGCTACAGTGTTCTACTCGGGAGTTTACTATCTTCCCTTGGCCATTGGGACATTGGTCTCTGCGGTAATAGGCGGCGTGTTATTAAGTGCATTTGGTGCTTATAGACCCTTGCACGCTTTCGCCTTTGCTTTGGGCATCGTTGGATTTGGATTACTTACGATCCTCCGCGGCAATTCGCACGCGGTGGCTTGGGTGTTCTTCCAACTAATTGTCTCGGTCGGGGTGGGCATCCCGGTTTCGACCTGTCTACCCGCAATCATGGCAGCACTCCCAGAGTCCGACGTTGCTTCCGCTACCGCCGCCTTTTCCTTCATCAAAACATTTGGGTACATATGGGGCGTCACGATCCCGTCGATTCTTTTCAATGGAATCATTAATAATAACTTATCCCTTGTCTCGTCACCTTCGTTAAGGGATCAACTACGAAATGGTGGTGCGTACTCCTTCGCAAGTCAGGCTAATGCCTTGGCCGGATCAGTGGACGGGGCTGTCTGGAACGAGGTTGAGCAAGTGTATGTACGGAGTCTGAATGCAATATGGTGGTTTGGGCTGGGGATCTCGGCAGTAAGTTTCCTTGCCGTAGGCATTGAGAGGGGGCTGGAGCTTTCTACGGAGTTGAACACGGAATTTGGACTTGATGGCAATAAGACGGAGGATTCAACTACAGGAGCAAAGGAGAAGGGCGGGCGGGCTCAAAGTGGGATTGAGCGTGGTTCTGAGGAGGCGGTTCTACCCTGACTTCACTGCTATTATTCACTTGGATACACTCTCTTGTAATCACTCGACATTTCATAATATTGTAGACTAGGTAGATCGGCTTTTCTTGCGCATTTCATTGGGCTACGTTATATGACCCAATCGCTCCTGGAATATTAGGTGGCTGGGAGTCTACACCCTATATCTTAGGGGTATAATGTACTACTACAAACTACTACTTGCCTACTAGGTACTTCTAGCAACTTAAACCTCCTAACATACAACAATGATATTTCTAACTCGTATCTGTTTCAACAATCGCTCGGTTGGAATCCATCCTCCTGCGGGTCATATGCTTGTTGTATCAAATTGAAGTACCTAAGTACCTAGGCAGGCTATGAGTCTGTGTAACCTCATATGCCGTGTGTGAATGTGGTTGCAGTGTGGCGAATGTCACGGTTGGCGGATATATATCGAAAAAGAGTCGAGTAGCACAGCATGGCAATAGCTCAGCTCGGGCTTGGCACTCGCATTCGTAGATACGACAAGCTCCGGCAATAAGTAGGTACCTACTAAAATGCAGAAAACGAGCGTGATACAAAAGGTCGGTGAAAATTGTAAAATGATATATCAACAACATAATGCATTTCTCCGTAACCGCCTTATATGACAAGGACTAATATAAAAATCTTGGAACTTTAGAAGATTAGGTAATTTAATTAATAATTCTTCAGCGTTTTACCATCTTTAATTTCTCTCTCTCACGAGGAGGAATTGTCGGCTTGTTTACCTACCAACCTATGCTTATTCTCATAAATACTACTGTATCGGGAATATCAGACGCCGTGGCGTTTAGCCGTGTGACACCGAAGTCGCCCGTAATTTGAATTCGCTCTCAGCCTACCTGCTACTTAATACATAAATAATTCACAGCCTTACTTACCCCGAGATAAGATGAAATACTACCTACCTAGGTACCTAGGTACAGGACCCCGCACCCCCAATGATTCCCCGTCACACATTACACGAACCCCAAGAGGCTTTCATCGAGAATACATCTCAGACAGTATCGTGCAGAAACAGTGTAAGCGCCGATAATGGTCTTGGCACCGGCAGCGAATTATACCAGGTACCTAACTACCTAGTAGGTAGATGATGATGTACGTGTTTCATCAATCTGGAGGGAGAGCCTATCGTCAAGCAATTGGTTACAACTGGTATCAATATTAATTTGCTGGTGCATTTTATTGAGGGGATCAAACTCTCCTAACTCTCTTAATAACTACCGTGACAATTGACAATACGACCCACGTTCCGCCCATTTCAACGACTTCTGGCCATGTCCTCTAATGAAATAACAGTATTAGATTGTGCGTCCTTTCTCTCACCAAACGCTGTCGTGGGCCTGCCATTCCGACTTCCAGGGTACCCGACATCGTCATGTAGATGTATAACTGAAGAGTTCTGCTCGGAGGATTGCTGTCTCGCTGTCTGGTCAGAGCCAGTGCTCTTGCGGGTAGTCAGGATGTGTGAGACTTGGGAAAATAGAGTGTCGATCTTCGACCGTAACCACGTATCGGCGGCAAGTTTAGACCAGAGTGCATTGGTAGCTGGCACGCAGCCGACGATTATGACTACTGTGTTCTCAATCACGCTGTATCGATATATTAGTGACTCGTCATCTGACAATTCATTGCCGAACAGAGGCTGACATACGACAATGTAGAGGCCAGCATGATATCAGTTGCCTCTCCCGACAGAGAATCCCATTTGTATTTGAGTGCGACTGCACTGGTAACTATGGCACTTTGTAGCTCGTCAGACCGGATCATGGGTATTGCTGAAGTGTTACGAATCATTAGGTACTTACAGGGCACCAACTAGAAACACGACAGAGAGCCCAAGCTTTTTCGCCAACGGAAGATGCAACTTAGCGAGTATAGGTAGAGGTAGACAGAAGATAACGGCATCGCTGAAGACTCCGACGAATCCACATATGACTCCTACGGTCGAGCCAACTCGGTTGCAATTCGTGACATACTCGATATAACCTGGGCTCGTTATGTCTTGCGGCATACACTTTGCAGCATTGTAGGCATCGCCGATTAAGATCACCAAAGCCATAACTGCGAGCGTCGCCAGACAACTCAGTCGCATCCACTTGTGAAGACCGAACAAGCGGATATAAAGCAACAGCACGGGTGCTTTGGCGGTCCACATCGAGAACCCGGTCAAGAAGACCATGGCTACTTGTAACTAGAAGAGTTTCGTATGAGGCTGGCTGTTTTACGCTCGCAGGAGTTTTCAGCTCACTCACCTGGCTCACATAGTAAAGTGAAGACGTAGGGTCAATTGCAGCTGCATACTGGCTTAGCCATCACGGGATAGAGACGAGAAAAGAGTTGGCGAGGCTGGGGGCGATCAGGGGCTACGCACCTTTAAGCAATCTGTATAGTGTTGCAAAGGTAGCAATTAAGAATATATCAGCGACAATAGAGAAATCTATGAAACTATTAGCAATCCCATGCCTGGCAATTGGGGGTTGTGGTAGTGGAAAGCAGACGATCATCAATGTATAGCCTCCTCGCGTGCCATTTATCTGACGCAACGCGAATGATTGTGAAAACACTGGCGACAGTGACCAAGGTCGCGCCAGCGCCGAGGAACGATTCTAACTGCATTACGGCGCGCCACTAGGATGTAGGAACTTTCTGAGAACGTGTCCAAAGGAAACCGGATTGCAACCTGCCTATGAGAAGTGTGAGGTAGGAGTTACCTACCTATATTCTTTACATATCCGATAGCTTACATATCCTTCTAGATCGAACGATCTTCTTCCTTATTTAGACTTCATGAATCTTAATACTAGTTTCCAGGTGGCATGCGGCTGCATGTCGGCGACGTGTTGGCGTTGGCAAGATAGGATGGCTTGGTTGGTTGGTTGTTGGTATAATTAACGCCGGGGCAAGGGGGAATGACCTTCCCTCGCAAACCTCCCTAGGGGTATGCGGCGTGTAGAAGATAGGATGGCTTGGCGCAGCTAAGGGATCACATTAACCACACCCAAGGGGGTGTCGGTGCATATTGAAGCTCCTCGTCCTTATCTGATCTTGGACAGAATGGGGGTGGTCAGACAGCAGTCCTACGTAGTATTAGCTGCTGTGCCAGCCGTACTGCGGGTGATATTATTACAAGTTTTTCTTTTCCCAGAACATCTCCAACATCCATATTGGTAAGTACCTACCCACCCAAGTACCTGTCACCTGCCCACGATCGTGTACTCTCACAGTATGAGCTCTACTATGCATCTTTTGCATTGCACCATGGAGCAAGGCTGAGAGGACTGCTGTGGCTGTAGGTCGCTACTTGTTTATCAGATGATCATGGCCTTCTTTGTTTTTCAGTTGGAAGAATGTACACACAAGTTACATACGCCGCCCATCCTACTATGTCTAGTCCTCTGGGGTAGGTACTTTACATTGAGATTAACCAGAACTCCTTTACCATGACGGTGACTAAGGGCAAGCTCTAGATTAAGGAACCCCTTTAGCTCGCTGGTTGCTCAGCTGTCTCCTTTGGAATATCCGATCGCAGACTGCGTAGGGCGCACTGTAATTATTACCGGAGCTAGCAGTGGTTTAGGCCTAGAGACAGCTAGGCATTTCGTGCGCCTTAGATCTGAGAAGGTCATCTTGGGATGCAGGAATCTTGCCAAGGGCGAGATGGCCAAGAAAGACATCGAGTCTTCGGAGGGCCGGCCAGGCGTGGTGGAGGTTTGGGAATTGGACCTCGGCTCATTTGACAGCGTCAAGTCATTCTGCTATCGGGCAGAGGGACTTGATCGCCTTGACATCGTAATCGAGAACGCTGGTCTCTCGAGTAAGAACTACGAGGTCCTCGAAGGCTACGAGCGTCAGGTCACCGTCAATGTCATCTCAACCTTCCTAATGGGCGTTATGCTTTTGCCCAAGCTAAGGAAAAGCGCAACAGAGAATTCGTATCCCCATCTGGTATTCGTCGCTTCTAATGCGCATTTCTACCCGACGTTCGAGGAACGCAATGCGCCGTCAATATTCAACGCCTTAAAGGGGGATGCCCAAATGCAGTGGCGCTACCCCGTAACCAAGCTTCTGGTAGTGCTGATCGCGCGGGAGTTGGCCCGGCAAGTTTCGCTCTCCGGGACACGGGACGTAATCATAAATTTTCTAGATACGGGGCTTTGCAAGACGAATCTTTTCCGCGACGAGGTCTTTCCCATGTCCTGGGCCCTCGCAATTGCAATGTTCTTGGTCGGACGTACGTGCGAGATGGGATCTCGCGTCATCCTATGGGCCGCGCTAGCTGGGGCAGAGACGCACGGAAAATATATCGAAGACTGTCATGTGAGCTTCGAAAGCCAGTTTGTTCGGAGCGAAGAAGGAATGATTTCACAGGTGAAGGCTTACACGGAGCTTCTCGCGATACTCGAAAGCATCCAGCCTGGCATTACGAAAAATGTTTAAAAAGGTGTTTAAGATAGTAACTATTAATTATACAGAAGATCCCTCGTACCACGTAGCTTTGATAAAATCGGCACATCTCTCAGCGACCATATAAGTGGGGGCCATCGTATGAGTTGCCGGAATAGTAGGAAATATGCTTGCGTCAGCTATACGCAGATTCTCGAAGCCGTGCACCCGCAGCTCATCATCCACGACGCCTCCGTCCTCCTCATTTGCCATGTGACACGAAGACGACAAGTGGTATACTAGCTTTATGTTATCTTGAACGAACTTATCAAGTTCGTCGTCACTGAGGTCCTTCCAATCGCGGCCAGTCTCTGCATTTGGAGCTACGAAGAGCCTTGCCGGGTGCGGATAAGACTGGATGAAGCTCTCGGCGAGCTTGAGAGAGAAGCGCAATGCTTTACGAGCGACCTCGATGTCCTTCGGACTTGAGAGCATACCAAGTCGGAGAGAAGGGTCTGCTCTTGGGTCGAGAGACTTGATCTGGATACTGCCCGAAGACTCGGGGCGTAGTAAGCACGTATATAAAGTGAAAAGAGACTTGTTCTCGCAGCGCTCTTGAACACCACTAGCAGGGTATAACATGATTTCCACGTCAGGTTCGGTCCCCTTACCCGACCGGTTGGGGCAAGGATGGTCGGTATCATATTGTGGATGTGTTTCCATAGTGTCAAGATCAAGGTTTGAAGTGTTGAGAAAGATGGCAGCATTTGTTGGTGGCGACTTCATCCATCCTAAACCCATGGTGAGATACAATAGTAGATGCCAGAGAAGAAAAATGGGGTTCTTTTCCAAATAGTAGAGTGTGCCTCTTGGTGGGATTTCTATGCAAATGGGTATCGCGTGATGATCCGATAAGCCGGCGCCGACACCTCGGAGGTGACGTTTGACTTGGATGTCATGCTTTTTGAGTAATAGTTCAGGTCCGACGCCGCTTAGCTGAAGCAATTGAGGCGATCCGATAGCGCCCCCGCAGAGGATCACCTCCCTTCTCGCCTTTATGAGTAGTTCACTCTCGTCTTCAGCAGCTTGTTGGCATTTGTGAGATTGTATGTAGACACCATTAGCTCTGTGTTCTTTCACGTCGAGCGCCAGACGCGTGGCAATAACGCCGGTGCGGATGGTGAGCCTATCAGAACGCCGAGAAACAAGCCGACCAGGTAAGTAGGCTCGATGTGCCGAGTGTCTATACCCTTGAGCGTCGATGGTATAGTCAAGTGGAAAATAGCCGTGTGCTACCGACAAAGGATCATTTGCATCTTCTCCCAAAGGCAGACCTAACTTAGCCGCTGCCTTCTGTGCGTGGTCATACGCCTCGAACATTGGAGGGTGTCGCACGATGTGAATCGGACCTGAACGACCGGCGTGTGTCGCTTTAGGAAGGCCCTGCACCTCTTCGATTCTCCTGAAATACGGCTCTACGTGGGACCAGGACCAGTTGGCGTGGCCGATCCGGGCCCAGTTCTCGTAGATCTCAGGTACACCTCGCGTGTAGAGCATACCATTGATCTTCGAATTCCCCCCTAGTGATTCTGAATTCACCAAACGGTGAGCTATACCGTCGGAAGAATCCGCTGGCTCTGTGTATCGGTGGATTATCCCAGCCCTAGGGTCTTCGTCAATTGCAGATGATATCAGCGGTACCTTAGAGGCCCAGCTGTCCTGCGCAGGCCCCTTTTCGATGAGGAGAACGGTACACGTTTCATCTTCGCTGAGACGCGATGCCACAGCGCAGCCCGCAGTGCCTCCCCCAATGATGATGTAGTCATATTCTAAGAAAGAATTGGCGAAGAAAGATTTGCGGGAGCATGACTCTGTAAACGGCCACATGGCTTCAAGATCGGGCAAAAGCACTAAACGCTGTAGGAAGCTATCTTTGGGGGGGTTGGGGAAGGTGTTCCATTATGGGACTATAATTAGGTACACTGTGTAGAAACTATGCTGCAACTCCATCCAATACATATTTAGGAAGTCTTTAGGTATCAGATACCGTCAATAACGATGTAGGCGCCATCTCATGCATCTTGCGCATCTGATGCAACCAACCGCGGCGTACAATGCTACCATCAGCTTCAAGTCGTAAATGCAGGAATCCGTTCTGTGTAACGACTGGCGCTATCATGTAGCTCGGGATTAAGAACTGATCGGCCTTACCTAGGTATCTGTGGTGGATGGGGCGTGTCACGAAAGCCACCCTACACGGGCATTTTAATTCGTATGCAACCTCGAGCACACAAGGCTGTGAAGCTCGGCCTACCTGGTATGACACTGTGATTACGGTCCTCGTCATGAAGGGACTGGGACTCAGATCTTACTGCTGATTTTCTTCTTTGGGACTGAGAAACAGTCTTGCGGCTTAGCTACCTCCTCTTGTCTTTTGATCTGCCTACTCGCCCGAAATGACATTTTCCCTTGGACTAGAGCATGCGGTAGCGATCGCGTCGTTCATTTCATGTTTCGTTTATCTTTTTAGAAAGACTAAGTCTGATCTCGAACACGGGCCTGAGTTCCTAACTCGTTTGGCTGCCGTAGGTATTCGAAATGAACGGCTAGCTTGGGTCAGGGCTACGATTCGATCGCTATTCGATAGTAAGAAATGGGTTTCCGAAGGATACGCTAAAGTAGATCTCGCCTATAGGCGTGGTGTGTATGGTAGCTAGGTAAAACTAATACCGCGTGTATGCAGTACTCCAAGTCGAATATACCATTCATCATACCGAGTATCGAGAGAGGGCCTACAGTTATTGTCCCCCCGCGCCAGCTCAAAGGCATATACGGCCTGCCTGAGAACGTACTCGACGTTCATGCCACACAAGACCAAACGCTCCAATCGAGATGGACCATCTGGGATAAGGAGGTCGCAAATTTCGGCATTCATATCAGTGTGATTCGCCATCAACTAACTCGAAACCTTGAAATATTGACGCCTACTATCGCTGCCGAGATCGAGCTGGGTTTCAAGCGATGGTGGGGCACTGGGAAGGACTGGAAAGAGATTTCTGTATGGGACACATGTCTGAAGCTCATCGCCGGAGCTGCGAATAGTGCCTTTTGCGGGAAACCACTCTGTGCGTCTTTTCATCTTAGCATAGGTACTTTAAGTACCTAAGGTATCCATATATTCAGTTGCTATATGAGGTAATTGCTAATATTATCTCATATAGGTCGTGATACCGAGTTCCTGGATATGGTTCGAGACCATGCCATGGCAATGTTCGGTGGTGCAATCGTCATCAATGCCACACCCAAGCCATTCAAAGCTTTATCAGGCGTTGTGATCGGCTTTCTATGTCATATCTTATTTAGGAAGACGTTGAAGAAATGTCTCCCGTTCATAAGAGAGCGACTCGACAATACATCAAAACTTCGCACCGATCCCACCTGTTCTTGGACTCCTCCCGTAAGTGTGAATATCGGGGGAAGGAAAGGCCAAAAGCAAAGTTCGAACAAGACCATTGACATATACCTGATAGTCAGACGGCTTGCAGTGGATCATTGACGAATGCCACGCAAGCGGGAATCCTGCCCACCTCTCCCCTGAACGTGTTTGTCATCGCTTACTCCTCGTCAACGACATATCAATGCACTCCACGAGCTTCACGGTACATAATGTCATATTGGATCTTGCGAGCGTAGACGAGTCGACAGGCTACATCGAAGCATTGCGTGAGGAATGCCGGACGGTCCTCCAAGAAGCCGGGGGCACCTGGACATTTGATGCGGTGAAAAAACTCAAACTTGTCGACTCTGCCATTAGAGAATCGATGAGACTAACCCCATTTGCCTCCACTGGTCTACCGAGGACAGTGAGTAATCTCCAGCCATTATTCTCCGCCTCTTTTGGGCATTTGCTCTACAGCACACCTAACATATCCGAACCATGCTGACGTGTCGCCGTGTCGAGGTTGCGCATTCCGACGGAATCCAGCTTGAAAATGCTACTACGTCCATCCCGCCCGGGACCGTCTTAAGCGTTCCTATCGAAGCCATTCACCACGACGAAGACTTATACCCAGATTCAGGCCAATTCAAAGCATTTAGATTCTCACGTCCTTTGAAATTAGGGAATGTCTTAAATGGGTTCCCCAAAGACGGTAAAGTTGATAGGGCACAGACTGACACGTTGAAGTCATCGGCGACGCTCGACGACGCGTTTCTCGGCTTTGGCTTTGGCAGACATGCGTGTCCAGGCCGTTTCTTCGCTCTCAATGAGATGAAGATGTTTGTCGCCTATATGCTCTTGAACTACGATCTGGAACATATTAAAACGAGGCCTAAGCTCATTGATCTGATGTGGTTGAAGTTGCCGTTCCACAATGGTAGAGTTAGAGTGCGCAGAAGAGACACCAGTAATGTGGCGTGAGGCACTGAACGGATGGATAGAATTGGGGCGTCCCAGAAATTGCTCCAGTTGTACAGGCTGGAGGTAGGTAGGTAGGTACCTACCTAGGTATTACAAAGCTCCAGCTAGGTACTAGGTACATACCTACCTAGTGGGAATCCACCTACAGATTATCAGTATCTTTGCACGGACCACATCACCACCTGAGGCCATTAAGCCTCAACCCGCCTTTTAGGTTATAGTTTACTTAGAACCTTAATATACCATTGGTGTACACTCTCTCCAATTGGCTCTCTATTAGATAAAAGGGACAAAAGGCAGGCACCAACAGGTCTAATAGGAATCGAACCTAAACTACCTTTTATCCCTCTATCCAGTATCTCTATTATAGACTAGGTACCTACATGTAGGTAACGTATAAGACTTGATACCTACTAGGTACCTAGGTAGTATCTAAGAAGCACACTAGTACTTAAAAGCTGAAAACCTGACTGCAGCCCCTCAAACCCCACTTAGAGGCTCTTCCGTGTTTCCACCCTATCAGCACTAGCCACCTCTTGGCGTGGTAGAAAAATGGATTCCGGTATCCGATGTGACACAATTTATTTGCGGCTCATCACACTCTCATAGTGTTATGTCTTTTGAGGCTGTCGTGTAACCCACATGTGCATATACTACGTAGGTACCATCCCGTGAAAAGACGTTTGCATTGGTACGAGGTACACGGACCGTGTATACCTAGTATGTAGATCTTGGCATCGGCTTTGTCAGCTTTGGGTGCCATGTCTCAAGCATATCATCCTCTGTTGGTCCAAGTACATAGATTAATCTGTCAAGGACATGAAAGAGACCTGATATCACTGTCACTAATGCATGTTATCATGATTTCACTATCTACCTTGATGCTTTCTGCAGCTGACTCCCCCTTTTCCAGCATCATCGTGACTATTCTAGCGATTTCAGGGGCTTGGATTTTACGAAATGCCTATATCAATCGGTCTAGAGTTAGGTCGTTGAGGGCCAAAGGAATTGTAAGTTCGTCTACCTTATACCTGAGGTAAATTACAGCCGGGATATTGCTGAGAAAATGATCTGCGAAGCCTATTGCGTCTCATTCACTCATATTCGGCCATTTGCGCATTCTTTTCGATTACGTACGAGCCCACCCTCCAGATGCGTCGATCTATATTCTTCATGACTGGCTGGCGGAGAACTATAGTCGTTATTTCTTCGAGCCCCTGAATGGAGTTCCGCCCGTGGTATACTTGGATCTGTGGCCAGTGGCGCCCGCATTCGCCCTAGTGTACGATGCAGTCGCCGCGACGCAATTCACGCGAGTCAATAATCTCCCCAAGTTCGTTGCGGCCGACGAATATATCCGGCCTTTGACGTCTAACTTGGACATCATCACAGCAAAGAGTCAGCTCTGGAAGTCATGGAGAACACGCTTAAACCCCGGGTTCAGCTCGCGCAACATCTTGGCCCTACTTCCTAACTTGATTGAAGAGGTGTCCGTCTTTGTCGACGTACTCCAAGGCTTGAGTGGAGGTGCCAACGAATGGGGTCCAGTATTTCCTCTTCTCGAGAGAACTATGAATTTGACATTCGACATCATATGCAGAGCGACTCTGTGAGTGCCTACCTAGGTAATTATTCATTCAGTGCATGAGTTTCGCACTGGATCGTCTTTACCATACTAACATAAGGTTTCTAGGGATACTAGGCTCCATGAACAGACCAATGAGTCTAGTAGCCCGCTCAAGATCGCATTATTTGATCAGATTCGACTAATGTCACAGGCTGGCATTCGCCGCTGGATGCCATCATATTGGGTTTCAGTGGCAAAAAATAATCAGGCCCTACGAAAACAGATACATCCCCACATTGTATCAAAGCTTCAACAAGATCCCAGTTCAAGCAAAGCCTTGACGATTATAGACTTAGCTATAAAACACGATAAAGATAAAGTAGATGGCCCCTTTGAAGTTCCGCCATCTGTCTCTGACGATGCAACTTTCATCGAAACACTCATCAGCAATGTAAAGGCTTTCCTTTTTGCTGGTCATGACACAACCGCCTCGACCATCTGTTTTATGATGAAATGTCTCCAAGATAATCCCACCTGCCTTGCGAATCTCCGTTCTGAGCACGACACGGTAGTGGGCCTCGACCCTCTCAGGGCAGCAAGTGTTCTCAAGGAAGACCCTCATCTCCTTAACGAACTACCATATACAATCGGAGTGATTAAGGAGACTCTAAGACTCTACCCTATCGCAGCCACAATACGCCAGGGTACTCCCGGATCGTATATCACCGCTTCTGGGTCTACGATCCGATACCCCTTAGAGGGATTCGCGCCGTGGGTCGCGATTTCGAGAATCCAGAGGGATCCTAGCTACTGGGTGCGTCCGAACGAGTTTCTTCCAGAGAGGTGGGCTGTAGGCGAAGACAACCCATTGTATCCATCTAAAGACGCCTGGATACCATTTTCTCTGGGTAAGTTGATTTCATATCGGACCGAAGCAACAAGAAAACTCACGTTTCTTTACTTGAAGCGCCTCGCAACTGCATAGGCATGCAACTAGCCATAGTGGAGCTCGAGCTCGTATGTGTCCTCACAGCTCGAAGGTTTGACATCCGTGAGGCTTGGGAAGAGTGGGACAAGAAACTGTAAGTAGTTTCATTCCCACCCGAATATTCAAGCAGGAGTTATTAACGATGTGTCAAATAGGGGTGTTAAGGCTACACCAACACATATGGTCAATGGTCACAGACTTTACGCTGCCGGAGTTGGTCCAGTGCGCCCAAAGGATGGAATGGCCGTCCAAGTAAGAGATAGGTATATTTCCACTTAGAGTAAGTAGCCATATTAGTGGACGCTGGGTACCTAGTAAGTACATAATACATCTGTGAATTCTATCTTTGTGAACCCCGTAAGTAGTTCGATTGCTACATCGGTAAGCATTCGTGTTAGTGCACCAGTGCCATTCAAGCAACGGGCGCCTCCAAGAGACGGTGATAATAATAGATCAGTAGGCTTATGTACTGCCGATCTTAATCTTCCCTAAGTCATTGAGAGGTCTTATAAAGGGCCAACATTGAAGCCCGCCGAGAAGCCATCTCCTATCATGCAGTAAGCGTCCAACCCCCACCCCCCCTTTTCCCATTCGCCCAGATATTCACGACGTGTGAAACATGATTGGAGAGAGTCACAATGTATCTTGATGATCAAGATCAAAGAAAACCCAAGTACATCTGGGCCCAAGAGGGGGGTGGGGTGTACCTTTTTGCGTCTTGACATTGGGTATATCCCCACACGTGTTGTAACCTCTGAGTATGGTTGCATTTTGCATATTCACCTTGTCTATGCGGAATCGAAACATCCATGGACCGAGCGGGGAATAGAATCCTTTGATCAATCAACCAATGAAGTTGGTGATGGTGGAAATAGCCAAGATATATCGGCCACCACGCCTTAGGCGGCGTCGTGTTAGGCTATCGCCTTTCCCGGTAGGGACATATCCGATGTACCTCGGGGCTAGGAGTTTGCTCCTGGTATAGAGTCCATGGACCAATCATGTCGGGAGTGGCTCTCGTGCACCAACTTCGTTATATATCATTTCTTTTTGATCCGCCCCGTGACACGTTGGATTGGTCTATTTGACAATGCATGTCTCGAACAAGTATCAGCTCCGTTTACTTGTAAGCCGGCATGCTAACCACAGCAGCTCTATGACAGACGCTTGATGACTCCTACTATTATCAATGTTACTCCCAATATGCTAATAATTGATGGTAAGGCTCCCGTGCTGTGAAGGTTGCGGGATGTAGTAACGTCTTAAGGCAGGCTGAGCAGCAATGTACGTGATGGTGGGCAGTTCGGCCGACCGTGGTTTTCGTGTTATTCATTTATTCCGCGGCGTAGTAGCTTGGGGGCATACAACTTTTCAAGTTCCAATTCCTAATATCAAGCAAGTTATCTCTATCTCGATATCTCACGTTTGTGGTTCAGTGCCTACCTCTTCCCAGAGCTACATTACCCTATTTTTCACACTGCTGTGCACTAATTTTGCCATAAATTGGTACTATATTCTGGTTCAACCAATCCTATCTTCCACCATGAGCAACAGTAGTAATATTCTGCAGCCGTCTCAGCCTGCCATCTTCGTGGAGGATAGCAGTGGGAATATAGATACATTCTCCCTGATAGGCTCGCTGCCCCTACTATTCGTCAAGACCATCCTAATTGGAATCCCCCTCTTGCTTCTCTACGCAACGGCACAACGAAAAACTGCATGTAGATTTCCCGTGTTGCTTCGATTCCCTGGCTAACTTTTACAATCCAGACACGGCTGGAGTTAGCCAGTCTCCCGCCGTTCCGATGGCTTATACAGCGTATCAACGCCTGGCAGTATCTGCTCTGGGGACCCAGTATAATCCAAAGGAAGTTTGACACTGTAAGTTCCGTTCAAGTGAATATCCAACCATAAAGTGTGTGTCCGTCGATGCTGACCTGTGCTAACAGGCCAAAGGGGAGCCCTTTGAGGTCTTAGCCCCTGATACGCGATATGTCTTTGTCTCATCAGAGAAGCATATCAATGAGCTTGATACGGCGCCAGATACGGTGCTTTCTCTTCAAGCCGCGTCAAAACAGGTAAGTACTTACATCAAACTCATGTAGTCTGGCCACTTTCATTATTAAGAGTTTGTCCTTCAGATGCTACAGCCTGTCTACACCATGCATGGCTTCAACTGGTTTGACCGGCGCGGCACGGAAGGCGTTGGGTTCATCCGTGCTCTCCGAACGCTGTTAACCAATAACCTCCCTCGTATCCTACCCGAGGTTGGTTACCTGGTACGGAGGCGGCTCTCCAAGTTACACTCGGAGAGTCCCATTCAAAATGGTGAGTGGTCACACCAATGACGTGGGTTAAGGCCAGCAATTAATGTGAAACCATCGCCCTAGGATCCAGAGTATCGGCTATTTACCCGATGATAGTAAACATAGTTGTGCTGGCCAACGCGGTTTCATTCTTCGGGAAGGACATAGGTAACGCCCAACTCACTAGGATACAGGGAAAATCTGACGTTTCATAGCAAAAAATGAGAGCTTTATGGTTTCTGCTCTTGCATATGTTGAAGAAACTTTGATTTGCGCCGAAATAGTGCGCCTGACGCCGAAGTTTCTTTCTCCGTAAGTATCTGCTACAACTACATAGAAGACAAAAGGTTCATAGGGCTTACATATACTCCTTTCCAAAGTCTCATCGGTGGAATCATCGCGCACAGACTTCACTCGCACCAGAAGATATTTGATACTTTGCTTCAAATTGCCGAAGAGCGGTGTCAGGAGAGGGACCTGAAAAATCTAGGACATCAAGTTCCCAAGCATGTACAGCATCCCAAAATTCTAACCCCCATGATAACCACGCTAATTTCGAGACATAGGATGATTGTATTCAATGGATCATGGAGACGTCGCCACGAAAGAACCCTTGGACGGCAAAGCGAGTAGTTCACGAAGTGATGGCTATTTGGTTTGGCTCAGTTCATGCTTTATCAACCGTAAGTCAAAGTCACTTTTCGTGAAACTTTGCCATAACCATGAGTTCCTGACTAGAATCCAGACAATAACATTCGCTATTCATGACTTATCCTTACACCCCGAGTATGTTGAGCCTCTCCGCAATGAGCTTTCGACCTCCTACGAGGCTTTTGAGCGTACTGGAGACGGTCTCCCGCTCCTCGATAGCTTTATCAAAGAGTCGGCCCGTTTGACCCCCGTTGAATCAAGTATGTTGATGTGCCCCCTACAGCTGATATCCATGTTTCTAACTGAATCAGTGAGCACACGCCGATCTGCTTTGAAGCCATTTATCATTTCCGATGGGACGAAGCTTGCTCCAGGTGATTGGGCTTGCACACCCGTTCGAGCCATTATGCAGAATGCCGACCTTTATCCTTCACCCCTCGATTTCCAGGGATTCCGCTTTGTAGATAAAGAAACTCTTGAGCAACTCAACATTGACGCGAAGGTCACTCAATCAAAGCCTTCGAGCCTGACTACTGTTGACAACACCTGGCATGTCTGGGGAACTGGGCGAATGGCTTGGTAAGTTCCCTCGACCTTGGCGAACTCCCTTCAAGTTGGCCAAGTTACTAACAACAGATCAGTCCCGGCAGGTTTTATGCCGCAGCAATCATGAAGGTCATCGTTTCGCAAATGCTACTTAATTATGATTGCGAGCTTGTTGAGAAAGAGAGTTCACGTTGGTTTACCTGGCGTTCCAGCATGCTCCCGAAGCCCAGTACCACTGTCGTTCTCACGCATAGAACCGAGGAGAAATCGATGGCTACTTTGGTTACCTAGCTATGTAATAATGCGAGATTTATGATAGGGCATCGTGGGAAAGGAGTGCTTCGTATTATTGATAAGGTTGGTAGCTCTTAGCTTGGGGTAGACGTAGTTCAAATCAGCTGGCAGATTTCTATCCTTTTCTTAGATATGTCAAAGTTGTCGACTGGGTATCTAGTGAATACTTGTCCCCAGAGGCTTTTCTACATATTAGGGTAGGAGGCGTCCTATAAGCGCTATATTTCACTTGAATGCTCTTCATGGTCCCCGACCTTGTAGTCCCCGAACTACCAACGTTCTCGCTAGGTACATCATCATGCAATGACAGGCTGCGTAGCAAATGTCATTCACCGCCAGCATTGTAATATATCAAACAGCCTTTGGACTTGCGTCATTAAGTTTTGCAAAGCTCCGATATTGCACCGTTTTCAAAGGAGGTTGGTGAAGGGTATGTACAAGAGGGGGAGAGAAGGAATGGCGATCCCCGTTCTGTTGGTAACACTGCATATGTAGTAGAAAGATGCTCCTACTTGATCATTCATACCTGTTAGGACCATATATGTCAGGGTTACCTGTCATAAGTGCCCAGAGACGCCCATCTTCCAGATAAGCCGTCACAGTTCGTATTATGCTCCTGACAAGGTTGTGTTGCTAGGACAGCTAATGGCTGATGGATATCTACCAAGTAGTTGACAGAAAGGGTAAATAGAAATTTTAGTACCTAGTAGCTTTATCGTAACAAGTATAAGTAGAGTTTCGATGTGTTACTCTAGCATCGAGAAATAGTTCTTCTTCTGTGGTTGTGAATAGAGGTACCTACCTAGGTACTAAGTCTGACTGCATGAAGGGGAGGCACGGTATATTATTATCTACTATGTAGCGTTTTCGTTGTCTGGGGTGAGCACAGCTGGGTATCATTGGGGGCAATACGACCGCGCACTGGTTGCATAGGCCAGAGCCTCGTTGTATGGATGGCTACGTCCATACGTATATATCTACCTATTAATATCTACCTTACTAGCCAAAACTTCTTCCGAATCTTGGGTGGTTTTATGTTCCTATTGACCAATATTATATCCGTAATACCCATTGACCGACGACAAACACACTTTACATGGCCATCTTTCCTAAAAATGTCGTCTACGGAGCCTTTAGATCGACTCCCTTTCGCCCTAAGTCCAAATGGCCCAGCAAGCGGAGAGATGATCTTAGGAGTGACGTGGGCGTTTACATCAATGACCATAATAGCGCTCATCTTTAGGCTACTGCTTCACGCGGGGAGGTTCGGTCTAGACGATTGGTTCATGGTTGCAGCTGAAGTTCGTATAACCCCGGAGTCCCAATGATTGATTATCGTTCTAAGAGTAAATATCCCATCTTAGGTATGCCAGGTTGTATTCCAGGGTTTGGTCACTATACAACTCTATTGGGGACTTGAATGGAAGCAGGACGGCGATCCAAATACTCATGCCGAGTACATACAATATATGAAATATGGTTGGATTGCGTCAACACCTGCTATCCTAGTGTCTGTCCTGGCGAGAATCTCAGCGACTCTCCTCTTGAATCGATTATTCGCATCCAAAAAATGGCTTAGGTGGTATTTATATGTCTTCACAACTGTTGAGACATGTGTTGGCACACTTGCTATCATATCTATCTGGCTTCAGACTACGCCCATCGAAGCAACCTGGAACGTTACCATGGTCGGGTACGCCAGACCGGGGCTTAAAACACTTGTGCCAGTAAGCGTAGTTCTAGGCCAAGGTAAATAGTGTCTCATTGTAACCCTCTCGTGTTAGACATGCAACTAATTATTATACTGACAGTTCTGTTCACCATCTCGGATTTGACACACGTCTTATTTCCAGTTATCATCGTCTGGAAACTCAACATGAGACCCCGCGAGAAATTATTGTTAATTATGATGCTAGCCCTATCGTTAACAACCATGATTGCCTCGATCTTGAAACTGGTCACGTCTTCGAGATCCATGGCCCAGTCCGGCAAGGCACTGTTGAGAAATCCAGATGTAAGCACGGTCTACATATGTGTCGAGCAATGCTTAGCCATCATCATGGGGTGCATCCCGAAATTACGCCACATCGCTAAACTAAGGCGGCATCCCATCTTTGCGTCATTCCCGAAAAAGGCTAGGAGTAGAAGTCAAACAATTGAAGAGGGTACATCACGGGAAAACTTAAGTTATCAAACATACCATGAGACTAATTCTCGAGGGCGGCAGGTGGCTTGGGATGGCTCTACAGGGAGCCGTGAAGTTGTAAATCCTAACCTGATAGTAGTATGCGCCAGGGAAGAGAATGATATAGGCTTGGAGATGATCAGTAATGATGGCATTCGAAGAGTAGATGAAGTTACTATAACCTACGACCGGAAAACTGAGCCTTAAGAACCGGTTTCGGTTCGTTTGAAGACACGATAGTTTCATTATATTAATATTAAATCGAGATATACCCTGAGTTTACCAAGGGATATTACCTACCCTGACTGTCCTGTAAATCAATATATGATAGGCTATTATCGACGATTACAGACATCCATATGCTTACATAACCTCAATCGCCTCGATAGATCGATACCCCCTTTATCAACTTATCGAAAATCTATCTTATCAAAACCATCTTATCGCCTCCGAAACAATTTTTCCGACCGAGAAAAAATGCGGGAAGCTCCAGCAAAATTAATTATTGCAAATTGCATCTGCAAAGCTTCGATTCGTCCGTTGCAAGTCGCAAAAACCGCGAAATCGACCATCACAGCCTCAACGAAGCAGCCAGCAACGCACCACAGAGGCCAATTGACCTCGCACCACACCGTAGAAAAATGTCGAGAGGAGCGCCGCGCGGAAGAGGCGGCTTCGGCGGAGGGAACCGCGGGTTCAGAGGCGGCGGTACGTGCAGCTCCAATTAACAATACGACCACCTAGAATATTTCAGGAACGAAAACACAGGAAGCTAACAAAACCCCCCCAAACAATAGGCCGCGGCGGCTTCGGCGGCACTCGAGACTTCGGCCCCCCCGACACGATCCTAGAAATGGGCTCGTTCCTGCACGCGTGCGAAGGCGAAATGGTCTGCGAGAGCGTGAACCCCAAGGTGCCGCACTTCAACGCGCAGATCTTCCTCGAGAACAAGACGGCCGTCGGCAAGGTCGACGAGGTCCTGGGTCCCATCAACCAGGTCTACTTCACTATCAAACCGTCCGAGGGTATCCAGGCCGCCTCTTTCAAGCCCGGCGACCGCTTTTATATCGGTGCGGAGAAGTTGCTTCCGCTGGAGAAGTTCTTGCCTAAGCCTAAGCCGCCCCCTGGGGCTCCGAAGGTGAAGAAGCCGAGTCGTGGTGGTGGGGGACGCGGAGGTGGACGCGGGGGTCCGATACGTGGGGGTGGAGGGCGTGGAGGTGGTGGGTTCAGCCGCGGTGGCCCGTCGAGAGGGGGACGGGGTTCGTTTGGTGGCGGATTTGGCGGGGGAAGGGGTAGTGGTCGCGGAGGTAGTGGTGGTTTTAGCAGAGGCGGTAATGGAGGAGGACGGGGACGAGGCGGGTTCAGCAGGGGAGGTCGATATTAAAGCTGGGCACAAGTTGATATACCCAACCGACGCCAACTCAAACCGCGCCATATCTTGCTTCCCCCCTTTTCCTACGACTCTCGGAAGGGATTTGAGAAGGGACTTTATCCTCGCGTGGTCGTTGCCCTATCCTATCCTGTCCCCTTAACTAGTTGATGTTCAATACGGCACCGGAACGGCGTTACGAGGATTTCTGAATTTATACATAAGTCTTTTTCTATGATGAGAATGAGATGGTTTTTTTGCGTCAGGTGAGAGTAAGGAATCAGAACATTGTTGCTCCGGCGTGATGTGGGATGAGTGATGGCTTCTAGATGTAAATATACTGTGACCATATCAGGACGTTCAAAGGCTTTAGGGATCCGCTCATATCTGTTCTTCGGGCTCTGAATTTGGATGTAAATCTTAGACTTGAATGATCCGCTGGTGGCAATACCCCCTTTTGCCCTTTGGTTATGAACTCGACATTTCAACGTTCGAATATGATAGGTCTTGGCCTGAAGAGATCCGAAAATTTTCTACTGCGGCTTAAAATTCGTCACTAAGAGACACGATATTTTTAGTAAATGAAAATCAAGTCTAGATCTGCTTCCAAGTATCTGGGTAAAGGTCTATCAATTATTAACATTAATAGGTCCACTGCGCTCCAAGCCACGTAGTTAAATTGTTGATCTCGCATATGACAAGAATATCTACCAGCCTTCATAGGTTAGAAACCTAGGTAATGAAGATAGTATGTAACTTACAAGATAAATTAGCTATTATGTATACTCTACCTACTCATGAGATTCCTTTAACACATCTCTAATACCCCGACTCCTTTCTCTCATTAAAAGTCACTATATACGTAAACGTAACCTCACAAGAAATTCGAAAAAACCAGATCAACTCAACTCAACTCGACGTAAAACCACACGCAAGAATTTCATATTCCATAATTTGTCTGTTTGTTCTGTCTATATCCACCCATCCATCCCTCCATTCACCCATCTATCCACCCAACCAACCCGGCCTCCCACCCAATGAGCCAACCCTTCCGCTTTACTCGCTTTCTAAAGAGTCTGCAAAGCATCACCGTGTAGCCCACCCTACCCATCCTAACCCACCCACCGGCCTAAGTTCTCCTCGCTACCTATCCAATCCACACCCATTCCTGCCCGAAGCCAAGCCATCCCAGTGGAAAAAAAGAGGACGAAAAAGGCGGCGTCATCGTATGAAATAAGACAAGACAAGACAAGACAAGAGCCGCCGCGAGGTATACCACAAACCAAACTCGGAACTCACGACGACGCGAAAATAAAAAGCCAACGCCGCGCAGAAAGAGACAAGTAGTAACTAAATAAAGGAGTAAGGGAAAAAAGGTATATCGAAAAAAAGGTATATCATCAGAAAGGTATACCGTACCACTAACAAACAAACAAACATCTATCGCTTATACGAAATCGAAACGGAACCGAATCGAAAACACAAAAGCCAACCCCCCTCTTGCCTTGCCGTAGGTGGCAAACCGCCTCCCCAGTATGTATAGAAAGTAACCGCTACTTTTTACTATTTCGTTTGACACGCTGTAACAGTCGTAGTAACAGCTGTCAGTTAACCCTTGACGCAAAAAAGAATATATGAAGAAGAAACGATTGTACACCCATTCTAGTTTTATCCCCACACCCAACTCCCCCAAACGCAACCGCCCATCCACACAAAGGCGACGAGGGTCATCTAGCAAGCCCCCGGCGTCCCTCCCGGCGTGCTCCTAGGGTACTCGCCGGGGACGTGCGGGTTGCTATTCGTGCGGTCGCCGTAGGGTCTCGGCTGTACTTGCCCCTGTACGTACTGGCCGTTAGCCGCCGCGAATGGCGCGGACCCCGTCGCAGAGCCGGGTAAGGGCTTCGCAAAAGAGTTCCCGGCCCCGATGACCAGCGGTTGTTCCCTTTGGCTCGCCGCTACGGGCGCGTATTTCTGCTGCTGCTGGGCATCTGCCATCATCTCGTACGCGCCGCCCGCGTTGCCCGAGTCCTGACTAGTGGTCGTCTCTAACGTCTGCGACGTGCTTGCGGAGCCCGGCCCTGGCACCACTACGACCGAGCCACCTCGTTGGGCTTGCGGCTGTTGGATGATAGGTTCTCCGTTGTACGGGTTTACGCCATCTGCTCGCGCTTCGTGGTCAATAACTGCTGCACGACTGTGTGCCTGATCCATTCTCACGCTCGGTGTGTTCCCGTAAGATTGCCCAACCAGAAGCATTCCCTCATTGCCGGGATAGTGCTCGCCGAGGCCGCTGCCTGGCAAAGCACTGGCGCCGGCGACCGCGTCGCGGTCTGCGTTGCCCGCGCTGGCACCCGTCATCATGTATTCGTTGCCGAGGTACGCTGAGCCGGCACTACTAGGCGAGCGCGGTACTTGCATGCCTCTCTGCGCGTTAATCTGGATGTCAGAAGGGAACCTACCCCCTGGCTCGGGTCGATTTTGGAGGGACTCTTGGCGAGAGCCCGGGCTAGCGACGGCGGGATCGGCCGTGAAAGGCTCGTCATCCTCCTCATCTACCATGCCATCCGAGCTCGTAGTTCGCTGTGAAGTTCTAGAATATGTGCGAGCATGACCTCGGACAAAATTGCTAAGCTCCTCGGGAGACTTCTCGGTGAGCATCCTGATGTCTTCGTACCATGCCATCATGGTGTCGTGGCTTTCGGCACGGAAGACCCATGTATGACCGCGGTGCATGGATCCTGTTTGTCTTCCTTTCAGGATAAACTTATTGGAAGAACCTCCTTCGGTGGAGTGAGACCCGAGTTTCTGTTCGGGTAGATACAACGACATGACAGGTGCTTGGGTTTTATCTGCAGATTTGAATTCATGCAAGTGAGTCGGTGACAACACGTACCTATCATCGAATTAGCTAGCTCGTAAACTAAAATAAAGACTTCTTACCATCCGGCTGTATAGCTCTTCAAATATTTGCTCTTGCGCTCAAGTAGACCTGCACGTATTTCTTGGCAAGCAAAGTGATCTCGTCCCGGATAGTGAATGTGTTCAGCAGATCTTATTGGAACATCAGGGTCAACAAATTGCGAGTCTCTTTGAATGAAGCTGACCCATTCGTGGTCCTTGGGCATCGCAATAGGGCCCGCGCGGAGTTCGTCGATGGCGTTGTAAGCAGCGTCTGATTCACGCTTGAGAATACCAACGTACGCGTTGTAAGACTTTTGAATCTCACCCACAACGATAGACTCTAGCTCTCTGCCGGACGATTCGAGGTTCAAATATGCCTATTCTCTTATAAGTTTATGTCCTCGTCAAAACTTTAGGAAATGTTTTACCTTGTGCAAGTAGTTCTCTTCGTCGAGTTGCCTCTCAAGTTGACGATCCACCGCTAATCGCAAAAGGTAGGGATCCTGTTTTCCTGTTGTCATAGATGAGTCCAACTCATTTTGGCCCAGGATTTCTTGCAGCGCGTTGACGGCTTTCCGAGTCCCGTCCATCTCCTTTTCCACCGAATTCTTAAAATCGCTAGATAAGCCCCGGATCTCCTTTATCTTTTGGTTGAGATCGCTTCTCAGACCGGTCAGCGCTAGGATGACGTCTTCCTCAATCTCCCGAGCTTTGTTAGCCTCTATAATCGCATTCTTGTGATAATCCCTCAGGATTTGAAGTGCATCATCTATCCCACCGGACGCAAGAAAGCCTGGCGGCGTGGACGTGTTGTTGAGGACATTGGCGAGCTTGAGAAGCGACTTGGACCGATGCTCATAATGCGATTGTATTTCCCGAAAATATGCAATGAGATCTTTGAGGGTTTTCCTCCATGCTATACGTCGACGTTAACGATGATAAACAATGCGATGCGGGATCGGTCGACATGGGGAACGTCACGACTTACCTTGAAACCTATTAGATAGTAATTCTGTCGGGCTGCCCGAAGTCGGCACGGGACAGTAGAATGCACTGTGAATCTCGTCCGAGTCATGAGAGCTCTGAAGGACGAGGCTCCTAACGCTACCAGCCTTCATGCTACGGCGACTGCTGCTACGCTTGAGACTGCCACTCCTACGCAGCGAGCTCTTTTTCTTCAAGGTATTTCCTCTCGACAGGGACATGTTGTGGATGCTCGCATTGTCGCCGGTGATGACGTCTTGTCGCGAGGACACGGAGTTGGCGCGCTGCATGGTCGAGTGCGGATAATGATTCTGCTGAGATGCTGGACCGTCTACGACTGAGCTGCCTCTCGCGCTCGCATCCCACTCCTCGGTGAACTTGGTCTGACGGTTGTCGTTCTGAGGCGGTGCAGTGTAAGAATTGGCTAGAGTGTTAGACAGAGTTTCGTCATTGACGGGCTTCCTTTGTGGCTGGTGGTACGCAAAGTAACTGCCGGAGTTAGGCCTCGAGTAGTTCCCCCCTACAGCGCCGTTACTTGGATATCCTCCCGGTTCCAAGGCAGCGGCGGCAGCGGGCTGGTTCATATTAGAATTGAGGATGGAAGGTGCGGATGGTATTGGAGACTTGACAGATGTGAACCTGTTGACGCAACCCTAGACTCAAGCGGCAGGTTAGAATCATCTAAGCATCTCATAGCGTCTCATAGCAACTTATAAAGTTTGAAGCTAGGAAGAATCGAGAGAAAGGACGATGAGCCGGCAAGTCCGTAGCCTTGACGACTTCAGTCCTGCGGGTTCTCTAGCGCACCTTAGATCTTTTTTAGAAAGCTCGCCTAGGCAAGTAGGTAGCACGGCAGGAGGAATTATATTGGCTTCGTAGGTAATAAGTGCATAGAGTTTAAGGGTAGTCGGTAGGTGCAGAAGGCGTAACGAATAGGCTTCTCTAACTCTGCAGAGGTGTGGGTGTACACTTTCGACGCTTTGGATAGGTATATGTATGATCCTACGTAATAAGCAACCGGTTAGCCTGAATGATCAAGCATATGGCTACGATGTGAATTGTATGTATGTAGGTATTGAAGGGTTATCGAGAAGATACGAGCAGCTGACTGAGTAATCGAAGTGATTCAACCCCAATTGAGGAGCTCAGATAAAGCCATCCCAAATGAATTCTACGTACACGATTCGAGAGTGTTCGTTGTCATTCGACGTTCGACGTTCGAAGTTGGGCAATAACTCGATCGGGCTCTAATATTGTTAAGTAGAGTGTTGGTATAGGAAGCTAAGAAGCTAACTACCTGAGTAAGTTGCGACTCGGATGCAATTCTTCAGGAGAGGGTCGGAATCGTGGTTGGTGATAAACAAAAAGGGGGGTAATTCACTGAGACGGAAGAGAGGAAAAAAAGGATGCTTAGCGTTGGAGGGATGTGCAGTGACGATGATGGCGTTGTCGTCACCTTTGCGCCTTCCCCAGCTTGCTGTGCCCATTTCTGTCCACACCAATCACCCGAATAAGATTAGCTTATTTAATGTATCCATGTACCTGAGGAACTGGTGGTCGCTGCCAATGGGGCTTCCCGGTTGGCATATCGTACCATCCGCTTTCGGTAATCTAACTCAATGGCGGGGTTGGCTCTTCTTCTCCTTGTGGCTTTGTTACACTAGAGGCATACTATGACGTAGCATATCCGCTGCTTGACTTGTGCGGGATTCTCCGTCAATGTTTGTCTTTACAGCCATCAAGTCAAACCTCATATTGGAAGATTGTGTGAAGTCAAATTCAAGATACCTACGTAGCTGGAGGTCTAGATAGTATGCATGTAACGTTCCGATATGAGTCATCCTGTACCTAGATTTATAAATTACCCACCTATCATAACTGTTCAGCTGTTCAGCTATTCAAGCATATAATAGGCATATCAATTATAAATCTGTTGGGTTCTATTGACATCAATATCATATGTATCTATCTGTATAAGCCACGGCCCCATTTCACATGCGAGCCCGAGACTTCTTCACTCATATGTTTAGTCTCGTACTAAATCAAACTATCACGAATTTTGACCCCTGTCCCTGGCAAGAAACCGAAGATCAATAATCTCAACAGCGTCGTTACGGCGCTAACGGCCGAATTATGTCATCATCAGTTCGTAGCTATTCCCGGCAACGCTTTAGCCCGCTGCACCACGATGCGATGTTTAGGATGTCGTACCTACATAGTACGTACATGACCGAGACTTGAAGAAGACAAGTTCTAGATCAGCATCCATGCAGCTTACAACCATTACTATAACCATTCGTCATATGTAACTGAGGGAGCCTATCAGCAATGTCTCTAGAACCTGAACTGTTTACCATATCTCATTTTTCCTATACTCTACTCCGAACTGCAAGTTATCTTAAGAATCGAATATCTTCATAAGTCTTATTACGTGAGTCTTGCTATTTCAATAGTATTGTATTTCAATAGTGTGGCTCAGGTCCGAGCGCGGGGTCTCTGATTGGCCGAAACCCTTATCGATAGACCCTAGGGATTAGCGCGGCTACTTTGACTGCCATACAAAATCTTTACAAATCAAAGTACTGCCCGTGCGCAGCCTCGGATTCATGGAGCTCTGAGCTTCACACTTGAATAACTTCGTCGAAAGGAGGCTTGAGAAGCTGCACTTCTGTATCAAGATATTCTAGAGACATACCAATTGAATGATCCAGGTTGCACCTTATTTAGACCTGTTTTGGCTGAGCTATACGGGTTAGAATAGTTGGACTGCAAGTAGCTTGCACTCTCTGGGGTGTCACCTGACCCTGGGCCCCTACAGCAACATCAGCCTGACTACTTCAAGTCAGTATACCTTGCAAAAAAAAAGAGTGCAACTACTTAAAACAAATATTTCTAGAATCACTGAATTAAGCGCTACAAACTGATTATATTTATACTGTCTGAGAGTATGTTGAAGTAAAGTTATTCGAGTGCGAACAGGCGGCATAGGTTGTATCCCGGTTTCCGGTGGTAGCGGCTTATCGATAAGCGTTACAGCCAATCAGAGACCGCGCCCCCGGACCTGAGCCACACTATTGAAATGCAATACTATTGAAATAACAAGACTCTATTACGTATATTAATATCTTCGTAATCCTAACAATAGCCTTGATAATACAACGACACAAAACACTACACACTTCTTAAGTTACTCACTAATTCTCTCGCCCTACTCGCTCACACGCGCGCTTCCGAAAAGGAAACCCGCACACCACCCCCTCTCCCAACGATTAACCCCCGTAAACGCCTTGCTTATGCAAATGCTAGTGTCGCATCCTGATTGTGATCCGTGGATATTATCAGCATCAGCATCAGCTGTTCCGTCCGGTACGCCGTTTCCTGTTTCCCGTATCAAGTTACCAAGGTTCATCATGCCATTCTGCTGGTCGCGGCAGAAAAGAGTCCAATCTCAACACTGCCGCTATTCCTAATTAGTCGAATTACGTTCCTCGCTCTTCTCTCCCGACGGAGAAGGGCTGCCAAATATTTAAACCAGCTCCGATATCGATTTTACCGTTTCGGTCGAATGCTTCATCCTGCCCTTGCGTCTCGGCGGCGGCGCCTTCGGTGGTAACTTCTTAGTACCTCTATTACCGTTCCCGTTTTCCACAGAGGTATACGGTATTCCGTGCCGGTGCTTCGGTACCTCGGGTAGCGGTTTCTTTGGTCTGCTTGGCTTCGAGGCATCTTTGGAATGCCCGCTAGAGTTGGAACGCGATATATCACTTTTAGCATCAGCTTTTGGCACAGCCCCGTTCTCGGCTTTGGCGTCAGCCTTCCGACTCGGCGTCTGGACGCCTGGCTTCTCCATCACTGCCGCCACGTGCACAACACTAACGTTACTAGCGGATTCGTTATGCGAGAGGCTGATACCGAGCAACTTGCGCGCGACATCGCTAGCCCCCAAGCTATCGCAATCTTCACAGAGCCACTTGACTTTAGCCACGCGATCGACAAGCCTCATCGTAGTCTCATCCACTGGCGCAAAATGGGCATTGCCCGCATTGGTTAGTATCCTCAGCAGCTTCTGCACCTCGTCCTTTTTGTAGTGAGGGGGTTGGTTAAGCTGGGTGTGCGCAAGTAAAGGATATAAGACGCGAAGGTAGGTATGCCGCAAAGCCATCAACTCATTCGGCAAGTCGAGAAGGTTCCGGATGATGACATCGAGCAGCACTCGCAGGTCATTGGTGTAGAAATATTCATACGTAGCTTTTGTGGTGAAAAGCAAGTACAAGAGTTTCAAGATGAGAAGCTGCAAAGACGTCTCGGTCTCACGATTGAGAAGCAGTATAATATTCTCGCCGAACGTCCTATAAATCGGACCGTATATGCTGAGGCACTTGACGACCCTGTTTGTCAATGGCGCAGTTGGTGAGGTAGGTTCGCTCACGGCCGTCGTCGATGCAACCATGTACTGCTCATTAAGGACGAGCTGTGGATAGATAAGTGGAAGTACGATGGGTGGGTGCGTCACAACTTACAAGAACACGGATGATTGGATAGTGGTATGGATCGTGGACATCGTCGGATAAACCCTCAATAAGCTGAAATAGATATGTCACGAACCCATCGTCGACGTGCAGGAGGTCCTCAATGCGGAGCTGCTCAATACGCGACATTTCGTACATCAACTCCAGTAGCAATCGGTGCAGACCCGGGTCATCATCTTTTCGGCCATTGATCAACTCCACCAACCGGTGGAAACATCCCTCCTCAATCATTCGTTTGAACGTGGCTTCATCTCCACGGCCGTCGAGCAATAGGAAGCTTGCGATGACGTACAGAGGTCCAGGCTCATCTTCCTGCAACAAACTGTAGATAATCTGCTTGCGCACGTATTCGGGGTCGGTGCGGAAGAGGTTTCCATCTAGGAGACTTTGCGAACATGACGCTACATCATCTTCCGATTGAGAGAATTCGTCTCTGCATCGCGACGCGAGGTAGAGCCACGATCGCAAGGCGTCATCGATGGTCTCGTGGGCTTCTGCGGGGCATTGAGTAGCGACGACTTTATTCAATTCTAAGACAATCCAACATCAGATCAGCGTATTGCTATTGCATTATCTTGTTGCATTGTGTACACAACCGTATCGAATAGAGGAAAAGAATAAAACGAAATGGAAGCGGAGATGAAACGTACCATCCCATAATTGCTCCTCGCTCTCTATCGAGGAAACGGTGTCTGAGTCGGCCATGTTTGATTAGAGCCCAAACAAGCTATCCGACATCTCATCACGAAGCCCAGAGGTGAGTGGGAAAGGGAATACTGGTCGAATAAAACAAAAGACGATATGCGGTCGGACTTGTACGGAGCGAAATCATAACCTTGGGACACCCGGGACCCAACCTCGCAGTCGCGCGCGTTTGTGGGTTTATGGGTTTACGGGTTTATGGGCTCGTGAGCTGAGCTTCGTTGCTGTGGAAGGATGTCGATCAGACGTGCTGCAACGATAAGCGTGTATGGTGTATGCGTTGGTGTGGATTGGTATGGGTTGGTATGGGTTTTGCGTTTGGCGTTTGGAGTAAAGGGGAAGAAATAGCAGTAACTTTAGAAAAACAGGTAAAACTTTCTCTAAAAAACAGGTAAATCCATTTGAAGACTAGCGCAACACCACTTTAAACCAATCAGCTTACAAGCTGGAGACGGCGCGCGCAGTTTTTTTGCAACAACAAAGAGTTCTTACTTAAAAAATGAAGTATATACCATTAGATAGAGATTAATGAGAGGAATCGATTGATCTTGGTTGCACTTGTATCAGACGTATAATGACTGAGATATCGTGAAGAGTTCATATGGCTGAGTAAGCATGTGCGTTGGAGTTGAGGGGTATCACGTGCTACTACCAGGTACTGCTGGCTCACTTTAAACACTAATAACACATGGCAAAGCTAATGCAATAGGATAAAAATTACACCGTTAGATTTGTTGAATTGAGAGCTTCAAAATTGTATATGTTTTAATTATAGAAGCTCCTTTGAATAAAACCTATTTAGATTTTATTGAAGTGTTAGTGACTTAGGCGCGGGGCTGTTTTTCGGCTTATGTAATGTTGTTTTTGACTTACATAATGTTGCTTAAGTAATTCAAATTTACGTTTTCCAGCCAATGAATAATGATCTAAAGGTGGGCGTTTTGTGGAGCTAAGGGCAACCAATAAGATTAGTGTCATAGCTTTGAACTAGTCTAAAAATGGATTTACCTGTTTTTTACAGAAAGTTTTACCTGTTTTTCTAAAGTTACTGAAGAAATAGAAGACAATTACCTGCTACGTACCTCCCTAATGTTAAAGGCATTGAATGCAGGGTTATCCCTAAGCTAGATGGATCTTGCGCTACCTACCCTGCCCAGCCTGCGCTACCTAGGTACGGTAGGATACCTTAGGTCTTTTCCCTTTTCGCCATGGCTTTGCCCGAGAGTTCCCCGCACCGAGCACAGGTCATTGTTTGGCTTCTGGCTTTCCAGGTTCGGGGGGTTTGGCTCTATGAACGCATAGTACTTCGTACCCGTTATACGGTTATGCATACGCCCCGTTTATCGTACCTAGGTACCTAAAAAGCCGGTAATCCATTCAACGTGCGGCGTACCTACAGCCGGGGCGGGGCAGTTAATTAAGATTAATAAAGGGAATCCGTGGATAGTACCCTAAGGGATTATACCGCCATGGACGTCGTCTTACTAGAGTATAGTAATATCCACGTGCCTCCCTTTACTCCATCCCCTTATCCCTTACTTACCTATACAGCACAGCCGTCCTTATCTACGTGCATACCTCATACAGCTTATACAATCATAGGTAGTTGGTGTTATCAAATTATTTGATAGACTTGGTGAAATGTGATCCATGTGTAAGCTCACATCAGATCACTGCCGTTTCAACGTAACGAGGCCTGGCGCCGGCTATTTTCTAAAATATCCGGACATAAACATTTCAACGTCACGAAAGTTGTTAAGCACTTTAAAGTGTACCTATCAAGGCATATGAATTTTTTTATGCATTACGCTGTTAGGAGCATGTGAATGCTCATCTCTAACTAAAGCATCGCACAACATCAACCAATCTACGTCGTGTATACGCGGAACTCGCTGTAAGATCTAACATGTTGTGTTAGCTGATGACCTCAGTAGCGTCTGGCAAACTTGTCAGCCTGACCTTGTCGTAGGTGTTATCCTGGCTCTAATCTTAGCCAGTACTGAAATGGCTTATTGCCTGTCCCACACAAGTATGCACTTGTAAATTTGCTGGTATCAAAACCTAGCCTGAAACGCAATCGTGGTCGCTTTGGTCGTGAGGATTCAGCAGTTGGCCATGTCGGACCATATCCTCAGATCCAATGAGGACCTATGTAGAGAATTTCGTCTAACTCTATGATTCGAAGAGGCTAGCAACACCTTCTAAAACGTCGGTGTTCCCGTCTTGATAACCATTGTTGTTGTTGCCCAGTCCGGAACCATTGTGACTTGGTTCTGGTGCTGTCATAAACTCCTGTGCCATCTTGCTGCGTATCGGTTTCTTCGCAGGGAGGTTGCTGGTTGTGGGCATTCCGATGCTCTTGCTTAGCTTTCCCATCTCGGAAACACTAACTCCCTTCAGGTCGCCTAGTAATTGAAGAATGACTGCTCGCTGGCTACGACTGCTCGTCGTCAGCTTCATCATGTATTCTATTCCACTGTCAACATCATCCTGTTTCATATTGGGAAGCGAGATCAGCACATCCCGGGCTGCTGATGTGAGGTGGCCGTAAGTGACCACGATCGTGGCAATGAGAGAAGCAAAATCTTTCTGCAGCTCAACGAAGTAGGGTTCGTGAATAGACGTTATGCACGCCTTCACGACGGAAGATGATATGTACTCGCGAACAGCCGCTGCTGTGTCCGGGGGAATACGAGCCGAATCTGTATGGGGTTCGATCATAAAATCCGGAATGATGGAGCGAAACACTCTCAGCATTATTCCACAGCAGCGCGAGTCCCGCCATCGTATGGCATGAGTGCAGAACATCAAGAGAGGCTCCACGATAGATGAATGCATCAAACAGAACACTCGTAAAGTAGGATAGTCGTTCTCTCCTATAACGGAGGGCGGAGGGTCTGTTTCACGTTAGCTAGGTGCATATATATACTGAAACTCACGAATCGAAAAAAAAAGAACTTACTCTTTCTAGCCGGATCTAGGAAGTCGGCAACCATCATCACAGACGCATATGTTAACTGTCTCAATATACTCTCCGCCTTCATCTCCTCGGTTAGAGCATCTCCTTCCGTCTTTACCGCCTGCTGTTGATCAAGCTTCTCCCATTCGGCATTAATCCGAGTGTCCATCTGGAGACAGCAAGCAGCCAAGATGGGAGGGAGAAAGTGATCTCGTAATGGAACAGGGCAGTTGTCCACCAGATATCGAACCAAGTTGAGGACATTGATCAACTGGTGGGCTGAGAGACTGGAGGACTCGGCCAGGAGAGCGTGAGCTAAGGGTCCTGGTAGCTCGCCAAACCCGTAGAATTGTAGGTCTAAGCGTGCCATGCAGTAAATAATTGCATAACAAGATTCGCGGACGAATCGAATGCTTCCCCGGATCGTCGAAGCGAGACCTTCCAGAGTATGTTTCTTATCGAGCACACGGGCATAAAATTCATCCTTACTACCTTCTGATATGCCTGCCTGCCAAAACCGGTCGGTGAGAACGCGCCCAACAATGGACCTCGCTTCCGGCGCCAATCCCACCCAGCTATCAGGGGTATGAGAAGCATGTGCATAACTAGACATAGATGTTAGTCGAAACGATCCTATGGAGATAAATATGTGTAACCCTTACTTTAAGAACTTCAGTAGTTCAGGAAGAATGATGGGAAATCCGTCTTGCCACAAGGCACATGAGAGGTGGTACGCATCGGTTTCCTTATCCACTTTATCAACCGAACAGGTCAAGAATGACTTCGTAGGCCGTAGAGGAAGGAGAGTTTGTCGTTCTTCAAGCTCTGCTTGTAGTGCCTGGCCCTCAGCATCAAGTTCCACAGAGCCCCAATCCGCAATATTCTGCATTTGCTTTCGTGATAGATAACTCTGTGCTTTATCGAGCGCCATGAGCTCACAAAAGCCCGCGTATGATGACAATGCCTGCTTCAGATTGCCATTTTGCCATTGGGAGACTACGGGGTCAATGAACCCCATTACTTTTTGCGCCTTTGTAGCCTGGTCGAGTCGAGTAGAACGGTGACTAAAATTGTTAGTATTTCTTTTGAAAGCGGCTTCCTTGGAACTTACATGATAGTAAATAGAAAGGTCTGATAGCTAATCTGACGTTTCTCATCAAGCGTTCCCGAGGCAATCATCTCATTCACCTTTGTCTCTATCTGATCATAGACATCCTAGACACATCATTAGTTTATATCCTCATGTAACAGCTTGAATCGGAGTTCTTACGAGGAGGTGATCAGGCATCTTAGCTGCAAGTCTCTGCAACTCAACCATGCTTTCGGCTTGAAGTTCTTTAATGGCATCCGAATACACACGGTAATCGGGATGTGTGGCTGGCCAAGTTACCAAGATGTGCTCAAGAACTTTCAGCATAAAGCTTGGGTTCCTATCGAGTGCCATGACGGAAAAGGCGACAAGAAGCTGGAGGATTCTTTTCCGAATCAACGGATCCTGCATTGGTAAGCTAATGCCTTAAAGTTAAAGGTATTGGGTTACCAACCTCGAACTTCATGCCCAACAGTCGATTACACCAGGATTCCAAGCTTTCTTCTAAGGCGGCAACCTCCTGCTCCTATTGGATATCAAGCATTAGTAGAGATTTCGACATGGATTTAGGATCAGATATGCTCACATGACGAGGTTCTTCCTTACGCCACTTTCTAACCCCTTTTAGAGCTGCCTCGATGACCGTCGCTTGAGCGTCGACACGGAGCACGGGCTGAGACGTCTTCGAGTATGTTGCCACTGCTACAAGTTAGATCACTAGCTTCAACAAATTGATCGAGACGTACTATCAAATGGTGGGACGTTATCATAAAGGTGTCCCAATACATTCTCCGTCTGGCCAAGAATGTGTTGCATTGCCTCCGTTATCTTCAATTGGACTATGCTCTCAACCACCTGGGAACCATATCGTCGATAATTGCCTAGAAAAGCATGACGCTCCGGAATCGTGTCCGTATCCTCCAATAATAATTGGAAAGTGGGATCCTGAGTATCTTCAGGTAGGTTTTCATATCGAACAAGTCTTGAGCTGCAGCATTCTAGAAGTGGACCAATGAATGTTGGCACATCTGCAATATTTGGACCGAGGGACCGGTTGTTCAGGAGTCGAGTCCATGTTACAAGGACGGGAATCGAAACAACCAGACTTTGGCTCTGCGTGATCAGTAGGAGAAGTTGTAAGAATCCTTTGAAGTCAATCTGATCCGAATCGTTCGGTAGAACATTGAATCGACGGTCCATGTAAGTTCCGAGGAACGAAATTACCTTGATATCACAGTTAATAGAGTTAAATATTGACAGTCACAACATAACTTACCTCGGACAGCTTCTTGGAGAATTGGTACTTGTCGTCATCAATGTCCTCCGGATCAACTACCGACCACTCAAAAAGTCGTCTGAATAAGTCAACATATTTGCTACCGTATAGCGGAACAACGAGATCTAAGAACTCCTGGTCGGAAAAGGTTGTACGGGCGTATAATGAGTGCATAGCTTCTAAGGATGCCTTTGATATTTTATTAGTTAATGACAGTGGTCATAGCAAATTAATGGGTTGCTTGATGATTATCTTACCTTTTGGACTTCGATGTGAGAAGTACGGAGTCCTTCACACAGCACTTGTACACAGCCGGTAGCAGCGACGGTCTTCAGGAAGGCAGTGGGTAGCACTTGATAGAGTACGGCGAGAGCCCGAACGGCACAGTTTCGTAGTTCGGTGTTGTGCGGCACGTCACCCGATAAGCAATGGTTTAGAAAATCCGTGACTCTGGCGATCCAACCTTCTTCGCCACATCTAACGCCGGGACATGGCTGGCGGTTGAGGAAGATTTCCGCTAGGACGGCGGCAGGGTTATAGACCTCGACAGCCGCCTTACTGAGGACAGCTTCACGAGCAGCCAACATAGTATCGTCACCGTCACCATTTTGTATATAGTCCGAGAGAATCTCTAGGATACGGAGGACAAGTTCCTTCTGTACGGCAGAATCTGGACCCTGCCATAATTGGACAAGCATGGTGTCCATATCCATCCACTCGTCTCCCCAACTCCTTTTCGCAACCTCGACCCATAGTAAGGCGATCTTGTTTCTCAAATAAATAGGGTCATCCCTTGATACGCCTTGAGCAAGCTGGAGAACACAATTGCGCAAGGCGGCAGCCTCTTCTTCATCACCATAAACCCATTTATGCTTAACCGCATGCTCAAGTAACGATAAGGCGTAATGACGTACGACGGGAGATTGAGTCTTGTCGACGGCAAGATGGAAGCCGTAGAAGGAAGCCTTACGGTCATTCTTTACTTCTTCGAGGAATAGTTGTGCATCTTTACGGTCGTCGTTGGAGGAATAAGGACTATGGACAACCTCCAGGGCCTTATGGATCTTGGGCAGGACCGCCATGTCCTCGGAATCAATACCTACGCCGCCCGTTCCCATGTTTCCGTTGATCGAGGTATGTGCGGTCATATCGGGTGAAAAATCTGGAATTTTCTCGGTCGGCCGCCGACGATCGTGGAGGGGAGGGGGGTGGGCGGGAACTGATCGGGATGTACTTTCGCCTTTAGGTGCGAATCATCAGGCACGGCAGGGTGAGATAGAAAAAGGCGGATATGCGATGAATGGAGAATGACGGCGTAAGAACAGGCACCTTAGCGAAAGAAAGTGGCAGGTTTGTTGATAATTGATGAGTATCCTTCTGGACGACGTTGCCTGGTAAATGGATGAATGGGTTCCAATGTTACATACAAGTGTCGCGATTGAAGTTCGTGTGTGTCTTCGGAGGAAATTTATTAAGAGGTTTAATGTTGCTCAGCTCGGTGGCATGGTTTGCACGCGATGATTGGAGGTACGACCTTAAATGACCTTAAACCCAAGGTAACTTTACTAGGTATTCTCGTACCCGTGCAGCCGTACTAGTAGACAGTGGACCTTCCCTCTGTTATCAAACCTTATCGTACTAGCTATGTACTAGGTTTCCGATGTGCTAGTAGGTAGCGTAAGGTCTCCACAATCTCGGGTTGGAATTGCTGACGGAACCAATTAGCGGCCGAACTCACCTCGGAAGTCCCCTGTTCTGGAAGGACTAGAACAATTCTAAAAGTTCCTTACTGCGCCTTATGGCGTCTGTCCCGTGTATCAGTTCCTGCGCAGTCCCTAAAATGTTTCACAGCAGATCGGCAAGATACCTATCACATCTGCTAGGGGATATTAAAACTCTAGGCACTCTAGGTGTGTAGTAGTAGTTTTCATATATTAATAGATGGCTATTTTTGAGGAGGATATGCAAGTGCCCTAAGTGCCCTACGTTTACGTAAGTAGGGATGTAGTTACGGTACCTGCGTGCGCATCGTACCACTCACTGATGAGTCACTTGTATTGTGGGGATATATATTGTACAATGCCCACACTGCCTAACGGAAACACTGAAGTGGAAAGTGCATTCCCACGGCACTTGGCATCCAGGTAGTACTAATACTCCCATAAACATAACAACCTGTCATAAAAGCTTGTCGAGATACATCGAAACTTTCGGTCTTCCTTTTCAGATCCCGGCTGGAAATCGCTGCCATAATTCATGCTCCGATGCTCCTCAAAACGACCGAGAACTTTGACCTCACAAGACTTGGTAGCCGTCTCACCTGTGATTTCGAGTACTCTTGATCCCGCATGCATGCATGATGCAAGAATGAGAGCCGTCCAGCGATGTTCCTCTTTTTCCCCTGTTGTCTTTTGTAAGTCAATTAATTTAAGCCTCCACACTCCTCCTTCTAGATTCTTTGCCGCTAATATGCCAGAGTTTGAAAGAAATCCATCGTAGTCATAGACGGCAAATACTCTGATATGGTCATCATAGCTTCCGGTGATAACTATAGAATTGAGCGAGTCAAGCCGAAGGCTTAGGGGCAAGATTGCGGTGACTCCTGCTTCGTGCCCCTTCATTGTGATTTGAGGATAGGGGGTCTCGATTGAATCATCTTCGCCACATATCCGTTTGGGATCAAATGCGTATTTCCTGGCAAAAAGTTTGGAGTCATCTCCACCGGAAAATATTGTGAGTTGCTGAAAGTCCTGGGGCGTAAACGGCGAGAACGCCACCGTCCAAGCCTCAAGAGTATGTGTAATCACTGGTTCCGTATGTGTCTTGTGGACGTTCCAAGAATCATCAACTTGCAAAATATGAACTTGATAATTCGATGTCGTAATTGCAAGGAGTTCGGGAATATGTGGATGCCATGAGCATGATAAGAAGAGAACTCCTTCTTCAACATCAAGTGGTCTATGTGTAACGATCTCTTCTAGGGAGACCTGAGACCCTTCTAAACTTGAAAGCCTGAAAAAAGAAAGGGTTCCGGTACTGGATACCACAGCTAGAACGGCACATTTTTCTCGTTCGGGGTGAAAGTGAAGATCAAGGATTGCGGAAGGATAGAGAACGGTTTGTATATGATTTCTATCCAAAGATGAATTTGATATAAAAAGACAAAAGGGGGTTAGGAAGAGCGCTTACACATCATCTGTCTCGGCCAACCTAAAGAGAATGAGACTCCCATCTCGGGTCTGCACGGACTTTGTTGCCTGCTCTTGTTCTTCATCGCCCTCGGCAACGGTGCCGGGATCTTCGCTTCCCCTCTGCAGATTATATGTGCCAACCACAAAATACTCCGGGTGACTTGGGCAAAACTCGATACAGCTAGGAGGGAGGTCCAAAGTCAATGACCTCAGCGGCGTGATGCTGCGTCCTTGCTTTTCCATGACGATTTGTTTTCGAACAGGGGGGCAAATCGTTAGCAATATTCCGACATGCGTATATTCCTCCCGTTATAACATATTGACCGAATAGCTAATCTTTAGCAATTTATACTGACTTATATCATGATAAGATAGCCTGGAGGTGTATATAGTCGTATCGTATAATTCCAGTGTATGATTGACTTTGATCTTGGTAGCAAAGAAACTTTCAAAGTACCTCCTACCACATGCAACTCCCCTCAATTTTTAACAGTTCAGGTGCACCATATGAAGTTAAACTGCGGTCCACGGGTATGTGCTTAGCCATGGATAAAAGTGGGTATGTGTACTACCGCAGAACGGCTCGGAATCGTCCCCGCTATACCCACTTAGGTATGGACCCTGTGATTAGCGGAGCCCTTCCCAGTCATTTTTAGTGCCCGACAGACCGGTTCCAATGAATATTTCCACTTACAACCCTGGAAGCCTTAGAGAGCTGGAGAGCGACAAACGAGAGCTGGGGACTCGGACGCTTTGAACATCAACCCAAGCTCTTGGGAACAGGGTCCCCGGCATCCTCGAATTCGACATGTCAATTCCAGCGATTCCGTTTCCAGCATCTGACGACCTATTATGATTGCCTTCCGCGACGTCTTACATCTCCTACTTTTCTTCCATTCGTTCTTTTCATACCGACATCCTACTTGTCTAAATCCTATTATTTGACACAGCCTGCTCACACAGCCTACTCAGTACTACCTTATTTGCGCCTAAGCACCGATCTAGATTCCGTGTAATACAAACATTTATTTAAATAAATTATAAAACACCGCCCTGTCATGAGTTCCGAAGATTCTGATTTCTATGGTGAAAATATCTGTTTTATTTTAGAGCGGGCCTAAATCACTAACACTCATCCTCAGGAGACGACGAGATTATGGCAGACCTAAAAGCTAAAGTGAAAGACTTTGATCCCGAAACTTGGTGGGAGGAACATGGGGATGTTAATACGCCACTAAAGATCCAAGCTGAAAATGAAGACGTTGAAATGCTAGATGTGTCTCATCTTCACAACCCATACGCCGGCCTGGAGTACGCATGGCAGCTCACAGAGACAATCGAAGAGTTTGTGGAACGTGTTCCACCCGCAACCACCGACGAAACTCCCCAAAACCAATGGATATGGGTCTGTAACCCTTATATAAACCGCAAGAAGAAGTGCGAGGCAAGCAATCAGCAAATCCGTGGCGGTGAAGATGAAGCGCCCGAGGAAGAAGGCGCCGACCTACCTAGTGTCGTCGAAGGCGGCATGGCGAGACTCCACTTCGCATCCGAGTATATCAACATGTGCAAGAACTCGGGCAACGGACCGGCTTTCATCGCCCGAGAATGCCGGACAGCCGGCACGGACGCCGCGAAGGATATCCTCAACCTGGCAAAGGCCCACCGCGTACGATGCGGCAAGTGGATGCTCTTCTGCAACACTTTCGAAGTCAACGAAGTCTGGCAGACCATCGCTAAGGCCACGGCAAATAATGAGCTTGGGATAGGCGCCAAGGTTGCGCCACGACGAACGACCGATAAGAGGACGGAGCGGCTCATCTGCGTCTACACCGCCGATTTCAGCGACACGAAAGATGTCAAGAGGGTTGCGGAGAAATTGAAGAAACTTGGACTTATCCAGGCCAACGACAAGCCTTTGTACTACAAACCAGGTCAGTCGTTCACCTTTTTTCTCATTGTTTAATCAATATGATACTTACCAATTTAGATGTGTACACGTACTTGGGGATAGCGCACGGAAACCCGTGGGAGATAAGGGCTTCCATCTACGACACCAAATCCATGCTTAGAACCAGAAAGGGGACATCATCTGGAGAATAATGAAGACTCATGTAAACATTCCCGGGAGGAATAGCTGAATTTTCGAGATACCCTTTGCTACCGAGAATTTGCTTCCAATGTATGATCAGAAACGTCAAGGAGGATAGGGGTGCTACCTAGGTAGTTCAAGTGTAAGCTAAACAGAATCTCAATGCTTACTTGCTGACCTCATAACGCCGCCAATGCAATGAACATCCATGCTGCCACGTCGAACCCTACCTAATATCTGCTGCCATAGTATTCTACTGCATACCCAATTCCTCCTTGAAAGGCCATAAATCCGTGCATCCAACCTCTCACGAAAGAAGGTTGTGAAGTGCCGCACAAATCGACACTACGCTACGTTGCGCCAGTTTCGACTTCGAAAATAGCCGCAGGCATATCATCCCTTTCCCTTCGACCCCTCTTCCAATTCCCTATCCAAATCCCAGCGGCCTCTACCACTCCTCCGAATAGCTAGAATGTTAATCCGTTTCTGGATCCGTCGACTTCAAGAGTAGCACGAGCCGATAAGCGCTATTTCCGTTGAGATAGTATCTATGGAGTTTCTTAGACCGTAAGAATCCTAGTCTCTCATATAGTCTCATGGCCGGGGTGTTTGTCTCCTCCGTCTCTAGGACGATCTCGTCGGCGTTGCGTTCGGCCATCGCATCGATCGCCATCTTTACCAACCGCGTTGCTATCCCGTGGCCTCGGAACGTGGAAGTTACCGCGAGCATGGCTATGTAGCCTCGATGCGTTGGTGGTGAGTGCGACGCATGGTGTTCGAGTTTGCAGATGATGACGCCCATTAACGATTTGTCGACGGGGTTGAGTGCCTTGTTACACGATACTTGTTTAGCCAAGATATTCCCCACTACCGAGAAGAGCGAAGTCCGGTATTACCATATAACAGAGGTGCGCCCATTGATACAGGAAGTATCGGTAGACGTAGATACTGTACGGTTCGCTCAGGTCCTTCGAGATCAATGCCCGAATCGCGGGCAGATACTTTTCTTCTAGAGCATGTTCGTATTGGATATATGATAATTCGCCGGGAAGCTGAGTTGCGCGGGCATCGCAGGCTACGTCCATGGCTGCGCCGCAGGTCACATGGAGGTAACAGCCGACAGGGACCGAGAGCTCGGGACAAAGCACCGTTATCGCAGCTACGAAAATTCTCGCCGGTTTAGTATAGAATTGACGATAACGGCCACCATAAGGATATCGACGGGAAGAAGTCCGCAGTGAGGGGACAAAAGATTTGACTAATAAACGGAGAAGATGTTAAGTAGGCAGGTTGGAAGAATTGAGTAAGACGGCAATTCGAGTTGTTGGTGTCACAGTAATAAATTTATGATATGTCAGTCTGATAGGACTACAAAGCGTGGCCCGCTTTCACATGCAACCTAAAGTTGCCCGCTCTGCCCGTTCCCGCTTCCTACAGAGGTAGGTACGGAGTTACTTGGGTACGACGTACGTAAGAGTACAGGGAGAAGAATGGAAGGCTTCAACGGGAGGCTACCTGATCTGACCAATCCGGTAATAGATCGGCGGGGTTAGTGGATTCCTGGGTTCAAGTTTAAACTGGAGCTTAAAAACGTCCCATGCCTGTCATGCCGCGGTTTCCAGTTGAAGAGAGCCCTAAAACATCACTGGTCGGTAGGCTGAAACATTCCTAACGTGATTCGCCGGCTCATGCTTGCCCCCAAGCAGAAGGCAGCACATGCTAACAGCTACCCACAGCAGCAACACTGACGTCAAAACGTCGCAAATTGTTTTGTGTCGTCAACTTCAATCTTCCGCCCGCGCACCTGCATCAATTGGGGCTTGTTGATCAGGTACCACACACGGCTTCCCGGTTTACTCGGAGTTGACTTCGTGAACAACTCACGAACTATGGATCCACAGTGAAAGAAATAACCTTAACTTTATTCCCATTTCATGACACAATAATCTTTTTTTGAGACAGCAGACAACATAGCTATTTGACGTAGCTAGCCCCGTTTTCCTGTTGATCTTTGACCTTTTGATCGTCCACCGTCCCTCATTCCAGATTTCCAACAACACGTAAACGGCCCTCCCGATCCATCCCCCATCATCCACTCCCGCGCTGCACTCTGTGCCTGGTCATGTTAACCCTGCCTGACGATGGCATCAACTCTCCGACGCCGGGCTGTCGGCGCCGACACCTCTGAATCCTCGTCGCAGGCCCCCACCCCGAGAGACGAAAGTCCGGTGAAGCCGGGCGACAAGGTCAAGGTCGTCCATGATCACAAACCGAAGATGCGCAAACGGCGCAACACTTTTATATTCCTGCTGGGTATCGTGTTCGGCCTTGTAGCTGCCGGATTCTTAGCCAAAAGTAATGATCTAATCGAACTTCCCGAGATTGGCGAGCTTAGCATGGACAGCTTCCTTGATGTGCTGCCAGCTGGTTTGGTCAAGGATATGAGGGATCTTGTAGTATGACTCCCTCTTCCAAAGATATATGACTATGCATATCTCAACTAATGAACTTTGTAATTGTAGAAAGGCGAGCGGGATTTCGTCGATAGCTATGATTCCTTTTCCGTCGGATTGAAGGCCCGGTCCGAAGGACTTAGCGTCCATCATCCCGTCATCATGGTGCCTGGCGTCATCTCTACAGGCCTCGAATCCTGGGGTACCGCTAATATTTCCCGACCGTACTTCCGAAAGCGACTCTGGGGCAGTTGGACCATGATGAGAGCGCTGGTTATGGATAAGGAGATATGGAAAAAGCACATTATGTTAGACAAGAAAACAGGGCTAGACCCGCCTAACATCAAGCTGAGAGCTGCCCAGGGTTTCGATGCTACCGACTTCTTTATTACGGGATATTGGATTTGGAGCAAGATCTTGGAAAATCTCGCGTCTTTGGGATACGACCCCACCAGTTCTTTCACGGCCGCCTACGATTGGCGGTTGTCGTATCAAGACCTTGAGCTTCGAGACCAGTACTTTTCAAGGTTAAAGAGCTATGTTGAGCTAGCCCACCAGTTCTCCGGTCAGAAGGTGGTCCTCACCTCTCATAGCATGGGTAGTCAAGTCCTGTTTTATTTCTTCCATTGGGTCGCGTCGGCGCATGGTGGTAAAGGAGGCGACGATTGGGTCGAACGTCATGTCGAAGCCTGGATCAACATTAGTGGATGCATGCTGGGCGCAGTCAAAGATGTTACTGCCATCCTCTCGGGGGAAATGCGCGACACCGCACAACTAAATTCCTTTGCTGTGTATGGACTCGAGAAGTTCCTCAACAAAGACGAGCGGGCCGAGATATTCCGAGCCATGCCAGGCATGTCGGCCATGCTACCGCTTGGAGGCGATGCAGTTTGGGGGAACTTGACGTGGGCACCAGACGACCTGCCTGGCCAGAAAAACTCGTTTGGCTCATTCTTGAATTTCCGGCGCGGTGCTAACTGGACTACGCCGGACAAGAACTTAACAGTCAGCGGAGCGATGCAGTATCTTATGGAAACGGCCGATACCTGGTACAAGGACCAGATCCAGAGGAGCTATTCCCACGGTGTAGCACATACTTCTGCCGAAGTTGAAGCTAATGAGCTGGATTATCGTAAATGGATCAATCCTCTAGAGACGAGGCTACCTTTAGCCCCCAACTTAAAGATCTATTGTTTCTACGGCGTAGGGAAACCAACGGAAAGGTCGTATTATTATCGCACTCCCGAGTTTCCGGGCTTCACGAATCTCAATGCCACCATCGATACGGGACTAATCGTTGATGACATTGATCACGGGGTCATCATGGGAGAAGGTGATGGTACGGTCAATCTTCTTAGTACTGGTTATATGTGCTCCAAGGGTTGGCGCATGAAACGGTATAACCCGGCAGGTGTCAAGGTCTCTGTAGTTGAGATGCCCCACGAGCCGGAAAGGTTTAACCCTCGCGGAGGGCCTAATACGGCGGACCACGTGGATATATTAGGACGACAGACGCTTAACGAGCTGATCCTGCGTGTTGCGGCCGGCAAGGGATTTATGATTGAAGACAATATCGTCAGCAACATCAAGGAGTACGCGGAGAAGGTTAAGGTATATGAAGAGGAGAACGAAAATGGAGAGTGAAGTCTAATAGAATAGATGAGGGATGATTATCATAAGGTCTGATTGACGAATTGAAGCTGTAGTGTATAAATATGGGACGGTGGGTGTCTTTTAGGGATTGAATGGATATTTTGTTCTTCGTTTTTGGGATGGTTCGAAAATGACTTTAGTTGCAATACCCCTATCCATATAGTAAGGCGATGGGTATAGATAGATGTATAATAATGAAATGCTGAGGGTTATATTGATACTCGAGACTTATGATACCCCCTATTTTCAGATAAGTACTATGTATAGAGACCATGACTGTTGCACCTGGAATAAAGCGGGAAGGTACAAATAGCGCACGGACCATTTGCTTATATAAAATCTCAACTTTCATTTCATATGCTCAGTGAAGGCTTTCTTACTTAAACAACTACGATCACCATTTATATATTCATTCTGATCAATTGAGTGTGATATAAGAATCGAACTCAGAAGAAACTCGTATTAAAACAAGAGTTTTCTCATATCTCCAGCCATGAAGGATCCTAACTACAGCAAGAGAAAGCACCCGGGGTCCGACAACCACCCTTTCAAGAGAAGCAAAGTAAGACTCTATCCCGGTTTCTATTCCTCACTTCACTTTTTGGTCTCTAGTTACTAATTTGTAATCATCCATAGGGAGGTGTCAAGGGCAAATGGACGACGCCTCACCACGAGGCCAAGCTCGCGATGTTCAGAGCCAAGGGCCTGGAGGCCGGTGATGTGGGCTTATCGACGACGTGTGTGAAGGGCAAGGAGCGCCAAGCGTTGGAGGAGCTTATGGATATTTGCGAAGAGGTAACCTTCTCCCTCTTACCCATACCCATATCCTCTCATTTTCATTCTCATTTCATTTCCACTTTCACACATTCCCATTCCTCCTCCCCAGCAAATCCATCTACACACCCCCTTATACTAACCCCCCACCCCTTAGTACGGCGCAACCCTATACAACCTCACCCCAGAAGACCCAGCCTACTCCACGGACGAAGACGGCAACATCGAAGCCTCCATCCGGAAAGAAGTCCAGGGCCTCCCCTCCGCCCTTACGCGGGACCCGAACGCCCCCTTCGAGCCCGTCCGCCTGGACCTGGACTGCCTGCTGTTCATGCGGACGCGCGCCCCCGTCGACCCCGTGCAGCTCGCGCACCGCATCTGCGTCGACGCGCGGGACGATTTGGACTGGAGGAAGGGCGGGCGCAGGGCTCGGTTCTTGAATCGGTTTACGCCGGTTACGGCGAGTGCTAAGGCGAACGAGGCGGGGTTGGAGGAGGTTGCGCGGAAAGTGCTCGGAGAGCATTTTCGACTTGTTGGGGAGAAGAGGGATGGGAAGGGGGAGGGAGAGGGAGAGGGAGAGGGAGAGGGTGAAGGTGAAGGTGGGGATGAGAAGAAGGGCGAGGAGACGAAGGGGAAGGCGTATTCGGTATGTTGTCTTCTATTCCTTCGTTACTTTTGGTTCCCAGGGGGTTGTTAACTGTGGTTGATGTCGGAAATTTGACTAACAGATTAATCCGATAGTACGCCATCCGCCCGACGTTCCGCGCGCACAATGTCCTCAAACGCGAGGATGTGATCAAGAAGGTCGCGAACCTCATCGACACGCGCCATAAGGTCAATCTCACGTCTCCGGACAAGGTTATTCTTATCGATATTTACCAGGTATGTACCATTAATCCCTTTGAAGTTTCCTAAAATGAGTGAGGGAGAAGGCTAAGCTAACAATGACAGTCATTTTGCGGAATGAGCGTCGTGGACGGTGATTGGGATTCGTTGAAGCGGTATAATCTCCACGAGATCCTCGTGGCGGCGTTGAAGGCTAAGGGCCAATCCGTTGAGGAAAAGGGTAAGACGGAGAAAGCGCAGACAGATAAACCGGAAACCTAAGTTTGCTAAGTGAACATGCTACTAGGTAGGTGGTTCAGCTGCTGGCTTTTCAACGTTTGGTTTCTTAGGGAAATATAATGAATAGGCGGTGGTCATACGTCTTCATAGCACCAGAAGTTTGCGAATAAATGGAATTCTCAACGAAGGTCTAGGTTGAGGGAGACCCCCGAGGGACACGTGCTTATCCTAAGCTTATGGGCAATACAAATAAATCCATGAAGAATAGCAATCGCCGCACAGGCACTCACTTTACAGTCAAGGAGCTTACACGATATATCCATATCAATAACTCGGAATAGTTAAGGTATAGATTAACACCTGCAAACAACCTCAAGCAAGCATTCTGGTATCTCATTCTCTCACTCATCACACTCCACTCCGTTTTGTTATGATATTTCAGTCCAGAACCAGACCTGCATTTAACTTCTCGTTCATCCCTACCCTACCCTATCCTATGCCCACCTCCTTTCTTCCATGCCACCCCCTACCCTACCCCTATCCTCAAAAAGTAAAAGAGGGGGTTTGATAAAGAATCAATCAATATTTTCAAATGCCCAAACACACAAGCCCGAACTCCGAAACCCACGTCCGTAGACGGGGTAATGTAAAATGTCAATGCGACAAACCTCGAACTCCTCCTGCGCGGACGGGCACCCGTTAATCAAATACAGCAACAACTAGCCACCATCGTATCGTACTATAGCTATAGTCGAGACCCGGAGTCGCCTAAGTTCAAACAGGCACCTCCAACTCCGCCTCCCTCTTCTGGCTCTCCTCCCACGCGTTCACCAGCTTCTTCCTCGTCTTCTCGTGCTCGCCCCAGTTCCTCGCGCTGATGCGCATGCGCGCCACCGCCCTCAGCACGTTCGCGAAGATCTTGAGATTATTTGGCGGTTTCTTGGACGTCTCCCGCTTCCGAGACGAGAGCAGCGCGTCGGGTGATTTTATCCCTAGTTGCTTGTGGATGCTCTTTAGGATGCGAAGGTCTGCTTTGTTGCTATTCGGGTGTTAGTTAAAAGTGCCACATGGTAAGGTATCGTGAAAAGGATAGGAGATGGAAAACATACCAAGCATCAGCAATCTCCAATTGTAGTGCCAAGAACTTCTTCGCGAAGGCGGCGTCGTTCCTCAAACTAGCCTCGCGCTCCCACCTGGCCTGCATCCACTGCATTTGAAGTGCCATGCCGCGGATCTCCTTGGTGTGTCGCTTCTCCGCCGCGTCCGCCGCTCGGATAACCGCCTCGTGATCCCGCTGGTCTACAACGTCCATTACGATGTCGCCGTACCGGAAGCTGGCCTTGGTGCCCCTCTTCTGAATGTGCGGAGTGTAAGGATTAGAAGGACCGTCGGGGGACTCAGAATTCTTGGCCTCGATCCATTTCAGCGCTTCCCTTGCACCTTCCTGTAATCGCTCGCAGTCTGCCTTTAGTTTCTCGGCCGACGCCTTGTATGCGGCGCGCTCGTTCCGTGCCCGGTCCAGTTTTTGGCGGAGTTCTTTGCATAATGGACTGGCATAGTCTAGATCCTGCCTTGCTAGGTCTAGTTGTTCTCGCAACTCTTCGCTCAGGCGATTCGCTTTCTCGGATTCCTTAACTGCTCGATTTAGCTCTCGCCTGAGCTCTTCGGCTTCACGTTTGGCTTGTTCTAATTTCTTGTCTGATTGTTTGGACTCATGACGAGCTTCCCGGTCTGTTTGTTGCTTTAGGCGTTCGCATTGGCGTTCAGCTTCGCGTAGCTTTCGGCTCGTTTCTTCGAGCTGTCTTCTGAGGTCGTCGGACACTTGGTTAGCTTCTAGCAACTGCTCCCCAAGATCGCCTGCCTTTTGAGACTGGTCACGTTTAGCTATCTCGAGCTGGCGCCTAAGGTCTTGATACATCCGATCGGCTTCATTCAGCTTTTCAGCAGCATCTTCCGATTCCTCGTCCAAAGTAGTTTGGAGAACTTCAACTTCGTCCTGCAGAGCCTCTATTTCCTCAGCTTGAGATTGGTAGGCCGCTTGACTCTGGAGAAGCTCTTCACGGACAGCAGCGATCTCATTGCGAAGCGCGGTTAGCGAAGACTGTCGAGTTTCTAAATCCTGCCGCAAGTCGTCGATTTGACGGCTTAGTGCGGCTTCCTCCCTCTTGTGGCGCTGTGCCTCGCTGTTCAGGGCATCTTGCAGCTTTGTCTCTTTGCTGGATAGCGAGCCCTCGGAGTCGCGTAGTCGATCAATGGTCCTTTCAAGTCCAGCAGCCCGTTCTTCGAGACGGTCTCGTTGAGACTCCAGGTTACGTCTTTCAGCTTGCCATTTTTCGTTATCAATATCGTAGCGGTTATCTTTCTCGCGAACCTCGGCATGTAATTGAGAGACCTCATCGTTTAGGCGATCAATTTCAGACTTTAGCTGATTGCGAACTTCGCGCTCGATCTGGCGACCGTGGCTCTTTTCCTGGTCAAGATTAAGTTCTATATCGCTGAGCTGGTTCCGTAAACGAGTGATTTCTCGTTGCAGTGAGGCGGACTCATCGCCAGAAGTGTTTTGGCGCACTCGAGCATTCGCTTTCTCATGGTCTAAATCGGTTTCAAGTTCTCTGGCGCGCTTCTGCAAACGCTCAACCTCCCGTTCTAACGACGCTGACGCAGATTGGCCACCTGATGCCTCCTTACGCACCCGTGTAATCTCATCCTGGAGATCAGCAATGTCGTCATTTAGCCGGTCGACTTCGTCCTTATGTTTAGCGTTGGCTTCGTATAAAGATTGTAGCGAACGGGCCTTTTCTTGGCTTAAGCTTGTCTCTAGTTCGCCCACACGTTTTTGCAGGCGAGCAACTTCTCGTTCTAGAGAGGCTGATGCTGACTGACCACCGAATGCCTCTTCCCGAACTCGGTTGAGTTCATCCTGGAGGTCCGCGACGTCATCATTTAGACGGTCAACCTCGGATTGATGATTGCGCTTCATATCACGCTCGATCTGTAAGCCATGTGCCTTCTCCTGATCCAGACTAAACTCAAGTTCGTCAACTTGCTTTTGGAGACGAGCCACATCTCGTTGGAGAGAAGCTGATTCGTCTCCTAGGGAATCATGACGGAGTTGGAGGAGATTCTTCTCATCTGTGCGTGTGGCAAGATCTTGTTGTACAGATTCTAGTTTGGATGCAAGTTGTTTGCGTTCGCGATCCCAAGCTTCCCGTTGCTGTAGGAGTTGTTCGGCCCTAGAGCTTACTTCTTGCATGTATCTGTCCTTCTCAGATGCGTCCCGTTCGAGAGTTCCATACTTCTCTTGCCAATGATTAACTTCGGTCTGGAGTCGTGCGACTTTCTCTTCAACTTGGCGGGAGAGACCTTTGGTGACAAGTGACTTGTTAGACATCTCATCTTGGAGTTCCTCGAGATCCGCTTCCGCTCGATCCTTTTCGGAAATAGCAGCATCGAGTTCGCCCTTCATATCATCTATCTGGCGTTCGAGCTTGCGAACATTGAATTCGAGATCTTCAATGGTTCCTTTCGCCTTATCGAGTTCTTCGCTTGAGCGGGCATTACTTTGGAGTTCGGATATCTTCTGCTGGGCGAACTCCAACTTTTCGGTTTCCTGGGCCATCTTCTTTTCGAAATCGTTTAGCTCTTCGTTAAGGTCGTCGATATCCAGATCCTTCTCTCGTAAATCTGACTCCAGGGAGCGGACCTTCTCCTGTAACTCCTCTATCTTCCCTATGTCCTCGGTCGGTTGTGCATTTGCCTCGAGTTGGGCAATCTTGCTTTGTGCCGACTTCCATTTCTCATCGGCCTCTTCTAGCTCGTTCCTCAACTTCTCAACTTCCTCCTCACGGTCGTTGATTTCCCGGTCTTTCTGGCGTATATCTGCTTCGAGGTCACCTATCTCGTCATTTAACTCGTCGATTTTGCCGTGGTCCCTGTTTCCTCTCTGCAATTGCCTCTGGAGGTCCTCTATCTCGGCATCCTTGTCCTGCAGGCTCCGTCGTAATACGTCAATCTCAGCCTTCTGACCTTGATCAGCATACTTCTTTTTGGCCTTCTCTTGAACTTCCAAGATTTGTTGCTGGTACGTCTCGAGGTCCTTCTCTGCGGATGCCAGATGCTTCTTGTATTTATGCAATTCCCTCTGCATTGTCACCTTGTCGACCTTGAGCTCCGTGTTCTCCTTGAGGGCGGCTTCACTAAATCCAGGCCCAGTCTTCCTCAGAGCCTCCTCGAGAAAGTGAATTTTGAGTTTGAGACCGAAATTTTCCTTCTCGATCCTGTCGATAACATTCTCTTGTTCTCTCAGCGACAGTTGATTCCCGTCCTGCAACGGACCTTTGTCGCCACCTCGTCGCGGGGCCACGGCTAACGGTGTGGATGCTACGCTACTGCTCTCGACCTGGGGTAGTGGTGTGGCTTCGAGGTATGATTCGCGTCTGGAAGCGCCAAACAATGACGACTCCACAGGGACATTCGTCATGTCCATGTCTTCGTTAATTTTCCCCAAGGTAGGAGTTGCCATGCCGTTGGTGTTTTCCTTGCCGAACCGACGCGCGCTGTTTCTTGTTGCAGATTTGAGCATTGGCGTAAATTCTGCACCACCAATTCCAGCGGGCAGATTTCTCTTGTCGCCCAGAGGTGCGCGGTTATTACCGCGCGGTGTTCGCAAACTGACGCCGCCGCCATTTCGTAACTGCTGTAATAAGTTGTTATCTTTAGATGGAGAATGGAAAGAGGATTCTTGTGTCATGTCGAAGTCGGGCGGTGCCTGACTTAGATAGGTGGCATTGCCCAGGTTGGTTCGAGGAGTATCCATCTTGACGGCGGGAGAGGTGGGATGGCCTCAAGAGGATGATGCCGTGCAAGTGGCGGGTGAATTGAAGATCGCGATACGATGGCGGTGTAATTCGATTAACCATGCGATGATAAAAAAAATAGTTAATCGGCGGTAACGGTGGCTGTTGAATTGTGTATGTATAAGAGAGTGAATGATTGAGGGCTGAATGGTGAAATGCAATTGTTTGTCTTTTGAGATTTCCATCCACCACCAATTACACGTCGAGTTCTTGCTAAGACGCGTTTCGCTAATGTTTACTTTGGTAGCAATATTTCAAAAGTTGCCCAGAGCTTTTACACTTTAGAGCTTGTGACCAGATGGTAGCGAGCGACTGCCGCTTATCCCGATTAGTATTAGCGCACTTATTGGCCCGTACTTTTCGTGGGATAAACAAAATCGGGATTAGCGCGCTAGGCGAGAACCTTGAGGACCAGCCTCTTTCATCGTCAAGAGCGGGGGACTTCAAGACAAGGGTTCTGTAAATGGCCTAGAATATGGTGCTCCACTTTAAAAAGTGACTGTTGACGTATCAGACCCATTGAAATTCCCATTACATACCTCAGTAGTGCGTAGGTCTACCCGTCTCCCATCTCCGTTGGTCGCATGAGACTTGACTTGCATCAGTTTTCTATCCCCCTACATACTATATTAACTAAACTCGGCGCAAACTCTTGTCTCGGTGATAACCTTTGCGCCACCACTATTTCTTCTTTTCACTTCCTCTTCTCTTCAAATTCTCTTTTATCTTGTCTAACTTTAATCCCGTCGCAACCAGATTAACATCCCGGAGGAAGAGATGGCATCTATCGACGACTTGCCGGACGAGATCGTCCACCATATCCTTCTTTACGTATCACCGGAGGAAACTTTAACTAAGATCGCATTGCTTTCCAAGCGATTCAACCGAGTCGCACATGAACCTCTCCTATGGAGGTTTTATTGTGAGCACAGTTTTAAGTACTGGCAATCGAGTCATCACTTCAAAGACAGACTCAGAGGTAATTTACGCGATACCGACTGGCGAGGCCTCTTCCTCCAGCGACTCGGCCGTAATGCTCGCATTGCGCGCCTTGTCGACGGCATCGTCGAATCTCGTGTCCTTCGCTTGCAGAAGATAGAGGAGATCTGCCAGTACGGGTACGATGCGAAAGACTTTCTCCTGACTCAGTGTCGGGTTCCCGATACGGTAGATGACGTTTTGGCGCGAAGGTATGCATATGGAACCTATTAGGCGCGTGGAATTACTGTATCTAATATAGGACCAATTGGACGAACTGTAGATACTATTCTTGCTCCGCCCTCGACAGTATACATCGAAGTCTCGCGATAGAAGAATGGGCCAAGTACCAGAAGTACGCAGCACGTCGTATCGATGAAGATACCCCGAATAGCGAAAGATTAAACTGCGGCATGCGCCTTGAGCGCGCACTCGGCGCCTTTGATATGTTTATGCTCCATGATAACGAGGGTGATTTGGACGAGGTTGGTTTAAATACCTTATTCTCACTCTCCTGAATTGTACCGCTGACCTTGTTGTGCTTACGTGGTAGATAACTGAGCTGTTGGACGATATCACTGCACGATTCCGCAGTACTCAGGCACACCTCAATGAGATGACAACTCGACAAAAAGCCATCGCATTAGCCCGGTGGCTTCATTCAAACAATATGACAGGTTTAAATGATCCGACTGAGCAAACATACCGTTATCTTCGCAATTGTCTGATCGGTAGAGCTCTTCGAGACGAGCATCATCCGTCGCTACCAATCATATCCGCCGCGATCTACTCCGCTATAGCATCGCGACTTGGGATGGAATCCTACCCCTGTGCATTGCCCAACCACGTCCACGCCACCGTGCTATCGCCGCCAGGCATTTCGTTGGACGGGTATCGTCTCCCGCTTGACCAGTCGGAACATCAGGAGAAAATGTTCCTCGACCCCTACGGATCAGACGAGGAAGTTCCTCTGGATTACATACACCACTTCCTATCCCGACTCGGCATCCACACCAACCACGAGAACCTTCTGAACCCTACAGCCACGGACTTGATCGTCATGCGCACGGCGCAAAACATCCGCGCCTCTTTCACCAGCTTCCGCACTAACGAGCGCCCGCTCTCGCAGCTGATCCCGATGATCGAACTCAACCGCGGCGACTGGGCTCGCAACCTGCAGCCGGCGCTGTACAGCATGATATGGGCTAGTATCATGATGGTGCCCGTGCTGCCGGAGAACGACGAGATCCGCTGGGACTGGCAGCAGGACGTCGGCGACTTACGGACTTACTTCTACGAGTACTTCCCCGAGGACTCTTGGCTCGTCGAGAAGTACGTGTGTCCCATGTACGACGTCTTCGCCGCGCCGCCGCGCAGACAGCAGACCGAAGGGGAACTTCCCTCGAAGCGGGTGCGTGACCAGATCCGCGAGATCAGACGCGTGGATGCGTCGAGGAAACCGCCGAGGCGCAGGAGCGCGCTGGCCGACGGGACCAAGGTTAAGTATCGCGTCGGCCAGGTTTTCAAACATAAGCGCTATGAGTACCATGGGATTATCCTCGGGTGGACGGTCGAGGGCGCGTCGACTTGGGACGATAATCCCCTTTCGCCGAGCCAGAGGCCTTGGTCGACGTATAGTCAGCCGTTTTATCGATGCATGTAAGTTATTCCCTCATATATGTACGGGTGTGGAGGGGTTTTGCTAACAACGTGTATAGGGTCGGCACGGATGGCTCGGATCACCACGTTATCGCCGAGGAGAACATCGAAGTGGTCAAGCTGCGCGGCGGCCCGGAGGTTCTACCCCTGGAGATCAAGGACCTAATGCCCATGGCCGGCAAGTTCTTCAAGCGATGGGATGCCGAGAACGGCGTCTTCGTTAGTAATCTGAGGGAGATGTTCCCCGAGGACTAAGCTAAGGAGCGGCCTCTTCTTCCTCAATCGCGTTTATATCGTTTATTCCCCTTGTAATAACCTACTACCTACCTACGTTTATTCTATTTGCTCCTGTACACTACCTACACTTACTCCATCATAAGAGATGGCCTTTTTAATGACTTCTACGACACTCTCCGCTATGGTTACGGTTATGTTTTCTCCTAGTCTTTACCTAATTGCTTCACTTTTACCTATAATTACTCTACGCTTTGGACCTTTTTTCGGGCCCTTCGTTTGACTTGGTGTCTTCGAGAGCTTTAGCTGGGCTGATGGGGACGTCGGTATGAATCGATGTAGTATATGACTTTTAATTAATAGTTCCTTCAACGAATATTATACACCACTTTCTGATATTCGAATTTGCGTTATGGATTTAATGTTTTTCAGCTGTGTGCACTGTTGGATGCTAAATTGATTGGTAAACTTGGCGTTACTTGATCACCTCCTGCTTAAACTCTTGTTTACGTGTGTAAACCTGGTATAATGCCTGAATTAATTATGGAAGTGGAAGAGTGACGTGGAACGCAAATTCGACTACATATACATTTCCTCGACTATAAGGAATAGAGACGCAAAAATGCGAAGAGTTAGGAATCATGATCACGTAGGCCATTGCTACAATGACACAGCACGACACGCCCGGTTTAGCATTGCCATTATTCTCATTACCACGCTCATATAGCTCATTTCCATAGAAATTTTTATACAAGCTTCAAACCGAGTATCTGCACCCTTCCTTTTCCGTACCTTATATACATCCATCCCATTAGCTATATCAGCCCCCTTTCCCAACCCGCTCACGCAGTCCTAGCTAGCCACAGCTTAGAAAACCTCAAGCAAAATCCTCCTTAACCTCAATCTTCTCAATAACATCCCCGCCGATCCTCGCGATCTCCGCCAGAATCGCATCCCGATTAACCTCGAACAACCCCGCGCCCTCGCCCTCCTTGCCCTTCTCGCGCATAAGCTTCATCGAGCACGGCGCGTGCACGCTGAACGCGCGGCGGTGCAGGAGCGGATTCCACAGCGCCGCGATCACGGCGTCGTCCGGCGCGCCGTGGAAGAACAGCAGCGGCGCATCGTACAGCTCGTTCAGACGCCTGAGCAGCACGCGCGCGGGGTGTTCCGCGAGCGGCAGCAGCGCCGCCTTCCCCTTCCCATTACCCCCTCCTCCAGCGTCCAGGTTCTTGAACCGTGAACGCCTAGACCCGCCGTCGCTACTGTCCCGGGCGACGATGCTCTTAAGGACCTTCGGGGACAGGTGCAGCAGGACGTCGTAGTCGCGGCGCTGGGACTGGAACAGGGTTCTTACGTTGAGGTCGACGCCCTTTTCCCTCACGGCCTTGCAGGCCGAGCGCGCGAGGCTGGTCATCCGGGTCGCGACGACGCGCGTCGGCCCGTGCAGCGTGTACGCGATGCCGGAGACGTCGTGCGAGGTCGCGACGAAGAGCACGGTGCGGTTCATGTTGGGGTCGATCTTGCGCCACGCCTCGAGCCGCGTGCCGATCTCGAGACGCTGCGACGTCGAGAGCGAGTCTGCTGAGTCGACGACGAGGGGTTCGTCGCGCCAGTCCCAGCGTGATAGCATGAGCATCGTTCGGAGGAACCCGGTCATTGCGCTGCTGGGGGTTTGCCACGGGTACGGCTTGAGGAATGCTTGGAGGACAAATAGCTCTATGAGCTCCTCGCCGTAGTGGCAGGAGAGCATGTGAGAGTTGAACCAATGCTTAGTGAGACGTATGGAAGATGATAATGCGGGAAATCGGGTGCAGAAGGTGGATATGGTTTGGTTGTGGAGTGGTAGGTTTGTATACATCCGTCTATATTTGGCGAGTAGATCGGCTGCTTCCGTACGGACGTGTCGTTCAACTGTCTGGTCTTTCGTCTTTCTGTCGAGAAGCGATTCTTCAAGGTCGCTGTGTACCCGAAGCCTGAAAGAAGCGCCATTCTCGTAGACAATATCTAGGAATGCCAAGTTCTCATCATCGCGGGTGGCATTTTCGAGTCCAAGGTGCGTTTGGACTTCTTCCTTAAGTGCTTCTAAAGAACTCCCAATCTTCAGTAGGAAAGCAATTTTGGCTCTTTGGATAGCGGCAAGGTTCTCCGGCCATTTTCCGGAAACTTCGAAAGAAATCACAATCTCCATTGGGTGTAAGAGTGGTTGCCTGAAGTTGAACTCCGGCATGTTGAGCGATGTTCGCCGTAGGTCTGAGCAGATAGGAGCTATTTGCTTCACATGCAGGGGAAGGTCTTGTAGGTCACGGATGTCTCGTTCAACAACCTCGAATGCTTGTCTTGCCGAGTCGAAGCCCAGCTTGTCCGAAGGAGTGAATGCCATAATCTTGGGAATGTCTCGCCAGTGGAATTCAAGGTTACTATCTTCCAACTGAAGCCGTGAATTCAGGATGTACCGTATAATACCCTCACATATGCCCGCAAAACCCAGGTAGGAAAATTCCGACCAATCCAGACTCTCGACAATGTTGCCGTCAGGAAATTGCCAGAGATCTGCCTTTTTACCCCAGAAGTCGCGGAACTTAGCTGCTTCCTGCTTTTGTTCGTAAGGGGGGCCATATTCACGGCTCTGCGATGCTTTTAGAGGATCAATAACAATACCAACAAGGAGGCTGTTCCTCTTTTCCTTCGGCATTGAAGTGGAAATGGACCATGGCACTGTCTCTGGTGTATAGATATGAATTAACTGCGCGCGTTCGCCAAGAGCCCGTTTCAATGTTTTGTATAACTTGACGCTGAATTCTGAAACGAACCCCTTACGATCAACCGATTCAATTCCTTCTTTTGCTATGGGGATATCGACGCTTAACAGTACGTCAAACATCTGTAGAGGTTGGTCGGCTTTGATAATGAACAGGGGTTCAAATTGATCAAGCGGGCTATCGTTGATCGCCGAAAGGGACCATTTGGCCTGTTCCACCAACATTGCCGTAGACCATGGTGACATTTTGTAAAGGACATTTATACCGCGGGCGGCATCATAAATAGCTGGCATGATCTGACGATAAGTTTCCGACTCAGGGGCGTCTTTGCCAATGACTAAGAGCTTTTTTTGCAAGTTTGCCGAAACGATATATTGCAGAGTAGCCTTGAATAACTGGGTGCTGTGCAGCGAAGGTGAGAGAACTGCTTCTCCTTTCCGACCACCCCCTTGCAAAAGGAGAGCCACCAGAACTGCCCATTCGAAATGACCAAAGCCGCCACCGCGAATGCTACCACTGAATCCTCGCTGCTGCAACCATATACGTCCTAGAACACATGCATCTTTGAAAGCAGGACATGAGTTGGCGGCTTTGTGAAGTAGTCTCAAATATGATGTGAATTGGCTTTCGGCCTTGAGGGTTGTGTTATAAAAAGGCGTAGCTGCTTTGGTCTCATCAGTCTCGGAATTGCCTTGTCTGATGGCGTTGCTGCTAGCGGTAAGTTTTGCTGTTGGAAAGTAACCCTCTGGAGCGCACGGGATAACACGTATTGGCGGAGTTGACTTATCCTTCGGTTGAGCAATAAGTACAGGTAATAACATGTTGCCATGTAAATGGTCGAAGGAGAATTCCATAGTAGGATCCAGTGCCTGACGAAGAGATGAGGTTATATAAGCCAAGTAGTATGCCCTCTTGTAGAAATATCTCATATTCAAGTAGTCTTTCTCTTGGAATATGGATGTAGGCATAACAACAATCATGTCGATGGCCAAATCCGACTGAGATTTGATGTTGGTCTTCAGAATCCAGCTTCCTACAACATTGATCTGAGCCGGCGTCTCGAAGGAGAGCTTATAAGGTGAATCTTTCGCTGGTTTGGGATCAGGGTAAGGGATCGTAATTCGGTTGGCCTTCTCGAACTTTGCCGATAAATCACCAATCTAGAAATAGTCAGCCAGGTTAGATGTTGTAGACTTCGCGATTGGCATAAAGTTGCACTTACAGGATGTGGATCATGAGGTTCTGAAGCTTCGATTATGTCCTTGAACCGTCGCAAGGTATCTTGGACGCTGGCGGAAGCTTTGTCATAGTCATACTTGACTTCGTTCAACAGCTCTTCCGTCTCTAAGACAAATGCGCTCGCGCCTGAAGCACCCATCGACGAAGCGGTTGTACTGGCGACTTCGAAAGCCGGACCTCCATTTCCGTGGTCTATTTTTCGTCGTTTTGCTGCATTCGAATCCATTATTGCTTTCAAGGCGTACTAGGGGTGAAATTTCCAATACATGGATCTCGTCGCATTTAACGTGTTGTGTCAGCTTCTCGTGATGTTTATTGACAGGTCAGTCAATGCTCCAGTTCCGGGTGCGAATGTCTCAAATGTTCAAGAAAAAAAAAGTCCAAGTCATGGTATCGATAAGGACCCCTGCTATAATACGGCTTAGTAACTAAGTTGGCTACCCAATCAGGTTGAGTTTTCCTCGGGTGCCCCTCGTTTACCGAAAAGCTGGAGCCGCTTTACAATCCATGTCCCGTTCTGTCATTTCATTTGCCGAGTTGATTTTCATGCGATTACATAATTCACAAATAAGATCTAAGTTTACTACCGTCGCTTTCCGAAACAGAAAGTAAACATAAGCGGCAGTTGCCCAGACATCAAGCTACGGCTTCTAATTTACCCCAAATATTGCTTAGGTAAACCAGTTGAGCTTCCTTTCTTAGCCGACAGTCTTCCCGATGGAGATCCCGAGCGCGGAGAGTGGATTTAGTAGCTCTTCACTACCTTCCTTGGCTATGAATATCAATTCGGATGTCCTTTCCTTTGTGATGCCTGGAGTAAAATCCAAATGTAGTTCCTTAATACACGTGCAATTCTGATGATACCAGTTCTGTTATGCTTCTTTTTAAAGATATTCGAATTGAAAATTAATCGTCCAAACTCACTCAACGCCGAATCAAGTGCGTCGCCATGTCATCCGCAGCACTGTGTATGAGAACTCTGAGAGCATACTCTCGGTATGGCTCAAATGTAGGTGAATAGCAACCAGATCCAAATATTAATTCTCATTACCATTGTAGCATGCCAGAATACTCGCAAGGGCCTTCTCGGCCACATCCAGGCGGGCCGAGATCAACAAGGTATATCCGTCTGCCGCCGAGGCATTGAAGGACATGAAGCCGGGTTCGACTTTACTATGTGGTGGTTTCGGTCTCTGCGGTGTTCCCGATACCTTAATTAACGAGGTCATCAAGAAGCCCGAGATTACGGGCATCACGGCAGTTTCAAACAATGCCGGTACCGATTCTTCCGGGTTGGGCCAGTTGCTTAAGACCAAGCAGATTAAGAAGATGATCGCCAGTTACATCGGCGAAAATAAGACTTTCGAATCGATGTATCTAACAGGCGAGGTCGAGCTGGAGCTTACACCTCAAGGTACACTGGCTGAGCGTTGTGCCGCTGGCGGCAAAGGCATTCCGGCCTTCTATACCCCCGCGGCTTTTGGCACAGTGGTGCAGACTGGCGAGCTTCCTTTGAAAAACAAGAAAGACGGAACTCCCGACGTGTTCTCGTATCCGAAGGACGTCAAAGTCTTCAACGGCAAATCATACCTTCTTGAGCACGCCATCGCCGGAGACTACGCCTTCGTGAAGGCGTACAAGGCGGATAAACTCGGAAACTGCCAATTCCGTCTCGCTGCCAACAACTTCAACGGTGCCATGGGTAGAAATGCCAAGGTAACTATTGTCGAAGCTGAACACATCGTTGAACCTGGTGAAATTTCGCCCGAAGCCATCCATTTACCGGGTATTTATGTTAAGAGGGTTATCCAAAGCACCACAGAGAAGAACATTGAAAAGTTTACGTGGGCGAAGGACGACGGGGACGCGGATGCGAAGAAGGCGCTAGGCTCGGGTGACACGGCAGCCAAGAGAGAGCGAATTGTTCGCAGAGCAGCTAAGGAGTTCAAGAATGGCATGTATGCCAACCTTGGAATTGGAATGCCCATGCTCGCACCTGGATTCGTTGGCCCCGAGGTCGAGGTCCAACTGCAGTCTGAGAATGGTATCTTGGGTCTTGGTCCTTATCCGCGGCAGGGTGAGGAGGACGCCGACCTGATCAACGCTGGAAAGGAGACTGTTACTCTGAAGCCAGGCGCCGCAGTATTCGGCAGCGAGGAGAGTTTTGGTATGATCCGGAGCGGTCGTATCAACCTCACAATTCTCGGAGCGATGCAGGTCAGCGCTACAGGTGACCTTGCCAACTGGATGTTACCTGGAAAAGTCAAGGGTTTTGGCGGAGCGATGGATTTGGTCAGCAACCCGAGCTCGACAAAGGTTGTCATCACAATGGAACACACAGACAAGAAGGGTAACCCGAAGATCGTGAAGCAGTGTGCTTTCCCCTTAACAGGCCGGGCTTGCGTCTCAAGAATTATTACAGAGCTGGTACGTGACTAACTCATCCACATATCATTGCCTTTTATATCTGCTAATCTATTCTTTGAAGGGTGTTTTTGACGTCGATTTTGCTCACGGCCTCACGTTGATCGAGATTGCGGACGGCGTAACTGTGGATGAGATAAAGAGCAAGACAGAGGCTCCGTTCCACGTCGCCAAAGACCTGAAGCCCATGTTGTGAGGTAAGGTGATGATGATACCGCCCTTTATGTAAAATCAACGTTTCGACGTCTCGACGGCTGTATATAATATGAATTTTTGGTAACTTAAATATGAGTTGCTTCCTCTAATCGTCTCCCTTTCTAGACATAAGAGAAATGCCTATTTATTCCCAAGGGTATGCAGTTCTCCCCGTCGTCGACCCTAAACTTGATCTTCCAATATGAGGATTGTTCGTAGCTTTACGGCTAGGGTGGGGATCCAAGCCTCCTACCGGGATTATTGATTTTTATTTACACCTGAATCACCTTAGGTAAATCTCAACTCTCCCTCTCTTCCTCTTCACCATCGCTGCCTCTCAAGGTCACATAAACCTTGGCGCGCAATGGTATTTTCTCCGTCTTCATTTTCTTCTTAGAACATACCACTAAGTTATTTACTCGCGTTCTGGGAACATGGCTTCCCACTCGTCGATTGGCCGGCCGGGTGGCTCCGCTGGCAGCTCGTCCAATGCATCGCATCACTACGACCCCCAGACCGGCCAAACCTATCGAGAATTCACATCAAAGCTGCAGAGCTTACCGCGAAATATCGGTTGGGAACGCGAGGGTGTGCTCGAATCCGAGGAAGGATCTTTTATCTCCAAAACGAAGGGTGCTCGCAGCTTTATTGATATGTTGGTCACGGTCGTCGCACGCAATACTCACCTTCTGGAATTTCATCACCTCGAGCCCGTCCCGCCTCATATACTCCTTCTCATCTGGGTGGAAATGGTTAATGATTACAAGTAAGCATTTCAGCTCTTATTATGCCCACTTCTCGCTAATTTTGTATTTGTTAGGCGAATGCCACTGCACTCGTTCATGATCCTCTCCGGGCTCCTCAGCTACCACCAGCGGACGAGCGAGGGAAAGTGGGATTTGCCCAAAGACGTCTACAAGTTTCATCAGACTTTGAAGCTCGCAGGTAGCCCGTTTAGCAATTTCACGAAGCCGCTCATGAGTAAACCTTTCGACTTCATCGTCCACCTTACTCTTGCCGGTAATGAAGTCTGCTTCGAGAACCACGAACTCTTGTCGTTGACGAAGCTCAAGAACCTTGGCGTGCTCGAGATCGTACAGCCACGTCCTCTGCAGGATGCATCCAATTTCCCTCGAGTTAATGACTCTGTCCTCAGACAGTGGGCTATCACCAAGGATGCCTTCCCCCTCCTCCGCGTCTTGAGAATTTGGGGCGACTATTTTACCACTCGTCGCACTCTTAGTTATCTGGACAGATTCCCTTCTCTTCGTGTCTACGACGTCGCCGGCCTGAAGAACGATTGGCGGGATGCCGCCGCTGGTCCCTCGTGGAAGATGATGTCCTATCAATGGGGTTGGACTCTGCTTGAATCAATCTCCGAGATCATCGAATCGCTCTCTACGTCGTCAATTTACGGAGATACCAGCAAGGCTTACAGTCTTATGGCATATTGGGACTCCGGTGTCGATAACGACCTGCTTCGCGAGTTGGAACTCTTCTCAGCCGTCGTCGAAAGGATTGTTGATGACGAAGAGGCTGCCCGTCTAAGGGAAAGCATATTGCCTGACAAATATCAGACCTATGACTTTAATTATTATCTCAAGCAGGGAAAAGCCGGTGATCGAACTGGACGCTGGGTTTGGGGATATATGCTTTACTGTCACATCGGTCGATTGACTGGAAACAAGGATCTGGTGGAGCAAGGTATGCACGATCCCCGAGAGTCCTTTGTTATCGACGACAACCTCATCCCGCCGCGACCCTACATCGAGCTTAACATAGGGGACTTCGAGGACACGGACAAGCGTGGCAAGTTCCAGTCTCATTGCACCTTTACGCGAGCGATCGAACAGCCGTCGAAGAAGAGACCGGCTTCCCCTGCCGATCCCACTCCTTCTCCAGCTCCTAAAAAACCGAGTCATCCAGGTCCTCCACGAAAATTGACTAAGAAGCAGAGATTCTTTGACCTGAGTGACCTTTAGGAACTTTTCATGTTTGAAGAGAGACCTCAAATGAACTTATTTTCCTCCCTTTTCTTACCCATTCTTCTCCTTTTCATCTGTATTTTCCCAACTGCATACAGATGAATCGCGAGTTGCACAGGGGGATAACATTTGATCAGTCGCCTCTTTTCATAAAGGTGAGGTGGACTGGGATAGCCTTGGTCTACCTAACATGGAGCACACTGATTCTACCACGCAAGGAAGTTTATGATCTTCAGTTGGGTCCCTTTTTCCAACTAGGATACTCGGTATTGATCAGTCAAACGAGCTATGGCAATGAAGCCAGCACGGAACTGTAACACATCCCACTCTAATCTACTAGGTAGGCCCCCAGAGCATTGGGATTTAAAATGCCCATGTTTCAGAGCTATTAAGCACAGCTTTCGAAGCAAGACCATGGAAATCTGTCGGTAAGCCAATCCCAACCACCCTTCATGAACCAATAGCTAACACGATGTGTAGATAATGGTACGAATCCTGAATACCAGTAGCACGAATTTGGTACAATCTTACAGGCGTATTAATCGACACGAATCCGTAGACGGATATGCAAATTCGTCAATATTGTCAGCAAAGGCGAGCATTTCAACTGGCATTTCTCTCGCCAAGTGCTGCAATCCGGCTCGTCACTAGGATCACATTAGGTAGCTTGGGATTAATGCAAAATAATGGAAATGATGAAACCGAGCAAATTTGACGTGATTGCTAGCCATCTTGTAGTTCTCCACCCCTGACTCTCTACTTAACCTCCGTCGCCCACAGGCCAGGTAACCTCTTGAAGTGTCAAGATCCTTACGACATTCACGATACCGATTCCAAATCTCTTGTTAGGGAATTTCTTCGACTTCACCAGAAGCTCTACAGCAACAACTCTTACACGGGATAGAGTCAGCTTTTAGTACCTATCTACCTAACCCAATGGCAATTAACTGAGTTTATGCTGACTCCATCTATATCCAAGTGCTTACCTACATTATCCATATAAAATGACGCGATCTTCTCCCCCAATGTTGCAATCGAGAACTTCAGTCAACGCTGTACTTCCTATTTCTTGTCAAAGCCTAGGCGTTTGAAGATGAAAAAGTGGAATCCCTTTTCGTGATAAATACTATATATTACCATTTATATGCTTGTAAACCTATATACATGTTTAATATCCCAAATAAGACCTCGATTTCCATATCGTCACGCTTTTATCTTTTCGATGTGCTCGTCTCATAACTCATAGTGTCATCTCCCCTTTTCATCATCATCATCTTCATCTTTATCTTCATCATCTTCATCTTTATCTTCATCATCTTCATCTTTATCTTCATCATCTTCATCTTTATCTTCATCACCCTCCACATTCTGACATTACATAGCACTCACACGTATCAATCTCCCATACTCACCATCCACCCCTTTTCTAGGTAGGTCTTAGTAAACTCCCAGAATGCACAGCCCCTAAATCTTGACCTTCCACCCCTGCCCCGTCTTTCTCATCCTCACCACCCTCGCCGCGATCAAGAACCCCATGCCAACAATCAAACACGCGCCCGTAAACCCCTGCGCACCATAGTACTTCCCATCCATCGCACCAATAATCGCGCCCGCAATCGGATTCCCGGTTAGCACCGCAAAACTCACAATCGTGAACACCATCCCCATCCGCGTCCCCTGCTTCCGCAGGTCCGTCGTCAGACTACTCAAACCAGCCGGAAACAAGCTCTGCAGCGACCCGGCAGCAATCCCATAAATAGACGTCCAGCCATACAGCTGCGCCGGCGTCCGCACCGCCATCCACGCGAGCAAGCACACGCCGCACGCGAAGCACGTCGGAATCATCATATTCAGCGGCCCGACCTTATCCGCCAAATGGTTCGGCAAGAGGCGTCCCACGATCCCTATACCGTTCAAGATCAGCACCAGGTTGAGGGACTCGGTGTAGCTCAGGCTGGGAGTCATGAGGAGGGCCGACCGGCTGAAGGCGGCGAGGTAGTAGAAGGCGAAGTAGACGCCCCAGAAGTTGAAGAAGATGGCGGCCGCGTAGAAGGCGTACTCGAGCTCGCGGAAGGCGGGCCACTCGACGAGGGAGCCGGCGCGACGCGGCGGCAGCCGCGACTTCATGAAGAAGATGGCGAAGCCTAGCGTCGCGAGCTGCACGAACCCGATGGCGCGGACGGCCCAGCCGAAGCCCACGGAGGGCAGCAGCTGGCGCGCCATGGCCGGGAAGATCAGGCCGCCGGACACGGAGCCGCAGGCCGCTATGCCGATCGCGAGGGACCGCTTCTTGCTGAAGTAGGTCGCGACGGTGCTGATGGCCGGGCAGAAGATGAAGCCCGACCCGAGGCCCATGCATAGGCCCTGCGAGAGGAGCAGGTGCCAGTACTGCGTCGCCGCGGACGTCGTGAAGATGCCGACCGTCATGAACACGGTGCCTATGATGAGGACCGGGCGGAAGAAACCCGCGTCCGTCATGCGCCCCGTGAAGGTCCCGATGAAGAAGGTCAGGAAGACTTGGATCGAGCCGATCCACGATATGTCCGACTGGGCCCGGCCCAGGGTCGAGACGTAGTAGGTTTGGAAGACGCCGAAGGAGTTTATGAAGCCCCACGTGTTCATTATGGCTAAATGCCCGCAGAGACCTGAATTTTTGGTCGTTAGTAAGCGCTAACACGCGATAGTGGTTTGAAGGTTAGTGAGTGGGTGAGAAAAGGAGAACTTACAGGCTAGCCAAGCAACTCGGCCTCCGTCCGGTGGTGGCCCGGGGTTCCAGCTCGATTTCGTCGATATCCGACTCAGCACTCGGTTTAATGTCCCGGTCACGCCATCGGCTTCCGTGTCGAGGGCAGGCTCAGTTGGTATCTGCCAATCCTCTGTCGTCTCTGCGGGACTGTCACCGTCTTGCTCATTATCATTCTGTCGACTCGGACAGCCCTTCTCACATTGACTGTGAGGATGAACATGGTCATCTTGTTTCTCTATGTCTATTGGGAGCTCGCTGTCGCCATCGCTAGACGAGGTAGAAGGCGGCATTGTCTTGGGAACCCGAATGGTTTGCCAATTGACCAATGAAGCGGTATTCACTTGAATTCGGTTATTGGTACCTTTCTTTGTTGTTCAAGGTCCAAAATATAAACAATAACTGTTTTTTCTAATTAGTCAAAATTTCCAGATGAGTCAAATCCAGATCAGACCCGCAAGCCGTCCTCGGATGTTTATCAAGTAGTTCAAGCGGTTTCTTCTTATAAGCTTTGTTAGCTCTTATCCACAACAAGCATGAGAGGAACGGGAGCTAATTATAGGTGAGTCAAAGAGACGTCAAAATCTTGCGACGACTGGGTCAATAGGTCTGGCGAAGGCAAAAGAAAAAAAAGTCTCGTTACATTTACATATTACATTTCTGCTCCCTGGCCTATGATATCTGTCGCCTATTGGGCAATCCGCAGCTCGAGTGGAAACTTACCTACCTAGGCAATATAGATCCAATGGTTATAAAGCGGGGCAAGACGATGTGTTTGTCAGTGTATAATATATTGATTGTAGACAATAGGGCGTAAGTATGGCAGTCCGTGTACAACCTATAGAAACCAACCATCGCTTCTCGTCATATTGGCCGGTGTGGAAAATGCGGGAAGGCGAAAAGTAAGCTCTAGTATTATCACCGGTCACTTCGCCCTTGGCTCACATCCAAATGTCTTAGCTTCAGATCATAGATATTTAAATCTGTATTCCGGGGATTCTTTCATCCTGAGTCAACATGTTTTGTCAGCGACAGAGCTTCCTTCGCCGCTCTATATAACTGTGTTCTTATTTGCGCGGAATGACCAATGGAGATAATCCTACACCCATCTACTAACGGTACGTTATTCCCGAAACCTCCTTACAGGCACAGGGTGCGGGCGCCCCACACCTGGTTCAGCGATACTTGACAAGGAGATTGATGAATGGACTAGGTATGGATGGTTAGAGGCTCAAAAATATCCCCAGGTACTTACCCAGGCGCATATAAAATGTTGAACTCAGGCTGTACCTAGACTTATGTGCGCTTTGCTGATAAATGCCTTTATAGATATTGGCTTTCTCCGATATCGCTAGAATTCGGTTATTCGGTCCATGCTCACTACCTAGATAGGTCTCCCGATCTCCTATCTTTCGTTCAAGGTGGATCGCTTGCCATTTGGTCAGATGTGTATACGTTGACATGTCATGAGAATGAAACACAATTAAGACTTTGATTCTCTCTGTAGGCAAATATGTCTAGTGACATTTCTACGATCTCTTGTAGTTAATTAAGTCGTAATGGTACATTAGCACAGTCGATCGACCAAAATCGCCATCATGTTGGACTTCATCTCTTCAATCTCCTCCCATATACCTATTATCCCGTAGACAGAGGCAATAACCCCTTCTATAATGGGCCCCCTATTACATCTCAAGCAAACTTCCTGACAAGGAGCAAATTAGGTCAGATACTCAGCAACGTGATTCCTACCTACGGCATGCTGGCGCTGTAGTTCAACCACGGAACAATGCAAAATCCAATGGTCTCGATATCACCCGTCGGATGCTAGAAGTCCCATCACGCTTGCGAACAGAGTCGCGCACCTTAGACCGGCACACAGCCTTCTCGCACTGGTTGTCGGACCATCCGAGAGCGAGGTCGTCTGCCCACCAAGTCTTGGGCTTGCCATCCACCTTCAGGCTGATCATGACTGATGTCAATTGCTCGAAACCAGTGAACTCGATTGGGAGAAGCTTGCAGTGGCTCATCGAAGGGCACGCGGGGACTTCAATTGTCAGCCAGACCACTTCCGTCTCCTTCTGGACCTGTTCATCGTAACGCATTCCCGTGAAATTGAAGGAACATGGTGAATCCGTGGAGTTGCACCCGAGGCTGAAGCCGTTGAAGTTGAAAGGGAAACAATCTGAGGACGTCTGGGGCCCGACGCTGATCTGTGCTGGCGCATCAGGACCAGACATGTTCGACAGAGACGGGGGTGTAAACTGAATCATCAGCTTGCCGGAGGAAGGGTCATAGGGTGCGGGGGGTGGAGGAAGAACAGCAAATCCCGAAGAGAAGTAGAATCGGTGGTATGGGCTGAATAAGGGCATCGGTCCAACATTGGGGTCTGATCCAGATCCGAGAGGTGGAAGGTCATCGAACTAGCGATAATGTCAGCTGCCGTAAGGGAAGTCTTATTGGTATGAGCTTCGATACTTACGGTAAACGTGAAATCACCCACATCGGCTCGGTTGCCGCAAGCAGATGGCGAGGGACTCTCGCTGTTGGTGGACGATTGAGATCGAGAAACTGAGCTGGATGATCGCAAGACAGTCGACCAGGTGGATGGACCAGGTAACTCGACGTTGTCTCGAGCAGAGAAAGCATATTCTCCAGAAGGAGTTGATGTGGCGTCCGGTCCCGTTCCACCTGTCGCGACTTGAGCACACCATGAAAACGTTCTCGAAGCCATAGTCAGCGTGGTCATTGATAAACATCCTACAGTACCGGTCGGGTATTGAGTCGCAACCTCAGTAGGTGTCTCTGCCGGTGCTTGCGAAACAGGTGGTGGCAGACTGGGCATGGGTGGAAGAGAGACCGAAGGTTCAGTGGGAGTTGCATTCCATCCACTGCTTGGCACGCCGCCAGTTGGTAGAGCTCCTGACTGATCGCATGGAGTTGAGCCGCTTTGGAGCTGAGCCACTACATGACACAAGAGTTAGTTGTACTATCTCACAAATGGACAATGGACATAACCTTACCTGTTGCAGTCGGGGTTACTAAAGGAATAGTCACTGTATGTGTCGGTAGACCTTGTCCAGCGCCAGCGCCAGCTCCGGATTGAGGTGTTGGATGGCTACCCCCATATCCACCAGCTGGGGGAGAGTCAGTAAGAATTCCCGCGCCAGAACCACTGCCTTGACCTTGGCCAGCGCCAGAACCAGAGCCAGATCCTTGACCAGATCCTGCGCCAGAACCAGAGCCGACGGATTGCTGTCCGGCAGGGTTTCCTCCGTAGCCACCTGGAGTGGCGGCACCTTGCCCAGCGCCGTTAGGCGACGAGAGACCTTGCCCTCCTGCACCGCCGTTGGGTCCTGCCGATGCGCCCTGAGGGATGTACACGGTGACAGTTGGCTCGAAGGCACCACCTCCATTGTTGCCTCCATTGTTGGGTCCGCTACCCCCGTTGTTGGGCCCGCTGCCCCCGTTGTTGGGCCCATTGCCACCATTGTTACCTCCATTGCCACCGTTATTGCCTCCATTGCCTCCGTTGTTACCTCCTTGTCCCCCAGGATTTCCCGAACCTGTCGCGGTAGCCAGCGGTGACGAAAAGCCAGCTCCATTGCCGCCGCCATTGGGTCCCTCTGGGATTCCGGGAGCCGACACGGTGTGCGTTGGCAGCTGACCTCCTCCGTTGCCCCCATTGCCGTTGCCCCCATTGCCGTTGCCATTGGGGTCGCTATTGGGGTTGCCATTGGGGTTTCCATTGGGACCTCCGTTACCACCGTTGCCGCCTCCGTTGCTTCCAGGTACTCCAGACGGGTTTCCGAGAACAGTGATGGTGACCGCTGTTGGCGAGAAACCGCTACCTCCGTTGGCCCCGCCTGGTCCATTGTTGGCGCCGGTGACAGTGACGGTACCCGGATATGAGCCTGAGCCTGAGCCTGATCCACTCTCCGGGCATGGAGTTGCGCCCTGACCCTGCGAGCCTCCGGGGTTGCCCGCTGATTGACCTGGTCCTGCCACCGTGACAGTCTGAGGAACACCCTGACCACCTGCACCACCTGGCCCACCTGAGACGTTTGAAGGACCTGAGTTGTTAGCGTGGTATTCTGGCTAAATAGTGAATGATACTCTTACCTCCTGCTCCCCCAGCACCTCCCGGTCCGGCGCCATTGCCTGCCGACTGTCCTGGTGCTGTCACAGTCACGGTGTGAGGGATACCTTGTCCACCGGGGCCTCCGGCTCCTCCAGGTCCGCCTGCAGAGTCGCTTGGGTATGCGCCTGGTGCCGTAAAAGTGATCGTCTCGGGGGCGCCGGGAGTAAGGCCAGTGCCGGTGACTGTCAGGACAAGGGTAGTAGGTTCCTCTGGGCATGGCGAACTGTTGGGGTTGTTGTTCGGGTTGTTTGGTGACCCTCCTGGTGCTGTTAGAGTGACGGTATAGATGGGACTGTTACTCGCCGAACCTCCTGGGCTTCCATTCCCAGAACCGCCAGGACCTCCACTTCCGGAACCTCCATTTCCAGGACCACCATTACCAGAACCCCCACTACCAGGACCTCCGTTGCCAGAACCTCCAGAGCTACCAGCAGGGTTGCTTGCAGACCCCTGTGGCGCCGTCACGGTGATTGTCTGAGGGACACTCTGGGCGCCAGCACCTCCAGCACCGCTTCCAGGATTGCTGCCGACCCCGCTTCCCTCTGGGCATGGCGAAGATTCGGGATTGCCGGATGACCCCCCTGGAGCTGTCACAGTGATCGTTTGAGGGTTGCCTTGTCCACCAGCGCCCCCGTTCCCAGGAGATCCGTTGCCAGGGGATCCATTGCCAGGTGAACCGTTGCCAGGACTTCCATTGCCGGGATTTCCATTGTCAGGATCTCCAGGATTCCCAGAACCCCCGGGACCTCCAGAGCTGCCGGCGGGGTTGCTTGGTAATCCGTTCGGTGCAGTCACAGTGATGGTTTGAAGCCCGGTCTGACTACCTGGATTACCTGGACTTCCAGCACCTCCGGGTCCAGAGCCCCCTGATCCTCCTGGTCCAGTCGCAGCTGGTGCAGTCAATGTGATCGTTTGAGGGACACTCTGCCCGCCTGGGCCTCCTTGGCCAGCGCCTCCGGGACCGCTACCGGCTTGTGATGGTGCAGGCCAAACAGTGACTTCGGAAATTCCTTGGCCACCTGGACCACCTTGCGATCCTGAGCCACCGGGAATACTAGTAGATTCACAGGGAGTAGTAGTACCGGCTGTCTGTGGGTTCCCTGCGCCACCTGGTCCACCATTTGAACCACCGTTTGGTCCGCCGTTTGAGCCACCATTGGGTCCACCGTTTGAACCGCCGTTGGGTCCACCATTCGATCCTCCGTTAGGTCCGCCGCCCTGTGAACCCGAACCTGAACCTGCAGAACCTCCTGAAGTCCCCGAGGGCCACACAACAACAATGGTCTCAGAGCTTCCTGGCTCATTTTGCCCACCTTGGCCGGTCCCAGCACCACTTGGCGACGTTCCAGGAGCTGTGATTGTCATGGTACCAAAGGGAGAATTTCCTCCATTGCCTGCATTGCCTCCTGCATTGCCTCCAGCTGGGACAGTCTCAGTCTCGGGGTATTGGCTGGGTGAAGAGGAGATACCAAACGGACCTGGACCGGGGTAACTAGCTGAGACACCTGTAGGTTGGCTACCTTGGCCTCCAGCGCCACCATTGCCCGGACCATTGGCAGATGATGGCCAACCGTTGTTAGGGCTCACGATGGTGTATGTGAAAAGAGCAGTTGAAGAGCCGGGATCACCAGCAGGAGGAAGAGTGATAGTGAGGAAATCAGTGGACCAGGGAACATTACCAGAAGATACAGTGCTGCATGGGATAGTGAGTGTCCTAGATGGTTTCCACGCGACCGGTGATGTAGTAGGCTGGAAAGCACCGGAACTTGAACCAAAGCCACCAGGGACACCTTGGCCGGATCCGCCACCTTGGCCAGATCCTGGAGCAACGGTAGAAACAACAGTAGAAATGACAGTAGAGACAACAGTGGGCAAAACAGCTGGGGTGATAGTGACAGAGACAGTAGTAGTCTCGTGAAGAGGGCAGGTTTCGGCTCCATTCCCACCTCCATTCCCGCCTCCGTTGCCGTTACCGTTGCCGTTTCCACTTCCGCTTCCGCTTCCAGCGGTTGAATGTCTGACAGGACATGTCAGTGTTGCCAAAGAGAGACAAAAAGGATAGGGAGTTGATTGAACTCCTCAATTAGCCTAAAAATCAATCACTCACCCGTTGCCGTACTGTTGGGCCATGGTAGATCCCACGAGCCCAAGGGCCCCTAGGACGCCCGGAAGGGCGTTGACTCGCATCGTTGGTATAACCTGCAGTCCAGATTATGCTGACTAGGTGGGTGTAATAGCGGCTAATGAATGACAATAGTTGGTAGAAACAAGGTGATGAGAGAAGGTAGAGAAAGATTAGAAGAAGATGAGAAAACAAGAGATTGAGAGAATTGGGATGAGAGTATGAGACTGGAGGGAAAATTTTCTCTGAAACACTGCTTCTGTTGTGCCTTCCTGCTCAACATCGAATGAGTTTTCGTTTGTGCGTGGTAATGGGATGGAAGGCACCGAGGAGTTTAGGGTTTACATCGTGTAAATGATCATAGCATATAGTATACTTGACAAGGTAGTTACGACGCTTCAAGACCGAATATTCTGTCATCGTACATGTTCAATGAGTTTGTTTTCCTCTACTCCTTCCCCCATGTTTATCCAACTACTGCGCGCAAGAGCACTTGAGGTAGTACTTGTAGGAATAGGATCTCGATGGTTGGCGGAAACCCGCAGGTACTCCCATGTAGAAATCATGATTAAATCCGAAGCCATATATTGCAATTGGGGATCTTGAGCGTATTTCGAGTTGTGCTATGCGAGCGGCTCCTATACCATGTTGTTATCTCCTACAGGTATGAGGTCCCCAAAGCAGATAGACCACTTTCTGTTAGTACCTTCCTAGATATAGTCACATAGACGACAGGAGCGGATATAAAATGGAGCATAAGAGGTAAGTACGGGTGAGTGCTTTTGTAAGTAGCACCTCAAGCTCACGTTTGTGTCGTACGACTATGACGTGGAGAGAACGGCTGGCACTTACCAGAATATAGGTGGACTGGAGAGATGCTTCTTTTTGGCAGAAACTTTATGATCAAAGTATGATCCCATTCATGTTGTGCTCGTTCAATGTTACTTCCCATCCTTGGGATCTCTTGTTTGACAACACGTCAATGAACCTTGAAGCCTTCGAGTCGATGCTGCTGATTTTTGGTACCTGACTCAGGTGCTTCGTGAACAGAAAGAGGAAGGGGAGAGGAGCTAAAATAAGAGCTTCTACTAGGAGATAGCTCCGCCCCTGATCAAGCTGTTAGGTTATATGAACGAATATATGGATGATGCAATAAATGAGGCAGAAATCCCAGATAACACCACATCTTATCACGTCCCTAATTGTTCTCTAGATCAACTGATGCATATGAATTGCTTCTCCCGTTTGCTCGGCTACATACCTAGAATACGTTGATGTATACATAAACATAAGTGGAATTCCCCATAGTTCCAGGTGTAGATCGTCGTATCAATACTCTTGAATAGGAACTTGCTCTGAATGCATATGGCGGAACATTGAATCATCTCTCATTATGTTGTCCAGGAAGATATCGTTATCAATGTAGTTCTATGGCGTCAGGGAGGAAAGCAAGAAGGTAGACTCGAACGGAGGTTGAATGTCTGCTAAAAATACCAAACACGTGCCATACTTCAATACTCTCTGATCCAGATCTTCAGTATCCAAAAATTGAACTTGAGTACGTAATTCATCAATCGTCAATTCAGCCCGGTGTTACATAATCATACGGGATTATCCACGTATGGTGGCGGAGGCTCATCAGGGTCATGTTCCTGCGGATTGACTGGAGTGGCAGTAGGAAGAGATAGTCCCCTCGCCTGCTTTTCGAGCTTAACCGTCCATAACGCAGCGCCCGTCGTTGAAGTTAGCAGAAAGAAGAGAGACAGGATGGGCACAAGCTCGAGCAACATCGCTATGGTGCCAAACCAGGTGTATTCCCACATCCTACTTCTAATCTCGTTCTTGCGCTCCTTTTTCGTCAAACCCCTCAGATCGAACCACCTGTAGTGCGCAAATGTTCCCAACCGAGCACCGGTAATTATGATGAAGGCGGGAGTCCCAACGTAGGGGATCAGGTTGAGAGGCAAAAACACGATTAGCTCGACGATCTGGACTAAACTCCACGGTTGATACACGGCAGCGCTAGTCGGCTTGCCGAGCTTCTTGACAGAGTTGGCTGCGTCTGGGAACAGGAGTCGGTGCGGCGCAACGAGGCTTTCGAGGCCATTATCCAAGAGGGTCGCCTAGTAGGTAAACGTTAGTATTTAGTTTACGATCGAATATTTGTATAAGTTTGACTAACATCGAAGACATCCACGCGGCATTCATCAACAAAGAAGCCCTCGAACAAGCCTTGGATAATGACGAGACCTTCGCCTAGAACTAAAACCACCGCGTTTATCCACGCGCCCCAGCCATGAAATAGAGCTAAGAACGCATATTGAGGCAGAAATGCGAAGGTGAAGAGGATGACGTAAACTAGGAACGAGATGATGGAGAGCGGAATTAGTCGACTGGCGAATAGAGGATAATATGCCGGATGGCGTAAATAGTAATAGATGCCCCGTAAAGGATACGAGGCTGCGATTAACGCTCGTGATACATAGGATACAGGCCGTTCTAACGGTCGCATAAGTCTGGGAAGGCGATTTTGAGAGTCCATATCATCGTTGATTGAAGTTAGGAAGCGTGAATGAGGTGGTTGCCTAGATACGTGGAGAGTTGTCGGCTCTCATATCCACGGGTCCTTGAGAAATGTAGTAAGCTGGCGCTGCGGGACGATAGTGATCTTATCGATAACAAGCCCAGCAAACGCTTCCGCACTGACCCACTTTACTAATGCAGGTACATGCTACATTGATCTACCTCAGCTCCTCAACGACGTGTCTACGAGATGACGAGTTCACGTATCTTGAGTCTCATATTATGCAAGTCAGATTGGAGAAGCCATTAAGTTGTTAAGGCACAGCAATCCTATAAGCGAAGCCTCACGTATACAGAGTTGGATGTATCTACCCTCAATAGAACTCAAGCCTCTTGCGCCCGCGCAATCCGCCCTCCGAAACGCCACATTGACTCCCCCAACCCACTCATATCCTTCGTCGTCATGTCATCAAGTCATCAATGTCGCGCTCGCAATATAGTCGGATACCAGATACCTTGACGCCTTGCTAAAGATGATGATACGAAATCTATGTAGTTGCGCACGGCAACTCAATCCGGTAAAATTGACTGAGGGTTCGCGAAAAGATTGTCGGGATCCCACTTCTTCTTCAGCTTCCAAAGGATCTTGCTCGTGTCCCCAAAGTACAGCTTGTGGGCTTCCTCTCGGGTCAGGCTAGGGTCGGTGTAGTTCGAGTACGCGCCGCATTTCTTGAGGTTCGACGTAATGGAGTCAGCAAGCCCTTGGATGAACTCGATACCCTCCTGCGGGAACACTATGTCATTGTTGACGAAGCCGTGTAGCTGGATGACCCAGCATGCATCTCGATGCGCGAATGCGGAGAAGTCAATATCCTTCTTATTGATCTGACTATCATTGCCGCCGTACAAGTCGAACAGGATAAAATAACCGATGGGGGCACGCGATCCTTCATTGAAGAGGAACTCGAAGAAGCTCTGCATCGCCTTTAAAGTGAACCCTGGCTCAGGCACCACGACACTCTTGGCGAAGAAGTTGACATGTTCTCGGTACACAACCGATTCGTCAGTTACAATGTCTTGTCCTTGATTGAAACTTTTGATCGACGCAAGCCAATCGTACTCCGTAACCAGCGATCTCTTTTCCTCTGGGATTTTGCCCATCAGCGCCGGCAGGATCTCGTTCTCCAAGGTTTCACGGGGTCCCAAATAGGTTCCATCCACTGAGAAGTGGTCCCAGGAAAGGGATATCTGTAGTCCCAACTGGCGGTCGACCACGGAAGCATCGTGAACAAACTTCTGAATATGCCTAAACGCGTTCACGGCGCTCTTAATGCTCTTTGTCACATCATTAATGTTGACTGCCCAGTGTAGAACGGATTCCGGTGCTGGTACCGGGTCGAGATAGAACGACTTGACTATTCCGAACGAGTCACCTGCGCCTCTCATAGCCTTATTTGGGGGGTCTACTGTTAGCAAAGATATTCCATCTAAAGTACCGATTCAGTAGATTTGGGAAACCTACGTAAAATAGGTCTCCATTCTCATTCTGGTCACAGAAGATGCACTTGCCGTCCGCCGTGATCACCTTCATCCCCTCGATACGGTCCATCGCAAGACCCCAAGCACGCGAGAACATGCCAAATCCGCCATGTGTGAGATGACCGCCTAAACCGACTCCCGCGCAAGTGCCATGGGGGAGAGCTCGCTTCTGGTCGAAGTCCTCGTAGATGGCCTTAGCTATATTGCCGATCCGCACACCGGTGTCAACTACGACTGGGTCACCTCCAGTGTCTTTGTACTGGAATCGTCTCATGTCCATCACCATCGCGCCGTCTACTCCTCCGATACTATGGGAGGCGTACGAGTGTCCACCGGACCGCGCTTGGACTTTGAGTCCATGTTCGCGCGCACAGGCAAGGGCGCTCTCGATTTGCCATAGGGCTTGAGGGATAACGATGACTGCAGGTGTAAAAGGAAGGCGGATATTGTAGGGTGTGGAATACTCGGCCCAGTCGGGGTCAAAAGCGCTCTTGAAAGGAACACCTGTATCTGTGAGCTGTTTCAACACAGATACAAGGTCAACAGATGCCATCCTAGGAGCTTCTACACGGTCCATCTAATTGATCAAAAGCAAGTTTGGTGAACAAAGATTGTGATGGAGTGAGTTTGGCCAAAGATGAAGTTTGTCAATGCATGAGAAAAATATCACGGTTGAGAGTAAAGGAAAACCGGCTGGGTATGCGTGAATTCTAGTTGCCATTTTGTCGCCTTTTCCGTCTGATAAACATGAGTCACGTTGATCGTAGTAGGGCCAATGCTTTTGTCACTGGGTTGAGACCTAGCAAACGTCCTTTCATGAACTAAAGGAACGGGCTAGGTAGGTGCCAAACAATATCAATAGACCCGTCTATTGTATGTAATCAGCAACTCGATGCCGACGACTCAAGGTAGGCACACTCCATTTAGGGGTTAATAGGTGACTTCTCATTGGCCCATATCGGAATATTTGGTTAATTGATACTAACAATTCAATAGATGTGGATATCTATGTGGATAGATGCTATGAGACGGAAGAGAAGAGGTGTAAGTAGGTAAGCATTTTAAGCATGTGTGGGTATCTCTCGCCTATCTTGGTGAAATGATGATGGGTAATACAAATTTCAAAGCGCGCCTTCCGATGGAGTAGATCGCTTCGTACGAGGGAACATTATCTCTTGAAAAGGAAACACGTAGGTATGTATTAATTGTTAATTTGAAGTTACCTTATAGACACGTTTGGATTAAACTACCTAGTAGTTACCTTATCCCACCCTACTTACTTCCTGTATTTGCCTCTAATTTACCTTCGACTCACATACCGACCAATTGACGAACCCTCTAATTCGGTAGGTATAACCATAACTCCTGTATAGGTACTTTGCGTGGTTCAGGAATGGGATGCGACTCTTTAGGTAATGATATGATTGTTGCAGCCTCATATCTTCTATCCTTGTTCCCTTGAACGTGATAGCTCTGGGAATTTAAATGACTGTTATATTTCCTCCCCTTGGGTTATTTTGCTACCAAGTTAACGAAGGTATCTCCTTCCCGTGTACGTTCCCATAGTGACAAAGACATTATCACCGGCACAGTTCGGTTCACCACCCAGACCAATAATTGATTTTCCTCCAGCAACTTCTCATGTTTCCATCTCTCTAATCTTGGAGTATGGGCATCCATTGTTCATTCGCCCGTGCTTCAATTCTATGAAATGTCTCGCGTTATATCGCCTCATCATCCAATACGAAACCCCACCAACGAGGACACCGCCAGTCAGGATTACGGTGATGACTATGAGAATCCACCGGTTTTTCCAAGCAGTACATAGCAAATCAAGTTATTATCGGTATATCCATACTTCTCCCTTTCTCTTTTCTTATTAAAAAAGCTATTTCAGGCTATGATTATGAATTCCTCCATTGAGTATCCTTCATTGAGTATGAAGACTCTAGAATTGAACCTAGGACGATTAAGATTTCCTACAGCAAAGTACAAACAGAGTTGCACCTCCCAGGGATTCCACTTAGGTAACAGCGACCCGACAATCTGGAGATTGAAGCTCACCATCGGCTGGGTAAGGATGCTTCATCGGGGGGAAAGACATATTAAATGTTGACGACCCCATCTTTGATTTCATAGCTACTACTAACGCACTAAAATACCATGAACTCTCGCCTATGCTGTCTAAGCTTTCGTGTTCAGCCAGGCCTATACCTCCAAGTGCGTAAGACGTCTCAAACAGCCATATTATCATATATCACTGAAACAATGGAGACAGAAGAGAAGGACGTCATATCGATAGCGCCAAGGGCGAGTATTCACTGCTTCGTGGTGTCGCTGTTCTTCATTTATTCGCTTTCTTCATTTCCACCCCACTCCTCCTCGTCGTCATCACTCTCTTCATCCGAGTTTTCTATACCAAGACGTGATAGATTAGAGCTTGCCTGGCGGATTATAGTATCCGCGATCACTACAACAGCTGCCGTATTCGGCTTCTCTTCACCCTCTTCCTCATCAATACCGTGTTCCATTATCGAGGAACTCGAAATGCTCTCGATGTCCTGCCCAAGATGCTCCACGAAACCTAACAACTGGTCTCTTTTGATATATCTACCTCTCGTTCCCCAGTATCTATTGCCAAGTTCTACTTCCTTATCTACCCCAATTCCTCTCGTGGCTTTATTGCGGTAGGATGAATTTACTACCGAGTTGAGAAAGGCCCACCACATATAGCGGGCGCCAGGGCGGAAGTCCGTAATGAACTTCAGGCGTCGGCCGTCTAAGTCTTCGACCGATTTGATATTGTAGACTTGTGGGTATTTCAACACACCCCGTATCCTCTTCTCGAGCCCATTACGGTCAAGTATTATGACCTTATATTCCTTCGGATTCGTACTCTCCCATTCTTGGACGTATTTCCGCCTCGTCTCCAGGTCAGTGATGGGGTCCTCATTGGAGTCCGCCTCCAGACGAACGTCTGGCACGATCGCAATATATCCCAATTCGAGTATTTTCTCGATATCGGGGCACAAAAACAGGCCATTCATCGCCGTCATAATCTCGTCCTTGGCCCCTTTTCCAAAGATGATATCTATATGCTCAATCGATTTGGAGGGGTAAAGGTGCGCTGCGTGCACCCAGTCACTTCTCAGCCAAGCACCACAGACTGGCTCCCAGACAGAGTCTTCCTCCGGTTTCTCTGCGTGGTATTTCTCCATCATTTCAGCGCGCATTCGGCTTTGCGCTTGGTTATCCCTGGGACCGTACGAAGCCGCACCGAAAAATAGTTTGATCCACGACTCGAGGATCGGATGCTGTGTGGCTAAGCGGGCTGTCTGAGATTTAGCCGCTGACAGCTTCAGGTCTATTGCTCTCCGTTTCCGGCCGAGCTCAAAGCCAATATCCAGGGACCGTAGCCATTCATTATATGGGAGTTTCGAATTAGATCCCTTCTCGTGTTCTCTATACGTCAATATACTGTTGTATTCGTGCAACTCTTTCTCCATCTCTAGAACTTCAAGATGCGATGACCAATACTCTGAATCAAATGAAGAACGGGGCTTCAGATTCATTTTCCTCTTTTCTATTTGTAGACTGAGATCGGACTTCTTCGTGCTGAGCTTTTCAGTTGGCCAAGCTTCTAACGCACGCTTGCTGGAAGTTCGTGTGGGGATAGGTCCAGCAGGACCTGACAAGTTAGGCGACATCGGCGGGACTTCTTCGAAATCCATGGTGCTTTGATGTTGTGAAATCAAAAAGGTCAAATGCGCAGCTCTCTGAGACTCGATTGTTTATATTTACAGACTCCCACGAACGGCTTTTCCCTAGTGGATGTTTCTAGCTTTTTACTATACATTCCTGCCTTTGACAAAGTTTCGGCTTGCAGACGGTAACTCTTTCTTACGGGGTCTTGCCTGCTTTTAAGTTGATGATTTCGCAGAGGCTACCATTTCTTATCTCAGCGAGCTTAGACTGGAATAAGTTTGCGCCAAGCGGGCGTGCCATTGCCTTGAGTTTACGAAGGGTTATTGTGTCGTGATTGGTTATGTGGGAGTGGTTACGTGATCAAAGGGTTTAAGTAGAAACTTGCTCATGTTTTAGACGAGAGTTTAAACTTAAGAAATACAACATTATTTACTCCCTCCAACAGTTATCGTTGAAGAAGGGTTGAGCCATCGAAACTATAACCATCCATTAAATCATGATGTCTTTGAATCATATATCACGCTCACCGTATCCACTTTCAACCTGTGCACTTGTGCACGGAAAAGCGACCTATCATAAGGATGAAATGCTCCAGGACGCCCCCTCGGTTAGGGGGATATGATCGGCGGCCTTCAACAATTGGATATACTCAACTATATAACCAAGCTCTGTATACTTGGCGGAGGGCTGCGATGGCACCTGGGGAACGCGCGTAAGTTTATTAGGCACTTAATGCATGGAATATTTCTTGGAACGCAGGTAAGTAGGACGGCATATAATATAAATAAACTAGATATGTTCTAGAAAAGGCATAGGCTAGAATCCTAGCTACTCTTATCTATCACGCTTTGATAGGCCTGTCAGACTTACAATCGATCCAGAAGCCCCTGGGCAGCATCATCGATATTGCTTCCCCAGGTTTTGCTCGTGCACTGCCTACATGTCAGCGTCTGATTGATTACAGCAAGGCACTGCTTGACAACAATGACCAAGGGAAAGGTCGGGGATTTACCTGTAAGTATAAAACTCCGTCTTCGATGTCGCACTCGCAGTAGGAATTATACTTGAGCTTCTCAACAATCCTGAACGCGATCTCACCCTTATCCACAGCCTCATGGAAGCCCTCGCGCAGCAAATCATCCTGGTCAAACTTCTGGTATTTCAGCTGGTTGACCAACCCCTCCCAATAGAATCTGGTAAAGGATCCCAGGTTGCTCTCCCAATCGGATCGGAACTCGGTGTTCGCCTTGCTTTCCTGCTGTAATTTCTCGAATGTATCCTCAAAGTTGGGGTTCAGTTTGATGTCAGGCTTCTCTAGGATTTCTCCAATTTGCGCCCGAATTTCTTCAGCTCTGTTGTCGTACTCATCGCGGATACCCTTCCGCGCCGTAAAGCTCAACGTTGCCGCTTCTTCAGAGTTAGGTGCAGGAGCCTCGTTGAGAGCCTTGAGAAGGACATCGCGGCTAAGTGCGTCGTCGATGTTGGCACCTAGGCGACCCGGCGCGAATAAGATGCGCAGTTTGCCATCATGAACGTCTACGCCGCAATATGTGAAGCGTTTCTCGTCGTCTAAGTCCATTGTGATGACGTGGGCATGGCAGATGGAATTTAGCTCCTTCAAGCCTTCTTCACCAGCATTGCTCACATAGTCCTTGAGCTTGTCTGTCGCCCCATTGATATAGCTTACTAGAGTAAGCATAAAAGTCAAAATGGATGTCTTGGTCCAACACCTACCTAGAGATACAGTCGCCCAGAGATTCCTTCGCGTAACCCTCTTCAGCATAGGCGTATAGTTGGTTGGGATTGATTTCTATGGTCCAAGGGACAGTAAGAGTATCTGATAGCTGCTGCTCAAACCCTGACTTCTTATTATCCCATGCGTCACGAACTGTTTGTGTCAGCATCTATGCTTAGATGTTAAGATTTTTGACTCACTATTCTTGCGCAGAGCAAGGGGCAGCTTTTCAACGGGCGGTAGTCGAGACATCGTGAAGATGATATTAATATCTTAGGGAATCTTTGTGTAAATTGTGATAGAGACTTGAGGCTTGTATGAATGTGAAGACAACTTCAATTGGGGATTAAGATATCTTTAAGTATCCGACGAGTACGACATTCCATTGCCACTCCTTTTGCCCGTTATGGTAAACTACCACTAGTATAATCGATATTCAATTCGGAATTCGACTAGGCACCCGTTCAATTGAAGGAGTGCCTTGAGCTAACGCATACTAATGGTAGATAGTATAGAATCTTCGTCATCGCATGTCAACATTTTTGAACAAAAACTGCGGAACTTGTCAACCTTGCATTCAACCCTGAGGCTTTTAGGCGAACAACTTACCCAGGCGACTAGGGCTGGCTCCGATGCGGAAATGACTCCATCGTCTAAACGTCTCTAGTTGGTTAGCCAAGTGCGCTGTTAGCCTTCTACACTACAATAGCTCCTCGGTACTCAGCCGCAATCGTAACGTCTGAGTCTAAAGAGCAATACCAAAAGAGCGGCTACTTTCAACCGATGCTTGACTAGTACCATTTAAGGTAATTCCCTAGTAAGAAGGATCATGATATACTAGATGTAGGTAAATACATATGAATGAAAGAAGTTTTAAGATGCCTGGAGTGCAAAAGTGGGATGGCGATTAACCCCACTGGGATTTCAGCTAGGCTTGGCAACAGGGAAAATAGGGGGAGGGGTTACAGGTGGAGCCAAGCTTAAAGTTGCCGTATTGGGCGAGCGCCCTCGAATTTAATTGGCTGATACTTGCAATCTTCCGTCTGTGCCCAATCACAGCTTAGAACAATTCACTAGTGACAATCCATTCAGGGGCTGAGAATTACTCATAATCAACTGCTGCGAATTGCCTCGTGCACAGCCCCGACTGCAGGACAACATTACTTAATACGATGGATAATGAGCAACATAGGCAGTTATACTCTCCTCCGTATGTCGATGATAGATAAGATCACATTTCCTCAAGTTAGTAAGGGTCTGATATTAACACAAGGTTATCTTAAAAGTTTTGTTTCACAATGTCATCTCCAAGATTGTAAGAAGTTGTGCATGATTTCCACGTTGAAAACATCATATTCTAACTACATAGAAGGCCCCTTCGTGTAAGACACGGGATTCGAGAACATTGGGAAGATGCCAATACGCCCGTCCAGACGGCCCGGTCCGCTGTAAGGGAACTTCTCGGGATTGATGTTGCGATTGTGGTTACGTGGGAATTTCTTGCTATCGAGCTAGATGACGATTACCCAGATAAATCTACATTAGTCCCTTCAGTTGCTGCAGGTGTCCAGGCATTTCTCGGCGGACTACGAGAGATATTGGACGGCGAAGTCGATCCAGAATGGACCGATACTTTATTGGAGCGCTGTAATAGCTGCCTGAGGCTATTCATAGGGGTAAGGGGTAAAACGTATCCATAAAACGAAGGAAGAAATAGCTCTGACAAATTATGAAACTAGGTCTCGAGAGAAGCAGAAGTCCTTTGGTCCAGCAAAGAGGCAGGACTTCACGTTAAGCTTCCTATGGGTGTAATGCCACCACTAAATGAATTACAACCGCATTTCAAGACCAAGCTCCTACGATGTTTCGACGAGAGACAAATATCCATGGAGGACTGGGCAGACTTATCCGCAGAGGATGCGAACAACAATTCAGATCCCACAGAGCCACGTCAACCTGCCGAGGCATTTCCGGATATTAGCATTCTGCCGCGCCCAGACCAACTGCTCCTCAAACCGCCATATCACCTTGCTGTTTACAACGCGGGAAATGACAAAGTTGAGATACAGTGTAGTCACAGTCCGACTTTAGAATTATTAGCAGATTATCTGACGAAATGGTGTAAAACCATTCCTCAGCAAACGCCGCGTGTAAGTACTTCCTCGTCATCTCCCTATCAAGCTATGACCTATTTGAGACTTCATTGGTGACTAATTCGTGCAGCCACCTGCGGTAGCCATCAAGTTACACCAATCACCATTTGGTCTAGGACCTATTTACGACCGCTTGACGATGTCCGTCGGGGATCGAAACCCCCATTTCTTTGTGTCACCGATGATTGTCCTATCATTCATTGAAGGGGTCTTGGGCTATAAAAGCATGTCTGCCGATGGATTCTCTTGGACTTTTAGGAAAGACGTCGAGTTCCGCAAGCTTACTTATAAATCATAGGTAAGCAGCAATATCTATATATAGTACACCGGATCTATTCCTCTTAATCATAATTCAATTTCTTTCTACAGTACGTTTCCACCTATCCAGATGATCTAGAGCTTAGGAGACTTGCCATAATTCCCTGTCAGATGGAGATGCATATGAAATTATCATGTGAGGCCCGAATAAAAGACAAAGTGACATTATAGCTCTAGTGATAGGGTTTGTACGTTCTTTATAGAAGTCAACCAAAAAACACAATGAAAAGTTTAACAGACTACATTAGCCAATGTAGGTAGGTAGGTAACTGTCCAGGTTGGCCTCATAATTTCATTCAAGAGTGCAATCGCGTCTCCTGACCATGGTAAAATTCAGCAGGCCTCCCTTTCCAAACAAAAACAAAAACAAAAATAAAATCCTGCCAAAATTCAAACTCCTCTGCTAGATTCCACATGGCTTATCCTAACTGACCGCACGCGTTTCTTGTCTTCGTCTCCTACCGTCGAGATACTGTCGTTGTCGCTACGGGTGCGGGGCCGCGAAATTGGCAGTGTCCCCATATTTACGAGTGGGCGAAAAAACCGATTGTACACTATGAATGTGTCCTGGTCGCCTCTCATGGCGTTCGGCGGAGTGGGCATATATATGCTCCTTCGTCTGATTTCAACGGCGTCTTCTGTGATTGTCCGGACGTTGCAGTACTTGTATATTGCACTCAAGATAGGAATGGACAGCCCGTGAACCACGATTGAGAATAGCACGAGGAAATATACCACTAATAGAATTGGTAGTTAGCGGAGTTAAGAGATATATGAAACGGATTACACGAACCTGGGGTTATTGCATCGAGCAATGCACGCTCGTTCGCACTAGCCGTGTCTTCTTTAGGAAATAGGAGTCTAGTGTGCTGGAGGTAATATACGGCTCCAACACCTATTGGGCCGAAATATCCCATGAATACTGCTTCCTTCCAGTCCTTGACCACATTTGGCATCATCTTGTACGTGAGAAGCAAAGCAGGGACTCGGCGAAAGAGCAGAACAAGGAGGCCAAGACCAAATAGGCGAGCGTAAGTGATCCCGGTGGTGTCAGGCTGGTTGAAATCCTGCCAAGGTATGGCGATGCCGACATACATGAAGCCGCCGAAATTAAGCATAACGTCGATGCACGAGTTCACCTCGTCGTGGCGGCGTTCCGTTTCCGCGAGGAATTCCCCGTCCCAGTTCAATGCGCAGCCCGCGACAAAACAAGCAAGAAGATCGCTAGTGCCGAGAGCCCCGCAAGTGCCAACAATAAAGAGCTTTACACAAGATTAGTTTTGGAAGGAAAAGAAAGAGTAGCATATTGCTTGGACGGAACTTACAGCTAATGCTGTCGGGAACAGAAGATAGCTTTCTGTATCGATCCATCTCCGAGACAACGAGAACCTGACCCCCATTCTAGCGCAGTAACCGGTAACCGCGCCGTAAACAGTAGCCAAAAGAACAATGTAAATGAGGGTTTCTATGGCCCAGTTCCCTAGGGCAACGCCAACATCTTTGGTATCTTCGCCAACGCCTCTACCACGCTCGACAAGAGTTGGTTGGCGGTTCTCTGTCAGGCGCAGAAGGTTGACAGCAAGCATGAGAAATGGTGAAGCGAAGCCATCATTGGCGCCGGCCTCGGCGGAAATAATCTCTCGGAGAGGTCGAGGCACATACTTGTCAGCGAAAGGTCCCTTGGCTACGGCCTGCGACAGGATCGGATCCGTAGATGTGACGCAAGCTCCGATGACAAGGGTTGCCAGCAACGAGACCTTGGGAATTGTCGCAAGCACGCAAACCGACGTTGCCAGCCACATCAATGCCATGATAGGAACGAGGCATACTATTAACTCCTTGTAGCGCAAGTGGATATACCTAGCGGGTAGTTGGTATCCAGCGATAACCCTATAGTGGCCAAGGCCGAGTCAGTTACTTGGCTATCCTAAAGTTGGAAGCATGTCTCATGCTATAGCCACTCGTGAACTGACAGTTGAATACCAATCATCACCCGCATCACGCCAAGAGTTATGGCATCTTGTTGGTCCGGAGCGGCTGAGCCCCATCGCTTGGCATCTAGAAACTTGGCCGCTATAGGACCCAAGATCATGCCAATAAAGACTGCCGGCACTATCGACACGGCTCAGTTAGCAGGCGACTATAAAGGTCTTTCAGAGGATCGCACTAACAAGCTTCCCCAAGATACCAAACGCCTTTTATTTTAACGGCAACCAGGCCAAATAATACTATGAATGCACCTTTGCACAGTCAGTATGGTTATCTCATGGACATCCTCTTCGTGGCTTACCAAGAACGGAAACAACGATGTTCAACTCGCTAAGATCAAGGGTCGGCATCGTGAGAGGCGTGGCAAGATGGCAGAATACTTGCGTGTCAGGGAAGAGTCCGGGACGCTCTTCTGGACTCGAACGCTGGAAAACATCGAGAAGAGTAACGGGGAGATGCCAAGGAAATACATTGAAATAGGGACCCCCGAGTTAGAATGAGATATTGATTTACGTGTAGATCAATATTGTGTTGACAGGGATAACGTGAGTGTAAGTCAATGAAATCTCCGGCTTGGCAATCATATTGCGATCCATTCCAGATCCAGGAATGGTTCCCCCTGATAGTTTTATTTTTTTCAGCCACAATGTCTGGCCTACGGAACATCTAAGCTTTTCGCAACGACCCGATGAATACATACCCGCATGCTCCCTCCCGCTTGTCTAAGACATCTGTCTAAGCCGCCCTTAGACATCAACGGCCAAAATCCAACCGGCTCAAAATCCCGGGAGGGAAGTCGCCTCATAGCACTTCATCACTGACCGGTGTGGCTTTCGAATTATCATTTATGGGTACCAAGTTACCGCATCACAGGGAACGGATAGCTGACGAGTCAAGTGTGACAGGGGTATGGATTGGACCAACGACGGGCCATTGTTGCACCCAACCATGGTATCCCAGACGCGGAAGTGTCATAATTGAGAGCCTGGTAGCCGTAAATGTCGATAGTATACAAAATGCCGACTGTGCCACAGAGCGTGTATAACTCGCGATCTAGACAATTGTGCACGTTTCAACCCGAATCAGTCAGAAGTCAAACACGAAGACCGACATTAACTTGTTAATTCGCCAGAAGGAAGATAATGATTTGTGGAGAGACTGATCCCGAGGATCTAGAACAGTAACCGTCTTCCAATCTTGTAACACACTATGCTGCCCTACAGAGAATAACAAGTTTATACACCATTTCACGAAGGACTGGGCGTTGAAACTTGATCGGCTATGTCGTCTAAGATCCTACACGCCTCTCTTAAGCAGCAATAAGGCCAATCAATCCTTTTCCCTAAAGAATGTCGGTCATATCACGGTGATATGGAGCCTTTCGCAGCCTCTCGCATACCCATAAACTGGCAGGCAAGTGCCAATGCTTCTCGACTCAGCCGATATGCCAGAATAAATAGTCCATGTGTTATTCAATGTGCTAATATTACTGTACTAGACTGTGCACCAGACCATCCCCTGTATTACCTATCTAGGTAACTTACATGTGCTATGTAGGCTCTGGATGTGGATCAAGTGATGTAGGGGTTAGTTAAGCACATGACACGGTCCAACGCGGTCGCAATTGAAGCTTTTTTATCAAGTTGAGAGGTGAAGAAATCTACCAACCTATTACACCGCTGATCCCGTGCCATAGGGTTCGCCCCAGTCAATACCATCTAGAGCAAGGAGTTGGTAGGACCATTCCCTCCGTTGCTGTGCATCGTCATACGAGCTATACTTGTCCTCCCTTTGTTTCCGTTAACTCCTTTGACCTTCAACATATGAGATGTTTGTTATTCAGATCAATCCACAACTCCCACTGCCTCTGCCGCATTCCGAACACCAACCTCTTAATGACGTATTTCACCAGCTTCTTGCACTGTGACATCATGCGATTAAGATTCGCCCCTATCCTAGGGAATGTTGTCTCGATGGACTAACTCCAAAATCTAGAGTATTCTCTAATATATCATGTGCGTCGCACGCGCAAAATCAGGCCTCGGTGCGTTACGCGGATTCAGTGGCCACGAAGGAATTCAGGTAAAGCTTTAACACCCAAATATACCTACCCAATTATTGCATTGACAATATTCACTAAAAGCCCAAACATAATTGTAGCAAACTATGCAGAGAAGCATCAGAAAAATGGAGTATGAACGCTAATATTGTGGATTAGATTGCGTGCTTGGCTATCCCACGTATTATATAATCTGCATGTGTCGCCTGCCAAACCGCGTGTAAGTTGCCTAAGTGAGTTACCTAGGGGATAGTATGCAGATTATGTAAGGCCCTTTGACAGCTCAGCACATGCGCGACGCGGCAACAGGATGCTTATTTCAACGCAAACTACCTGGGCAACAGCGATAAAACATGCAAACACGCGATAAGAATACAAGCAGCCCAGAAAGTGTCGTAACTCAGCAACATGATGTTGACATCAATGGCTTCATACCTATCCATTACCTACCTAGGTACCTGAGTGTTTGCTTACATAAGCTCAAAATACTTGGTCGAGATGGGTATTAAATAAGACTATGCTGTCGGGTCAAATCTTATAGGGAATGGAAAGAGGTATATAGGTATATATATAAGAGAATACGTTACAATACCATGAGCCGTGTCTTAGTTTCATCCCTGTATCAGCCCTGCGGACCGAAACAAGGATTACTTATCCAGGACACCACGCAAAGGTGCACGGCTATCGTCCTGGTCCGCCGCCGGGGTTTCCGACGACGGGCCTCCACCAGTGACCTAGGTAAGTCACCGGCTTCCTCAGCTAAAAGAAGAGAAGAAGTTTATGATATCAGACGGTGCTGACATCTGTGTCTCCTTAGGCCTTACATGTTTGACCTAAAAAGAAAGCAAGAAACATCTTCATTGAGGGGGCAAAAGCCCATGCCTCCTATGAACCAGTCAGTCATAACGCCTTGCATCGAAACAATAGGTCAGGACTCACGTGTTTCGTGGTAGGTACCACGTTAAATGACGGAGGGCGTCTGGGCAAGAGCCGTCAAACGATCGACCTCTCCGCCATTTACCTCGGTGTAGACCCACGGGATGACCGCGTCATCCTGTGCGTCCTCGAGGACAGAAACCTTCGGTACAGGAATCTGATGGCCGTCGAATATGACATCGAACGGCAAGCCGGAGTAGAGGGAATCGCGGTTGGGGTGTTCTTCATCGTCGGATTCTACACCGACTGGAACATCACCCAAGTGCGCGTCCTCGTCCGTCACGTACTGCTGAATGATCAGCGTACGCGAACGGTTCGCGGCATAGTACGAGTCAGCACGCCACTGATACTCGGCACTGTAGTTTGTCAGAGGCGCGCGGATGCGGGAGGGCTTAACCTCGGGCCACATCATCTTGACCACGCCTCTCATCGCAGTGGTGAGGTCCCAGACCTCGCCCACGCGGAGTCCCCGCGGGAACTTCAGCTCGGCGACGGCGCAGGGTAACACGTCTAGGTAATCAGTGTTTGCGCGGTCGTCGCGAGTGATTTCCCAGCGAAGGGAAGTGATCGCCGGCAGAGCTACATGCATTTGATCCCACTGCGATCGGCCCGCCATCCACGCCGGCCCTTGACCGTTGCGGACAGCAGAGGCGATTCGCATGGGGATCACTTCTTGAGGGATGTGCTCATGACGGTACCGCCAAATGCCTTGGCTGTGGCGGAACGTCATGGCGAACAGCGTGGGAAGTTGGAATGCCACGAGGCTGTTCTTCACATAACGCTCCGCCACTGGGCACTCGACGGGAAGCGGCGAGTCGAGGAATATGCTTCTTCGGTGGACAGGTGTCTCGGTGATGACAGCCTGCCAGAAGCGCGATACGCATTGAAGTATCGGAAGCTGATGAGACGGGACGTCTCGAAGGATGAGGTCAAGGAGCTCGGCACAGCCAAGCACAGCTTGAGCGGCAGCCATTGAGAATGGAGTAAAGAGGTAAAAGAAATTAATTGATGGCAAATAATTAATTGAGAATGGAATTGAGTAATAAATTCGGGTCTAGAATAGAGTCTCAATAATTATCTGTGAAGAAGTTAGTAACCCTCAAGAAGAAAAAGTGAAGGGTTGAACTTACCATTAAGTGAAGTGGAAGTTGTTTTTGGTTGGAGGAAGGATCAGAATTCAGTTCCCAAGGCCCGGGGGCCCCAAGTATTTATACCCTTCCATAGGCGTATGGGTGGGGCATTGGCAATGGCGGTTGCTGTGAAGCTATTCACGGTTGCGCTGGTGACGGGCTTGGGTGGTTACCAGTCGGACCCACTTGACAGCTGCTAGCTGCTAGTGCCACCCGTAGGCAGCTGTCAATGACTGTTAGCACTGTAGGAATCATAGTTGCTGCCTGACGCCAGTTCCCAAGGCATCAAGTTACGGTGCCTGATACTGTTCTATCCTACGTTTCTATCGTACTTTCGCCAGTTTCGTTACGTGAGAGGCTAAACGGTAGATGTAATCAATCTACGTCAAACAACAAATCTGTGAAGGACGCCAATGGCTTGCACAAAACGTTGACAGCGGTCTCCTTATGATAACATCCCATTTTCACTTATATAATCTAAGTAGCACGGAGGGTCTTAGTAGGATATCCTGATAAGCCTTGAGGCCACGAGCCTTACGGAGCTCATAGCCTCAAATTGATAGGAAACACTCCATACACGACCTTGGAAGGAGACACTGCCGCCGCCCTAGGTACCACTTTATTTGTACCTATAGGCAGCTCTCGATTTTATATCTAACATATTCTACTCAAACGACTTTCTGGTGACGCGACTGAGTAGCTTCTTTTGGGTTAAGCAGCTATGTTTGCTGAACGTCCTTCGCATTACACATATCAACAGAGCCCTAATGCTACCTATGTTCGTCGACCTGTAATAGTGGCACAATACATGAGACCATCTGTAAATCCATTTTGATGTTTATCACGATGTGAAAGAACGTGTAATGGAATAACGACGTTGTTACTCGATGAGTTTTTGGCCGCCCTCACCCTCTCGTCCATATCCAAGAACATAGTTTACATACAAGAAGAGCCTGTTGCCTACTCTGCCTAGGTACCCAAGACCAGCTGATAACAGGCCTCCCATAAGCCAAACACCGATCCTACCAGGCCTCCAAGATCTTTATCACTAGAAGAAACACTACACAATACTCCTTTTAAACTCAGGCAAAACTCTGGCATTGATTCCTTCCTTTAGGCCTCCATGGTGTCTGGGTCCCTCTCCCTCTCCCTCTCCTCAACTCTCCTCTTCTCCTCGGCTTTCTTTGGGATAGATTTGGTATGGTAAGCAATTCGCCAGAACCTCTTAGGTTTATTGCCTCGGATTACCTAATCATTATACCTGAGGCCTTCAGGGAAAAATATTTGCACCATGGCAACCCGGCTATCGATACCCACTTATCTAGTCCCATGAGTGCTCCATGGACGCCAATAGCGTACTTGACATGCATCACCTCGTCCTCATAGCTAGTTAGCTCTAGCCAATCCGGTACCCCATCTCTTTTAGACACTGTGGGCAATCACCGCGGCATTTTTAGCCCTGTTACTATAGTAATTGTGTTGCCCTTTGTTACGGATTTTTCCTTATGAGATGCCCATTCGAGAACGTTTGATAATTCTTTCTACTTATCTTTTCTAGCAAATCATCCGTGTATGTTCTTGATCTTCCAATGATGGTTGTAGCCCGGGCGTGATTGATCGTATGAATGTTTGCAGCCCTAGGGTTTCGCGCAGTTCCGGCTGCGAAGATGTTATGGATCATCCCTATGATCCCGATGGCCCTATATTCTAGCGCTTGTTTCCTTTTAAAGGTTCAAGTCTTACCAATCACTTTTATCTCATCCCGTCTGCCACTTCACCTTATCAATGACTGGGAAAATATGTGCCTCTGTGTTGAATATAACTTCAGTAAGAGGAATGAAGTCATTGGGACTGAATAAAAGATAAAGATACTCGAGAGTTTCTGCCTGGAAAAGCATATAATGTAAGCTTGGATCTTAGAAGAAGAAGACGCCCAACGGGTACAATGTTGGATGTTGTCATGACCTACCAGCCAAAAGCTCTCCATATTATCCCTCTGAGGTGGTGGAATGGCGTTTACATCGTTGACAGAATCGTAACCCTACTCTTGGCTCAGCTTGGTGTGCCTCTCGAAGGCATTGAATATCTTCCAGCCCCGTTCACGATAGAGGGGACCTTCGGTGACACGCCACATCATGAACAGATTCTCCACCGTCTTCGGTCGTTGCAGGTTATGTGCATCCGATGGTTTAACGATATAATCTTTCTTCCACGACGCCAATGAGTGTTTGGTGGACGCCAGAAGCCGATCGCCGGACGCTGGGTGTAGATCGTCCTCATTGGCATGAAACCACGCGATTTCAGGCGCAAGCCCCGTCTTAGTCACGACATACACCCCCCAGCATGTCTTCATTAGATCGCGTGTGAGTTGGATCTGATCCTCCTTCTTATCGTCCCAACTAGGCCATGTGCGTGCTGTGGATTGGGTATGGCCTCTTGTGGCACCCATGGTAATCAACCCAGGTAAGAAGCACACGAGGTGATCCATCTTAGGTGATAGTGGCCCGCCAATTCCTTGTGGAAGTTCGGCGACGAAGTTGAGGCACATTGATAGAAGGCTCCAATCGGCAACCGAGATCTAATATAAAATTTAGAGAGATGGGAATTAAGTCGTCACTAGACGAACATTGAACTCTTACTTGAGGCGGGTAGCAATTGCGAATCTACAGACAACCAAGGAAGAAATGCATTGTTTTGGGTAGCGAAGAATGGACATAACAGCGTTATGGGGTTGCTATCACAGGGAGACATTTCCTACAACTTAAAACAGAGATTGACGAGGGTGATGAGTGTCATGGTTGTTGTGTCAAAAGGTTATTATCATCAACCGCGCCATCCGTCTTTATCTCCTGGGGAAAGGAAAACCACGAATAGGGGAAATTAGAAGGAGGAAATCATATGAACCCATCCAAAAAAAGGAGAAAGAAAAGGTATTTAGGAGGATATATATTAAGATTATTAGGAGCTTATAGAGCGTGTCCAAGTAGGTAGTTACGAGGTTATCTGAATCGGTATGGAATATAGGCTTACCTAACAGCCCCTGACAAAGGTGATCACGTGATACCGCTTCCGCTGCTTAGTAAACATGCGCTGTAGCTCACGATATTATAGGGGGACATTAGCGGGAGGAGCCTTGTAAATATAGCGCATACCGGTCTGAAAAATGAGTGTATATTATCTACCAACTTAACAGACGAGGCTCCCGCCCCTAGATATTTAGGACGAAGGTTTGGATGTCATCTAACTTTACAGGTTGAAATAAGGTTGTTAAGATGCATTGAATATGAAATTAATCGGAAAATTGTGAGATCAGGTGCCTTAGGATTCTCATCCCTGATGACATCGATTGATCTCCCTAATATGGTAAGGAGCCTGGTCAGATGCTTCGGCTTTATTATGATGTACCATTCCGCAATAGGCGACCCGAAATCCCTCCTGCCTATTCCTTCTCCGAATAAACACTCGGCGCAGGATGTAATTTTGGTTCGGACGTGTATGCCGCGATCGATTCAGCAGATCAGGAGATTCTGGGCCTGTCCGTTTCCTCTTGGAGCGTCCCTAAAATGGGCATTCATTCTTGCGTCCCGGCTGACAAAGTTATACCCGGTACCTTACTCATCGTGAGAATCTTACTGATGGATCAATAATGCGGCGCAGTCACTCTTTGCTTACTTCCACTGCCGCAGCCCTATGTAGAAGGTAACTAGACCTGGATCGTGGCTACGTTACGATGGGGAAGAGCGATGGCTCATATAAATAAGAGCGGTGCCTCCTGATCTTCTCTTATGACGTGATGAGATCTTGTCGCTACCCGAAAGTCGTAGATACAGAGTAATCGTTGGCCCACGATGTTTCGCCGCATAGTTTCCGTCCTTGCCGCGTCAGGCTCTTTAGTGCGGGCTTCCACCAGTACCAATTACTCCTTCAAGACCGAAGGTGCATGTTCGACCGTGTCGGGGAGTGGAGGTTCCGTTCCCCTTTCCCTTCCTAGATCTACCACGACGAGCACCGTATCATCAATCATCACGAACTCGGAGGTGACGGTCCCGTCGACCGTCACGGTCACGGCCGATCCTGTCACGACGACGGTACTTACGTCAACCACCTGGGTATTGACCGACTCTACGAAGACTCTTCCTCCGACCACCTCCTGGTCCGTGTCTCAGATCATCGTCGCCACCGCAACTGTACCAGAGACAGTGTGTACCAACGACGTGACTCCCTCGACCGTGACCGAGTACAGTGGTAGCTACACGCCCATCTCCGGCCAAGTCACCACGATCCCGACTTCTTATCCCTCGCAGGTGGTCTGCGCCACCGGAGTGACGTGGTTTACCATCCTCCAACCCACGGCAACGTCTGGCGTGACCACTCAGACGACCACGCCGACAAGCACGGTACAAGCTATCACGACGACTGTCACATCGACGTATTTCTTTAATAATACAGTCTACGCGTCGACGATCACGAGCACCACCACCTCATACACTCCAGCCGCCAGCGCCACTACCATCAGCACGGCATGCGAGGCTACGACTACGACTACGTTCGCGGCCAAGTGCGCGCCGACGAACGTGATATCGGGCGTCGATGACCACGGGCTAGTATCTGGAAAATATGCGGCGAACAGCTCCGTAATCTACATCCAGGACGATAAGTTCAACGACCCGAGCACCTGCTGCCAGCTATGCCAGGACAACAAAGGATGCGCCGGCATGATGGCGGGAATATCGGGCTTTTGCGGTCTGTTATACGTTGCCGATCCGGCAGGAGGCCCTTCATGCGATTTCATCTTCTCGTACCAGACTCAATCTAATGTCTTCCCGATGCAGGGTCTCTGGGTGCAGTCGGGTTGTGGAGAAATAGACTATACCGGAAGTGACGGAGTGTAGAGTTCAATTTTGTCGTCTTAGGGAACTTGGGGGGTATATCTTTTTAGCACGTCCGCAGTGAAGTTGGTTCCAATAATGAAAATAATGATTGCTAATGTATTCTCTACGTTTACGTAACCTATACAGGGTAAAGATTATGTGAACATGATGTGGGTAGGGGGTTGATTTCAAAAGGTCCATCTAGACTCTAATGGCTTGTTGCCATCAATGAATTCGGCATGTAGTAAGACTCATCGCTTCGTCGATGAGAATCTAGACGACATCTACTGACTCTTCAGCACTTCCTTCATGTCGGAACAACCCTGTATTCATGATGGCGCCAGCAATGTCCCCAAAACAACAAGCCCCATCCAGAAATCAAGGACTTCAATAAGCGAGGGCCAGTGGGGAAATAGAAGGGGCGGTGCCGCCTGAGTTTCTCCGTGTATTTTCGCTAACATACGAAACCTGCAGAGAGAAGAGTTCTCATAAGCTTCTGACTACCTATATTTTCGTTAGCTCCTAATGAAGACCGCCGTTGCATTTGATTTGATCTAGTCGTCGTGGGTTCGGTAAAGTTGACGTTACATCCCCGTAGTATCCCGTCTAGATGGGGCATGCGGGTATCTCCCGGGTTGGGGTTTCATTCGTCGTGGGTACCATTACTTACATTAGCTCCGGGCATTACGCCGATTAGGAATAGCCTAGTTTGTCAGCTAGGACCGAACAAAGTAGCATTTCATAATCTGATGAGGTACGACGAGATGAGACGTTGTTAAGGTCTTCGATTGCTGTTCTACACAAAGACATGGAAGAGGTAAAGCCAATGGTTTAACACTGGTTAGGGTTATATCTGATTCCAATGGTGAGCTCGCTCGAAGTGTTTCGTGTCCAAGTACATTGCCTTAAATAAGCGTTGCCTGTAAGGTGAAAGAACAATTTCTGCGCCCATGGAAATATTCTCATGTAATACCTGGCGAAATCTCACGATTGACACCACTCTTTAAGGACTCAAAGAGCCGCATACGAATCTCGTGACGGTTCATTCGTCTTCAATATATCTAGTAAGCAGTAATGCTAGTATTTAAAGTTTTGGTATAACTATCGTTTATGGATTACTGGGTGCCTTGAAGTGGGAGTGACGGCTCCTGAAATAAAAGAAAGTATTAACTGAGCACGTTCATAATTCCATCTCTGACATGTTCCGCCTCGGGAATATTCAGATTGAATTCTTCTTGTCAAGTCTCATCGAATATAATATGACTAACGTACGAAAGAAAAGAAAGAAGTCTCCAGGGGTAATAGAAAAAGGGGTTGGTGGGTGGAAATTGACGTGATGTAGGGCGTAGAATATAAACCCTCTGGTTGATGATATAAGATATGTTTCATGGCACTTAGATGTTAAATTTTACACTCGAGAATGTGTCATGTCATTCTACTTGATTTCGTGAACGAATCGGACTATATCGTATTATTCCAACGATACACTCTGTCCCGATATTGTAATAGGAGATATCCAGCGCTTCACATAGCGACGTACAAGTCGGTCTGCAATTGATCTTCATATCATATCATCAATTCCTTCGTTAATTACCTAAGACACCTGTTATATTTGGAATTCTAGAATACGGCCTCGCGTTTAGGCTACCCTATGGTCGTTGCCGCCACCATGACTTCACCGAAGAATTTTCTCGACAATTCTCCTTCGATGTATTATTGATTCGTTAAGATCTATGAGGTCAGACTTTTCACGGGATATTGAAATGTAAACCGTGTCAAATCCCTATCTTACTACCGAGTAACTCTTCGTTATCAATATTAACCTTAGTGCACGCATATCTCAATTCTTGTAATATTGGCAGGCTACCGCTTCCAGGAGTCAGCTTGATCTCTGTTGTTGATGCCCGTCTTTGCTTCCAGATGATACGGTGTCCTCTAGAAGATTAGACAATCTATGATGTTGTAGAACATCTTTGTAATAAAGGAGAACTCAGTAGAAAGACTTATGATTTGGAATTCTAGTCATATAGGAATGGTCTAGCCAAGATCGGCACGAAAACCCCTGTTTGGTATATGTGTAATTCTTCTAAAGCAACCATTGCCGGCTTCAATCGGTCTAGGCAGTAGTCCGTAAGGCTGTCGCGAAATCCACGTGTAGATTGAATGAAGGTGACTTCGGTCCTACTGTCCCCCACGACGAGACAGCTTTTCCTAAACCCTTTCTATTACATTCGATTGGAGAGTTTCCCAGCGACTCGCTGTAAATTGGCCCGATGACGTACTAGGGTCAACGACTATCATGTTTCGCCGTGAATAGTCCCGACGTTAATTCACCACATGCTCGTTGATACAGATGGTTATGCCAGATCTCACAATAACTTTAAGATGCGTCAGCGTTTCACTCGATGCCAAGGCAATATAGAGAATAACCAATATTAGAAATGCGGGGGCGGTCCTCCCGCATTGGAGCCTTCGATGCCAGCCTAAATTGGACAAGGCGGAAAAATGTCGACGTCCGAATGAGATATGACGATCCTATAATCTATCGGGAGCCTGTTCTGGGTGGCCGGCAGCCGGCAAATTTCCAAGTCAGGGGGGAGGGCGCAGGCATCGCGAAAATACATATGTGAGGCCTACGGGCCCCGCGCTGCTCGTTCGTCGACAAAGGTGTCGTCGTCAAACACATCGCTGATTCTTATTATCTCGAAACTGCGAAGATGAAGTGGCTCGCTCTATCTTTGGCTCTAGCCGTGCCTTCCCAGGCCGCGCTTCGATTCGGATGTTCCACTCTGACCATCCAGCGTCTCGACCCTCTCGTGGAGCCCGGTGTAGTTCCCTCGGCTCACCTTCACCAGATCGTCGGTGGTAATGCCTTCAACGCGTCGATGGATCCTGCGGCCGGCGACATTGGTGACAAAGGTACATGCACCACGTGTACCTTCTCTGAGGATTTCTCGAACTACTGGACCGCCGTCATGTTTTTCAAGCACCCGAACGGAACTTACAAGAGAGTCCCTATTATGCAGAACACCGCTCTGCCTAACGGTATCAACGGAGGAGTACGTCTTAGCTGCACACCAGTTAAGAAGAGAAGCACAGGACATCAACTAACAGGAACGCATTCTAGATGACGATATACTACACACAACAGGACTTCTCGTCGAACGGTAACCAGAAGATCACCGCCTTCAAGCCCGGTTTCCGAATGACAGTCGGAACACCTACATCGACGAGCAAGTTCGGCCCCGGCCTGAAATTCGTCTGCCTGCAAAACAAGGGCACTCGATTCCCCGAACTCGACGACTTCCCGACCCAGCCATGTGCCGGCGGTATCATGACTGTTCACCACTTCCCTGCGTAAGGAAACCCGTCTAAAAGCGCGTTTCCATCTGCTAACGATGTATAGATGCTGGGATGGCAAGAATCTCGACAGCCCCGACCACCAATCTCACATGTACAACACCGTCAAGGACGCGTTCCAGAACTCCGGTCCTTGCCCAGCGTCGCACCCGTAAGTTCTAATCCCGTGCAAAGCATACATGTTTCCTCCCGAAAGATCACACGTAATAACACGGAATTCCTACACAGCGTCCGCGTCCCCCAGGTCGCCTACGAGACCCTCTGGGACACGACCCAGTTCAACAGCATGTGGCCCACGGACGGCTCGCAGCCGTTCACCCTCAGCTACGGCGACAACAAGGGCTACGGCACCCACGCCGACTACGTCTTCGGCTGGAAGGGCGACGCGCTCCAGAAGGCTATGGACTCGCCGTGCATGTTCAACGCCTGCGAGAACGGAAACCCGCTGGCGTCGCAGGGCGTCGCTCAGATGAACCAGTGCACTGTCCCGAAGACGGTCGACGAGGACATCGACGGATGTGAGTGCCCCTATACCCCCTGTGCTATCGTTAAAATAAGTCAACACGAACTAACTCCCCGTGTTCTAGGGCTTACTTCCCTCCCCGGCATGTAAACGTTGTGAAGTGATAAGGAGGAGTTGGACGGAAAAGAGATCAATCGGATCGTTAATCGAAGTGTTCCTGTTCCGACCTATCGGCGCTCGTACTCCTCGTTAACCCAAGACTGCTATATACCAACGCTGGAAGGAGCGTGTTTCGTTTAAAGGGGCCACCGAGGCGTAGTCTAATAGAGCGGTGGTAGCTATCCTTCATTAGAGCTCAGCTTCTAAGTTTTAAATCAAATTCTTTTAGCTGATTCGAAAGGTCCGAGTATTATTCTACCGTCTTCAGGTGGTTCCTGATTCGTGAAGATGTCAGGGGCTGCTCGTATAGTGGGCAACTTATCACGTATCAACTAGGTCAGACTTAACTTCGCAGTACAAGATAAATCACCTATTCTTGATATAACGCGTTTTTATTCATCCTTAGACAGACTTCGGATTGTGATTCCTTATTAGGCTAATGGTAGAAGCCCATTAGTATGGCGAATCATCGAGGAACTCATGTTAAAAGGACTCGAATTTGTCGAACTGTCCAGAGAATTCGTCTCGGCCATTCGATATGATCAGCCCCACGACCAATGGTCTTGACATTTGAGAGCCATATCAAGTCATCATGATCAGGGTTTATAGGGGACTGGTAGACGAGCTGTTAGCAACGAGATATGGTAGATAGGCTTCTTCTAAAGAAGTAACCAACCAGACATATTATTAGGTCATAACCCCAAGTTTCCCTTATTCCATCCGAGAGTGAATACGAAGATAACAGTTTATGCTAGCAAACTGGTTTGAATAACCCCTAAACCCAACGGCTTCTTGGTATCGTGCAGACCGATGGTCTTAGCCGCTAGTTCAGCTTCATCTATGTCAACGTCGAGCTGACGGAATAGGAATGCGAGGTCGGCGTGTCTCTTCATAGAAAGTCCGATGTCCTTGATGTTAATCTCGTCAATGTGATCGGCGATATCTTCCTCGAATCTGGTCACCAAGGCTCGCATGTCAGCTGTGTCCCATGCCTTGTACCGGGTCTTGGCAGCGTGGACCTTCCCCTTGAATAAGTAAGGTGGGTCGAGGAAGGAAGCGATTCCGGGGCCGTGGTAGAGGCCTTTGATGGGAATGGTGGTACAGGTGACATGTTCCATCGTATGCTCGTGGCCTAGTAAAATGTAGATATTAGTGATATTCTCCTACTTAGGTATATGCGCTTCTATGGAAATACAATACCTGGGAACTGCTCGTAGAAAATCTTTACTAGCACTGGAAATTTAAGGCTAGCTTTATCGGTCCAGAAGAAAGCGACGTAGTCATCTCTGGTTGGCTCGATGGCCTCGAAACCATGCTCCTCGGTGATCAGTTTGACGATCTCATCTTTGGAACCCGAGACTAGAACATCGATGTCCTTGGTGAGGCGGTGGCCTCCGAAGGCACTGATAGCATAACCACCAAAAATGCCGTACTTGATGTTTTCATTACTGAGAATGCGATGGAGCACGATGGCTGCATCATTGAGAAGTTCGCTGGACATGATGGGCATGTAGAAAGGGTCTTTTTATGTAAATAGGAGTTGAGTGTTGAGTTGGATAGAAGTGGAATTGACAGCTGATTTTTGCGTATGTGATTGTTTACGTTGGTTAGGGTCGGATAAATTGGAGAGAAATATCGTTTTGTAAGATTAATTCATACCGCCTCCCTTGTTAACGAGTGACTAATAATGTCTGTTCCAAGCTAAATTTTGACGATGAGTCAATGTAGACACCGTCATATTTCGAGGACAAACAACCCTATAACAGGTATATAGGCCAGCCAAGAACCAAGAAATTAGACCCCCCAAAAATAAAAATTTCAGCTTCTTGTCCTCAAGTAGACTTGTGAAAGCGCGCCGCCTGTTTGAATCTTATATCCATCCTATGTAGTCTACAACACGAACTTGAACAATTATTCTTGAATACCCCAAAGTTGAAGCGATCCGTCAAATTCTTAGATCTTTTACCCCTTTTATCCCCCCTAAGCCAAATAAGTGGGCACCACCTTACTTGCTATTCTCAACTAACACGCGGACAACACTTACAGAAAAGTTCTTGCCTTCGTAAGTACCTGGGTAATCAACATGATATAGCACGTTAAGTCAAGTCCTAGTAGGATAGTTGCATTTCCTGTCGCAAGAAGAGCTCCTGGAAGCTAAGCCCTAGAGCACTAGGCAGAGCTCCACAAAAGGTGCAACCTCAAGTAGGACACAAGAGTGGGACACAAGGACCTTGGGAGCAGCCATCTTTCGAGCCTTTCATCCTTAGACTCCGCTGGATCAATACAATCTCTCACTTACAATACCCCGTATAAGGGTGACGATATGCTTACCATGATGTGTTCTCGGAGCATTCGAGTAGAATATTCCCCTACGGTTGTCCAACTCAGTATTAGAGTGACATCCCCGTGTCGGAAGCCGACAGGGGGCGAGTGTGGCAACGAATGAGAATACCCATAGCAAGCCACACGGCACACAGCCGACGCAATAGCCAATCAAATTATACCATCGTTCCTAAAAAGGAAATAATAGATAGGGGTGAGTAATCTACTTGCGTCGAGTTTCTACGTCGTAAGGGTAGCGAAGCTAGATTAATGATAGTTTCTATCAGACACTTTGAAATGACCGAAAAAGAACATCTTGATATTTTCTTCATTTGATACCATGCCACCCTTCCATAAAGCAGAATCATATCCCATATCATCTCATCAGCAACCTAAGAGACCTGGAATGTATCCTTCGTCCATCCGTAAGTCCGACTCAGAAGGCGAGCTATGAAGAATAGTTTATGGCCTTCGATGCGAGATTGATGGGGCCTGTGAACCTTGATAGACCTATCTAGCGATAGTTTGTTAGAGGGCGCAAATGTGTAGACTGATCCGTACTCGGGTATGACCGAGAATCCTAAGTCTGACATTGCTGTCTCAAACGCGGTCCACGGGATTGAACCCCGAGCTTCTGATCTGGAGAATAACGTGGAGAATGTTTCAACCACGCCCGATCTCACCGTCATATGCATCGGCTTTAATGATTCTAGTTCTTCCTTGTCGGCTGAAGCTCTTGCTGACGGGATGATATCGTAGATGGATGAATGCGCTGGTCGTGTTTTTTCCTTCTGCCTTCTCTCCTGGACTCTGACCTCTTGGGGCTGAGCTGGGCCTCCCGAAGGTAAAGGGATGAACTCAGACTCGGACTTTTGTGCGTCTTTATTCTTGACTTGCTGCTTGCTGAGACGTGTTGCACAATCCGTTATCAGATCTTCATACAAGAATCCCATCCCGGTACCCATCTTCTCTAGGATAAATCGATCGAGAGTCTTCAGTGCAGTCTCGGCCACACCTGGTTCTAGGAGGTTGTCGATAGGGGCAACGAAGTCTGTAAGATCAATCTGCGTCTTGATCTGGGTTAACTCGGTTTCGAGCTCTTCCATTCGGGATACGAACATCCGTCCCTTATTTCTACTGAAGGATGGCATGGGGAAGGACGCTGATAGAGACTGGGTAAAGCCGGTGATGATTGCCAGGTCACATAAGGAGTCAGCTTCTCGCTCCTGCAAGTCTTCGCGCTCCTGAGGGTGAGATTTGTGAAGTTGGTCCATCTTCTGGAGCCAGCCTACGGCTTTTTTCACGTTTGTTTCGGGTTGGCATAGGTGTAGGAGGTAGTAGAGTTGCGGATTCTCTCGAATAAGGCGCTCAGGGTCGCCTTTCATTGCGAGCCGACTCCCCGTCGAGTTCGTCACACGCCGAAACCATTTAGACCCGGAACCCGTAGCAAGGTGCCTCTTCAACGCATCTTGGTTTCGCTCAAACTCTAAATGACAGACGTTAGACAGCTCCTGGAGTAGTGTAGCTGTGTGGATCTTGTTGTTCGACTCCGCGACAAGCTGGAGAAGGCGATAGATGCAGTTCCATATGGCGGCAGCCTTGACTGCACCGTGGACGACCTCTAGGAATATGGGACTGATATGCCTATCTGTATGAACAGGCAATGTTCGGCCCTTTTCGTCAGGGACGAGTTCAGGTCTGCTGAAGAACCAAATATTGACATCATAGGCAAGCACAGCAGGTTCCGCACAGATAAAGCCGAGGTACTCGTCGAGAAAGTATTTCCGATGAAGAGAATTGGCGATTAGGTCAGATACTTCGACCTTGACGGGTTTCTTATCGGCGATACTGAGACTAGATAGAGCAGCTGAAACGGATTCTTGCGGGTTCTTCTTAGGTTTCTTCTGTTGGCTACGGGTAGTAGACCCAATATCAAGCACATCCTCGATCATGATGTTGAGGAGCTGCATCATGTAGAGTTGTCTCGTAAGTATCAATTCGCCGGCAGATTGCGGGATGATCATGCCAGATTTGAACCCGATTTCGAGGCCCCGTAAGACCTCATCGCGATCCTTTTTTATTGTGAAAGATCGACCATACTTATCTCCATCCATAAACCACGTGAAGCTATCCTTAAAGGAGTTTACATGACGAAGACCCCGTGTGTTTATCATGGACGTGATGTGATCATGATCTCCTGGGTAGTTATCGAAGCCGTTGATATATTGTTCCTCGAGTGATGTCGTAGCTCGATGTTTGAGCAGACGCAAAAAGTAATCCGAGTCTGGAGCCGATACGTCACGGAGGTTCCAGTCGGGGAGGAACTTATAGACGTTTCCAAGCGTGAAATCTAGCGGGTGTTTCAAGACGGCACCATCAGCTGCGCCAGCCTTCATGGCTTTTGATCGATCCGATTGACTCAAGGAGTGCCATATTTGCTCAATCTTAGGCCCATGAGTTTGATACTTCCTGTGAAGGTCGCTGTGAAGCACCTTGAGCGTGTGCTCATCTACCATACTCTGCTCCATCTCTAAGTCTCCGTGTTGAGGGATGGAAAGATGTGGGTGAGTTAAACGACAAAAGTTGGTTTGAGTGGGATAGGTAGAGGATAAGGTACCTGAGATTATGAAGTTAAAAAAACAACCGACAAACGGCAGATGACGGAAGTATGTGAAACGGCTAGATACTTGATTATCGGGAAGGTGCATCTACACATTATGTAGTGTAGACATGTACCTAGAGAATACATGGATGTACTTGGTAGATTGTACTACATGAGTCAGCTTCACACTATCACTATCGGACTAAAAATAAAAACACAGATGTCTAGGTGCCTACCTAGTATCTACCTAGTTACACACTTCGGTACTTACCTGCCAGGCATTTCAATTTTCCGAGGCCGTAACAAACGTAAATGTCCTCGTTCTAGAAGACATCACGTGACTTCCCAAGTCTCAACCACTTGAGCACGTGATCTAGGAGAATTATAATCCATACTTGAAGTTATATCTAAGTCAACAGCAAAGCTAGAAGTCCGATGTCAATTAATTCCTCTATGAGTAATGGGTCGATTTCGCTATGATAACACAACGCCCAAGTAATCTGCGAGTGAGTCTCATTTCTGGTGTTGTCCAATTACTGTAGCAACTTCATACTAGATTATTACTCACTTATCCTATTTACTGATAGAGTTTCGCCGTGGTGCAGTCAAACTTGAATTCTAAGGTGGAATTATACATACATAAATGATGAAGTGAGTGTAAGCTAGGACCTTCATTCGGAGAGAGATTTTAACCGAATAGGACATGTGGGTCGGAAGACTCCACGCTCCCATGTTCAAGATTCAAGGGGAAATTACTAACGAATTTCCGTACAGATCGCTGCCATGGCTGCTTGGCAAGGATAATATGACTTGAATTCTTTACGGGGCTCAAACTACTAATGTTGTGGCACAGCATCTTCGGGACCAGTCTTGGCGCTCAAAGCCCTGCTGACTGCATGGGATTGCCGACCACCAAGGAGATGGACAACCATCAAGAGATGAAGTATAAGTAGTAAGGAGATCTTCTCGTTCCTTCAAACTCAATACTATTATCTACCTACACTACTCAACCCATCTTCGGCCAATATTTAATTATAATAATATTAATACATTCTTCTTCTACATAACTCAGCTTCACCATCACCGCCATCATGAAGTTCTCAGCGATCCTCTCTATGGGACTCTTCGCCATTGCTATGGCTCAGGTATGTCCATCTCCGAATAACGTCTCGTGTCTTTGAGCAAATATCTAATTCTAGCATAGAAACCTGCGCCTGGACCTGCGCCCCCCGCCCCTCAGGACGACCTTTCGATATGCAAAAAGGAGGCCGGCCATTACGGTACCTACTGTCCTAGGTGCCTACCTAAGTGCAAGGACAATCCCGCAAAGAAGGAATGCTACTACGGCACCTTCTCTACCATCAACGGCATCGAGTCCAAGTGCCTGCAACACGGAGGAACTAACTGCGAGGGCCCAGCCGTCGACCAAGTTTGTGGCAAATAAGGGTCTTGGAAATTAGTGTGAAGAAGGACGAGGTGAAGAATTGGGCTACGTTGGATTGTCTCGTGGAGGGTGGGCTAAGTCAATTCCGGAGCCCCTGAGATCTTGTCTTGTCACGATGGAAGTTATCAGGGCCACTAGTTTACAATTTCATTCGAGCTCCCTGAAACAAGGGGGAGCAGTAGGTATTAATATTTAATACGTTACAACCTACCTAATAACTAAATTTGAAACATAAAACATGAATGCTCCTTTTACCGATTACCTGATTACATCACCTACCTGGGCAAGTCTTTTACAGTTTTGTGTTTTTCAGCCCGTTTTCGTCGTGTTCCAGACAACCAACACAGCCTCCGCCATGTCATCGGCTGCCTTATCGTTTGTCTCGCTCGTGAGCCATAGAGCCGCTATTTTCTCTCCGTCCCTAGTAACAGGATGCGGCTGTTCAGGCTTCCACCCGATCCACTGCAGAAATCCGTGCTCCACTTCCACGGGGTCCGCATCGCCTTGTAGGTAATCTCTAACCAGCTTCTCATTATCCCGCGCACTTAAACGCCAATTGCTCTCCGCCGAATTTTTCATCTTCTCGCACATCGTCGCCATGCCCTCGTTCATGGCGAGCGCGGCATTCATCCCGAGAGAAGCAGCCTGGCGAGCGTCTCCGACGGTGCGTAGGACGCTCTCCGTGTATCGGCCCATATTCCCGGTGAGCGTAACTCGCGGTTTCATATCAGCTACGAGTCTTTCTAGCAATAGTAGCTGAGAGTCCAGAGAAGCCAGGCTGTACCTAGCATTGGAATAGTGCGTGACCATGCCGTGCCAGGGGACCTGTCCTTGGTACCCTGAACACACGACCTCGTCTACTATGCGATGTATGCGGGCGTTGCGAGGCGTAACGATAGTCTCGAAGATACCCTGGGCCAAAGTCGCGGCGTTGGGCGGGATTTTCGCATCAAGGTAGGCCTCGGGGTTGAAGTCCGGGTCGTCCCAACTCCACCACGTTCCTAAGTTTATCCAGTTGGTCAGCACCTCGTCTTCCCACCGTTTCTGGATGTCTCGATGAGTTTTAAGAGTCTCTTCGATGCTGCTTAACTGATATAAGATGTCCACGGCCGCCGGTTCGTCCGTATCTGAGGGAGCGATGTACCTTTTCAGGTCCGCGATAAGATTCTCTATATCCACTACAAACCCTCCATGCATGTAGGCCCAGTTTTCATGCAGAATGGTATGGTGGCTAGATATCAGTTCTCGTAGGTCTCGACATATGGGGATGGTCCGGACGAGAGTATAGCCACTGGGTTGGATAGGAGCCGCGACAGGCTCAGGGCTGACTATAGTTGCATCAGATGAATGGACTGGAGCTACTTCAGGCTCACCAGAGAGTGGGATTGTGTCAGTCTCAGAGGAGATGACTAAATCCACTTCTGGTCCACCAGGAACTTGGACTGTGGTATGTTGTGAAGAGATGACCGAAGCTGTGTTAGATCCGCTGGAAGACGAAACTACGATAGGTTCGGAAGGGATTGGGGTTACCTTGGGTCCATTGAATGCACCGCGTAATTTGTATAGGAATGCCGGTGAGATAAATACTGTCACTATCATAAGCAGGGTAGCACCAACGAAGACCTGCGTTATGATAGACAGAACGTCGATAAAGTTCGTTCGGACGAAGTTGAACGCAGATTTCAAGGCCCGAATGATAGGTTGTGTGCGAATGAGATATCCCAACTTTGGAACCTGAAGGAAGTTGGGATTGAAATCGGGATTCCGATTATTGGGATTCTGGGTCCGATGCCGAGCCCTCACCGCTGAACCCGCAAACTGTATAAAGTTTGGACTCAGGTCGTTTACTGGCGGCGGGGAGTCACTACGCCATGTTCGTGCTCCGTGGCCCAAGAATAAGCAAACTGGCAACGGTGATGGCGTAAACTTGGAGCGATCAGCAATATCCCCGTGGAAGACGAATATGATTTTCTGGTCTTCGTTATTGGGAAGTCTAAGGTTGAGAATAGACCACGAAGGGGAAAACATGTTTAAGCGAGCGTGTAGGTATACGATTAATAGGTATTTTCTTGGTTGAACAGTTCGATAGTTAACAAATATCTAGACTACGCTTGTCATCAATATAATGCTTAAAAATGTGCCTGGAGACGCTGTAGTAGACAAGAATTCGATTGCTTTAACATGATTTCTGGCAAAGACGGGATGCGCCATCAGTATCACGATACTTTTATACACAGGATCGTTGCCGCCGTACATTAACAACTTCTTCATAGCACTTTGACAATACTATTCAGCTTATTGGCTGTTCTTTCTTTCTCATGAACTAGTCAAAGAGATTGAGCATGCTGTGGTCGATCAGGTCGCAAAAAGCAACACAATAATAACAATGGAATTGTTTTTTAAGTAATTCATATAAAGGAATAGGAGGACCGAAATGCCTAGAGAGTGGATTCAGAAGCAAACCTTTGCAATTAGACGTATCGAAACCACCTTACATCGATTTGGCAGTTTATATATGTACAAATCCTCGAACCGTTCTCGCTATCGGTTAGGTTACATATCCAATATTAATCCCATCTCGTAAGTAAACATACAATGGACCCTGAACATGGAATGGACAGTCAAGATGACGGCGCGTCCATCTACTCCGACGAAAGCGTTTGGAAAGGACAAGGACTTCAGAGCCCCGCCGGCACCGGCAAAGGAAAAAGACGCGAAACAGAAATTCCAGTTGAATCTGAGGTCGATGATGATAGTACCGAAAGCGAAGAAATTGATGAAGAAACAAGTGATAAAAGCAAAGATGGAGGGGCTCCAGTTGAATCTGATGGCGGCGGCGGCGGCGGCGGAGGGGAAGAAGAAAGCAAAATTCCTCCCAAAGCAAGACCTGAAAAGGCTTCACTTGGAGGTGGAGGAGGAGGAGGAAGAAAAGGGGGCTTAGTTTCACATTTTCAAGACGGTTTTGGCGGCCTAGGCGGCGGTGGTGCTGGAGGAGGTGGCGGTGGCGGAGGCGGAGGTGGAGGCGGAGGAGGCGGAGGCGGCGGCGGCGGCGGCGGCGGCGGTGGTGGTGGTGGCGGCGGTGGTGGTGGTGATGAACCTACCATATTCCCATGGTATCTCCGCGTACGACCAAATGAGATTAATGATCCCGATCACGCTCAGGAACAGCGGATTATGTTAATATTAAAGGACAATGTCGACGGTTTCCAGGGTTTATTCTCTGGACCACAAGGCCACCATATCACTGACGGCACAGCAAGGCATTCAGCTATAATATTCCACATCATTCGTAACCAGGACTCGACCTCGACGACTACAGTGCGCGTCAACCAGGATGATTATTCATCTGAAGCAAGGGACTGGCAAAGGGCGATCCTGGACCGAGACCCGAACTGGAACCCGCTGACAATAACCGACAATGAGGTTCCGAACACGGCCATAGACTTCCATGGTGTTTGGCCAGAACTACGCTGCGAGAACGGAACGCACGTAGACGAAACTCGAGAAACTTGGGAGTGGCAGCCGGTTCCAAATGTACCTGTTGCTCCGATTAGAAGCCGCATGCTTATGTATTTTCGGGTCTTAATGATGCTGATAGTTCTTCTCGCGTGTGGCATGATTTGGAAATGGGTGTTAACAGGAGGCCCCGCGGGGAATTCCATTTTTGGGTCAAATCCCGCTGTGGGCAACGTAATCCGCGGCCCGACTCGGAGTTTTGACCCTCGCTTTGCGGTTCGCGTGGACTTGGAAGAAGGTAAGCCTAAGATAGGGATTTCACTGAATATGAACGGCTTGCTAGGGCTAGCATAAGAACCTAAATATCATCTCATCATCGCTTTTAGGCCAAAGCATACTTAGATAGGGGTAGGGGGAACTCGACGTACCCCAGCAGGGTGAGGAAATTACGTGTGTTTTAAAGAAAAATATTGCTACGGCTAACGGCGTAAGGGTAAAGTCAATCATTTAAAAGGAAAACAACATAGAGGTAGTTAGAGTAGAGGGTTGTTTAATTGTTTACCTTGTACCAAAAGTCAGGTTCTCACAATGGATTTGTGTCGAAGACTCTGCAAGAGCAGCTTTACTGCTTAAATTTTTATTTCAGTAATCGCATAAACGTATCTGATATCTAGGCCATTTCCACGCATCCTCCTTTTCTTTGCTACCCCCCCCCCTTTCCATTTTCAGGTCTACCTAGGTTGATCGGAATCAGATGACTCCAAATCACCTCCTCGTCTTGTTTTCCAATCCAGGACATTTGGATATCTCCTAACGTAGAACCGCATGGCCAGCATAGAGATTACACTGCCTACACTAAACGCCGCAGCCAGCGGGAACCCGATTGGATATCTTGGGGAGTCAGACACCTGCCACGCTCGCAACGGGATCGTAGCATGTCCAACATACACCAGCGTGACAGCGATAGCCACGGCAATGGATTGCGCCTCTGGTTCCTTCCGCCATATCTCCGCCAGCCACGCGATCAATGCGTACCCCCAAGCAGCAGTAGCAAATGTGAGAAAATAAAAGACCATGATTATGGAATGCGAATCCGGCCATTCAGCTAGAACAGACGTCGCCAATAACTGCAGAATAGCGGCGCCGCAAGAGACTTGCCACCGCCAATCTTTCCAATCGCTAAGCGCATTAAGGGCGATGTTGCTCACTATCGATATGGCGTAGCCGCCTAGAGGGATGAGATCTACGGTATATGTCGAATATAGCGGTTTGCCGGCCGAGTCTGTGACGCCTTTGAGATAAAGAAGGAAGTAAGAGTTGGCGCGCTGGGACCAGGCAAATTGGAGATAAGCTGCGAGGAAAAGGTAAGACCCTTCTCAAAGCCGGAGCCGCTCTCACGAACATCACGCCAAGGATCGGGACAGAGATCAAAGGCATTCAGCTCAGCCAACTATCCTCTGCTGGACTTGACGAAGTGGCTTTACTCGCAGCCGAGAGGGGCATTCTAGTTTTCGCAAGTCTTGGTACTGATGCTGATATCGACCAAGTTATACTGAACACCAAAGCGCAGAGAGACCAATTTCGCAGACATCGGGTTCCAGAAGCAGCTAGACATCGTAAAATACTACGCGCCGCTTCACAAGCATTCAACAATGGGGTATCCCGCAGGCACCAGCCCAGAGTTCCCCGTCGTCTTCGCGGACGAGACAGCGTAAGCATTCATTCACTCTATCCACACCTATAAAAGTAGGTACTTAAGACTTATGATCTGCTCACTACCTACCTACTGAGATAGAAACCTACGAACCCTCCTAGGCCCCCCGCACAACCCACGACCTCTGGCACATCGACCAAACCTTCACGCCCAACGTGCCCTCCACGACCTTCTTCTGGGTCCTCGAGACCCCTGAATCAGGAGGCGGCGACACAGCCTTCACCTCCCTAACAGCAGCATACTCAGCGCTCTCGCCCGCATTCAGACATCTGCTCAGCGGGCTGCGCTTACACCACGCCCCCGCCTCGCTCGGCGAGGTATCCCGCGTAGGCGCAGAGCGCGCGTCAAGGGAAGCAGTCAACACGACGCATCCGCTAATCATCAAGCACCCCGTCACGAACCAGCCCTCGCTCTTCGTGAACCCGACGATCGCGCGCAGGGTCGACGGGTTCCTGGCCGAGGAGTCGGACCACTTGTTACGATTCCTGCACGAGCATATCCGGAGCCTGGATTTCAGCTGCCGGGTGCGCTGGGAGCGAGGGGCACGGTCGTGGTGTGGGATTAGAGGGCCGCGGCGCATAGCGCGGTGCCGGATTTCAGGGGGGGGGGGGGGGGCGAGAGGAGGCATTTGGTATGGGTTATTCCTTATGGGAGGAGGCCGGAGCCGGCGTTTACGGAGAGGTTTAGGGGTTCTGGGTAGAGAGCTATTACCTAGGTAAGCAGTTAAGTTAGGGGTGTCCCTTTGATTGTATTCAATAGTAGGTAGGTGCATACAATCTATACCCCTGATCCATGACATCACCGTGGATGAGGTTGGATGGAATTAATGTGACTATGGTTCAACCCGATACTTCGTCGCCTCTGTGTGATTGATGTTCTGTAACTGAGTTAAGTTGCGTGTTTACTTGCTTCATATGTATTCCATTAGGTTCGGCAAGGACCTGTGTCTGGGCTTCTTCGTCCGTACGGTACGCGTGCATGCTACCAAGGGGGCTACTTTCGGCTCTTGTAAGAGGCATCCAGACATGGTAGGTGTTTCCCTGGGGTTCGGGTGTTGGTCGACTCCGGAACCTGGAGAATAGATGCGTCCATGGATGTTTTATAACCAGTGACCTCGGGTTGTTGGGGTCGAAGGCCTTAGGTACTGACGGCACGCAAAATACCAGCAGAGCGCAGGTCTCCTCCGCGAGCATCCACACCAGCGTCAACGAGACGAAATAAGACGAGTCATCAGCGTATACAAGCGCGCCCAAGCGACCAGCTGCGCAGATACAGGCGCTGCGTAGGAATGTATTAGGATAGAGAGTTACCCATGGACAAGGAAGAAACAATCGACGGACTCACAGAATACCGATGGAGAAGACAAGCGACACACCTAACTTGCGTTTTCGGCTTATCTGCAGCTTCCAGATAACCCATTGCGGCAAAATGAGAATGAAGGTGTCCAGAGAGATGTTGAATATGCATAAAATGTCGACCCTCTCCTTTTGAATAAGACACTTCGGCGTAACGTAGAAGCGCCAGATTGGCACCACGGGGACGCAGCGGACGACTGTGATCACTATACCCCCGGTATAGCCAATTATAGCAGCGCATATCAGAACTCGGCTGGCCCAGAAGAAGATGCTGCGGCCGTGGTCGGGGGTAAAGATGCGCGCCCACTCCAGCAAGATCGAAACTTTCACGAAGAGTTGGTTGAGTTGGTAAATTATGTTTAGAACGAATGCAATCTCAAGGGGTCAGATGTGTTAGTCGAGCAGGTAAAGGGTGTCTACCTATAGTAGGTTCACATATCCTGCCTCATATACAGAGCAGCATATAGAAAAAGGAGACTTACAGATGCCATCTCAATCAAGTCGTGCCATCGAGTATCCCACATATGTACAAAGAAGCCGATGGTTCGCAGGAAAAGGAAGTAGGTGCAGATAGTGCCAATATAGCATCCCTTAAGCTATTGTCAATATGCATGACCAACACTAAGTCAGCTATAGCATCACGTACGAAGGCACATAGACCTAGAACTAACATTATCAATTAGCGAGATAGGAGGTGTCTGTATCGTCGATTGGAGTACGTACGGTCTTCGATATAAAATTTCTTGAGAACGAAGAAGCGCGCGTAAGCACGCAGCAGGAAGGCAGCGGTGGTGAGAAGCAGACAGATGACGGCGAGAACAATAGCGCCTCCGTTCGCATTTGGTGGATTGTCTATATGTTGGATTATCCCATGCGGCGGCTCACCAGATGAGTGATTTAGAAAGGCTGGTAGATCGTGTGGGGATTTGGGAGGAATGTTCCAATTGTGAGCCATTGTCTACTAGGAATAGAGATATAGATCTATAACACATGCTAGAAAGACAAGGATTGGTAAGTCTAAAGATCCCCTGTCCCTCATTATACTCTCTACCTAGATCCTCTTATATGTCTATATGGATATTTTGTAGGTAGGACAGAGGCTACAGCCTCGCTCTGCACGTTGTGTCGCAATATTGATAATATCGGCTGTATCTTAGGTAAGATGGAGTTACGTTACATACTATGGTTGAGGTGATTGGGGGCTAGCCTGTGACTTACCTATATCATTTTCTTGAAGATAAGGCTCTGCCATGCCGGTAGTTGGAGTATAAGAGCCGCGAATTGGAACCGAGAAATTTACTGCAGTTGGGTTGCATTATAAAAAGGCGAGTAGAAAACTGATCGGTCGGCAGCTAATCATGAGTTGAAAGCAACCCCTGGGGCCGCGTAAGTTGCGATATATAGATGACAAAAGGGGCATGAATAGAGAAGATCAATGACTGCTCTATTTTGGTTGAAATAGCGATATCTAGACCGAGTATCTAGTTGGGTATATGTACAATTTACGCCGACATGCCTTCCCCTGCCCCTGAGATCCGAACCACCTGTTGTATACCCAGTAGTTAAATATCGTAAATGTTCAAATCCCTTGATGTATGCTAGCTTGTTTCGATAGACCGTACAGTGGGATAGACCGAAGAAGTTATATCAACCATAATACAATGATAATGGGCTAGATGGTAGCATAGATATAGTAAAACATGGCTGGCTTGAGAAGAGGCTCGTAACCCCTTGTACCTTATACCTCCCTCATGCGGATCGCGGGCGAAGAGGGCTGCTCTCCAAATTGGGCGAATCAGTAGAATCTAATCCGACAAGCAGAGACCGTAACCCATGGTCATGGTTTCGTTCTGGGGGAGAATCGAATTCGCCACCACCAGTAACGGGCTGAGAGGCCGAATACGGAGCGAAGGCCGTACTGGGGCGTTCGCGCCCGTCCACATTCTTCTGGCCCAATTCCCACATAGGCTCTGCGAAGCCGCGCCGGATCAGCGCATCTTGCATATCGTTCGAGAATCCGCGGAACCGTATCATCTCGTCTGACTTAGCGCTTAGATCCATAAGCGAGGCTTCGATCTTAGATCGCGCAGCTGCTAGATCGGCCTTGGTGCTGGTGATATCAGTCTTTAGGGCCGCCTCGCGCTCTTGGAGGGGTTGGAGTTGGTCAGTGATTAGGGCGTTTATATCGCCTCGTAGCTCCTCTGACGCGCGGACGCGGTTGAGCGGTGCTTGAATTTGAGACTGTTCATCTTGTAGGAATACGGATGGTGCGCGCGAGCCCGACGTTCTGCGAGACAGCAGTTCTCGTCGTCGCGCAGCCAACCCTTCCTCTTGCTTTTCTATGGCGACTAGATCCTTGAATGTGTTCTCCATCTCTTCCCTTTGACGTTCTATATCGGCTATGTCACTCTTCACGGCAGATAGTTGGTCCTCTAAGGATTCCAATCGACCTTTGACAGTGCCAAGTTGCGACCTGGTCTCCTCGACCGCCCGCTCGCAGTTATGGCGCTGGCCCTGAAAGACGCTGGCCAGCCGGAGGACGACCGACTCGATGTAAGTGGCTACGCCATCCGAAGAAGGTGTGGGTAGCATGCCTTCCTCGAAACGGAAACGAGGGTTTGGTTGGGAAGGGTGCCGTTCCGAGTTGGGACCGGAGTTGGGCGCAGATTCGGGGGGTGTTGCGTATGAGAAGTGGAGCGGCATAGATGAGTAGTGACGGCGTTTCTGTCGTTTAGTCATAGGTGACCCCGGTTCGTTAGCCATGCTGTACCCGGTAGCTAGGCTACGTCCTCGGAGACGGCGGGTAGGCGAGAACAGAGGCCGGGGTTGTCGACTTGATTGATTATCTTGTTGGTCGTTGTCAGGCTCGTATATGCTCGGATCGTCCTCTTCGTCGTTGTCTTCTTGACCTTCGCTCGACCCTCGTTCGGCTTGCTGTTCACCAAGCCTCTGCCGCTCAGCAGCAGCAGCACGTCTTTGCTTTCTCTTCCTATTTCTCATGGCGGGGTTTTCTGGTGTGTCGGATCCTTCCTTACATTCGTCGATGACTGCGTTGAGAATGGCAAGCGAAAGGGGCTGTCCATCGGGAACGTTGGCGCTCAGTAGTTGTCGAGCATGCGGAAGAGTGGTGCAGAGGGCGATAGTCTTTAGCTTGTCAAGTAGATTATCGGTCCATATGGTAGGTAGGTGAGGAGAGTTGGCCGGGAAGAGCTGCCAGGGCCAGATATTCCAAAGTTGATAGATACGTTGGGCGGTTTGCTTGTTCCGATTCGACACAGGCCGTTTGAGCGGGTGGTCTGTTGGAAGAGCTATATCTAGTGTCTCGACCGGACGAGGCATCGGTCGATCTTGAAAAGGGAAAAAAAACTGTTTCGATCTAATTATCAATCTATCAAAACGGACTTTACTTAGCGGTCATGTAGATGTATAAAATATGGAGTTGGGCATGAAGACTTTCGACTCTTTCGACTTCAGACTTCAACACCGCCAATTTAATTGTGGAGCAATTCGTTGGAGATGCAGGTACCGCAGAGCTGGCACAAGCTGGCTGGCTTAAAATTGGGGTAATTGCGGAGATTCTTCCCCTGCTTACCCCACACGCCCCACCACGTCATAGGTATCCCTACCAGCATCTAGTTTTTTAGATGCAGCTATTTTGAAAGTTAGATTCCTGTCAGATGTTCCCTCCTATTAATCCGCACATTTCTACTTACCTTGACGTATGAAATAAATATCAATAGTCAAGTATAATCATCTTTTCGTCAAATAATTTCATATGAGGTATAATGAATATTTGCATAAGTAACGATATGTCAATGACGTCCAGGGGCTTTCTGTCAACGTAGAAGGTTCGAGTTTAGGAGACATCATTGGGCGTCCAGGGCATAAAGTCTAGCGCTTTCTCCAACTGTTCAACACGTCCCCTAAACCAGTAATAAGTGAACACGACCAGTCTCCTTACGTGTCCACCATTCCCTAGATACAGCATCGACACGATTAGCTTGCTCAACAGAATTTGCAAGTTGCGAAATCCATGTTCATTGGGAGCGAACGTGAAAATATTTTCATGCCGTTCTAGGTCATGAGGAATATGACATGCTGCGGAATGCATACCTGATATGACCGAGACTTGGAGAGCTGTGAATGGGTGCGCACCTAGATAGGTGGCGTATTAATGAGATAATGAGATTCGGCCTGATGCATGAGCCCTAACACCTCGCCTTAGGGAATAATCCTTCTTCGTTTGTATGCCGCCCTCCGAAGCCCCGGGTAGCGGCTGGATACCTGCCTAAGTAATAGCTGTACGTTTCGATTGAAGATAGTTAGGGTCATGAATGATCATATTCCTGTACCATGCCAATGTCGTGGCATTGCATTGCCTTCGAATCAGTAAGACGGCTTACCAACTTAAAAGGTGATCTGATGAACAGCGGTGATTGTGTGTGAGGATTATGTAATACGGCTGTCGTTTGGCCGGAATTGGTGAGCGGGACTCAGGAGAGAGGCGGTCGGGATCCGCCGTGGCCTCTAGGTCGATTTGAAGCTTAAGGTTAGCTTTAACTAGTAAACATCAAAAATAGTATCATGATTGAGAATGGTGTGACTTCCAATTCTAGGCAGCAATAAAGATAAGTAGAAACGAGCGTTCTTATAATAATTAAGGGGGTTTTTCAATGGTCAAGTTTCCGCAATAGACCCCCTGTCTATTCGTAAATCTGTATGCCCACCATAGCCTCGATCTATATTGCGTGCATCGTAAGGGGAACCCAAACATAAGACATGACAAGCAATTCTGCCTAGAAGACGATTTCCATGGCATAGCTTATTCGCACAACAGCTCAATTGTTCCAGATCTTGACGATCCACTCATAGATCGCAATTGGTCTTCGTAAGCGGTAGCCCATCATGCTAAAACTCGGTAGTTGATTGGACGACTCGCCTAGTTTTTCGCAAAAGCTAATATTACGATTTCAAGTATTTTTACGAAGGGTACGAGATATGCGAACTCGATGTTTGAAACTACGAAACCGTAGATGTGGGTCAGCGAAGTACGAAAACGCGAGCGATAGGCATCCATATTCGAACTCATCGCATGAAGAATGCTTAGTCCGCATATAATGGACCGGATTTAACTAGGCAATCCCCTAATACGTTCCTATGAGAAATAGCATGAATTCAGATATGAATGCGGTAATGCTGTTAAGGGCCTAACCGCGTTCTCGAACCCAACAGTTTGATATGGTGTTACCTGCGTAGGTAATTAGTAAGGCTAGCAGTTGCATTAGTACCTACTGAGCTAGAAGATTCAGACATATGGCATGACTTCATCTACGAAAACCTGAGGGGGCTGATGGTAAGTATGCGTATAGATGCGAGCAAGGCTGGCAAGATCCGGCCGGAGTTAATGATGTGGGAGCGAGTGTGGATGTCCACTATCACGACTTACGAAACAGTACTCTAGACTAACTCTTTGCGTAGCGCATCTCTGAGGCTGAGTATGAATAAATGCGCCGTTATAGTGTTATGGTAGGAAAGGGAGCCGTAATGTGTAGCTATCGTCGAAAGTATACTTAAGACATCATGGCCCTCATCATATACCACCCAAGATCCCTTCAATTCCATCGTCATTCATGATCACAGCCTCATTCTAATATTCAAAGAAAACTCGTAAACATGGCCGATCCAGCAGCGAGTTTCGTGTTCTACCGGTATAAACCATCTATGGTTGCCGCCATCGTATTTATCTCCTTGTTCGGCTTATCCTCTCTGGTTCATATGGGGATGCTTGTCCGAAAAAGGACCTGGTATTTCATTCCGTTCGTCATCGGTTGTCTCTGTAAGTCGCCTCGTCAATATGATTCAATCACAACTGTTTAACTTGGGCATCTTAAACGTGAGTACTAATTCTGTCAAATAAAGTTGAGACTGTAGGTTATGTAGGACGGGCATTGTCGTCACCGGAATATCCCAACTTCACCAAGAACCCGTATATCATCCAATCCGTTCTACTTCTTCTCGGACCTACCCTTTGCGCGGCCTCCATCTACATGGTTCTCGGCCGACTAGTCCGCCACCTCGAAGCCGATTCCTATTCGTTGATCAAGCCTAAGTGGCTCACCAAGTTTTTCGTCCTCGGTGACGTTATCTCTTTTTTCGCTCAAGGTGGAGGTAATTATCAATTCTTCATTATCGGAAGAAATTTCACTTACTGATGTTGACTCGTCCAGGCGGTGGCCTCCTCACCCAAGCCAAAACGCTGGACGATGTACGCCGAGGTGAGAATATCATCGTTGCTGGTCTCGGCATACAGATCCTCTTCTTCGGATTCTTCATAATAGTCACTCTCGTCTTCCACAGACGTATCTCGGGAAAACCTACACGAAACGCTTTAACCCTTACGACTCCCTGGCGGAAACTTCTCATCGTCTTATATGTCTCGAGCTCGCTCATCATGGTACGATCTATCTATCGTGTGACCGAATACATCATGGGTTCGGATGGCGAGCTCCAGTCGAAGGAGATATATCTGTATCTTTTGGATGCTGTTCCAATGTTCATCGTGGTATTTTCGTACAACGTTTTCCACCCCAGTCGGGTCGTCAGCCGCGATACTAAAGACAGCAGGATGTCTATCACAAGCTTGGATGTTTTAGGGGAGAGTCGCTAATGTTGAAGGGGATTTTGTTGCTAAATCTACCAGAACTTAAGATCTGATGATACGTGGAAGGCATTCACATCGCCTTTTTTTTCTTTTGTAGAGTATAAAAGGTCGCTGTCAATTAGAGGTAGCTGAACAGCATAGGTAATGGATGGGAGTTAGGACCTGGGCATTTATCTTATTAGAGTTACCTAAGCAGCCAAGAGATAACCATTTCTTATTTATTTTTTTACCTCAGATCATTTTCGGAAGTTTTCGTCCCTATGAATTATATTTACTTCTACATCATGTTAAGTCGGACTGATACCGATGCTGCTATCGCACAGAACGAGTACCTAGTGTCTAAGTCACAATATTCCTTAACCCCTTTCCGACTTTCTGCCCTCCTTGTCTTCCCCTAATTAACAATGTATATAGGAAAGTGGAACCCCGAAGGTACAAGATTTCTGTGGTAACCCGACACGAATAAAGACATGTTTGGTCATCATAGGTACCTATACTGCTTCCTTAGTACCGTCATTCTGTTAAGTCATTAACTTTTGGCTACCATACATGTTATTGCTACACAATGTTTTCTCTACTCGCGAATATGATACAACATAAAGACCTTAGAATACAATTCTAATAACTAGTTACATCTCTCCAGAAACGAGTTTTCAGTACACCGGGAACTTAAAAGCATCGAAAGTATAAATCCACGAATCCCTCGACTTCTCATCGCTCACACACTCCAAACTCGTCCCGTTGCCCGACCAAAGCGGGCGAAGCGGCCACTTACAAAGCGTATCAATGACCCCGCCGTCATTCTCCAGCGTATCGGGCGCGACGCCCTTCTCCGCCCACTCGATGACAGTCTGCAGCGTGGTAGCAGGCCACCCACCGTTAGGCTCGTACGGGTTACTCGAGCAGTGCGCGCCGCCAGGCACCATGAAAAGGCGGTAGAAATCGTCCATCTCCGCGACGCTGTCGTTGTACGCGAGCGACCCGTACATCGTGCTGCGCACCGCCTCGTAGTAGTGCACGGACGACGCCGTCGGGATCGAGAAGTCCGACTCGCCGTGGACGTGGATGACTTTCCCGCCGGCGTCCTTGAAGGGCGTGATGTCCGGCCACGTCGTCTGCAGCGAGTCGTAGTACTTCTGCATGCCGAGCACCATCCAATCGCGCAGCGTGTCCGCCGTCACGTTCGCGAGGCTCGCCAGGTTGCTCGTGTCCTGCAGCTGCAGGTACCGCGCCACCCACTCCCCGCCCAGGCTCGAGATGGCGACTTCCCACTTGCTCGTGTTGGTGTTGTACTGCGTGATCGCGTCCGTGAAGGCGGACCCCGGTTGCGGGTTGATGTAGATGCGCTTTCCCTGCGAGTCGATCAGGCCGTTCGTGAACGCGGAAGCTACGGCTACGCCCTCGGCGGTGATGGTTCCGTTTTGCGCCGGTGCGTATCCGGTTGGGGCGGCTTGCCGGCGTCGCAGACTGGTGCCGCTGGATGCTGCGCAGTAGTAGGGCTCACCGATCGTGGACGTGTAGTTGAAGTTCAGCTTGCAGAGGTCGGATCTCGAAATCACGCCGTCGACCTTGCCATCCAGTCCGTCGCAAGCAGCGATCGTCAAGTTCATGATCTTCTCCAGCTCGCACGGGGGCGGATAGTAACCCATAGCCTCCTCGATGACGCCTCCGGACAGGTGGTTCACCTGCAGCTGGCCATACCGGAAAGCAGGGGCGCCGGTAACGACGCCGTCGAATTGCTCCGCGAAACGCTGGATCTGGCTCCACCCCTCGCGGCCTCCCTCGGAACATCCCTGGTAGTACGAGTACAGTTTATCGCTGTCGGAGACGTTGAAAAAGTTCTTCGTAAATTGCTTTCCCAGCGTGGCGAGCTCGTGGTGGGCTTGGTAACCGAACATGTACGTCGCCTGCCAGTTGACCGTGCCTGCTGCTAGGAGGAACGCGGCGTCGAATTGCGTGTCGAAGTTGCCGAAGCCTCCGTCCGTGATACCCGATACAGCGCCGACGATGATTCCAGATGGACTGTACGACGCGCCCGAATTGATAGCAAGTCCGCCTCCTCCGGTCGAGACATACCGGTTTGAAAAATTTTCCGGGGTAGGCACGAGATACGACACGTGGACGGTGTCGTTGTTAAGTCCGTTGTGAGAATAGGCGAACGTGACATTGCAGTAATCGATCACGGAGGCGGCGTACCACTCGGAGGTGACGGATTGGTTAGTAGCTAGAGCAGCCGAGACTGAGGACGCGTCGATGGTGACCGCGAGTCCTAGATCCTCGGTCGGGAGCACGCTTGTGACATAGTCGACCGTGCAGTAGTCGGCCAACGAGGCAGCACGTACGGCAGCTATCGCGGCGCCGAACGCTAGCGCTACTTGTGTAGAGACCATTGCGTCGAGTCTGGGCTAGTGGACTCCGGTCCACGAAATTGTGAAGAAGCACGAAGATCTGTAGAAGGGACGTCGATTGGCGTTGGGCGATCCAGGTGGGCGTGCCCGTTAAGTATGAATGTTAACCTCGCTACATCTTGACCGATGCCTTGGGCATTGTGGATTGCGACGGTGGTCTCTTAGCCAAAAATGGAAGTCTCCTCGAGTCAGTCAATACCGGCTCATGGATACATGTTGTTGATATAAACCTTTCCACCAATCATCAGACCGGAATTCCAGGTTAAGGGGGATATTTTGGCCGGTGTCTCTACGCAGCACTCCTGAACAATCTAAAATTGCGTACGTAATTCATGCATGGGACCTTGAGGATTGGAATGGACTACAAGAGTTGGAGATGTTTTTCTTATGCAAATAACCTAAAAATAATGAAAAAAGCGTTTGAAAGCTTGAAATTGAGCAATTGATTTAATACAAAAGCCTGGCTGCCGTCACTACTCCCTCCTCGGGTATAGCTGAGCGATGGCATAAAAGCAAAGAAAAACCGCGAATTTTACCTACGTAATATCAAGACGCGCGTTTTCCAAGATCTCTTTCCCCATCGAGACATGAAAAGAGCTACGATGGGACGGCAAGGGTGGTAGCCGGTGGGGCTTACCAGGGGCTCGGGGCATAAACTGAGTACGATCGGTCAAATCTACCGACGGTGAAGTTCTTGATCTTTTCCCCGGACATTCACCTTATTTTAAATTCCTGGAAACCCCCGACTGGTGTACACGTGTACGGCACTCGGACGTACTTGGGATATATTTGTTCCTAGAGCAAAGGTATCTCGAATCTTCCAGCTATTACACCGAGCCTAGCAACAATACGAAGTCAGGCAAAGGCCATGAACGACATATCAAGATCTTCGGGGAGACGACAACGTAAGCAAGTAAAAATTGAATCTGACAGATCAATTTTATCCAAAAGTTTACATCATCTTGGTAGAAGGATCAGAAAGAAGATCTAATCTTATCTGATCCTTAATTACCTGTCACATTACGTATTATCTCAACCTGCTTAGGTAAGTCATCGTGATGTGATCATCCAAGCCTTAACGCTGGGTTGACAACCGTCCGCCAACATATCCCAAACATTATAACCATGCAGTCATGTTAGAATGTTGCCAAGGTGATCCTTAAGTGTAGCCCAGAGGATTCTGCTTGGGTAGGTACCGGTAGAGATCCCCTTGTTAGTTTTCTCATAGAGCAAAAAAGAACAAGAAATGTTTGCCTTGCGAGAAAACGTTGGTGTATACCCTCATTCCACAGCTCGTCGTGGGCTCGCGCTCAGGGTGTGAATGTGAGATTATCAGCTCTTGATCGATTTCAAGATTTCAAGGGCCGAGGGCCCTTTTATACACGATTAGCAGCTCCTTAGTGGGGCACCTCTACGTAGTAGCGCGCGGTACTAGCTTTTAACGGCTTTGCCTGTGAATTTATTGTTAAACATCGAGGCCTAGCGGTTGAGGGTCTGCTTCGGTCGGGTTGGATTTCAGCCCGTTCAGCTTGGTCCATTATTAGATGAAACCTTCGGAGCTGTTGGTAAAAAGCTTGGTTTAAATCTTTTAAAGCTTCTCTCGTAATGACATAGTTGCCTCGTCCATTAGGGCGCTCCTAGCCTACCAGCCTACTAGGTATATTAGATAGTTTCACTTATCTTCGTGACTAATAAGCTAACGTAGGTGGACCTATTAAAGGACTTGGCAACCAGAATCCTTCGGATATGTAGTCCGGGCTTGTCCCAATTCAGCCTTAGAATCAGTGAAGTGTAAATAAAATACTTATTTCGGGCCTAGTTTTTTATCCTCTTAACAACGTGCTGTAGCTTGCTTCGGTTTGCGGCATCCTGTCGGGCCCTGGGATGCGCACGTAAATATGCGGAAGTCCGTGGTTGAAATCCTTTCGTGGATAACTCGACTTTCGAGAAGAATGCTACTGTCGAGGCTTGTCCTGGGCAGGTTTGGGGTCCGACGAATTGCATTGCGCACAATTCAGTTTCATCTGTTCATAGGCTATTGAATTTGATCGAAGAATCGATTACGGGCAGTTGGACTCATTTATAGTGGGCTCAACCCCAGTGAATTTAACGTTGCTGTCTATCATCGTCACCTTCGTGTTCCTAGGTAGTAATGAGTATGAGCATTGGATAACCGTGATTGCCCATCCCGCTCGTATTGATGGCTTTGCATGCTTTAATATCAAGCCCCTGTCTTTACTAAAACTGGCCAGCTGTTGGGCCTTAGGGGACTGAAAAGCACCACTATGCGTATAACATCACCGGTAATCTGGACTTGGATATGAAACAAAAGCTAAGTAATTATTTCTCGTCACAGGTAAGGCTTCGCGAAATTTAAGGTGCGCTCTATGCCGTAAAGAATTGGGTGCCGTCAGGTATTTATCAGAACGATCCCCAGGGGAAAATCGGCATTCTGAACGAACCCCTGCCGACGATCCGGAGACATACCCCGAATCTGCAAGTCGGCCGCGACGCTAAGGTCCCATAGATATCTTAATACGAGAAATGCCCTTTGTTTAATGATACCATTGTAATTGTGCATTGAGGAACCTTTAACGAGAAGGTGATGATCATGGGCTGACTGTTGAGCAGCATAAGAAGACGGCCAGCCGGTTATTTGATTATGCTCTGCGCCCGAGCCTTTGTGATCTCGCCCTAGTGTAGATCTACCAACTTGTCCTTTACCATGGCGATGAAGCTCAAATGGCGCACCGTCTTCGTTGGGATGCTGGCCGTGGGCGCCACAGTTGTTTCCTCTAACCCCACGCCTAAGGGACGATCCATAGCTCACGAACGTCGCGACACGCTTGCCGAGCCCGTTTGGAATAAGCTCGACCGGGCGCCTTCTGACGACGTCTTTGAGATGCGCATTGGTCTGAAGCAGCAGAACCTTGACCGCGGGTACAGCCTACTCATGGATGTGTCGGATCCGAGGTCCTCTAATTACGGAAAATACTGGCAGCCCGACGAGATTATCAAAATGTTCGCGCCAGCAGGGGAGACAGTCCAAGAGACGAAGAATTGGCTGAACTCGTCAGGGATTGGTAATGAGCGCGTTGCGCTTGCTGCGAGTAAGGGCTGGCTTGTCTTCAATGCGACGATCAGTGAGGCAGAAAAGCTCCTCGACACGGAGTACTGGCTTTACGAAGGGGACGAAGGGCAGATATCTGTGGGCTGTGATGAATACCATGTTCCAGCTCAGTTGAGCGAACATATCGACTTCGTATACCCGGGTGTCGCCATGGCGGAAAGCAGGAAGCCGAGTAACCTCGCAAGACGAAGTGAGCGCCCAAAAAGACAGAGAAAGACTACCCGCCCGGGGAGAGTCGTAGGTCGTCAGACATCAAACTGCTCCGCGTTGGCAACGCCCGACTGCATCGCAAAGATGTATAACCTTCCGCCGGCAGATAAAGCGCATCCCAACAACTCCATGGGAATCTTCCAGAAAGGATCATGGTACCAAGAAAAGGACCTGGACTTGTTCTTCCAGACGTACGCTCCTCATATCCCTCAAGGAACTCGGCCGCAGAACTTGAGTGTTGACGTAGCTGTCTGGCACTATAACGAGAATGACACTTACGTCAGCTATCCCGATGAGGCGGACCTAGATCTCGACGTTGCGTATCCCATCATTTATCCTCAAACGGCCACGGTCTTCCAAGTAGATGATGAGTATTATAATCTATATTCAGCCAATGGTTATTTTGGCCTTTTCAATACCTTCCTCGATGCTATCGATGGCGTAAGTTCTCACTGTCCCATATGTTCCATTCCGTAGAATAACTTGGCTAACTGAGAAACTACGACGGCAGTCGTATTGTGACTACTCGGCATATGGCGAAACTGGCGACAATTCCCAGTACGACGCTGTCTATCCTGACAACAATACTGTTGTTGCTCCCGGTAAGCCGGAACCGTTTGACCCTGGCACCTACAAGGGAGAGCGTATGTGTGGCGTATATAAACCGACGAACGTCATCTCAATGTCGTATTCGAGGGTGGAATCTACTTTCAGCGTCGCCTACCAGATGCGACAATGCAACGAGTTAGTGCTTCTACCTATCATCTTGTTAGATTGAGTCCGAGAGCTTCGATACTGACCAAGTTCTAGGTGGATGAAGCTGGGCCTCCAAGGCGTGACTGTCGTAGGATCTTCCGGAGACAGCGGCCCGCTTTCAAGTAACGCATGCAATTCCGGCGGCTCTAGCACCTTTTACGCTACCCACCCCGGAAAGTATGGCTCCCTGACTTGTATCCCATCACAGATTCACTGGCTAACTCTCAAATAGTTGCCCCTATATCACGTCAGTTGGCGGCGTAATGCTGCAGCCAAATGGTAGCCTAGCCGCTGCCAAAGTTGATGAGGCACCCTGGGCCACGTCTGGCGGATTCTCATGGTATTTCCCGAGACCGGATTACCAGGAAACGGCTCTCTCGACTTACTTCTCAAAACACGACCCGGGCCTCGACGGTAAATATAACAGCTCCGGCAGGGGTTTCCCGGATATCTCGGCTCTTGGTAGAAACGTGGCCGTGGCCGTGCTAGGCAAGCTAGACACTGCCGACGGGACGTCCGCTTCTACGCCTCTGATCGGCGCCTTGTTCAACAGGGTCAATGAGGAGAGGCTTGCCGCGGGGAAATCTACTATCGGATTTGTAAATCCCGTTCTCTATGCCAACCCTGGAATTTTCGAGGATATCACAGCCGGTGACAATGGTATTTGCGGCGTCGAGGCCTATAAGGCCGTAGAGGGTTGGGATCCTACGACCGGATTAGGAGTGCCGGATTATCCGAAGCTATTAGAAGTCTTCATGGCCTTACCATAGATGTTAGATAAAACATTAATAATGACATTTAGAGATCTGTTGATAATTTGGCGTTAGCAATACTCTATGATGTGAAACATTCAAGACTTAGCTTAGCGTAAATCCACCGCGGCAACCGGCATGAGTTGGAAAGCCGGGTAAGTTGGTTTTAAGTCCTCTATTCATGTCCAATTCCAACGACTTCTTCATAAGGGCAATAGTGGAAGTAAGATAAAAACAAGATGAGTGAGATACTTTTATCCTATATTAGTAATTGATACGAGGATAAAATAAAATAAACCTAATTGCCGACCCAGGAATACACCGGATCATTATTCATCATCCGCCGTTGATATTCATGCTTGGAAGATACGCTTAAGCTCTCAGAACGCTATCCAGAGGAACCTCCCAGTACCAACCGGCCAGAACCATTGCGCCGACGCTCATCGTGAAAGCCATCAAAAAGTTGACGTCATTATTATCCAGCAAGTCCCATCCGCTCTCGGCAACACGCGTAGGCTTAAGGTCTCCAAAATGAGAGCTACGATGCTTATCTTTCGGATCGTACGGGTTCTTCCCATCGTCGGCCTGAGGTGTTGATTGTTTCTCGATAGTGCTCTCCCCATGTTCGTGAGAGTGGGATTCGGCAGTGAGAACGCGGACGCCACCTTCGCCTTCGACGATCTTCCCAGAACGCACATCTCTCACGCTCCTCTGGAACCAACCTCCTAAGAAACTGTCCAGAAGACTACCCAACGCGCCCCATATGGCCAATCCCCAGGCTAACGTGGCCTTTTGGTTCATAGTCCAGCTTTCTCCGCCGCCAATCTTGCCCTTGGTATCCTCCCCGCAAAAAGGAAGGAACATTAGAGACGCGGCCACGATGATCATAGACCCAAGGAAGCCGGCGACCAACCCCCACAACGTGACGCCGCCGTTCGTGCCTCGGGGGACTTTTCGAAGCGACCAAGACGTAATTAATCTCGGGCTAGTGCGCGACAAGATGCCGAGCTCAGAGGAAAAGGTATCGGCACACACGGCGGCATAATTGGCGATGATTCCGATGACGAGAATATCGCCGCCCCACTTATAGCAGAACGAGCCCTCGGGGATTTCCCGGTGAGAGACAACGGCATCGCGGCGTACGCGGAGCTGATAGGCATGTAGCAGCGTCAAGATAGACGCCATCAGCGAATTAGCCAACACCTGGACGTGCGTCCTCGGGCCCTCGCCTCCGGTGCTTCCTTGAGCATGTAGGGTGAGGTTGGCTTTGACATCGGCCTTGATCTTGGTCACGCGAGTCCCGGCTAGGAAGAAAACGACGAGTAGAACGAAAGGCAGGTTCCAAGGATGAAGGGCATGTGCGGTGGCAGTTACGGCGGCAGTAAAGATACCGAACGGCGTAAGGGAATTGTGGGAGTAAGCTCGATAGACGAGCGCCAACGTGGCAGGGACGGCGATGATGGCTCTCATCGCGACTGAAATCCCTGGCAGTTCCTCGGTTTCCTCTGAATTATTTGGATATCGAGACGCTGTTTCGAGCTAGCTGCCTACTGAGGTAAGTGTATATATCTGACTTCAATTGAGAAGTTGATCGAACATTGAAGTTGAGGAGTGAGCAAGTCAGCACATGTGTAAGGTGGAGAAATAGCTCTCACCTGCTTACTTCTTAGGGCTAGGTCACAGGCTCAGCGTCACAGGTACCTGTCGTTGATAAGATAAGAGCTTTTTATCTAAAAATAGATATCGGAAGGGATGACGTCAAGACGATAATTTCTACGCCGTGCCGTGTCGGAGAAATTGATTAAGAATAATGCAAACAGTCCGATCCGGTATTTCATTAATTACTCCATACTATAATCCATATTTTATGTTCTATGGATTCACGGCCAATAACCCTATTTCTTACCCTGGTATACGCCGATCAAGTCGCTGACAGCCGTGTTGACCGTGCCGTCATTGCCATACCAAAAGTGTTGCGGCGTTAGCATCCAGCGTCTTAGATGACCCGACACGATATCCTTTGCAAGTTGAGAGAGCTGGTCTTTAGCTTGCTTTGGGAGCTCGGTAATCAGGCTCGCGAGTGCCTTCTTCTGAGTATCGTTCATATGCGTCGTGTCCGCTTGCTTGAACATGTCCACGAGCCTGTTGATAAACCCGATAGGGTCCTTCGGGAAGTCCTCCGTGACACTGGTGCATAGAGGATCGGGTGTCGTCTTCTCACAGTACGATAGCAGTTTGGTACTCGACGGTACTGCCGGATAGTCAACGGTATCCTGCCAAATACCAACTGGGTCGCCGAAGACTCCTAATGCGATGACGCTGCCAGCCGCGTTGCCGAGCTCACCCAGCGATTTGTGGGCACACAGCGCGCCTTGACTATTATTAAGAATGAACGTTAATGATGGTTTTCGGAGATGAAAGTTGAATAAATGATGAGTTTAACTTGCCTCCACCCCCAAATGGCAATCTTGGAATTCGGGCAATGAGAATTGTACGTCTGCACGGCCGACCCCAGACTTTTCCCACAACTGTCCGATCCGCCTTCATCGACATAGCCGGCTAGATCGGCCGGGTAATCGCTGGGACTGACGCCTTGCATCGCGATCTTGATACCTGATGCCTGGCTGACTAGTGCGTCATGAAATGGGCCACCGACCCAAGGCCCAAGGTTTCTGATTCGTCTTTGTTAGCACAGTTAGACACTGCTGTGGCTTGCTAGTCTTACCCATCATCGAAAGTTCCTCGAGCGAAGATGACGGCAAGGTCGGCACATTCTGCCCCCGAATCCCCATTAAGTACGGGATCCCAGTCATTGGCGGAACTTGCTGGATCGCGACTGTGTAAGATGGCCGCGGCGGATGCGGGCGACACCATGGAAAGATACAAGGAGGTAGCTAAGCCGGACAAGACGGCGCATCTCGAAAGCGCACTCATCGTTATGGACGACATCGTGGTGTGACTTCGGCGGTATGATGAATAGGAACAGCACAAGTTGAGTTAGAATTTACCCGTACTTGCTCTAACTATCAAAGAGATGTAGGATCTGGATTGTCTTACTGACATACATACCTACGTTGGTTATATACTTACCAATTCGATCTGTGGCGGACGACATCGTATGGGTTCCCATGCTAGAGGTTCCGTGGAACTTCGCGTTCTGTCCAATGACCTCACAGCACTTTATTAAACAATCAAGTCAGGGAGCCGGATCCCTCGCCGCACTCAACGCCGCTGTAAGTGGGTCCTCAACCAGAAACACCTTCCTAAACAAATACATGAGTTACCTATTGAGAACCATATATTCCCACAGGTCGTGCAATCCTTAAGTAGGCCGTTTCGCGCTCACCGATTGATATCCCCGGTATTCTACCCTTTTCGCAAACCCGGACACCTGGTTCCTTCAATTATCTGCTCGCATATCTGAACCAACAGTCGATCCAAGTCTTTTAATAGCATCAATCAATGTTGGTTCTTATACGACTAATTGTTCAGGTATATGAGTTTAACTATGGCTTGCTTCACGTTGATCATCTACTAACAGCCTAGGTAGTGGGTGAAGGAGAGGACATGAATCACCCTTGAAATAAGGGTATTATTTTCTTACTCAGAACCTTCCATGTCCACTGACGGAATATTCAGATATATTTACTTCGGTAAACACGTTACGTAAGTCTTAATGAAAGAGCACACCAACATTCACGAACCGAATACCCTACCTGATTTTGTTGGTGGAAGCTTTCCAAAGTTCCGACAAACACGGCGTAGGTAGATATACGCATCTATCTTGTTGTAAATCATCATGAAACTGAGTCGAGAACCCTAACGCCCTGTACTATATTTTACTAATTACCATTCTATATCCCAAGCAAACCAGCCATGACTGTTTATGTAGGTACCTAGGTAGGTATTACAGGTAAATATTCACACCACCTTAATCAAACACATCAGTAGCATACCGAACATTCCTCGACTCATCCCACCACTTCTGCGCATCCTCATCACTAAGCCGCTCACCCCTCGCCTTCGCATTTTCCTGCCTTATACTCTTAACCACCTTCTCAACCCCCTTACTCATCTTCCTCGAACCGCACACGTAAAGCTGCGCGCCCCTCCGCCACATATCCAGGAAACGCTCCCGGTCAACCCACAACAGATCCTGGACGTACTTCGCACCACCCGACTCCTCCGGCCGCCGGCTAAAAGCCCGTTTCACAACCACAGCGCCAAGCTCCTCCCACTCCGCCAACTCCTCCGCGTACAAGTCATCCCGTCCCGCCTCCCGACATCCATGGTACAAAACCGCAGGCGCCACCTTGCGCCCCGCCCGCACCATCGCCGCGCGGTCCTGCACGAAGCCCCGGAATGGCGCTATCCCGGTCCCCGCCGCGACGAGGATCAGCGGCGTCTGCTCGGGCGTGGGCGGGAGGTGGAAGGCCGCGTGCGCGGGGCGCACCGAGACGCGCAGGCGGTCTCCTGCTTCGAGGCCGTCGAGGTATGTGCTCGCGACGCCGGAGTACGAGCCGCGGCCCGAGTTCGCGCGTCCTGTGATTAGGGAGAAGGATATTGATGCTATTTGTGGGTCGGCGAGGGGCGAGGAGGCTATGGAACTAGAATGGGGGTTAGGTGGGTTAGAAGTCCCGTGGGTTCGAGTTGGGTGGTAGGCAAGAACTTACTACTGCCGGACGCGCATCTGCGGTAGCATTGTTAGGAAATTTCCGAGTGGTAGGTCGATAGAGGGGTATGTTTCGAGCAGGTCTAGGATTGATACCCGCTTTGCGATGATCTCGGCGTCGTAGCTTTCGGAGGCTAAGTTCTTTAACGCGTCGCGGTCGGCCTCGCTAGTAGCTATGTCTGCTAACGCGAGGACGTTTCGCCGGGTCGCGGGCTGCGCGAGCTCGACGAAGCCGCTTAGGATGCTGTGGGCGGGGACGAGCTCGTTGGTTGGCAGTCTCGTGCCGGCGCCGTTGATTTTCACGGTTGTATCCCACTAGAGTGAGGCAATGAGGTCAACTGGTAAGTTCGAGGTTCGCATAATTGGGAAAGGGATTACATACCGATAATCCAAATCGGCGCATAGTTCGTTGAACGGTGTTCTTGGGGTTGACGGGGAGAACCGTCAGGTAATCTCCAGGCCTATAACTAGTACCGGGAGGAAGCTGGATATCGATGTGTCTCTTAATGGGTTCCCCGTCCGCGGTGAGTACTCGCGTTACCACGACTTTGCCTTCTTCTACGTCGTTCTTTTGCATGGACGAGCGCAATTTCGATACTTCTACCTTCAAAGGCGCATGTTTCATTTCCTGTAGCGATTCGCCCCCTTCTTTAGCCCGCAAGGCGTCTAAGGCTGGCCAGAACACCTATAACAATCAGCGCTTAGGAAATAATGGGATATCTGGTTGATTTGCTTACATCGTCTTCCCAAGCTTCAAACGAAACAAACATATCCTCCTTAGCAGCATTAGCAACACCTAGATCCGCGATCCTCGTCGCGCCGAGCTCTTCCAGTTTCGTATCAACCAATTTCGGGATCCGGTGGAACGTCTGCGCCCAGTCGTGATGACCGCACCCGAAGACCGCGTACGACGAACCGCGCAGCGCTTGCTTATCTTCCATGCTGCTGATCCAGGAAACGAAGTGGGCCGCATTGTCCGGGGGTTGCCCTTCGTAACTTGCAGTTATGACGACGATGGGTTGGTCTTTGGGAAGCCTTTCGACGGCAGCGTCCATGCAGTCGAGGGTAGTTACCTCGTACCCGTGCGATACCGCGTCCATGGCCAAGCGCTGCGCCAGGTTTTCGCAGGTCCCGCTATTCGAGCCGTACAAGACCGTCATATGTTGACCTCGGACGCCGTTGCTAGTAGGGGTGACATCGCCCGAAGAGATTTTCAACTTGCTCAATGGTACCTCCGTTCCGGCAAGTCGATGTTCGAGCTGAACAGGGTCTAAGCCGTCGCGCAGTATGGCCCTCATGTAGAAGTTATCGGGCTTCATGGTCAGTGTCTGGTTGTGGACTAACTTGTAATCTGCATCAGCTAAGACGAAGTTGAAGTTCTGGAAGAGGATCGCCATGACAAGCACGGCTTCTTGCCATGCAAATGGCCGACCGATACACTATTTTCGATTAGATAATGTCTAATCATCGTATAGTCTCATGCCGAAGGGGACTGTTGCTTACCGCTCTAACGCCGTTGCCAAATGGTTTCCACGCGTTCTTCGGCAGCTTGTTAAAATTCTCATCGAGCATCCTCTCCGGTTTGAAGACCAAAGGGTCCTCGAATACTTTCGGATCAAGATGCGATGTGGAAAGTAAACATTGGACGAATTCCCCTTTGTGCACCGGATATTTCCCTGCGAGCAATGTATTATCCTCGAGGGGACAGACCCCGAAAATCGGAATAGGCGAATCCAGACGCAGCGCTTCTCGGAGAACCTGTAATAATCAGCTTCCGGTTTACAAGACTTCATAGCCTGGAAAGGGTTTACAAACCGCAGAGATATACGGGAGCTTTGACATATGGTTTGCCGTTATGGGGCCCTTGCCTACCACTTCGTCAACCTCTCGCTGTACCTTTCGATATTCGTCGGGGTTCGCTATAAGTCGGTACTATGGCACGACGAAATGTTAGCAGGTGATGTAGCGGTAAGTGATAATGACAAATTGAGGAGTAATTCACCATAGCATAGGACAACATTCCGGAAGTAGTCTCGTGCCCCGCGACTAAGAAAGTGATGAGGTTGTCGATGATGGATTGGTCACTCATCTTCTCCCCCGTCACCGGATCTCGTCCCTTCAACATAGCGGCGAGAAGATCCTTCCGTTGGTTACCCACGTCCGCGACACGTTCCTTCAGAACTTCCTCGGCCGTCTCTCTCATGACGTCGATCTGGGCCTGGAACTGGGCATCCTGAGTTTTGTAGAAGATCCCCGGCAAGGGTAAACGTTGAGTTCTCCGTCCGCTCTCGAGCAGAAATTCGGTCATGGCGTCGGGGAAGGGGTGCATCTGCTCGGAGTAGAAGCTATTGAATCGGTATCCCATAGAACATAGAGCAATCGTATCGAGAGTTAGCCGCGTGAAATCTTGCGCGGCGAGGATTCTCTTATGAGGTCCATGTCTCGCCCATTTCAGGGCTAGCTGCGTACCGACGTCCTTCATTTCATCGAACATGTCGCGGATTCCCATCGGCCCAAAAGCCGGCATCAAGACGCGGTGAGCGATGCCCCAGCTGGGCGACTCGATATATGCCGTGAACAATCCATCGCCAAGGCCCGCCCTGATTTGTTGCAAGACGTTATTCGGCACCTTCTTGAATCTCTTCTCGTCGCAAGCATCGTCGACTAATTCATGCGTGGTGGCAACTACTAGGCTTGCCCCTGGAACATTTAGTCGGTAAATTTCACCGTACTTGTTCGCTAAGGCTTTGAAAGACTCGATGCTCCGTACGGCGTCGATGTCGGCGATGTTGCCGATGAATGGAAGCCCCGGCGGCTGAGGGATTGGGACAGGCGTCATATTGCAGTTCTAAGTACCACCGAAGTCGAATACTGTGTGGAGGGTTAGTTTCAGCGATTTCAGATATTATCACAATATGCAGGTCGTGTCGAAGTTGACTTCCGCTGTGTAAATCACGACCCAAGGACTGTGGTGTTATGGTAGATAAGTTGCTACGTCTTTGATTTCTACAAATTTCCTCGGGTAGACCTCCTACGTATATATATGATAACATACGATGGAGCTTGTTCACTGACACTTCTTGTTCTCCGCGTCAGCGATCGGGCGCTACTGCGACCGCTCAATGCCGATGTATGGCATGGCCGGGGCTAAAATCCATCCGCTCTTCAGCTCGGGGACTTTGTGCCGCCAAACCAACGTATAACAATTCACCATCTCCGCTTCGGGGCTGCAGTGATCGTATAACCGGGACTAAAACGCATACGTACCCGAGTAGTCGGGTGAGGTGCCGGGACAGGGTTACTCGGGTACATGCAATCGCTACGATTTCTATGTGCGACTGATGTACTCGCTAATATATGTCCTTTTACATTCTGTTAACGACATGGCTGTGCGGAACAACATCAATTATGTAACCCCTTTTTAATATAAGCACGGGATCGGGGTCGGGATCGGGGTCGGGTGTGGGTACGGCAGGGGGTAAGGGGTAGGTAGGATTGTTGGATGTTGACTGAGTCAGCCCAGTCCAGCCACCATTTAAGAATTACAGATGCCTATTTACCTATTAGATGAGAAATGCTATCCTGTATCTGGTTTAAATTCGCGTGTTTTTCGGACTCCGTCCCGTCTGGCGCCTCTGAGCGGTTCATACTCCAAAATTTGGCTCACATCGGAAAAGTCGCAATATTACTGGTGATAGTCGGGTATAATGGATCCACCTCTGCAATCTCCCCGATTAAATCCGCAACCCCGACGACAGCTTGCTTGTTTGCCATGCCGAAGGAAAAAGCTTCGGTGTGATCATCAACGCCCCTGTAGCAACTGTATGCGATCGAGAAGCAAAACATGTACTTATCCACGGAATCAAGGTGGCCTTACCAGTGCCACACCGCTTCCTTCGCTTCGTAGCGAGCCGAGAAGAGGAGAGGTTGCGGCTAGATCACCGAGCAGCGTTGCGAATAGCGGCGTTGACGAACATAGAGTCGGACATGATGAACTACCACCACGCGAGTTGTGGCAGTCGTCCGCTCTGGGCGCCTTAGCGATCACGGTCCCTCCAGGAAGTGAAATTGACTCAGCTAATGCAGCCTCTGTGCCGCATATTGGCAGCACTTTCGCAAGGGAGCCGCGGAGGCCGTCTCATGTCAACCATGATGAAAGCCCGATGGACCGCCAACCACATATCTCCGGTCTTCGTACGACTTCTAACATATCCCCGTATATGGATACATATCCAATAAGCGGTTTGATAGTAAAAAAGCGCTACGTCTCTCCGACTCATTGGCTGTTCTGCTCTACGTTGGTAAGTATGCTGAGTGTAGGGTCTAGGATTGAGCCCCCCTTATTAATATATCGAGCAGTCACCCCATGCTTTAGATTGGCTCGACGAGCAGGCGAAAAGGCAAGGGAGAATCTGGAAAGACATAATGACCTGCAAATTGCTCGCTAGGTCAATCAAAGCCAGACGGATTCTCCCGTGGACGCAAGGGCAGTACGGCCAATTCTTGCCGGCCAGGAGTGTGGCGGATAAACTCATCGATGCCTACCTGCGTACATTTGAATCAGTCTACAGGATCATCCACGTTCCTACAACTAGGCGCGCCTACAACTCCTTGTGGGAGAACTCTGGCCTAGTAAGTTCGGCACACGTAGTACAGCTGCAACTTTGCCTTGCCATCGGTGCTTGTTTCTACGACGAAGCGTTCTCGTTCCGTCCGCAAGCACTACAATGGGTACGGGAAGCAGAACACTGGCTCGCGGCGTCAGGGAAGCTTCGCTCGACAGTCTTCGACATTCAAACAATGTGTTTGTTGCAGCTGGCCAGACAGACTTCCCAGCATCTGCCAGAACATCAGGTCTGGGCCAGCTCTGGCGCTTTGGTCCGGGCTGCTATGGCTGATGGTTTGCATCGCGACCCGGCAAGGTTGTTGAATATACCTGGTTCAGAAATCGACGTAAGACGGCGTCTATGGGCGACGATCCTCGAGCTCGTGTTAGATTCTAGCATTGATGCGGGCGGCCCGCCAATGATCTCGTCTGACGACTTCGACTGCTCTCTGCCGTTGAACTTGAATGATGATGAGTTGGATATCGATTGCGACGGCAAGATTGTGCCACACGATCTGACGGAATACACTGATACATCAATTCAGATTGCCTTAGGTCGCACCCACGCCATACGATTATCTGTCGCCAAGTATGTCAACTGCGTAAAAGCTAATCATTCTCACGAAGAGACCCAGAGGCTTAGCTCCGAGCTGATGAACGCATATCGCTCCGTAGTGAAATACTTATACTCACTAAGTCCGCAGCCCTCCAAGTTCCAGCAGCGGTACTGCGAGTTCGTATTTGCACGCTACATCTTTGCTCTCCATATACCGTATATGCCACGGGCTTTAAAAGATCCTGCCCAGTTTTACTGCTCTCGGACCCTTTGTGTGGACACCGCACTGAGATTTGTGACTTCCTTCCTCCCGCTCACATCTTCTCTTCAGGAGCCCCTCATAGCAACTATGAATAAAATCCTCCCTTTCGAAGAGCACTGCGGCGATATCGATCGTCTCTTCCTCTGCGGTGGTGGCCCCTTTCGGTCGATACCGTGGAAGTGCTTTACGGTCATCGCAGCAGACCTAGCGGCATTGCTACGTCAAGCGCATGATACTTCCCCGTGGATGAGCGTAGTACCGTTCTGTCAGACGCACAGTTGTAGCAGGGCCCACAGCATCGAGCTAATCACGTTGCTCCGAGAAGCAGCAAAGTTGACGAAGAAACGAATCTATGCCGGCCATCATAACGCGAAAGATATCGTCTGGGTAAACGTAAACCTCGCCGGGATCGAGGCAGCGATGGAAGGCAAGCCGGCTGAACAAGCCATGGATGTGAAGGGCAGGGAAGTACTAGCTGAGGCCATAAGCATTTTTGAGGAGATGGCCGGCACGAGAACGGTTTCTTGGGACGATCCTCCTAGCTTAAGGGATGAAAGGCTTTTGGCTGCCAGTGAATTTTGGTCGATGGGATTTGCTGGTATAGAATGGGATACTAATATAGGTTATTGAAGCAATATCTCGCGACATGGTCAGTACATCGTCGTGATTTTATCAACGAGAACAATCTATGTTTTCACCCGCTACCACATGTCCTCCTTATCGCGCTCTTCAACTTTGCTTGGGTACCTAGCATTGTATTCCGCAAACAAAATGAATATTGAAGTTCACCTCAAGTGATCATCTCTTTTGAATATTTCGTCAAGCAAAATTCCATACAGTAGTTCTTCATAAGGTTAGGAAAGCTACCTAGGAGGTTCGCAAGACCTGGCGTTTGCCCAGAGTCTCAGGGGTAAGTTCTGATAAAGCCGAATCAATTCCGTGAATATATCTATCAGGAAAATCGTAGCTGAGATACACATAGAGTATATCAGAATTCTAGTAGGTTCGTCATTTTATTAGCTTACTTATTACTTCTGACTGTCACGAGGCGGAACTAAGAAGCTAGGGAAGAACGACGTTGTTGCGCGAAGAGCTCTAACTAACCCCTTCCAGGGAACGCGGTATACATACATAAACCTTCCTTTGTCTATAGCTAAAGGCTAGCTGCCAACAGGGCGGCTTTGTACAGGCCGACTCCCGATACCTCTGGCTACCAGCTCTCATGGAGGAAGCTTCTGACACTGACACTTTTTGAACGTCGGGTCTCCTTTTCTCCTATGACTACCTGGTGAGTACCTATACGTATCCAGTACAATAATCCTCAACCATATCTTACAGAACCAGCTCCGACTTTAAACCAATCATCCGCAGCCAATGACTCTTCAGTCGAAGCATAATTGATAATAGTGCTCTTAGTTGTCGTGTATGCGTTGTACGCGTCGATGCCATTTTCGCTGCCGACACCGCTCGAAGTTTTGGCCCCACCCCATGGACTACTCGGGTCGTTTCGATGATGTGTATTCACCCAAGTTATTCCTGCGTCGATCTGTTCCGAGACACGAAAAGCTTGTGCTAGGTCTTGGGTCCAGATTCCGGCTCCGAGACCGAACTCGCTGTCGTTGGCTAGCTCTATGGCCTCCTCTTCTGTTTTGAAAGGGACTACCACGATAACGGGTCCAAATGCTTCCTCGCGCCAGATACGTGTTGTGAGAATGCTCTTTTCCTCGCTTGAGACAAGGATGGTGGGCTGGTAAAAGTACCCTTTCGAGAAATCAGTTCCGTCGAGAGAGCTAACGCCTTGCATCCTACGCCCCCCTACTACAGCCTTGGCTTTTCCACTATTAAGGGCCTCGTCGACCAACGCCTCAACATTCCCAAGCTGTTTTGCTGAAATCAATGGCCCCATGGAGGACTCCATGTTACTCGGAGCGCCCATACGTTGCGTGATGAATTCCGTCTTCACCTTCAACGACTCCAGCAACTGCGGCAATATCTTCTCATCGACAATAATCCTCGTGCTCGCGATACAAGTCTGTCCACTCGCGATAAAACTCCCAAACGCGATCCCGTTAACAGCAAGCTGCACGTCCGCCGTCTCAAACACGATCAGCGGCGCCTTGCCCCCCAACTCGGCCGTATACCTCGCCAAATTCGCCCCCACGATCCCGCCGATCGCGCGCCCCGCCGTCGTGCCTCCCGTAACATCCACCTTCCTCACCAACGGATTCCGCACGAGCGCCTCGCCCGTCGTCCGCCCGTACCCAGGCAACACGCTAAACACACCATCCGGAATCCCGGCCTCCTTCAGAATCCTTCCCAGGACCAACGTCGACAGCGGCGTCAACTCGCTCGGCTTGACGACCACGCTATTCCCCGCCGCCAGCGCAGGCGCCAGTTTCTTCACCGCGATCAACAGCGGGTGATTGAACGGCGTGATCTGCACCACGACGCCCAGCGGCGCGCGCCGCAGGAAATTATGCAGTTTCCCCGTGGTGGGGAGCACGGGCTGTTCTTCGACGCGCAGCAGCGAGGCGTAGTACTTGAACCAGCGCACGAGCGACGGCACCTGCGCCTTCATCTCGCGCACCGCGCGGCCCGTCTGCCGCACCTCGAGGGCGATTAGGTCCGGCAGGGCTGCGGTTAGGAGAGAGGCGCATTTGTCCAGTACGTCGGCGCGGTGGTGGCGTGGGGATTGGGACCAGAGGCCTGATTCGAAGGCGCGTTGGGCGAGCGAGATGGTGCGCTCGACGTCGGTGGGTGAGGCCGCGTGGCAGCTGGTGAGGGGGAAGGGGGTTTTGTTAGATTACAGCTAGGTACCTTGTATGTGTGCATCCTTTGGTATAAAGATGGATCGGAGTCTGAGGTGGACTCACTGCGCAAAGATCTCCCCTATGGCTGGATCTTCTATTGGTATCCTATGATTGCTCGTTAGTCCCGCGCGATAAACCGAACGAAATATCATGAACTCACAACTCCTCTTCTCCCGGCTTCTCTTCGCCAGCCACCCACATTAGATATGTTTCTGCCATTTCAACTGCTGATACCTATCTTTTTAACATAAAAAGGATTGTTAAACGAATAAATGATTATTTAGTTAGGATGTCCGTTAATTCAAGAACTAGTCTGCCCTCGCAGGGCTCCGCACCGGCGATAAAGCTTGTCGGACTTGTCCGGAGTCATCATGTGACTTCCATATACTGCTTCGAAGTTATTACCTTCCTGTCTTGGTGAAGCTATTTGCGAACTTACTTATCTCGTTTCAAATTATTCTGGTGGAATAAATGAAAAGCGAGAGCTACAGATCTTGTACTTGCGAATAACAGATGGACTCGGATCAGCTTAGCTAATCCACAGACCTCTATATTGGTGTATGGGTTAGTTGCATTCATATTCAAGTTAAGCATGATATATATACAATAAAGCCATATAGCAAGTTAAATGGCTTTAGAGAACATAGAGACCCGTTATTAATCGTTATCCTCCCAGAAAACATTTCACGATCTACCAAGGGCATATGGAGACATAGGATTTCTGGCGTATAAGTTAGAAGTCAGATCGCTTTCATGACTATCCTAGCATTCTTGTAAGCTATCTATATCTATGAGTAGTTCGTGAACTCACCAGCATCTTGATTCAGGGGTTCAGAGACTAAATCAATAGGTAGAGAGAGAGCAGTAGAGGGTATTCCCATCATGTGTACGAAGCTGATAGGTTCGCATAGTCTATACTAGACTGAAGATTTCCTTTTCGATCCCCTTTTCCTGTACTGTGGCCAATGCTTGCCCATTCATATATGAGAACAAGAAACACTCTCCCACGAATTGATACTTCTTTTCACTCGTAATTGCCCCGTTATCGTTTTCTCCATCGCCGGGATCTTGCTTAGCCTCTCTCAGCAAGTAGAAAACTGGCCCGCCGTATAAAACCACGACGATGTCTCCAGGCCGCGCATTATGCGGGCAGAGCCCGTAACATTTTTCGCCAAGTTCCTTAGCTACGAAGAAACTGGGGCTCAGACACGGGATGTAAGGAGTCTCCCCCTTAAAGCCGTGAGAATGATACAAGTAGTGCCTAGTAAGGAAGTTTCGGACTGACTCCTTTATTTCGTCTGAATCCTGATAACTCTGGCCGGGTAATACAAATCTTCCGTAATTCGCAGGGTCGAACACTTTCATAAACGCATCCCTGAGCTCGATGGGCAGGTCGGGGAACTCCCAAATTGGAAATCGGTCAATCTTGGAGATTGTGCTTAAACGATGACCGGTAAGCTGCAGTATGTGTGGGTTTACCAAAGTATCCGGCGAGTTGATGAGCTCGACATCTGGTATAGTTGATCCGCTGGCTTGATATGGGCCATCCAGAGAGAGCCCCAAGGTAGAATTGGCCATCCTGTCATCTCCCACGGGCCAGAAACACCATGAAGGGTACTCCAATGTTCCCAGATCCGGAGGTTCTCCGCAATACATCTGCTGCCAGCCCCGGTATTTCATCGTGTGGATGGCTGACAGGATTCTGAGTGATCGGTGCGTGCAGATCCACCAACGAACGAAGTCTGTAAAAACCTTTACAGGTGATTTGGAGTAGTCTACCCTGACGTACGGGGATAGCATCGCATCTTTTGACTCCTTACTAAATTGGAGAAGCGCAAACAATTTATCTCGAAGGTCGGTAGCTTTCAAGCTATGAGCTTTGACAAGTATCTCGAGGATGCCTTCTGCAGCCTTCAGTTGAGCTCCTTGTTTCTCCTCTCCGAGTTGCACGATACTGAACCATATGGACGGCGCGATTGAAGTCCTCAGAACGCCAGCTGGCTGCGACCCAGCTTTGACAAGAGCCGTGCCCAATCTTTCAGTTTGTAGAAAACGTATGGCCGACGAAACCACCGGCCAGGTCACATCGTCAAATCCGCACCGGAAAACTGCGGTTCTCGAGTTCGAAATTTCCTGAAGAACCCACGTCCGTTTGAAATAGTCAAATCCACACTTGTTCCAATCTATTGTGTAAATAATTAGGTCAGGAATTTCAGTGTTGATTATCTTCAACTCAAACTGCTCTCTCTCCTCCGGGCTGTAGGTTCTCGACTGATCATACTCGGTTTGAAACCGTTCTTGTATTTTTTGCAAAGCCGAGAAGCATTTGCGCCTGATAGGTAGATCGACGCTGGTTCCGAGCCATACCACTACACCAATAGCTTCTGCATAGATGTAAGGCATTGAAGCGACCTGGTGAGACCGTTCTGTGGAGTTAGCTTGGTCAATACAGATTGCGTCAACCCACAACTTTCGTGGCAGACCGCTCTCAGGCCTCAAGTGCTTCAGAGCTTCATACAGGTTCGAAGTGATGGCCATATTGTGCGTGAGGCGTTCGAAATTATCTAACGATTCTCGTATCTGAATAATCTCTTCCGTACGAAGATCACCCCAGCAGTATGACAGGGCTTCGTATGCATCATGGCTAGGGTCATCCAGTGATATGTTCGTAATACTGCAGACTAGGGGATCTTCAAACTTTCCTGGGTATAACGAGAGAACACGAGTCTGTCGATGAGCCTCCTGTAAGGGTTTATAGACCTCGAGTCTATCTACCCCGGTCGAGTCTTGCAGGTGTGTAACTTCATTTGGCAAGTGGTCTTCTTGGTCTTTAAACCCTCCTTCCACCTTCATTTCGACTTCATACACATAATTGGTCCATAGCTGAAGCTGTGCCATAGGGAAAATTCGTATGGTGTCGCCCCCCTGCACGACTTGCAACCACGCACATCGAGCTTTGTCATCAGATTCCACGTCCCAGACATTTTCGTGTCTATGTGGCTCTCCCCGCGCGTGTAGGTTCCTCTGGAAGATGAAAGATCCAACCCGCTCATGGCATGTCGGTGTTTCGACGGCAAGGTCGAAGTACGTCTGTGAGCCCTCATATGTACCACCATATCTGGCTGACTCGTCGCTCCAACCTAAGTTACGGAATCAGTTAATCAACTCTTAGCGGACAAGGAAAATGTTTTGGTTAAATTAGACCTTGATCGTGCGATACGGTAGATATCGTCACCCTGGTGACCGAGCTTGTCCGTTTGGGTACTTGAAGCTCGATGTAAGCTTGACGAGGACAGCATTCTCCGACTTCAAGACGGTCCGACCTTTTTACAGAGGCGATCCACCTCCGCCCTTCTTCAATAATAGTAAGGTTTGTCATTTCGATCTAGTTCCTCTAATTAGGTAGGTACATATTCTTCACTCAGGTTTGCACTGGATTTCCTTCGATTTCTCCTATGAGGGGTTCCCCACGGTTACAATCAGGCAGCATTTGATGCTAATTTGGTATCATGCATCGTGAGGATTATTGGGTTAGCGCAGTGAGGAGTTGGCTTTTGAATCCCTGCAAATTTGGTTCATTTGCGACGGATATAAGACCATCATGATCGGATATTAGGGTGGAGAGCCCTTTCAAAACGAGGAGCGATTGTGAGGAATTGGGGCAGGATTCTTCAACAAGGGCCATCCAATGGCCTTGGGCGCCAATAGGTGGGCTCATGACAGATAGGCCAGCCCTAAAGGATCGTGCCGTCGGGATACACATAACCATACTTATTTGCTTCGTAAATAAAACAGATGGGATGCCCAGTCTCTACTTGACCTGGCCCGTAAGTTCCAAATTGTGCGCTTCGTTAAAATTTGCCAGAAAGATCGTGAGTTTGTCTTCTCAAGAAGCCAGGATCCAAGAATTCAAGACTTGGCATTGAGCTATCAATTATCAACAATATTGATCGTCTGATCTTGTAAATCTTGGATCATCATTTATGATAGTTGAAACATGACGAAGTCATAATGCCAGCCCACCATCATGTCAAGGGGTTGAACTGGTTGATAAGAGATTTGAATCTCCAATGCGAGTGATCTGCCCCTTACAAGCATTATAAACCATGGAACAAACCCCATATCCACTACTGAACCCATCTATAGAAGGCGTATTATTGGGAGTCATTTCAAACGATCCAATCTATTCCATGGAATCCAATGATCACACTTAAGCTCATGTACTAGTTAAACAGCCGGCTCCATACAAACAATACGCTAGAATATCCCATCAATTATACCACCTGGTGATTATGTTGAAACGTCGAAGAATATTGTAAACGCAACACAAAGGGTTCGATCCTTTTCATATTAAAGCCGCATGCACCACCTACATGCGCGCCTGCATATGTAGCGAAACAGTTATTAATGCAAGAGGAGCATGATGATGTAAGTCGATCTCCCGTTCGAGACTCGTTGAAGACTAGCCAGCAGCTGATACGTGGGGCATGACTGACCGGGACTCTGACCGGGGCTATAAGAAAGCGTGGCTAAAGTCTAGGGTATTCGTCAGCAAAAACACACCTACATATTAAGAAACATTGGCCAAGTTGAAGAGACAACCATGGAACACAACAGATATTGGTTAGCCTACTTACTTCCCAACTACTAAGAGCATCATACTATGTGATAATTGTGAAACTATCGTATGATGTTAACTAAATTTGTCTCGGACGAAGCTGGCAACGATGCTAATCTTGAATATATATGCTTACCTACTATAATATACATACTTATATAATTATATTATATATATAACTTTTAGGATGCATACGTACGCTGGAAAGAAATGAAGCAAGAAGACTGAAATATATAACATGACTGAATCGAGTTTCCTCGTTCACCCCTCCATCCCTGAATCTCAAATCCGACCTTGCACAGACCAAAGAAATCCGAGGGAACGGTCCAATCTATTTTTCTAATCTATTTTCCGTAGATCAAGAGAGAAGCTCGCGTAAAAAAATCTTCAGCTACTATACTGCTTGGTACTGCGTATGTTTGTATGCACGTACGTTTGCGATGTAACAAGCTAAGCCTCGGCAACATCCTCATACGGACGACTAACAAACCACTTGGAACAATTGGGGAGGGCTAACGGCCATTTTCCCATCACATTAGGCCGTAGTTGGTCAAGTTCTCCCAAAGAAATGCTCAAGTGGGCAAGCTGCAGTGTAGCGCTTTGACTCTAGATATTAGTCTGGTGAGTTTGAAAACGAGACCGGGTGGATCCGAACTTGGAGCAGCTATATTACTATGTAAAAACTGGACGAAACTTTCCGCAAGTAGTAAATAATTACCGACCATTCGAGTCTTCCCATATATGCCAAGACACCGGTGTCTCTATGTCCGGGCCCGGGTTTGAAGCCGGTGCATGCTTAGCGTGATAGGAAAACGGTTAGTATGGAGTCTCGGCTCCCGTCTCCTGGAATTTGTTCTAAGAAGCAGAACGGCTAGGGTTATGTCCTCTTTTCTACCCTCTATCTCACTGTTGATCCTGATTTACTATCAGACATACTATGTCAGGTAATCACTACTCTTAGCTGAAACCCACTAAGTAGCATAGTATGCTCAACCCCAGACATAAACATGTATCTCTGTTGGCTGAAGTCTTGGGTAGGTTGGGCTTTGAGTGGGCAGAACGTAGGTGTGTTTACCTAGGTAGAATTTGATTTGGCTTTGGATGTGTAGGCTCTCCAGTTCGCTACCTATACGGGACCTCGAACAATCTTCAATAGTCGCGGGGTCTCCGTATGCTATAGTACAATAGTTTTATTCCTAGCTTCGATCTATGAAGTACTACCTTCCATGCATCGTACCTATCTTGCTTGGGACGGCGTTGGAAATTCGCCACGTGGGACCCCAGCCGGTACTTTGCAGAAGAGTACCGCAGAAGTACCGCTCTCGAGCAAATGAGTAAGCTCGTCTTGATATCATCGCTTTGACTGACTAGTACGTATACGTAGGTAGGTATGTATATACGTAGTCGTCGATTGGATCTCGGTAGTGACTGAGCATCATCTCAGCTTGCTTGGGTGGGTGGAGTGGCCTAAGCACGTAGGGTATCAGGGGTAAACAAGTCCATACAAGCTTCGGAGACTACGGCACCAATGAACCTGGTGGAATCCATTGATCCGATCGGTGGATAAGTGAGGTCATGCAGGCCTTATCCTTGAGACCTAGGGAGCAAACCTGTATCAAGGACGAACTAATCCAGCCGCACTGACTGGTTGAAGACGGGGAGTTCGCGAATAGCAAACTGTCGGCGAGCTATCATCGGGCTGAGATAATGTTGTTTGGTACGCTAGATTTCCATCAAAGCGCTTGCATACATAGTTCTCCGTTCGCGTGCTCCATTCTGCACCTAACCGAAGATCCACAAGAGCTGAGGGTCAGATCACTGGCTCCGTCGATCGCATCGCATAAATATATCCTTCCCAGCTGTCTCGTGACGACGGCCCTTTAATCCTCTTTCTAGATTTTGTTCCCTGACCTAGTATCCCCTCCTACTGCTAGGTAGGGCTGTAGGAAAAAGCAACGACGTAAACCATTGCCGGTCTAAGACCACCCGGATAAGTTAAGCGACTCAACTTTTGAGTGGTCATCATGGCCCCCTCTATCGAATCGGTAGTTAGCCAATGCCATAAGGCTACGGTGCTTGGCAACAAGATATCAATTCACATGCTCGAATATGTCGGTACCGTCGAAAAGCATGGGCATCAGTTCGACGAATTAGCGCACGACTTCCTAGAGACGTGCCGGATAATGTGGTCGCTCGAGGCCGGATTGACCGAATTCTCCAGAAGCAATCAGAGATTCCCGGTAGAAATGATTACGGAGCTCGAGAAGAAGTTTAGGGCTACAAACACGGATTTTCAGGTGCTAGACCATATGCTGACCCGCCTCCTGGAATACGAAAAGAAGGGCACGATGGGAAAGATTCAGAAGGGATGGCGCAAGATGTTTGCCGACAACGATGTCGAGAAAATGAGGGACAACCTGGCAAAGACTCGAGAGGCACTGAGGATGAGCTCTCTCGTCTTTCAATGGTCTCTCGGGGATGCCAAGATTGACGAGTCGGTTGGTATAGGCTATACGGGCTTGGCTGCCGCGCTCGAACGCATGGATAGAGGGAAGACTGTTGCGGGCATCACGAAACTGAAGTCTCTGAACACCAACAACACCGTCACTCACCAAGTCGACGAAGTCCCGCCCGTTTGGCCGTTACCGCCACAGCCTTTAGCCCATAGCAAAGGCTCGATAACGGACCATTCTTCTACGAAGGAGCACCCCTCTCTTAGGGATCACTCTTCCCTCGGAAGACGTGAAGATAATATTCAAGGTCATGGAGTTCAGCTTCTTCCGGAGATACAACGCGAGCCTTCGTTATCCAATTACACAATCGGTAGCGGTTCTTCTCGTGGCGCGCGAGAGCGCGTGATGTCGACGGTAGAGACCTTAGATCGGTCTCTCGCACATAGTACCGTTGCCTCGGGCTCGGGTCAAATGACGGAGGTGGATACCCTAGTAGAAGAGATGGATTCGTTCGACCCGTATAAGGTTATTCGCTTGAAGGCTGATCCTCTTACTATGCCTCGGTGGAGTCCGCGAAATACATCCGGCGCCGATACGCCCGCTATGAGAGAATCATTGATCTCTGCTGTGGATACGGGCAACCACAAGTTACTAGAGCAGCTTCTTGACCGAGGTGTCTCCCCCAATAGTGGCCCCGATGCCCATATCTTAAACCACGCTATCGCACGCCACGATGCCGAGGCTGTTCGTCTCCTGTTACTCTTCGGATCCGACCCCAACGCCGCCGACAACCGGAATATTACCCCCTTATACTTATCGGTTGAAGAGTCGTTCCGAGAGGCTGCTATCATGCTGATGAAGTACGGCGCGGATGCCAATTCCTCAGCAGGACCAGAAAACGAGACACCTTTCGCTATGTCCGTTCTCGAAGACAAGTTTGATCTCGCCCGCATTCTTCTCACTTACGGAGGCGACGTCAACCATGTCATGGCAAACGGAGACACCGCGCTATTAGCAGCAATTTCCAAGAAGAGAACAAAGAAGATTATCGATATGCTTCTCGAGTATGGTTCAGATGCCAACGTGAAAAACAGAGAGGGTCACACACCGCTTTTCGAAGCCATCAATTCCAACCGCCTTGAAATTGTTACTAGCCTTCTAGATCACGGAGCGAATCCCAACCTCCCCGGACCAAAGCATATGTTATGGCCTGCGGTAGGGTCGCCTCGCATTCTTGAGATATTACTTGCTCGTGGCGCCGATCCCAAGAAAGCCCCTGGAGTTATGGAATTGGCAACTTCCATCAACAATAAAGAATCTGTTCGAGTATTGCTCAAAGCCGGCGTCGATCCTAACGCCAAAAAGGATGGTATCTATACACCACTTTGCTCATCTATTCGAGACAACCGTGCCGACATCTTTGAGCTGCTTCTTGCCAATGGCGCAGGTAAGTCACTAGTAACCCGCTATATTGGTTTTTTTCCTTTTTTTGAAGGATGTCAGAGTATCCGAGGCTAACTGGCGATTACTGTTGAATAGACCCCAATACACCCAGCGCTGAATATCCCGCTTTCAAGTGTGTGACGCATTACCGAACCCAATACCTAGCGCCATTAGTGGCTGCCGGCGCCGACCTAAACAACCCCAAGGGTATCCTAGAAACTGCAGTCCAATGCAAGAACGTCGAGGCTCTTTACTGGTTGCTCGACACCGGAAAAGTTTCGCCCAACGACAAGACCCCCAAGACCGGTGCCACACCCTTGACTACGGCGATCCGTGAGAACCGCGCTGACTTAGTGGTAAGGACTTCTAGAAACCAAAAGATTTTCTCTTTTTCCTCCAGAGTACCAGTGACGAGTTGCTAATAACGTTTTGGCACTGAATAGGACTTCCTCCTATCGCGCGGCGCCGATCCCAACGTTCGAGGAGAGAACTGGCCGGTCTGCATGGCCGTGCGCCAACCTATGATTCTAAAGCGATTGTTACCTGCATTGGCGGAACCGCGCGCCTTCAAGGGAGTCATGGAGATGGCTGTCGTAGCTAACCAACTGGAAAGCATTAAGTTGTTATTGAAGGCTGGTGTGAGCGTAGAGGACCGTAACGGAGGTGTCTTCTCGCCGTTAACAACGGCTATTCGTGAAGATCGTAAGGAGATCGTTCACTACTTATTAGTAAGATAGCCCCCTAGAACATGCGCCTACTAAAATGAAGCCTGCATGACTAACACGACTATGATATAGGAGGAGGCCAATGCTGATGTCAACGCGCCTGGTGAACATCTGCCCATCGTTAAAGCGCTGCGAAGACTACACGGTGCAGACACAGAGATTGTCGAGTTATTATTAAGATACGGCGCGGACCCGAACAAGATCTACCGCGGCCACAACGCCTACATCCAGGCTATTGAGAATGGAGACGCTGAAGTGCTCAAGCTCATGATAGATAAGGCCGGTGTCGACCTCAATGCTAAAGACGATTCTGGAATGACGATAATCGAGATCGCCGAGCACCGGGGTTGGGACGAGGGTAAGCAGCTATTATTAGCTGCGAAGTCATTGTAGGGAAAACTGAACCTACTATTAAATACCGCTCATTAATTACTTTCCCTTTGTCACCAATACTTCTGATATCCATTGTCTTATAAGGTTGGTTCAGGTAAATGTATGAATAAACGACGGCCGGTCATGGCAGATCTATCCTCACTTTAAGGGGATTTATTTGTCTGCTATATGTTGAAGCATAAATCATTTACTGCGATTTCAACAGCACATATGGATATCTACAGAGCTATAGCTTAATGATGAAACATCGTGAAGTTATTTCGATCATGTGCATGGAATAATTCGAGGACGAAACTGCTGAAGCAGATGAACTAAAAAGCCATAATACGGAAATTACACCATGAAAACATCAGTAATAATCATACCTACACGACGCACAGCACCGATGAAACGCTTGGAAAATGATGGGTACCTAGAGTTGTCCTACGAAACATTATCTGTGTAACCACCCCTTTTCAAACCCTTTTCAGTCTTCCAAGGGATGCAATTCATATAATTAGGTACACCACAATTTCTCCACTAAGATTTTCCTTCAATCTGTAAGCCGATATGGATTTTAGAATAGTAGAATAGGTATAGATGAACTATTAATTAAGAATCGAACTTGGTGATAAATATCTCGAACTTCCTTACACAAAGAGGCAAGGGAAGCAACAGGCTATAGTGGATGCTTCTCAGAATACCTAACAATTTAATGTAATCCTCAATTTGAAGGATGAAGCAAACTGCAACATGACGATACACGATTCGGAGATTTGTGATGTAACACTGAGTTCCGAGTTTTGTTATTAATTATCCTAATCATCATAATCCGCAGGTTCATTCCCATATTTGATATCAGATTTTGGGATCATGTTAGTTCTTGTCACGGTGCCACAGGCAACATCGGCCGTTACGCCGTTAACAGCCTCCTAACAAGATTCACCAAGTATGATGACGTCTTCTCATTGGGTCGTGGCTGCACCGGCGTCGATGCCATCATCAATGTATACAGCGGGTGGCCGGGCTCAAGCTCAGGCAGCACGAAAGCTACGACACCTTGAAAGGTTATCACCTTCCGGAAACATGTTAAGCTAACATCTAAAGTCCGACCCACCCATCTACATCCTTACCGGAGTCTCTGCCGAGACGTTCTTTGCCACTCCGGGTCACGGCGACTTCACGCCTCGGACCCACCGATGCTGGGATGCGCAGCGGAAGAGACTGGGGATCTGGGGTACTGGGAACAAGCCTTTGCATCGGACTACTGAGAGAGTAGGCACTGAAGGCGAGATGTGAGGAATCTCGGCAGAACTTTCGGTCTTATATTGGCTGGTTCTACTAGCCTTTCATTGCGGATGGGACGTAGATCCTCAAGGCTCTTAACAACGAGAAATTAGTATTGCGTATTACAGCTCTCCAGGATTTTCTGCAGTGGAATCCATCTATCTAGAGCCTGGCCGGTAGTTCTATACCAATTATTAGTATAAAGAAGCCGATTAATATTTAGCAATGAATTCACCCCTTTCTTGGATTCTTGCCTGCTGTTACTCCACAGCAGCTTGGGCTTATGGTATAACAATTCCCCTTTGATTATCGTACTTCAATGTCTTCAACGGAAAACCGGCAATGTCATCACCTTGGACATATTTATAGGTTGGTGATAGCTTCATATTTGGGTCTTGGTACATGACGCTAAGATGCGTACTATGCAGTCCTTACCCAAAGGTTGAGGCGGCTAATCGATACACCTAGCTAGCGTTTAGTCAAGTTTATGCGATTTCTGTCGTACAAGGTTGATACTAAGAAACCCGGTCCCATTCAGTTGGGAAGCTACACATCACTTCGCTATTCGGAATGTAGGTGGTTTAGATCCACTCCGAGATCGGATAGAGATTTGAAGTCGAATCTGTGCTAATATTTCGCTTTAATGGAAACATGTGCTTGCTGACTCATTACTTCGCTCCTGAACGAGCTAAGTACGTTGAGAAAAGTGGAATGGAAGTAGGGAATATTTACCTATTTCGTTCATAAATAGCATACATAAAGCGCGGCCGCCCCACTTAGAGCCTCTCTAAATCTGCCCCTGGCGGTACATAAAAATATCTTCTTCATCCCGCGCCAAGCCTAGGTGAAGAAATGCTATGATTGGTCAATGCGCGGTTTTCTATGATAGAATCGAGGAGTTTTAAGAGTTCGAGGAGGAAAGCGCGAGTGGGGCAGACGCGTTGTCAGGCAAGACAGGCCGATAGACGATAATCACGCGATGGTGAGAAAAGCTAAGTTGGGATTAGCGAAATGATGATAAGGAGCGACCTGGGCAACCGGTGGAGATTGCCCAGGTAACTTAGGTGACTGCCATACGCACGACCCATTGTAGTTCCCTGTTGCCGTTTGCTTTCGAGCCGTGATAAGAATTTCTAGACCTTTCTTCCGTTTCGATATTTTTCTCACTAAAATTCAAACGGCCTAATCCAAACTGCCTAATCCCAAACTATAACAATCACCTCCATCATCATCAAACAACCGCACATCTCGACGCATAACTCAATCACTATCACCACTACTCTCATCATCTTTCACGATGTCTACTGCTTTCGTTCAACGTCCGGCTCCGGCCTTCACTGCCACCACCGTCTTCCCTGGCGGTGAGTTCAAGGACATCTCGTTGTCCGACTACCTTGGTCAATGGTGAGTTTTTTCCTCCTTCCCCCTCCCTCGCCGACATCGCTCATCCCTCCTCATTTTCGTTTCGTCTCCATTTGTACGATTTTGAAGCATGTCGAATGTGTCAAACTGACCATCGCCAACAGGGTTGTCCTCCTTTTCTACCCCATGGACTTCACCTTCGTATGCCCGACCGAGATCATCCAGTACAACGACTCCCTACCTCGTTTCCGCTCCATCAACACCACCGTCCTCGGTGTCTCCACCGACTCTCACTTCACCCATCTAGCCTGGACCGAGAAGCCTCGCAAGCAGGGTGGCCTTGGCTCCGACTTGCAGCTTCCTCTCGTCGCCGACAAGTCCCACAAGATCTCTCGCAGCTACGGCGTCCTCATCGAGGATGAAGGTGTTGCCCTCCGCGGTCTCTTCATCATCGACCCCAAGGGTATCCTCCGCCAGATCACCGTCAACGACCTGCCCGTCGGCCGCGACGTCGAGGAGACGATCCGTCTCGTCCAAGCTTTCCAGTTCACCGACGAGCACGGCGAAGTCTGCCCCGCCGGATGGCAGAACGGCAGCAAGGGAATGAAGGCCGACCCTAAGGGAAGCCTGGAATACTTCTCTACCACGGGTGAGAATGGCAACGCCAACGGAAATGGTGAGTCTAAGAAGCGAGCCAGAGTGGAGTAGGGGATGCAAGCCACCTGTTGGGGAAAAATTGGAGAAGTTTATGGCCGCTGACGTCAAGTAGGCGGTATTGCTGTACGTTAGGTTTTCTGAGGTTTCTGAGCATCGGGCTACGGCCCTGCCTTAATATTATTAGACGGAGAATTGCAGATTGCTATTCATATGGGAATGCTTCACGAATTGACACGATCTTTTCTGTCTGGGGATATTGAGACGTCTGTCCAATCAGCTCGGTACGATGCGATAGGTAGCCGTGCCTCAATATTTCAAGATTAATTCCGAGATCTCCAACTCGGCCTCACATCTGCCGAGCCGTTCCAGCTCGTCGGGACCCAAACGGTCATCTCTCTCTGTACCGTACTTTGGTATGTGGTCAACTCCTACAACCCTACCTACATGATACCCATCGCCCTATCGTGAAAATGTGATAGCATGATTCCCAAAGCACCCAATTTCGCACATTATGCACAATTGCCCATGTCTCCCCGGATACCCAATGCCAAGATTAGAATACATCCTCAGGGGTGAAACCATGCGGGGAAATTCGTTGGAGGTGCGGAGGAGATGCGCCACTTGAAAAGGGAAAGAGATTACGAGAGGATGACTGAATAATCCCATTCAATTGAACATCATTCTTTCCTTTCTCCCACCAAGTATTAGTACACTAGGCCGTAAATATTGAACTAACAGACATAGTATGACCATAGACACTCAAGCCATCTTGCCTAAACTTCCTACACCAAGAACCCACGATAGTACCGTTTCTTCCATAACACAATCACACTCGCAGAACCTTGATTGCCGCCTCCAAGCTCTCTATCTCCCGGGCTAAGGCTTGTCGTTGGTTTTTCGTCCCCATATCCTCACCTGCGATCATCTCAAGCTGCTCCGGATCGAGACTCATCGTGAACTCTGGACTTAGGATCCTAAGAGGGCTCTTTTCGCCGTCGAGTAAGAAGTCGTTGACAACTTGCTGACAGACGGCATCGACAAAACGTTCGCGGGACATGTTATAGTAGCATATCAGAGTGTCCACAATATCCTCACAGGTTTTTTGGACGTTGTCTTTCATCGTGGTGGGCTGACTTGTCACCCGCGATTCGGCTCGCTCATATTCGGACTCGCCTTCTTCGTTTTCGTCACCAGCCGCGTCAGTTTTGTTGCGCGCGAGTATACGCTGCTCCCGCCTCTTCTCGAGATTTTCACTGAACTTATGGCTGAAAGTACTGGGTCTACCTCGACGCTCAGTCGCGAGGAGGTAATGAGCATGGTCCATAGCTCGACGATACGCGTCGCGCAGTTGGTCAAGAAGAATAACTTCCCAAAGTTGGTTCCTAACTTGGGTATCCGGACAGAGCTTGCTAAAAAGTTGGAACACATAGTCGTGGACCATATTGATGGCCTTGCTGGTGTGCGAGAGCACTAGTGGCTCCCATTTCTCAGACTGTTCCTCGAATACTATCGCTAGTATAGGGCCCCCGAACTAAAAATCATTGCTTAGTATCCCGATCAAGAATGCTGGAGAGCAAGACACTTACTGTTCCAACTTCAGGCCCACGGCTAGCCTCGTACGTCCCGATGACATGTTCCAGAAGCGGGTCATCCGAGGGCTCCGGGCATTCATATTCATCGATATGAATGATCTGGGATAATTCCGGATACTTGTTGAGGGGAATCTTGAAAGAAACGTCCCCTTCCTTGCGAGTGGGAGTGACTTCTTGGTCCTCCAACTCCGGGCCGAAATGTCTCTTATGTCCCCTTTTTAGCACAACGTGGGACAAAGCCTCGTTCAGTTCCATCGCTCTGGTAGCAAGCTTCAAATTTGGCTCCGATTTGAAGATGGGATTCCCGGTATAGTACCCATTGAGGGCGTGTTGCGTTATTTCCTGAAACCGAGACGCGATCCTCCCCAAGTAAAGTCTTTGGGAGCTCTGGTCGGATCGGGACGGCCCCATGGCCTCTAGCTCAGACTTACGGAGATTCAGACGGTTTTCGATGTCTGCTTTTACGTGGGGCAGCTCACGCTTGGAGATAGACATCAATAGTTCGCTGAGGCGGGTCTGTAAGGACTCGATACCGCAGCGATTTGCGACCGATGTCCAAGGAGGCCCCGCAAAGAAAGCCTTCTCTGCGGCAAGGCGGTCGGATATAGACGAATTGCTATCGTCTGCGCTGCGATTCTTCACCACGCAATAGCCGAGAGTAAGCCTGTTGCGCTTGCCCTGGACTAAGTCTATGACTGCGCTTTGGGTGGCCTGTTCCATAGCGAGATCAGGTTTTGTCAGCACTCCCATCGTTCTAATACCATCTGGGTCCGCCGTCTCGGCGAGCTTGAGGATCTCCTGAGTGGCAATATCAACGTTGCAAGGCATGACCGCAAGAATACTATTGACTTATCAGCTAAGAAATCTAGTCAAGGGCTAGGACACGAACATCGTTCTACTATTCTCCATATACGACTTGACCATGTTTCGAACCATGGTAACATCGCTTTCAGTGGTAAGTCCTAATACCTATTAGCAGGCCCTTGAGGAATCTGTACGTGATAGCTCACCAGGTGTTGCGACCCGGAATATTCCCGGAACATCGATCACCGTCAGGTGGGTTTGCTGTCGAAAGGTTCAGTTTTCGGTTACAGCATAAGGTGCACGAGACTTTACATCAGGTCCACTAATTTCAATTTTCAAAATATCTTGACTGAAGGCTCCGATTCCTTCGTCGAACATACTAAAATCGGATTCGCTCATTCGGAGGCCCATTGCCTCATTCGCCTTGAAAGAAATATTAGTTGATGAAAAATGACTAAGTTGGCACCATGATTCAACATACCTCTTCGAAGATTTCAGCGAGTTGGTCATTGTCAAGCTCCGTGATCTGGCGCTGGAACTGGAAGAGACGAGTCTTGAGTGTCTCGTTCGCATCTGGACGAGGGATGATCGACACAGAAACACTTTTACGCGGCTCGCGGGAACAGGTTATCTGGGTGGCGTAGCGGGTGCATAGTCCGGCGGCTCGAGGGAACGAGAACCCAGTCAAACTCTCGAGGACCGAGCTCTTTCCGGAAGACTGGTCTCCTACCACAATAAGCTACAAGGAGGTAAGATATCCGTTAATTAACTTGCGACTCAAATAAGGGTATATACGTACTTGAGGAAGAGGAATAATTGCTCCGACGCTTAATTCTCTCAGCTTATCAACCTTGTTAAGGACAGCCGGGTTCCCTAATCCAACTTCGGAGGTCGCCATGATAATGATGATGAGTATTTGATAGTTTCGACTTAGAATATAGAGAAAGCGGGACAGATAAAGTAGGTTTAGTAGAATATATTGTGGAAGACAGGTACGTAGATTGGCACGACTTTTCGAACTGAGAGTATGGCATGCATATATACCTCTTCAATAAGCTGGGAACCGCGAGTTCATAACAGCCAGATCTCATAAAACTGTTTGCCATAGAGCACCCATGTACCCGGGTAACCGGAAGGACTGCTTCATCTTGCGTCTTGCCGTCGTCGTTTGCTGGATCATTGCCGTTGGATAATTCTAATTCTAGGGATATGGCTGCAGTAGTATCCATTGCTGTTATCACGGCACGGAAAGCAGCCTCCCGGGGACTAGACGCAGACTTTCAGGTAGGTAGTATGTTCTACGGCATCAAGTACCACGATGGTAATTCTTGCCATTTATGGCGTTTGTCTTACCAACGAGGCATGGCTGACAGGTTACTGTATCGGTCTACTTGCCCAACACCAGGCATATCAAACGACACATTAATACATGACCCAGATGGCGCTAGTTAAGCCACAACGGAGTCCTGCATATTGGGTCGCACACATCCTGCGGGCTACTACCCAAGGCGATGCGAGGATATCCAGGGGTAGCTTCAGATTCGGGGATAGGGCAAGTCGGGTTGGGCAAACAACATGAAGACAGCCTTAACCAGGATGCAGAGAAGAGATCAGGCATAAAATTCAACGTCATATCCACGGTAGGCCGCATACAACCGGTATTGGAGGTTTATTACCATCTCAGGGGGATTCTACATGCTCTATACGAGTACCAAAATACCTACATAAACACGTATTCTCCCAAAGACTTACATTTCCGAGCTAGACCACATCCGACTTCTTGCATGATTCTACGTCAAGACCCATGTTTCGAGGTCGGTACCTGATTTTCATTGACTCCAGTCTCCCCTCAAGAAGATCCTTTGTATATGTAAGTTAAAGTCTTGTGTCAAACACCATGAATTGACTACAACTTCTATATCATTGGATAAATAAACTCCTAAGGATGACCAAATTTTTCTAGGTAAATCATGGTCCTCTAATGGCTTGCCGGCCAATTCGGACTTCCATCTTGCGCTACCACTTATTTCTATGGGCATTTACGCTCGGCTTTCAAGTGTCAAATTCATAGAATATTCAAAGCCAGGAAATTAGATATCTCATGTAGGTAAGAAGTGACCTATACTTGGTTCAACTAACATACCTCTAGGGGTCAATACATCGTAACGCCGACGAATGGTGTGATGATTAGTCATGCTTCCTTCCCCTCATGACACACGAAGGGCGCAGTCGCAGTCCTGGTTTGGCTTGGAATAAATAGAGACATTCAAGACACTATGTTTCCTAGAGGGCAGCCCCGAACCTTCATCTAATACAAGTACTAGTCATCGTTGAATATAGGAGTGGTTTTAGAAAAGAACCCTGGTGAATTCACAGCTCGAAATGCCCTCAGCAGTAGTTCCAAAGGCCTTGGAGCCCGGTGCAACTATAGCATTCATCTCTCCATCAGCCCGACTCAATGCGCTATGCCGAGCCTACATGTCACGGGCGACCGCCGTGCTCGAGGGTCAAGGATACAACGTCCGGGAATTCTTCAACGAAGACGCGGGCATCCAATCATCCATCAGCAACCGCCTATCCGAGCTGCGGGCCGCGTTCTCAGACCCGTCCATCTCCGCCATCATATGCACCATCGGCGGCCCGAGTTTCACCGAGCTGCTCCCCGCCCTAATCGCCGACACGGAGCTGCACTCCGCCATCCGCGCCAACCCGAAGATCGTCGTCGGCTACTCCGACATCACCGGCTTACACTGGTTCCTGCACGCGCTTACGGGGCTCCGCACCTTCTACGGACCGGGCGCCATACCGGAGCTCGGCGAGCCCAACTCGGTCGACGACGAAGCCGCGCCGCTCTCGTTTTGCGTTAGGAATCTGTTCCGCGCCATCGCGACGAGCCGCGAACCGATCGGCGAGCTTGCGCGGTCAGCCACGTACGCGCCTAAGCTTGCAGCGGTCTTCGAAACTAGTCCGGATTTGGTGCGATCGCCGGAGCTTGCGTCTACGCCCGGATGGATATGGATCCGGTCGGGCAAAGGCCAAGGACGGCTTTTTGGCGGTTGTCTGACTGTGATGGCGCGGCTCGCTGGGATACGGGGTATCGTGCCCGATTGGCGGGGCAGGATCGTGTTTTTCGAGACGGCGATAGGCGAGGACGAGGTCTCGGGGAATCCGATCTACCGTGTACAAGCGGGGATCGCGGATCTCATAGCGCAGGGCGTGTTTGATGACGCGGCGGGGCTGGTGGTCGGGCGGCCGTTCGGGTACGATTCTAAGGAGATGAGGGAGGAGTATATTGGTGTGATCAAGGGGCTCCTGTGCGAGGGACCTCTGGCGGAGAAGAAGTTCCCGATTCTTTTTAATGTGGATATTGGGCATACGACGCCGATGCTTACTTTGCCGTTCGACACGTTGGCTGAGCTTGATTCGGAGAGGGATCGGTTTGCTATTCTGGAACCTGCGGTTTTGTAGATCGTCGGTGTTTAGGGATAGCTTGATTTCTGTGCGTCTCAGACCCTTCAGGAGTCTGTCAAGAAGTGTAGTTAGCATATACGCCTGCTACATCAAGGCTCGTGTAATTATCTCGCGTACTTACCCCTTGATTTATCGAAAGACACCTAAGTTATCAGAGGCATAATTTATCATGTAGCCCTTATTACGGGATGAGCTCGTCAAGTATAGCAATGACACTCTGATACAACCCCCTAGCCTCTAAGCATCCATGACTCGACGCCGCCCATCATACAACATGATTAACTAGGAGGTAGGTATCAATCACCCAGCCGAAATCCCCCCTGCATAAGAGGTAGGCATTGAACAAGGACTCGCAACCTACTTCATCACCCCTTTTCAGCTCCATCATGAACACATTTCTCTATCCCGTTGTGTAGGTATCAAACGCCATACACTCCTCCCTAAAACCCCCCAACTCTCCCTTCCCGATCCCGCGCTCTAAACCCCCTCCCCATCCCCCGTACCAGTCTTCACACGGGAACTCCCAGCCTCCGGCGGCCCCGTCCCATCATCCATACAATACCAATCCCCACGACACCAGCATCCCCGCGCACAAGCCTCGCACAACTCCGCACTCGGCGGGTCCGCGGTCCACGTGTGACTTACATCGACGAATTCGCAGGCGGAGCTCTCGCGCCGGCAGTACAGACACCGCGCGCACTCGGCGCTGTCGAGCAGGGCGGTATCGCAGCCCTGGTTGCAGAACCAGCCGCAGGATGTGCAGTGGGGACCTTGGATGCAGGTGGTGGGTTGTGCGAGGATTTGGGGGAGGAAGAGGAGGATCGTGGTGAGAGTTGGAAGGTGCATTATGGTGACGCTGGCTGGTTATAGTGATGTAGACGGTTTTGCCATTATTTAGGACTTCGAAGTGATGGATGCGTCTTGGTTGCTTATCAATGTCCTTGTAGGAACATTTACTTCTCTAATTGTACCAATTGTCCCAAGCCATTGCTTTTAACTGGACTAAATATTCCTTTTATATGTAGGAATATATAGTGTCGTAAAATATTATCAGCGTGTCCCAGACTGATCTTCATCCGCGATGTCACTCCCCGTACATACACCGTCGTATCGTTAATTTGGCCCGCATAGCCGACAGGCATCGCTTTGACAATCCCCATTCCTTCGATGAGCTTAAATTGATTCAGAAAAAGACGTGCCATATTACTTCTCCGAATATGCGTTGCTTCGCGCCCCTGAATAACTTGTGGGAATATTCGAGGTTTAAATCGAACCGATGGGCTGGTTGCTTTTACAACGTCACGCAGCGTCGCCTGGGTTAGATGATGCAAGTGTAGATGTCGGATAATTAATCTAGTCTCGAGATCTCTTCAAGGCTAAATAAATTCCTTTGTCGCTCGAGATTGACAAAAGGACCTCAGCGATGATCGCTATGAGATTTACGTCATGGGGGATCGGTATCGACAGGGGCTTTATTATAGCTTCCTACCCTCCATGTAGGATGATATTAAGTGAATAAACTGAAAATCAAATATAGTATTGTGTTCCATGAGACAACTCCAAGACGATTCTCCTCGTCACCAAGCTTCCCATTTCTGTCCTCCGATCGCGACAAGGCGGTTGAACAATTCATCCCTCATCGGTAGCGCCGTCACGCGCCAAACATTACCAGTTCTATCCGTAATTTCTAATCCGTCAGCCACTTCCCTGCCCATTGACCAGCCCACGATGATCTTGGCCTTCCACCCGTAACCGCCAACCTTCTTAATTTCGGCAATATCACCGATAGCTACGGTCCATAGAGGATGTAAATCCTCGCGTTCTTCAGATCCAATCTTCTCGATTGTATGATTCGTACTAAATGATACGGCAGGTATCGTGGACTTGGTCGTGATGTAGACGTGACCCTTTTGGCCCTTATATCGGCCCTTGAAGTCGAGCGGACCAGTGAGATGGTTGACGTCCGACCGAGGCACGGCGCCCAGGCGATTCTTGGCGTGGTGAGATCCGGCTTTCGCTCGAGCGTGATCGGTGCCAATTGCTGTCTTTACGGCGCCTTTGGTTGTCCCCTTGAAGAAGCTGATTATCCTATTCCCGTGCTTTCCATGCTTGGAGCTTTTGGCGGCGTCTATATCTGGTCCCCCAGTCTGATGTGCGACTTGCGGATCATGTTCTATGGCCTCACGCAGTTCTTCGTCGGTGGCATTTAGTGGTGGTTCGGCGCCAGTCGCTTTTAATTCGGCATCGGTAATTTCGATGGGTCTCTCGGGAGGCGGTGCGCCGGCAGAAGGCGGGGGAGGTAAAGGCGCTTTATTAGCTTCCCCTATGCGAAGTAGAGTAAGGGTCAACTGCGCGTTAGTCGGTACACCTTTGAGGATTGTGTTGCGCAGTTCCATGAGTTTCTGCCAATGAGGAAATCTGCGGTTGAGCCACTTCAATCCGCGACTGATAATGGGATCCCCGAAGAAACCAAACCCTACCCCGAAAGTCATCCCCTTGATGAACATGTACGATGTCACGAAAAGGGAAATGAGGAAGAGCGGAACGACCAAGATCGCAAGCCTCAACCGGTAGACGTCCTTGGGAAATGGCGGCGTAGGCGACAGAGCATTTACGAAGCGTTCCCAAGTATCCGATACGTCGGCGATGCCATGCATGATAGGTCGCATCTTCGTCCACATCGCGGTCTCAACGGGAACCTTGGTTTTATCCTGACTCGGTCCAGTTTTGCCTCCTGCTGCGACATCCTTGGCTTCAGCAGCTGTCATAGCTAAGTCGGTAGGGTCAGGTACGGCATCGTCAGGAGACCCCGTCTCAGATGAAGGCGCAGCTTGAGGATGCTTTCCGGCAGCACTCGTGACGACGATAGAGGCGAAACCGTTGACGAAGCTACTAGCTTCCTGTTCGACAGCCTCTCCTTTGAAGTTCTGCGGTGCCCCCGTTGAGCTGTCGGTACTACCTAGAACGCCAGCTTTGGGTTTCTGAACACCGCCAGATTTGCTATCTACCAACGCTAGGGGCGCGGGTGGGAATAGGACCTCCCTTGATCGCGGATAGACAATTAGAGTGATTAAAGTCAAGGTAAGAAGCGGGACGACCAAGTCAAATATCCAGGCAGCAAAATAAACCTGTCAGCCTGTAAGTATGACTCGAGATGAACATCATCAGGGAGCCTTACCGCGCAGAAACAAGAAGTGCATCGAGTTTCACGCCATGACCTTAATCGCGCTATGTGTTTAACAGCAGCAAGAAGTCCAACTACGACGGTCATATAGAAACGCTCGATATTCTCCCGCAGTTTGTCAGGGGAGAATTCCTCCTCATCGGCAATATTGAGGTCGAGATCTCCAGGTACCGCGGTAGGAACCTCTTTGACATGGTATATTTGCTGTGTTGGCGGATTTTATCAGTTCACCTGCCAATGATTGATCGATGAACGAGGCCGTACCTTATTGAACCTCCGGATGAGGAGCCACAGATCTTCATTCCCCAATCTCCCGACCAACGGGGCAGAGATCTTATCTTTCTTCTCATTCCATCCTAAATTTGCTACCTCTTCAACGTACTCCCGTTGAGCTATACCCTTCACTTCATGGCTATTCGTCGCTAAGTCATGAGAGAGTGTAGGTTCTTCGGCGAGGCTATTCGCGGTTTCGAACTTCTCCGGTTCGTTTACAGGTTGTGTTGTTGGTGGAATAGGAAGGATATCAGTCAGTTTAGTGTTGGTGATGTTTCCATCCGCATCCTGAATTCCCTGACTCTTCTCTTCATCCAGAGTCATTTTACCGATTGCGATTCATATGAATGGACGAGCTATATGTCCAGAATTAAATTTATGAATAGGTGACTCCTCCCAGTTAAATACATGAAATTAGAGCGGCTTGTGTAAGGAGCAAGGCCACTCCAAGACTCGTACTCGTGAATCTTCATGATTTTCTGTTCTAATCAAGGCGATGTTCAAAATCTTTCCAATTAACTAGGCCGATGACGTCGATGGTTCTACGAAGAACAAAGCCGGTTGGTGAAGATCTACGTAGTAGATGCCGGACCTCTTTAGCGCTACGCGAGAAGAGAAATTCCTTAACGCCGCGGCCAATAATCTGTCCTGGCTTCATTTAAGACCCTTCTCAGCCGCAGCTAAGATCGATCGATCCAAGACATGAGCAATGCTAGCAGAGCTACCAAACACTCGGGACGAGTCAATAAGCCGGGAGTTGACATCGATTTCTCCATCATTTATTCGGGCTGAATTGACTGAGTGGACTGGGCAGTTGTGTTTAAAAGGACGATTGCCGCCTCACAGTTTATTCTGTGGCACGTTCGGGTATGCAACCCCAATAAGCCCACCTAAAAACGGTACGTACATGCTCAATTACATAACTGTAACACAGACACTTTCTATCTATGACGACATACAAACATCACAATAGCGAATTCGGTATGTAAATAGAAGCAACGGTCGAGTATCAACCGAATTGCGATTGCATGGTCTTAAATACCTATCTAAACATTCGAGCTAGCTAGATAATTTAACATAGAATTTCAACTCAACAACACCTACTGCTTGTTCAAATCATCAGGATGTCGGAGCAGCTCGTGTTCCAGCTAAGCGGCACATGCAATAATTATCCCTGGGGAAAGAAAGGGAAACAGTCTCTAGCGGCACAACTATGCGCACAAACTCCCGGCATTGACTTTCATATCAACGACGATGAGTTCTATTCCGAGATGTGGTTTGGAGACTATCCAGACTTCCCCGCTCGCAAGTTAGAAACTGGCGAGTTGCTAAGCGAGGTCCTCAAGCGCGATCAAGAGCACCTCCTGGGGAACAAGGTCGTTGAGAAGTTCGGTAGTGAACTACCATACTTACCAAAGGTAAGATTCGCCGAAAATGAAGAGAGGAATTGTATCAGAGCTTGGGCTCACGACATGGCATAGATCCTGTCCATTGCAAAGGCCCTACCGTTACAGCTTCACCCAAACAAGGAGCTCGCCACTAAACTTCACGAGAAAGATCCAGAGAGCTTCACTGATCCAAATCACAAACCTGAGATTGCGGTGGCGTTGTCAAAATTTGAGGTATTCGCAGGATTCAAACCGCTAGATAAGATAGCGCCCCTATTCAAGCTAGAACCACTCCAGGAATTCAGTCCGGAGCAGCCAGATGAATGGACAGACGAGACTTTACGGGAAGTCACCAGGAATCTGCTCAAATCCGACCTCGAAACGGTTAAGAGGGTGCAAACGGAGCTGTCGAAGATTCCAAAGGATCAATTAGGCGAGGAGGCCTACATTCTTGATCTTCTCCCTCGTCTTCAAGGCCAATACGGGCCGGAGGACGCAGGTAGTCTAGTTGCACTTCTATGTATGAATTTCTTGGTTTTCGAGCCCGGAGACGCAGTATGGATTCCCGCAGACGGCATTCACGCATATTTGGCCGGCGACATAGTCGAGTGCATGGCCCGGAGCAACAATGTGCTTAACACCGGCTTCTGCCCGCCAGGCGATCGTAACAACGCCGACACGTTCGCGAACACGTTAACCTTCAAAGCTCATAGCAAAGACGACGTCTATCTCCCTAGCCAGAAGTCGGAGAAGAGTAAAAAGGGCAAGACAGTAGTCTACAGGCCACCAATGAGTGAATTCGACATGCTCAAGACCGATCTAGGCTCAGGAGAAGGCGAACAGCTTACCCCGAGCGAAGGACCAGGCGTAATGATCGTGACTTCGGGGTCTGGGGTGATGTATGCTGAAGGAAAATATCACCAGTTAAAAGAGGGTTTTATCTACTTCATTGCGCCAGGTGTCCCAATCGAGTGGGAGAGCCAGCAGGGGATGCAGGTCCATATGGCTGTCGTATAGAATATATTATGGCAGACGCTTATGTCGTCTGGGGTTACCTGGCGATGTCTTACATCAGGTACGAGTTGCCACATACCTTATATAATCCGACGAAAATAAACCACCTTGGTCCCACTACCGTCGTACGATGCATAGCGGTCGTGTTAAGCGACACCAATTATTTACCTTGATTGTAAACACAGCAATGGTATCCATCAAACAATAGGTACTTTTAAGGGAGTAATTATATATCTAGGTGTAAGTGGGCACTTGAATGATTACAATTACAATTACGAGCATTAACTTCCCATCTTCCAGGTCTCGCGTGACCTTCAGGGTCCTTAACTTCCAAGTTATAGATCTTGGCACTGCTCCTATTTGCCTCATTCGTTCCCACCACCATTGGCGGCAATCAAGCGACTGGATGCCACCAATAAAACCAAGAATAAAATGAATCCAAGACATAAATTTGGAGTAGGATGAAATCAGGACAGCTAGATACCTTGTTTAGGCAACTGACCCTGAATTCGCGGAGGCTGAACTCCCGGTAAATTGTCTTGCCAACTTCTGCCCCTCTCAGCTCAGCTCCTTCGAAGCTCTTTATACGAAAGCAAATGCGGAGTTTGGTAGGATAGGCACGGAAGAATTATAGATAAAAAAACAGACAATTGTTCCAGATGTAACGATCGTTAAACCGGGATCGCGAGCAACCGTAGCATCACGATGCGGGTCGTGATCTAGATCTGGAATCCAGGGGAATCGAACGTTTGGGTATGCATATCCACCGGCCCCGGTGGGTGGCTCTTACGATGTTATATAAGGCCATTAGCCGCGTTGTGTCGATCGATTTACCAGCACCGTTCCTCACATCGTAGGAAACTGGTCATCACAGAGCTGCAGCTCATTCTTCTTTGGCTACTTGTCCATTTCAGACGCATCTCTCTAAGCTGCCAATCATGGGTTTTCGAGGACTTTGGTGGCTATTGGCCGTAAGCGCCACAGCTGCGCCAACTGCTGCCCCTATCACGATTCACCTATGCGGTGACTCGACCATGGCAAAAGGCGGAGGGGGAGCGTCAGGTCAACCGACCGAGGGATGGGGCGAGTACCTCAAATACAGCTTCGGCTCCGACTACGTCGTCCACAACGCGGCCATCGGCGGAAGAAGCGCGAGGTCGTTTACCCGCGAAGGACGCTTCGACGCGGTCGCCGACGTGGTCCAGCCGGGCGATTGGGTCGTCATCGAATTTGGCCACAACGACGGCGGCAGCTTGAGTACTGATAACGGGCGGACGGACTGTCCCGGAGCCGAAGACGAGACTTGCCAGACCACGTATGACGGCGTCGCGGAGACGGTTCTGACGTATCCCGCGTACTACAAAAACGCGGCTAAGCTTTTCCTCGGAAAGGGGGCCAAGGTTATCTTGGACTCGCCAACTCCGAATAACATCTGTGAAACTGGTACATGCGTTGACGACGTTTCTCGATTCGACTATTATGCATGGTAAGTGCTTAGAACCTATACGAATTATAAGAAAACTTTTGCTGATGATTCTAAGGCACGCGGCCGCTGAGCTTGATAGCCCTGATGTCTATCATGTACCACACAAGGAATACGCGGTCCAAGTTATGCAGAACCTAGGCCCGGACACCGTCAACGCTAACTATCCTAACGACCACACGCATACTGGACCTTATATGGCCAACGTCATGGCTGGAGCTTTTGTGCTGGGATTGAAGTGCGGAACGACTGATCTTGGAAAGGCTGTTATAAACTCGACTGAGTCCCTGACTACATCTTACTATGGACCATGTATACCACAGAACAGCTCCATCCCTATTTAGGATGCTAGAAGTATCCATGTCCATCTCACCTATTTATATAAATACCTATCAATATAAAATCGTGAATTCCAAGCGCAAATATATCAGTTCCGAGGAAACAGTCAGCAACTATTCATTGCATGTATATACCTAGGTATGCAACCTACATAGTTAATTCCAAAGAGATAAGTCGTCCTAGGAACGGAGTCCCCCCCTTCTGACTCACCGTTTACATGAGGGAAAATTACCACAACCACACCATCAACTCAACTCCAACCCGTCAATCTCCCTCGCACTCCACTCCCACAGTCTCTTCGCCAACTCCATATCCTCCCCATCCCTCACCAAATCTCCCTCCTTCCCAACCGGCAAGTAAAACTGTCCGTAGCGCACCCACGTGTTCCGTCCGCGCCATCTCCGTCTTCAGCTCCTCGAACGCGATGCCCCCGCACGGATGCAGCGCGTACCCCAGACTCGTCAGCGCTACGACCCTTACATCCCCCCCATCCCCAGCCCCTGCCCCTTCTCCGGTTTTCTTCTCCTTTTCTGCCGCCGCAGTGCTTAACAGCACCGGAAGCAAAAGCTTAAGCAAAGTAAAATGCTCCATATGCGCCGTCCCGAACCGGACCTCGTACCCGTCCCCCGTCAACCCCGGCGCCGCCACCATGAGCCCCGCCGACGCGACCAGGACATCCAACCTATCGCTCTGCGCGCGGCCCGGGCGACGTAGTCCCGGGACCCGAAGTCGTAGCGGAGGAACGTGATTTTCACTGCGCCCGCGCCGTCGTCGGCGCTGGCTTGGTTCCGGCCTGTGAAGAAGAGGTGTGCGGGCTTTTGCTTGGCGAGTTGGAGGAGGGTTTCGCCGCCTAGGCCTGTGGTTCCTGGGGTGGTGTTGGCTTCTTATTTGTTTGTGGCTGAGGGATAAGGGGGACATACCACCTGTGATGAGGAACACCTTCCCCTCGAGATTGGGGATATCGGACTCAGGGTTGAAATCGGTCTTCATGATGTAATTTGCTGCGGATACCTTACTAATACTAAATCTTATTGTTGATCTTGAAAGTCATTCAAGTTTTGTTAAGTTGAATTGGGATATAGGAGGGTCTGTCTTGTCGATTCAAGAAGCTCTGATTGTGCCTCTGGATTGATTCATCTCGTCAAATCTAGAGATGATACAATGTCTTTATAGTCCATGGTGAGCCGCCAGAATACCATCTCCATCTCAATTACACCTCATAGAAATGACCATTTTGCAGTATATTCTGCCTACATCATCGTCGCGGTCGAATGATTCCTCCACGACAGGGTAGAATGCCAAGGCGTCTAGCTTCGGATAGCTACTTTTTGCCGTGGGCTGCGTTTGCAGTGACTTGACTGCCTCGAACACTGACATTTTTAGTCACAAAGATGGAATAATTGCAACAACTATTTTCGATGTGAGCTTTACTTGATTGATGCATCCATAGTCATATGACCAATGACTTCGCTGGGAACTCTTGTTAGGAAGTAGGGTTACTTGCCAAAATTGAGCCTTCAATTAAGTATTTATCCGTGTCCGCCAGGAATAGTGCTTTTTTCGGACTCATCGGGTGGTCTACTGTGGCTTGACGGGTATTGCAGAAGCCCGAAGGATTGGGCCCGTCCCCGCGGGCTGATTTTGTGCCGATGTACTCTAGTGCCCACGTTGTCGCCAATAAGCTCCGTTTCTAAATCTACAACATGGTCGATTCAAGGGCTGCCTAAATCTGTCTAAATAAAGATTGGTTTATCTCATGAAAAACTCATTGATGTCTCTTTGGATGCTTGAGTATTGGTCCTGACAAGAACAGAGGGCTCATGTACTGGGTATTCAAACTTGGCCGAGAAGCAGATGTATTAACTCCGGTTTCTCCTATGAAATACTGAGCTCTAGGACCTAGATCCGTTTCACACAATCTCAAAAGTCATATCCATGGCCGTATTCACATTTTATTGTATTAGCAGAATCCAATCGTCTAACCTAGCCAAGTCTATCTCTACCGCCCGCTAAGCCTCTTTTCCAAAAATCGAAAAGGGATGTAGAGAACCGCCGTCACGGCAAACGCCATCTCAAATCCAATGTCGCCAGACTTCTTAGCAATTGGGCCCTCGAACCACACTTGCGACATGCTAGGGATAACCAACGCGAAGCTAAGCGCGCTCGCTGCCAGAGCGGCAACTCCCCACGGCAGCCGGGATGCCACGTTCCAACTGTCCTGGTCGTACGTATCGTACCGGCCACTTCTAAAGACGTTGTGTTCAATGATGAGCACCGCCACGAAGGCGGCAGACCAGTAGCCGATCAGCGAGACGAAATTCTCGAGGTTAGAGAAGAATGCTTCGGCCGCTTTGACGCTCACCGGTATGACGATAGCGGCGACCACGACCGAGAACATGTAGCGTGGTATCACGACTAGCTGTGGTATCAAGATTTGGAAGTTCAACGTGATCGAGTACATCGTCGCTGCGAAGTTTCCAAGTAAGGTTAAAGAAAGTACCACAACAACAAACTTGCCAAAGCCGCCGGCGCGCGACAGCATCGCAGCTAACACGCCGCCGACTTGTGTCGTGTCGTAGCCATCCTGCCACTCGGGGTTACTACTTATAGCCCCTGCAATCGCGGCACCCAGAATCATCAGCAATATCGACGGGATCACGAGGCCCGTAAAGCCATACAAGAACAATCTCAAACTTTTGATTCGGTCAGTTTCAAGTCAGAGGCGTATAGAGTAGGAGGACTCACGATGAGAACTTGGGGTTCAGGTATGTCGTGAAATCTGAAGCAAGGCACGCATATGGAATCATGTAGGATGCCATGATCATGCCAAAACTTAGGACACCACCTGCTGTAGCAGGCTCCGTTGGTGCCTGCTTTGTGAGACCCGAACCTCCGCATCCAGTAGCGATGATGATAGCTATCAAGGCCGGAATCCAGGCGAAGCGCTCGTACTGATGCAGCACATCGTATCCACAAAAGGAGATGAGCAGAGCTAGCACACCCATAATGACTATCCCTACTGCCGGGGTAAGAGAACCACCGGCGACGGCTGACAAGCATTGGCCTCCGATGACGCAGGTGACGACACAGAATCCTGTCAGGGTGGCCAGGTTTAAGATAACTGGTACGGAGACAAGGTATCTGCCAAAGGAGAAGCGAGCCTGGATCATCTGTCGCAGACCAGTCTTAGGACCCAAAGTACCAAGATAAGCTGGTATGGCGGCGGTTAAGAGGCAGAAGAATATGATGACCAGAGCACAATCCCTTAGACCCAGGCCATATCCCGGACCAAGCATACCGAATGTGATGCTAATCGCGGTATCAGTATAGTCATCTCCTGATGAATGAGATATCAGCGATCAACTTACGGTAGGAGGTTGATATTCATGCTGGCCCATATCCAAAAGTAACTAAAGTAGTTAGTAGCAGTGCGGTCTTCCAATGCCACCGGTAAGACTCCTCGCTCTTCGACCGGACTGGCCTCGACGAAATCGGATACGATGCGTCGAAAGGTTCCCATCAAAGCGCGGCCCTTCGGCTCAGAGACATCTGCTTGCCCAACTACCTTTTCGGTATTTTTCCTCGCTGCCGTCAACTCATTTCCACTTGTCTGATGGCCCTCCAACATCTTGATAATTCTCAGGTAGATTAGGCCAAAGATAGGCCTTTTCTAAGGACCCGTTTGACGGGGAGCCGACTCTTTAAGGCCGATAGCGCAGCGCAGCACTACAAGCACGATCCAACAACCGACGACAGACAACTATCGCAAGAGGCGAATTTAACTTTCACGAACAGTCGAACAGATCTTGGGACCGGGTCACAAAAATCTTATCCGAGGTACCTAAGTAGATGCGCGAAATTCTCTAGAAGGATCGATAAGTGGATGCCATCATGTGCAACTGCAAGTAATTCGATAGCCGCGGATCAAGCCTTCTAGAAGTCGGAAAGATGCAGGGGTTCTATCGGTTTTCTAGTGGAAGTTGCCGGGTCTACACCGGAGTGATGTAATCGCCACGAAAGGAAAAGTTTTCTTTCTTTAGATCAGTGAGATCTTAGACTCCGTACAGTGCGTGCCTGAATATCGCTACAAGGAATCATGATAATCCGCACTGTATAAACCACTACATTCCAGCGCGAGATCTGATGGTTCAACCATTACGGTTGACCTTGATGATGAGAGGTACTAATTAATATTCGAATCCTCTGCAATATGAAGAAGGTATCCAAGCAACATATATGTAAAGTAATTCGATTATAACAAGATAGATAACCGCCGTGCTGTAGATAGCCTACCTATTTTCTGCCACATCATCCCCTATAACCCCTTTTGTTATGCCGCAGACAAGCAGTTATTGCAATAGGGCTGCGCGAGTAGTCAAATACTACCCCTATCTTCCTAATAACTGAAATTTATTCGGCATTGTCCTAACCACGAAGTCTGCTCTCTCAGCAGCTTCTCTCCCCGCGATCATCCCCATCACCGTGCCCATAGTTAATCCACTACCCCCAGGATAATTATCCCAGAACAAACCTCCGAGCAACTCGCCCGCACACCAAAGACCTCGTATCTTATTCCCAGTAAGCTCGCTAATAACCTCCGCTCTAGACGTGACCGCCAGCCCCCCGAACGTAAACGTGATTCCGCACGTCACCTCGACGGCTTGGAAGGGACCATGTTCAATAGGCGCGGCCCAGTTCGTCTTACCTATAGGCAAAGACCTCTCTGTGCCTTGCGTCGACATGCCATCTTTCGCGCTCGGGTCGAACTTCTTCTCGGGATGTTCTCGCTGGAAGCTCTTACACGCTTCGTTGAACTCGGCGATGGTCTCGAGGAATCGTTTCCTATCTTTAAGTCCTCTCTCCATAAGTATGTCGGCAAGTTGGTCAAGTGTTTCGGCTCTTATATTCATAGTAACATCGTCGGCGTACTCCTCATGCCGTAGAAGCATGCTCCCGTCTCTATCCCAGACTTGGAACGCGATCCCCTGGGGCTGTTTCAGGATCTCTTTCCCAAAGATGGCGTATGTGAAGTTACGTAGATCGAAACCTTCGTCTACAAATCGCTTGCCATCGATATTTACCATGATACCGAGAGGGTAACCTGATTTGGTATACTGATTCGTCAATATACGATTTCCAGATGCACGAGGTGAATTAGCATCCCAGGCAACTGAGTGACAACCCGAATAGTTGCCGTCTAGCCTCGCTCCGACCTTCTTTGCCATAGTATGGCCATCCCCAGTATTGTATTTTGATCCGCGAACATGAGCTAAGTCCCAACCGGGACCTAGATATTGAGCACGCAATGCCGGAGACGCTTGAAAACCACCACTCGCCAATACAACTCCGCCTCTAGCACCAATGGTTACCACTTTTCCTTCCCTGAGAATTTTCAAACCGATGACCTCGTTTGTCGTTGAGTCAGAGATTAAATCGACTGCTGGACAGCTGAAGCGAACTACCACGTCATGTTGCTTCGCAGTGTTTAGATGAAATTCGAACAGCTCCTTGCCTTGGCCTGAATGGAAGTATAAGCAAAAGGGAAAAGCATCCAAGCGAGTCAAAGTTGAAATAAGCATCTCACCAGCCATATTCAAAACCATCCCACCCCAGAACTTATACTTCCCATTGACGAAGTACGCTTGCCTATTAAACGAGAGCACGAAGTGAGCACCGTTATCCATCAACCACTGCACTGCTTCCCTCGAGTTATCCACCAGCAGATCAGCAAGCATCGGATCCGCCCTTCCTTTCGTAACTCGATTAATATCCTACCCAATAATTAGTCCTATCACCCTAGGCAAATATGTTTTCTAAAGCTCACTGCGTGGAAATCAGCCTTTGTATAAGGCGCCATCTCGATCCTACTAATAAGGCTTTGCGGCAAGCCTTTTGTGCCGTTCCTCTGATAGAGGTTTGGTAGTAAGTCTTCCAAGCCGTCGAAGCAACACCTGAATGCAGCTGCCGTGTAGAATGTATTTCCACCCGCATCCTCGAGGGGGGCTTTCTCAACTAGACAGACCTGAGCACCGTATTGCGCTGCGGTAGTGGCCGCAGAGAACCCGGCATTCCCTCCGCCGACGACTACGACATCGTAGCTCTCATCAAAAGCCATCTTGAGGTGAGAAGGGGAAATTTGTGAAGAGATACAAATTAATTGCGACACTGACGGAGGGGTTCTCCTCAACCACTGCCGAGAATAACCGACGTACCCCAACTGTCGACCGAGATAGTTTCGTATACAACATACGTACCAGACATCATAGTATAATAAAGTTGAAGGCATAGATTTCATGATTGAACATGTGCCCTGTTTTTAGAGCTGGGCCATCATTTTTTAATAACTATAATACAGATCAACAGCCAGCACATGGCACCAGACTCAGTATCCGATATCCTGCTCCCTTTCCTTAATCGACAAGTCCACGATTCTATGCCAATGCCTAAGGCGGTCCCGTATATCCCGATCGTACTCAGGCATAGTCATAAGGGCCCTCCCAAACGAACCAGAAGACACCTTCGTAGCCAAAGCGGCCGTCGCGGTGTCTACTTGGTTCAAGATAGACGCGGTTTGCTCGTCGAAGTAAAGTCCGCAATGGCGCATCTCTTCTAGGAGATGCAGCATTCCAGGTAAGTCTCCGCGACGATTCCAGTAAATCTCCAAGAGTTCGTTGTAGAAGGGTGTCGATACACCGAGGATATACGACTCTAGTCCTAACTCCTTGATCCGCGGGAGGAGTGAGAATGCGAGTAGCGACGGTGCCCTAAAGGCGGTATCCAGACGGCGCAGCGCAAGGAGGAGGTATGCCGGGTACAGCGGCCCGTAAACGTAGAGACTCAACTCCTCAGGTGGGGTGTCGCTGTCGGGGGCGACGTCTACATCTGCGGCCACATCGTCTGTCCCTTCTGCTTCATTCTCAGGCTCATTTCCTGCGACTTCAGCAGTGTCTAAAGCATCACTAGCTTCTTCAGAGCTGTTTGCCAGCTCTTCGTCCACGATCCCCTCTTCCTCGGCCTCTAACTCATCCGATATCTCTTCTTCCGGTTCCGTCGTCGGCGCTCCCCTGTTGATACCGAGCCTAGCCGGCATCGTAAAGACCTCCTTCTCCAAAACATCCCATAACTCAAAGTCAGTCTTAGCATTGACAATCAAGCCCTCGACGCGGACGCGCTCAGGGCGGCGCTTAGCTTCAAGCTCAATAGTGCGGTTGATACTATGCGCAGGAGTTTTCCAGCCCTCATCCACATCAGCCTCCTTCTTCTTATCCGCCTTCGCAGCATCCTCACCCCCCTCCTGCTGCTGCTCCTCGTCACCACGACCACCACCGAAGTGAGTCACGGCGGAAGAAGACTGGATAGTACCAAGGGCCTTCCCAGCAGCCTCGCGCAGCTCCGGCGGAAACCGCAAAAGCGCCTTATGCCGGTCGCGCGCGGCGCCGGCGAGCAAGCCGGGCGCAGCAACGGTCGCGGGGCGCGACTGCCCGGCGTCCTGGGCGGCCTGCTGCATGATGAGCATGGTGGAGCGCGTGGCGGCGTCGGAGGGCGAGTCCGGGCGGAAGGTGGGCTTGAGGCCGCGGGCGCGTATGTCGGCGAAGATGCGCTCGAAGATGAGGCGCTCGGACGGCGTGATGGTGCCGCGCCGGCCCGCCTCCGCCTGCTGCTGCTGCTGCGACTCCGGCCGCCGCCTCAGGATGTCCTCCTCCCCGACGTTGAGGTCGAAGGGTATGTCATCGTTGCCTCTTACCTGCTGCCGGACGGTGGCGTGCAGCGAGCGGGCGAGCGTGGTAGGGGCTTTTCGGGGGCTCGTACGCAGGATCGTTCGCGTGTAGTATAGGAAAGGCAGGGATGTCGACGACATTCTTGGTGGGCTGGAGAAGGCATGTGAATTGTATAAGTTCTATGAATTCAACAAATTCAATCGAGGAATCTTTTTCTTCGCTCTAAATTTTGGTAGGCTACTTTATCGATAAGCAAAACTCCGAACCCCCCTAAAATTTGCTAGGTATGCCCCTCCAAATATCCCGGGACTTGTCCATAAATCCTCATATCAGGGTGATCGTTTTCGTCGGGCTATATCTATCCAATGCTGTATTCATAGACCCCGCACTTTTCCCATGACCAGTGAACCAGAGGTCTGGTCTAAAAATTAAGATACCCATCCTGAAGTATTTCTGGTGCACCTTACTCTTCCGACCCAGGATCAAAAGGTAACGCTCTCTTGAGTTTCGGCCAGCTCCCCTCCCGACTTCAAGCAAGTAAACTCTTCGCAGCAGCTTACAGGACAACACTTTCGAAAGAACATCTATCCGCACATCAGATGTAATTATTAATCCTGAACGCCAATGATACACTGTCCCAAGAACACGATCACGAAGATGTTCGCGGAGCCAACACGGAGTTAGTCGACCACGTAGTGTCAGGAAGCCGCTCTTGAAAACCCCAAATGGATTATCGTCGACATAACAGCAGGTCGCGTCTAAGACCTCAACGGAAAGGATTACTTCATCAGTCGGGCCCAGATTGGGATCAACAAACCCCGATATAGAGGCCCAAGACCATGTCGGTGCAGTTTCTAATCTCTGACAGTCCACACCCCGTGTGTACCACAGCAAGTCTCGATGCAAAGAACCCGACCATAGACCGGCAAGATAACGCTCTCCAGGACGGACCGTTTGAAACTGCCTAGCTATAGCTCCGATGGCAGGGAGTTTGTCGCTCACATTAGTCAAATCTAGGCAACTATATCTGTAAACCATGCCCCACCATGCCTTTTGCGAGTCAGTAAGCCTTGAACTCCAAGTCACTTGATCGCCATCTATTCCAGCGTGCGTTTCTCTAAGCCATTGATTTCGGAAAGCAATTTCATTAGACTGTGCTCTTGGTCCGATCGATTTCGTAGGCGTTTGGGTGGCCTCAAAAAGGATCCTCCTAGGATGACCCGCAAGATCTGAGTATTGTAGACCACACTCGCAGGCAGAATGACAGAAACATTCAAAGGCCAACTCTCCAGCTGTAAAATATAAAACTCTTGGCGGTATCAAGCGTTCTTGGTAAGCCCAGGCTCTCGTGAATAACGGATATTTGCCAGTTCTAGACAAATACTGGCTACTAATTGGTTCGTGGTATCGCCGCATGTAAAGGGGCCAGCTCTGGTTGTTTAGGCATAAGTTGGCTAATAAGATTGGCTTGAAGCCTTCGGAGCTTGAGAAAAGTCCAGAATTGCTGTCTTTCCCCCAAACAGCTGCCAGAGTCACGTATGAACTTCTGTAGACATCGAACATTCGTCCCGATTCCCGTTCCCAATCTTCCTTGTCGCCTTGCACTATACAAAGGCAATCAACCCATAGATATCCAATGCCTAGCTTTCGTGTGAAGTCGATGGCATCCCGAATGGTCTTCGGCAACGTAGACCAGGGTATACGCTTCTTATGGTAAGGTAACGTCAACGATGTTGTTTGGCACGGTTGCGTCTTCCGTCCCCAGCAATAGCTAAGCGCAACATATCGGGATCCAGTGGGCGCACAATCGTCGAGAGCAACATCTCCATTGAGACTGTTTGGGTCGACATTAATGAGGCGTGTGGGAACAAATGAATCGGCGCCAACAGGTTGACAGCAATGTTGGTGACCTGCGATTTGCTCTTGCGCCCAGAGTAACGAGGCGTCCGTTGAAGTGTCAATGCGTTCTGGTGGGCTGCTGGGTATCCCACGGGGAACTTCGGTTTTGTGGGAGTGTGTTGAAGTAAACAAGAAAACTTTTTTACAGAAATGACTCGCGTCTTGTCCCACAAAGACAATATGATTTCCATGGAAGAAGCACATGCAGCTTTGATATGAAATGTGCTCTCTCTTACGGCGGATTATGGTTTCGATGAGAAGGGCTATGATCTGACAGCGGATGCAATCACGTCTACAAAGAGCTTTGAGATTGACATATCCAAATCCCCCAAGTAGGCCTAGAGGATCACCGTCCCAACCACAACCCTCGCAAACGGGACCTAGAAAGCTCGAAGAACCAGGCGATATAGAATTCCATCCATCAGGTAAGACGATCTGGGGAACTGAGGGAGGTTGCTCTTCCATTTTATCAGCGCAGTTACAGAAATCATGATTTAAGTTTGTGTTTTTGAAAATAGAAGAAAATGGAAGACCTGTAGAAATTATCAGATCTGCCTCAGAACCCTGAGTCAAGCAGGCTGAGTTATGAGGCGCAGGCTAAGACTGCGCGACAATGATTATGGGCAATGTAGTTGGAGATCCCTTCTAGGTATGTAGGTACCTAATGGATGGTATCACAGCTTTTCAAGGACCTCATATCCTATCCATGGATGGAGTTCGTTGAAGGACAACATGTCCCTGAAATCAGCAGGTAATTACTATGTAGTCACAAGACAAACGTGCTGGTGCTGATTTACATGGACTACCTAGGTAGGTACCAGGTATTCAGAAAATGGTGATATTGATGTCAATGCCTGATTAATAGATGAACGGGCACGATGTACGTGGACTGTTGTCAGATTTTGCCACTACACTAAAAGGTCAATTCAGGTTATTACCACTTCTATCACAACTGTCATGGTTTGATTTGTCGATGCTGATAACGTAGGTAGGTACGCAAGTACCTAAAAATATCTGTTATGTGGCACACCATTAACCCGCCCATACCTCATAATATCATACCCCAGTATAAGAATATGCAAGGATACGCGATACGCATGACTTCGCGTTAACGCGTCTCGAATTCTTAAGTGATTTTCGTCATTCATTATTCCGTTGCCGTTACGATTCATACCTAACGTGACAGTAGTGCAACCTCAACCTTCGGATATTACATTCAAATACCCAAAATAAGCGATTGTTACTGGTTGAAATATACCTTACAAGCCTTCTTAAGTCCCCAGTTTTGCCACCAGCTGAAGGAAGAACATAGGGCTTCACATCACATTAACCCTCTTTCACGCTCCCTTCCTAGCATTGATCTCTGCAATTCCGGCCAGCAATATTAAGCGCCGGCCACTGGCCCTTATCAGTCTCAGCCTCTAGGATCATCAGGCCTAAAGAATCCAAGATGGCTCCGGAATTAAGCACGTTCGAGGCGCGGAGGAGAGCAAATGTCGTGAACAATGCCAAGCTATTGAAGGACTCGGCCGAGGTCGCGGCCAAAATGCGCAAGGCCGCAGCTCCACCCCCGAGAGCGGCCGCCCCCAAGAAGAGGAAAGCTGCCGAACCGGCCCCGCGCACGCGAGTGATGCCCACTCGTCAAAGCGCGAGGCTCGCCGGGGCCGGTTCCGACACCAATGGAACAGGTCTCAAGCTCGAGGACATCCCCGCCGAGCTGAAGCCGCCCGAACCGAAGCGCATTCGCACAAGCGGCGACTTGCAGCTCTCGAACCTTCAAGTCGAAGGGCAGAGATGGTCGAGCACAGGGGCGCTAACTTCCTTCGTCCAGGGTGCGCGGCCCGGAGTTCGGACCTTCACCGAGGAGGATATCAAGGATACTTCGGATAGCAAGTTAAAGGACCTGAGAAAGGGGATGAGTGACCTCAAGCTGTATGAAGGCTGGGTACCGAATGGTAAGCTAGTAAACGGATTATACCTAGCCGCACCTTATCGTAAGCCCGTAGTACTAACCGTACGCAGATATCAAGATTACCCCTGAACGTGTCTATGCTCTCACCTTTCATCCCATACAGGATAAGCCGGTCATCCTAGCGGGTGACAAGAAAGGTACCTTGGGGTTCTTCGACGCGTCACAAGAGACACCTCCGCAACCAGATGAAGACGACGAGGATGTGGACATTCCCCTTCCCCAAGTCGGCGCGTTCGAAGTGCACAGTAGAACCATCTCTTCCATAAAAGTGCCCATGTTCGACCCGAACTCGGTGCTTACCAGCTCCTACGACTCGTCAATACGCTGCCTAGATCTGCAGTCCCAAGTCAGCCGCCAACTATGGGAGCCCGAGGACGACAGCGTAGACGTAGGCATTTCGTGCATCGACGTATCGCCCGAAACCAAGGACGTAATCGTCTTCTCGACACTAGACGGAAACCTAGGGAGGCTGGACAGGCGCTCGAAGGAGAAAGCCGACATGTGGAGCTTATCCGACAACAAGATCGGCGGCTTCTCCCTACACCCGCTGCTGCCCCACCTCGTGGCCACGGCGTCGCTCGACCGGACGCTCAAGATATGGGACCTGCGCATGATAAAAGGGAAAGGGGAGCTCCGCCACCCGTCGCTGCTCGGCGAGCACCAGTCGCGCCTGTCGGTCTCGCACGCGTCGTGGAGCCGCGGCGGGCACCTGGCGACGTCGTCGTACGACGACACGGTAAAAGTATACGACATGTCGGGCGCGGCGAAGTGGAAGCCCGGCCAGGACCTGTCGGACGAGCAGATGCGGCCGGCGCACTCGATCCCGCACAACAACCAGACGGGCCGCTGGGTGACGATCCTCAAGCCGCAGTGGCAGGCCCGCCCGGCCGACGGCGTGGAGAAGTTCGCCATCGCGAACATGAACCGGTTCGTCGACATCTACGACGGCGGCGCCAAGCAGCTGGCGCAGCTGGACGGCGAGGGCATCACTGCCGTGCCTGCCGTTGCCGAGTTCCATCCTACGTTGAATTGGCTGGTGCGTATATCCCGGGCTTTGCTCGCGACCCCCTTTTTACTGTCTTCTTGAAGTTCACATGTACGTGGTATACTGACCTTGCACTTTACAGGCTGGCGGAACTGGCAGTGGAAAATTGTGTCTTTGGATGTAAGAGTAGGTAAGAAGGAAGCCAATGCATTCATAGGACTGCGGGTTATAAAAGGTAGCTAAGTGTAGCACTTGTATATATATTTGGGGTTCACGACTGGAGTCTCGGCGTTGAGGTGACTAAGGCAAAAGGTTAAGGGATGGCTATCTAGTCTAATACTATGTTTTAACAATAAATAATGAGCCTCGTTTTGTCGGTACTTGAGTGTTGGCAGCAAGCATTTAGTTACCGGTACCTAGGTAACCGGCTTCGAAGGTTCGTCGAGACAATATCTAGTCAATGTCAACCCGCCGTTGTCATTCAAACTATTATATGAGCTTAATTTCCTGTCGCTCAATGCCATCCCAAAGCTCCCTCCCTCCTAAAAAGCTATATTCTTTGGAATGGAAAATTCCAACTCTTTCAAACCCGTCCTCGTCGTCTGCTTTGATGACTAAGATCCCAAACCATCCCTCTACGACGGGTGGGAACGGTGGATCCGAATTTGAATAGCAACGTGAAAGCAATACCATAAAAAGACGATCTACTGGCCAATCAGGATATTCGTATCTACCTCGCTTGCATCCGTCTATGCTCCAATCAAAGTGATCAAATTGTAAATGCGCGATGTATTCATTTCCATTCGAATGGAGAACGTGACCAAACCCAAACTTATCTTCAACCCACGGAGACGAAATATTTGGTCTTACACCGCCGTTGAGTAGATGCTGATGTATTTTGGCGTGAAGCAATAAGTATCCGCCGTACACACGTCCATATGAGTTCCCCTCTTGTGTAATAATCTCCGACTTCCGAAGCTCGAACTCTCTTGTGAAAGAGCGCCTTAATGAAACATTCACAAGCCACCAAGGTACACATGGGCGGCATGCCCAGCTCCAGGAAGGTGCGATGTACTCGTCTTTGCGCTGCTGGAGGTAGCTCTGCGGGTCTTGCGACGCGTTAGTAACCCAAAGAAGACCGCATTCGATGTCAGAGTCCCACAATCCAGCTAGGTATTTCTGTCCCGGGTACGAATCCGAATAAGCCCTTGCTAATGCGGATAGAGCTGGTAACGTGTCTTGTCTGTACGACAAACGCCTCTTGCAGTAATTATCGAGTAGTTTATACCACGGATTGATCCAATCCATATTCTTTGCCAGGAACGGGAACATCTCCCAAGTCCAATCTTTAAATCGGGCTCCATCCTCTGACTCCTGCAGCTTCCCACAACTCATGTGAAACATGTAGTTGCCGAAATAGACTTTGCGTGGTGAAAGGAGGGCCTCCTGGAACGTCCATCCTCGCGAGTTCCAGGTAGCATCGCCAATTTCCCTTTCTGCAACGTTATTTATCTTATCTATGTCGTAGAAGTCATAGAGTTGGTCAAGAAAAAGCCAGCGCTTGAGACCCAGTGTCGGTGATTGAGATATATTTAGATCCAAGCTGCCCGAAACTGAGCTATCGAGCCTGGATTGGAAGTTGATCCGCAGTGTTCGGGAATCCGGTCTGGTCAAGAACCTACTCGAACAGGAGTCACCTCGAAGAATGCAGAGAGAGAGAAAGCTTTTTGCAAAAATGTTGGACATCTCGAATGATTCCCTTGCCCAGTCTTCTTCGTCGTCTTGAATAATGCAGAGAGCATCTACCCAGATATATCGGACCCCGATCCCTCGACACACCTTAACAGCATCCGCTACAGTCCCAGGTAACCTCTCGGCCTTGATTCCTTGGACGTGGTTATCGAGGATGTCCTTTGTTGTTTTTAATTGCCTTTCGGCATCTTTGCCTGAACCCCAACAGTAGCTCAAAGCCACGTATCTTTTAGAATCATAGTCCTTGGCCTGCACCAGAGGTTGGTGTTGTTCTGTAATAACTAACCGTATATACTCAGACATCCTTGTGCCAACATCAATTAGGCGTGTTGGTAAGTATATATCGTCTGTCGGAGGCAGATGCTCGTGGAGAGAGAGGTGGATAAGCTCCTTTAACCTTTCAAAGCGAGTCGTTGAAAAGCTCCCAAGAGGAATTGGTCGACGCCGAATGTTTAGCCAAATTGCAGACGGGTCTGATTTCCGTCAGCATCAGGCTCAGGTTTGTTTTTGGATGTCTTCTAGGTAGTTTACCATAATTCTGCGTGTGCAAATTATAATGCAACGAGAATATGTTATCTTTACTTCCATCTATCTCGAAGTACACAACAAGCATATCAAACCAAGGCCTTCTTGACTCGAATTCCTCGCCGCTATTCATGGTGATGTCTTTTTGGAGCTTATATTCTATATCTATGATGGTGAGCCTCGCACGTTCAATCTTCTCACTCTCGGCGACGCCACGATTCAATGAATCTTGAATTTTTTTGTTCCAAACAGATAATATATCCCTCCTCAATATCTCGCAAAACGTACAGCCCTGAGACGCAGTCTCAGCCAGCCCAGGTAAGTCTGGCAGAAAGTCTGCTCTGCAATACCCAAGATCTAACTCCAATTTGGGGATAGGACGGCCGTAAAAGGATTCAATGAAGGAAACGAATGGAGTCCCATCTTTAGCTACTTGGACTCTGCCGCCCTGCCTGAGATCGTCAAATTCAAGGAGTTTGCAATAGTTGCAAGGGGTTTCAAGAACAGCATCTTCAAAGACGACGTCATCCGCCTTCAAGACTGCATTGCTATCGCAGGAAGACATCTGGACCGTCTGCATAGTTGGGTAGATGACGTTCGACCTAAAATAGTATGATGATGTACACCTGCTTAAGTGCCTTAGGAGGTAGATAGGTAGATACCTATCTATATTACTTATAAAAAACATATACTATTAGGAGTGATGTTGTAGTAACGGTTTAAGGTACAGTGCTTAGCGAATAAGCCTAGTTAGATATTAAATACCCCTGTACCTTCCTGCTGAGCTCGTCGGATGCTCTGTCCGTGATGATTGGATGAGTCTTAGCCAATTACCCCTATCCATTTTCGCCGAGTTGTCACTCTGAAAAATGTGTATCTGCAATGTAACTGCTTACCACTCCCTGCCTTACTCCTATGAGGCAATCATTGGTTGTTTTGCGCTGCATCGTTTGCGAAGTTGGCGAAGGCATACTTTATCGCCATCCTATAGGAGTTGTTCTGTGAGTTGCTCTTTCAAAAGCAACTTCGTATCCTCACTAAAATCAACAAAGACGGTGGGCAGATTCGGTACTATCGTCTGCCGTCGCTAAATATGCAGGCAGATTAAACATTAAATTAAGCACAGCCTACTATTCACTTAATCTAGCGAAAGGAGGCGGTGTTTACGCGTGGCTAAGTAACACCGCCCCTTTCCAGTACACAAGGCGATCCGTAACCAAACACATTTTACACTTGATGATTCATATAGAATTATAGTATCTTATACTATATAGCCACCGGATGGTGTGACCCAACTAGACTTATCAGCGCCGGTTAGGTACGCTCCCCTGAAACGGGAGCTTGATCGGCGACTCTCGCCGCATTAGGTTTGGTACATGGTAGCTGTTCGCCCGGACAAGCCCGTAAAAGTCGTAGCATTGCTGGGAGTCGCGTGGCGTAAAATACACCCCCATCTCCAAAACATTAAAGCTCAATCCAAAGCAGAGCTATCATAACATCATCACATCGTCCTCCGTTTCGGGCTCTACGTCCGCCTCCTCGTCCACCCGCAAGAACTCGTGCCTTAGGGCCTCCTTCGCGCTGATTCTCCTATTGGGATCCAACTCCATACACCGAGTTAGAAACTCGATAGCCCCCTTCTCTTCCTCGGTCAGGGTGTTGGACTTCCCGTCCTTGCCACCGTCGCTCCGGCACGTGCTCCACAGCATGATCTTCTCGAAACTAAAGCCTCTCTCGCCGATAGTCGGGATGGTAGTCTCGAACATGCAGCCGTGAAGTTGACCCGCGTGCTTCATACGTTTGGAGCCGAAGATAGTGGCGATTTCGATCATGGCCTCGATATCGTCTGCGCTGTTGAAGAAGGGAAAGCGCCTACAGAGGATAGTCAGGAGGATGACGCCCGCGGACCAGATATCGATCTTGGTCGTCTGTTCCGTACACTTGAACAACACCTCGGGAGCCCGGAATCCACGTGTGCCGGCCCTGTTTGCTCGACGAGAGGGTCGAGTATCGTTTATCGGGTACCCTAACTGGGGACCCGCCTGAGCCGAGCTAAAGGCGACGGATTGTTGCAATCTCTGCTTCCTGATCTTCTGATCTTCTTGGCAGAGGCACGGCTTGGATTCTAGTCCTTCTCGCTCGGCCAAACCAAAATCCACTAGGACTCCTCGCTTCTTATCCGGGTCGTAGAGAAAATTGGTAGGCTTGATATCGCGGTGGATGATGCCTCTTTCGTGGACAGCGGCAAGAGCTGTGAAAAGGGACCGAAAGTATACTCTCATATCGTATACAGTCATGTGAGGATAGTATTTTCGAAAGTCTTGGTGGCGGAAATAGGGAAGGACGGCGAGAACTTGGTCGGCATGGCGGAAAGCTGTGATAAGGGGGCAGACGGAATTGGAATCGCGTAGGTCATGAAGAAGTTCGAGTTCATTGAGAATACGGGCGGGCGAAGATGTGACATAGATCTTCTTGATTGCCACAAACTTTGGCTTCTGGCGGGTACGAGAAGAGTGGGAGTCAGATCGAGAACGAGAAGCGTCCCTGAGAGGTGGAGGTCGCCATTGGTTTTCTGCGGCGTCCATATCCCAGCTATTCTCGTATTGGTGATACTGGATATCTTCGGCCTTGTAGACGGTAGAAAAGGTTCCTTCGCCAATACGCTTTATCAAGCGATACTTGTCCTTAAAGTCGGGAAACGTAGCCTGAAGTTTGTCCATATCGTGCTGGACACTTAGATCAATCTCGTCAGTGTCATCCGACTCGGTATCACTACCATCGTCGTCAACGAGGGGGTTCTCTTGCTCTTCATCTTCAACATCCTCCAGCGGATCTTCGTGTTCATCATGGTCATCATATTCATCTTCAGCTCGTTGGGGGTGGCTTTGCGTAGACTCTTCGACGTCGGACGTTTCGCCCACGGGTTCGTCGCGGTGAATTCGGAATGGTTCCTTGGCAACCCGACGTTGGCTAGTAGCAGCCATGGTCCTAGATTATAGCATGCACCCTTTCTCCTAGCACGCTGTAACCTCGTCCTCCAAGCGCGCCCAAATCCAAGTCTAACCTCTACTTCTATCCTTCTCTATCATCCAGCTAAGGGGTAGGTAGAATCGGCGAGGGGGGAATAGAGACCTAGCAATCGAGGTGCAATTAAAGCAACGATATGTGGAGTAAATAACTAATTGCTTGTGTCTCTGGGGAGTCAATTGGCAAGTAGTCACTAGTAGACCAAGGATCTTATGATCAAGTCCAAACGTTGTTGTGAATTGAGTGAAGTATCGCGGTGATTGTAGTTGATTCCTATACGTAAATTCCATTTGGTTAGGTAATCGAAGTAAATAAAAACATAGGCCCTGTACCTACAATAAATGCGCCGGGGATTCTTCGGAAGGTTGCTCGACGCGTTTTAGTTTGGCGGGCACTTAGGGAGCTGCTAAGCGCGGGGCAATTTTCTCGCAGAAGTCGCGTAGCTGCTTGAAGATATTCTTGCAAGAATGTAGCTGCCTTTTGGAATCGATTGAATGGGAATATCCGAAACCTTCCATAGAGGCAGGGTTAATTAGGTAAGTAAGTACCTAGGTAAGTTATTGGTAAGTTATTAGAAGACCTAAGCGCCTGGCGCACCTTCTTGTCTCACTCTAAAAAGCCAAACCAAATGCGCATACAGTACCTACCTAGAGCCACAATAGGTACATACGGCACGTACAGTGAAGGGAAATTTGCTGGTGAAGTTTCCACGCCATATGACATCACATGCAAACAACAAAATAGAAACGAGGACTGCCTTCAGGTACTAGGTATTCTAAAAGACGACAATACTCGTACCTACTTCAAAATGAATAAGGTCCAAAAAAATAAGCTGAGCAAAAGGAACGATTCGTAGTAGTCTACGATGTTATACATGCGGTGTGTGCGGATCGAACGCACGGCCTTCAGATTTTAGAACCCTGAAGTTGGACTTCAGTCTGACGCTCTCCCAGCTGAGCTAACCCCGCTGTGTAAATTCAGGTAATTTCTAGCACTATATCCCAAGCTTAGAATCTGCATGAACGAGTGTGTGATCTTGGCACTAGTGTGGCAGTACCTACTTACCTACCTAGTAGTTTATTGAACTATTCTAATTCTTCATGCTGAGTACAAACCCATCTCGGCGCAGATATATAAAGAGTATAAGGTAATGTCCATATCTATTAATCACCTAGATATACTGCATGATATAACACGATAAGGGTTGATTTAAGAAGTTCGGAATATACTTATCAACTTAAGTACTGAGAAAGTCAAAAGGTCAACAATTCGAAGTTCCCAAATCACAGCAAACAATAGGAACTCGTTGAATTAAGTTGTCATAAACATGAATGGCATAAAATGATATACATAACTCTCACGCAGACCGAGACATAATTATTCTTATTTCTAATATGTCCATAGTTTAAGAGTATATAGTATCCATCTCGCAAAGTGAGATTTCCATCTATACATGTAGATATTAGGTATTGAAAGCACTGAGTGATAGAATTATGTACCTAGGTACCCAAGCTGGTGTTGCATTTCCTTAAACCAAAATCCCCGCACCGTACTTGCCACAAGCGATGCTAAATAGGTGGATGTCCCACAAACCCCTCCTAAAATTTTGATTGGCTGATAGATAAGCTTTGATACCAAATGGGAAGCGTGTAACTAAACAAAAACAAATCGTTGCTACGGGGTCGCATCCCGCATCCTGCATCCCGCATCCACCGCATCATCACCGCTAACACTAACATCGTTATTGTTGATCCCCTCATTATTCCGCGACACAGCAAGAAATACGCTCGAGATACCCCTATTGCAAGCGCAGTAGACTTTCTACTATTCTCTAGTCGAATGTCCTTGATGACATATTTCATGCTTCTATTTTCTAACCCGGTCTATACTCAATAATACGTTTTATTTCAGTCTTCGTTTGCATCTCCGTGGCGCAGACCTGGCGCGAAAACAACCGCGAAGATGGACCAGGTCAACTTCGATATAAATGAGGCGCTCAAGCACTACATGAGCGATCCGGCGGCTATCGCGACGCCGGAAGCAGACAGTGCTTTGGTCGACTGCGAAACCGATCCCGAATCTTTATCCAACGTCTCCCTCCTCAACCCGATATTAAATCCTATTATCGATGCCGTCGCCGGGAATCCTGATGCTATCATGCGCAGCTCGTACTTTGATTCGCTGCAGTTCCTTCTTAAGTGTGCACCCGCTTCCATTAACCCCCCTGATAACCTCAAAACTTCACAGCATCCAGCTTCGAGGACGCAAGAACATATTTCTAAGCTTTTCCTACAATCCAGATATACGCAGTTCCTGCCCACGCACGCCCTCAGCAAGATCTTCGACTTGATCATGAGCGGCCTGGCAGCCGAAGCCGATGCCATCAACCACGACCTCGAAAACCCGGAGGAACAGGAGATGATCGCTCACCACAAATCTCTACTTGAGATATACGGTTTCCTCCTTCAATGGACTATCGCTTGCGTCGAGACGAAAGCTGCCGAGAAATCTTCTACTGCTCCGGTATCACGTGCCAGGGGTAAGGGCGCCAAGTCAAAGGCTGCTGCGAGCAAAGACAAAGATGGCAGTTGGGATAGCGTCGCCCAGCTACAGTCGGCGTTGGATGTCATGTCTAAGGTTCTTAAGTTGAAGTTGGGCAAGATATTCTTGACGACTAGCGAGCGCGATACTTTCATCGGCCTTCTCACGAGGCCTGTCTATATGGTCTTGGAGAGCGAGCAGAGAGTCAAGAACACGGCCATAAAAATGCATGCCTTCAAGGTCCTCTGCATTGCCGTGAAGCATCACGGTCACGGCTACGGTAAGCGACTGTACCCAGGGGCATCTGGTTGGTGGAAGTACTAACGCGATAATAGCGGCGCAAATATCCATCGTTCAGAATTTAACCTACTTCGAGCATCTTTCTGAGCCGATGGCCGAATTCTTACATATTCTAGCCGAACAATACGACTATCCGCAGCTGGCTGACGAGATTTTGAGAGAGATTAGCAACAAGGAGTTCAACACCAACGACACGAAGGGCCCGAAATCGGTCTCGTCCTTCATTATTAAGCTTTCAGAACTCGTTCCCCGTCTGGTGATCAAGCAAATGACGATGTTGGCTAAACAGTTGGATAGCGAGGTATGTCTACTCCGAGTGTATCGGGAACTATCCTAACATATTTCAGTCATACACTTTGCGATGTTCTCTGATCGAAGTATGCGGCAACATGATCGCCCATCTCACTACCCAGGAAGAGCGTAGCGAAAACCACAAATCCCAACTCAATGCGTTCTTCGACGTATTAGAGGAACGTTTCCTTGATATCAACCCTTACTGCAGGTGCAGAGCCATGCAAGTCTACACGAGGCTCTGCGACTTGGAACAGAAATTCCCTAAGCGTCGACAGAAAGTAGCCGAGCTAGCTTGCCGAAGCCTCGAGGACAAGAGTAGCCACGTCAGAAGAAACGCAATCAAGCTTCTGGGAACTCTGATCAAGACCCACCCCTTCACCGTGCTACACGGAGCTCAACTAGGCCGCAAGGATTGGCAAGAAAGGCTCGACAAGGTCGATGCCGAGTTGGACGCTCTAAAGCCACCAGCAGGAGAACCGGGGCTGGGAGAAGACAAGGCCAACAGCACGGCGCTAGTTGATGAGCCGACGCAGCTGGAATCACCTCAGAAGCCAAAGGAGATGACGGACGAGGAGAAGATAGCAGCTGTTCAAAAGGCCCAAGAAGACGCCGCAACATCTGAAGCCATCGAAAAGTTGACTCTAACAAAGCGGTATTACACCGACGCTCTCAAGTTCATCGAGGTTCTTCACGAGGCCACATCTACCGTCTGCCAACTGCTTGGATCCAAGAACAAGTCTGAAGTTATCGAGGCAATGGACTACTTGGAGATCGGCAACGCATACAATATCGAAGATAACATGGTGGGAATTCGACGAATGATGCGCCTCATTTGGACCAAGGGCAACAGTGACGAAGGCAAGGGCGTGCAATCGCATCTTATTGACTGCTACAAACGATTATTCTTCGAAGCGCCAGACAGTTTCACCCCGAACGACGCCGCCATATATATTGCGAGAAACATGATCAGTCTTACTTCGGGCACGACACCAGCGGAGCTAACGAGTTTAGAGCAACTCCTCGCGACTATGATGAAGGGTGGCATGATTTCCGATCGAGTCGTTACGAAGCTTTGGGAGGTATACGGCTTCCATAAGAGAGAGATATCTCGATCCCAGCGACGAGGTGCTATTATCGTGCTTGGCATGCTTGCCACCGCCGCCCCCGAGATCGTTGTCGGCGAGATGGAGACGATGCTACGGACAGGACTCGGATCTCATGGTAGAGCTGACCTCCAGCTAGCCAAGTACACGTGCATCGCCTTACGAAGGCTTAATCCTACAGGTCGACAAGCCAAAGACTCGACGATCAAATTCAGCCGGCTTCCTAACGAACATGCCGTGCTGGCGAAGTTAGCGGCGATTACCGAGGTTCCAAGCGACAGCAAGGAGTGGTTTGGAGTGGCCGAGCAGGCGATCAACGCTATATACGTCCTCGCGAAACATCCCGACATATTATGTACCGAGATCATTAGACGCAGAACGAAGGTCGTATTCGCGGCGCAGCAGAAGTCACCTTCCGCATCACGTCCAGGATCGCGCGATTTTGATCCAACTGCCACCGTCGCCGTTGATCAAGGAATGACTCAGGGCATCACTATGGGTCTCGACGCCCCCACTCAGACTATCAACCGACTAACATCAGAACCGCCGGCCGAGCCCAAGCAAAAGGCCGCGATCGCGCTCTCCCAGCTCCTCTTCATCGTCGGCCACGTAGCAATCAAGCAGATCGTCCACCTCGAACTATGCGAACTCGATTTCAAACGTCGGAAGCAGGAGAAGGAGAAGGAGGCCGCCGCTAAGCCCGCCGAGCCAAGACCCTCCGTAGGCCGCAGGGGCAAGACGGCTACACCGGCTCCAGCCGCAGAGGATCCGGGTGACGAGCTCGACCTCATTGGCGGTACCACGGAAGACGATTTCACGGAGGCCATGGCGCACATCCGCGAACAAGAGCTCTTGTTTGGGCCGCAGTCGCTGTTGGGCAACTTCGGCCCCATGGTGGCCGAGATCTGCTCACGTAGCGATATCTACAAGGACAAGAGCCTACAAGCGGCCGCGACGCTATGTCTGGCGAAGCTCATGTGCGTCAGCAGCGAGTACTGCGAGGCGCACCTGCCGCTGCTGATCACGATCATGGAGCGGTCGCCGGACGCGACGGTGCGGTCGAACGTGGTGATCGCGCTGGGCGACATGGCGGTCTGCTTCAACCACCTGATCGACGAGAACACGGACTTCCTGTACCGGCGGCTGGCGGACCGGGACCTGTCGGTCAAGCGGACGTGCCTCATGACGCTGACGTTCCTGATCCTGGCGGGCCAGGTCAAGGTCAAGGGGCAGCTGGGCGAGATGGCCAAGTGCCTCGAGGACGAGGACAAGCGGATCGCGGACCTCGCCCGCATGTTCTTCACCGAGCTGAGCACCAAGGACAACGCGGTCTACAACCACTTCGTGGATATGTTCAGTCTGCTCTCGGCGGACCGCGGCATGGAGGAGGAGTCTTTTAGGAGGATTGTTAGGTTTTTGTTGGGTTTTGTTGAGAAGGTATCTTTCCCCTTCATCTCTTCCCTTTTTTTGCGATGCTACGTTTGAGATTTTGCTAATAGCGATTTTATAGGACAAACACGCCAAGCAACTCGCCGAAAAACTCGCGGCTCGTCTCCCACGCTGCGAGACGGAGCGCCAGTGGAACGATGTCGCGTACGCGCTGGGCCTGCTGCAGCATAAGAACGAGGATATTACTAAGGTCGTCAGCGAAGGCTTCAAGGTCGTGCATGCTGCTGCTTAGACTGGCGATGGCGGCGATGACTAAGATGGTGCGTGCGATGTGTTTGTCTATAGTAATGAACCGTTACGTATGGGATAAGGTGGTTGGGCTGATGGGGATGGGATGGAGTAGGCGTCTGGCGTTGCTGGTCGAGATCAAATAGGAAGTTCGAGCGGCTCCGTGAGATGTGTTGTGTTTGGTTCGAATGACATGAATGTTAATAACTGTTTGAGAAGTGCGATGGCTTTTGGTGATATGCTGAGATCATGTTACTATGTACTAGACCTAACTCCTTGATCTTGGGATTTGATTACCCAGCTTGCTTGGGCGTGATACCCGAGCCGTCTTGGTGATTGTTGTTTTGAGATAGACAGCAGCCAAGAAAATGAGCTAGCCGTCGAGGCTTTAGATGGTAATTTCTAAAGTAACTTTTATCATCATGCTGTACAATGGACAGACCAATCTATTCCGAGTAGAAACATAGAGCAAAACGGATGGTTATCACAAACGAAGTTATTCAAACAATACAGGCAAGATTTGACCTATACACTGACAATATTACGATCCATAAAGGAGATGGATAATCGTAATTGCTCCAAAGCTACATGTTCCATGAGTCCATACCGTCGAGCAGGCAACATAGCAACCAGAATTCAAAGCATGTGGATCATATCTTTCGCATACTAATCATGAACATTAAAACGAGGCAAAAGTTAACTTCACGATCTTGATTCCCTCTTTTCGTATGGATGTATGTATACCCCCCAACTCTGACCAGGGGAGCTCTTCCACTCTAGCCAGTCTCTAATCCCGTCACCCCATCCTCACGACGACCCTTACAACTCACACCACCACCGCCACCATCACCACCACCATCACTGCACCAGCTAACACCCCTTATTTCGTAACCTTCGCCGGCGTAACAGCGTACGTAGGTCTCACGAACCTGTCCGTGTGATAAACCTTCATGTTCTCGCCCACGAGCTCCTTCTCCCGCGCCTGGTCCGCCAGGTACCTGCGGACCTGGTCGCGGTCCTCCTCCGCCTGCAGGAGCGGGATCAGGTAGATTCGCGACCAGAGCTTTTCGCGGGCCAGCTCGCTGTGGTTGGCAGGGTGTGTTAGCGTTGAGCAACTAATCTGAAATATTGTACGGGATAGGATATAAGGGGAGGGGAAGGGTAGGAAGGGAAGGAAGGAGAGGGGAGGAAGGGAACGTACTTCTGCTCCTTGTTGCCCTTGCCTAGCTTGTAGAAGCCGTAGAGCATGATGGCGCCCATGCCGAAGAGGAGGGTCGCCGGGCGGAAGCCTGGGGCGGGGAGGTTGCGCTGGGAGAGACGGATGTTAGCTTTCAGTTCTGGATCGTGAATAGCAGCGCTTCCATCTGCATGTGCTGGATCTCCCGATCTCCTTTTCCTGTCCTGTTCTATTCCCTCGTGCGTCTTAACTAAACCCTTGGGCTTGCGGGATATCGTATGCCGCAACGACGTCGCTCATACAGCTGGCCGCGCGAGTCTCGCGTGAGATGGATTTATAGAGCACACCCAGACGGGCATCTTCGTCTCAAACAAAGAGCTTCCTGTGTTGCCCCGTGGTGTCTAACAGCACCTCAAATCCACCATCACCTGATCTTCGCAAGCCGTTCCTCCACGTCTCGGTCCTGTATTTCCTAGTGTCCCTTTTCTCACCCACAGACCCAGCCAACTCACTCCCTCCAATTACAATTCCCATTCCACCATTCCCCTCTCCCCTTCCGTCCTCGATCGCACCACCCGGAAAACACAACCTCAAGCAGACACGCAACTAACCTTGTACTGGACAGGGCCGTAGCCCCCGGTGGGGGGCATATCCTGCGGCATTTTGGCTTCCTTTCCGTTCCTCCTGATCCTTCCTAAGTGTCTTTATTCTTCACTTTCGATATATCGCCGAACAATCGGGTCGTTGTTCGTCAGTCGCGGGACGCGGACTCGGGTGATCTCGTGGTAAGTGGTGCGGTGTTGAGAAACGTCAACCGATTGATCGAAGCTTCGGCCAATTGATGACGGTCGATTTGTCGGCCGGTCGGGGGTTGAGTTTCCAGGATTTTGATTGGTTGTGAGGAATGGTAAAAGGTGGAGAAATTTACCTAGCTCAAATGGAACATTGAATATTATGTAACTAATCACGTGCACCCATCTCTAACATGCGAATAACCTTTACGGCACCAACAATCTTACAGCAAAGCAAGCACTATTCGCGTAGATACCTCAAACTGCACGCAGAGAAAAGGACGTGTATTTGTCCCATGCTCAACTGAACTGAATCGCTATGCAACCGAACCGTAGTAAAAACGACAAATACAGCCAAACCTAGCCTCCTAATCCGGTATCATCCGTATGCCTACCTGCCAGCCCAAGCTTTACCTGCCCGGCCGCAAACTGAAGAACGCCTCCGGGGTTTCAGAAGTAGTAGAAAAAAAAACACGAAGCCTAGTATGTGAAGGAGTATAAACATCGATTAAACCGAGAGCCAGATATATGCCCTTGCGATGGATGAAGATCTTAATATGCCTGTTTTATGCGCCGCCCAGGTCATGCATTCATCCATTCATAATACAGACAACTTCTCCCTAAACAATTCCTTCTCTTCTTTTCCTTTTTCCCATAACTCTCCAGGTCAAATACCTTACGTTAAAGGCAGGTAGGATAGGGTAAATCGCGAGATCAACCGCCTTCGCCTTCGGCTTGTAATTCAGCCTCGAGCTCGGCTTCGAGGTCGGCAAACTCGTCGTCATCCTCGTCCCCGCCTCCGTTCGCGTCCTCGTCACCTGTACCTTGTGGCGTAGGTAGACCGCTACCTTCCTCGTCCTCCTCGTCCGTAGCGTTCCTCACATTGCGAAGACCCGTAGTCCTCGCCTTTGCAATTCGCTGCTTCTTAGCCAGTACACTTCCCGTAGCCGATTCGCCCGTATCATCATCGTCGTCGGCATCTTCGCCTAGCTTCCGCTTCCGACTCTTAGGCTCTTCCGACTCCGTATCCGTACCGAGGTCCGTGCCTTGCGTGCTCTCGAAATCGGAGTCGTCAATGTCCGATCCCATGAACTCCTCGAGCTCCTTATCAACATCGCCCCATTCCATGCCTCCCAAGTCTTCGATAGGACTGTGCTCGCCGTCCTGGAGCTCAGGTGGCATCACGTTGAACCTATCCTCGAACTCGTCATCTTCGTCCTCATCATCGTCATCCTCGTCGTCCTCGTCCTCTTCTCCCGAGCCATCCGCATCACCATCGTCCTCATCGCCGTTCATTTCGTCCTCGAAGTACTGTCGACCCGAGGTGACGATGGTGATTTTTTTTGGCCGGGGTGGCGAGGCGGAACCTTCTTCCAACGGCGTCTCGGCATTTCGATCGGCAGGATGTACCTGGACAAGATACTGACTCTCGTCCAACTTCTTCCACTGCGCGATCGAGTCCGCGAGCCAGTTCTGGTTCACGATCTTAATGCTAGGAATGCGGGCTGCTTGGCGAACCTTCTGAGTTCGTGGGCGGGCGACGTTGATGACCAAGTGAGTTATCTCACGACTTACCCGCGTTCGAATCTCGGCACCGAAGCTTTCGGCTTGCATTCCGATCTCGGTTCTGCGCACGTCGACATCTAATGGAACAAGTCCTGATAGAACGAGTTTTGTGTCTCGCAGAATTTGCGACTTTAAGAAGTTAAGGGTTGATCCCACGTCCGGGACTGTGTCGGGTATGATGTCGTCGGGCCGGCGGTGCGCGGATCGTGCGTCGTATTGTTCGTAGAATGAATGGTGCAGGGTTGTAAGGTGCTTCTCGAGGTATTTGAGTTCTTGGTCATCGTCGCGTAGAAGTTTGTGTCGTTGATGGGAAGGGCTTTCTGATTCTCCATTCGTAGCGGGTTCCGGGCTATCACCGTTCTCGGTCGATTTCTTCTCAGCCTCTTCATCCTCTCTATCTAATTCTTCTTGCAGATGAAGCAACGGTCGGTCCTTGAGTTGCTTCTCCAGCGTACGTTCTTGTTCCTCTGCTTGTAGTTGGAGTAGGGCATTGTCGTCATTGCCGTTGGCTGACGGCTTCTCATGATCTGAGGTAGGACTAGGACCAACGCTGCTAGGTTGTTGTGGCGCCGTATTGCCATTAACGGGCTTCGGCTCAGGCAGCGGAGTCGGGACAGGTACGAGATCTTCCCTCTTAGGTAAGAAGCTTGAATTGATATCACCGATACCCGTGAAGAAATCATAGGGCGTCACCTTGATTAGATTCTGCCTGTTCCGGGGCCACACGTCTGCACGATCGTCAATGACCACAGCCATATTGGTGCTGACGGGGAATAGTCGTTGTAGACTCTTAGCTACTATGCTGTCGTTTTCGTCTCGGCTAATGATCCGGTTGCCGAAGAGCTTCTGCGTAGGATCCACGATCTTGGCAATATTGAGGGCATACGCGCGCGTACCCATCGTGTAGACGTGTAGCTCGAACAATTGGGAGATCTTCTCTAAAAACTCGGCTAGGCCCGGACGCATCTTAATGTAATACCAACATCCGCTGGTTGCTCCTCGCGGGCCGTCGTCCAGTTGGAAGCTGCGCACATCCTTGACGGCTTCGTAATTCGGATTGGATGGATCGCGTTGCCATTCACCTACGGTGGGATCTATGCACGCGTGGATGATAGTCTGATCCAAGTCAACGACGAGACTCAGTTTCCGTTCCTTTAGTAACCGGCGCTGCAGTTGCATCTCGGTGCGTGCGGCCTGGTTCGCGCTAACTTTAAGAGCGGCATTGTCATGTACCATGGCGACTGTGGCACGGTCGATGTCGAGAGACTCGCTGGCATAAGTCATCTCCAGCATGTCTTTACCGCATATGGCGCAAAGCCCGGCATATTGTACCTCGTGGCTACAGGTCTCTTCGATAGAAACGAGGTCTTGATCTCGCCTGATTACTTCTCCTACCTTGACCTGCCATTGCTTGATCTTGCCCTCGGCAGGGCTGTCCCAGTCTGCAAAACCCGTCTCCTCGACCTCGCGCTCTTCGTTTTTGCTCGGGTCGCCGATGAGGCGTTTGTACTTGAAAGTGTATCGGAGAATCGGTTCTTGCTTGGTAACGTCGTCGCCGTGGTCCTTGAGAAATTCGGATATTGTGATAGGATAACGGAGCTTAGCTCCTAGTCGTAGTGTCTTGGCCATTGTTGGCGGTTTCGGATAATGCAGGGACGGTCATGCACCAGATAAGTTATAGCCTAGCTAGCAAGGGCAAGGTTAGCTTTGATTGGCGAAGGGAAAGATCGTGTATGGTTGAAATTGAGATGCATCACTTGTCGAATTTGAGATGTTCGAGGCAAGAGGGGGTCGGGTTTAAGCAATCGAGGATACAGAGGAATTGTGGACGAATCGTGTATAAGACCCAAATGACCCAGAAAATAGGACAAAGAAAGCCCGTGTGCTGTTATGCGAAATATGGATATAGGGGAAGTGAGTGTTTACTGACTTTTGCGCGGCGCACCTATCGATGACGGAAGCTGTGAAAGTAAATTGAATCAAGCTCAGCAGCTCCAGCTTTTCCCATTGCACCTGGGCCTGGGATATGCCTTTCGATAGGCTACAAAGCTCAAGCTATATGCGCAAGCAGATAATACCGCGGCAATGAAGCGATAGATGCAGATTGGCAGTGGCGTAGCTGGCTAGCTTCAAGATACGTGTAAGTAGGTATGCGGGTATGGAAGTGGAAGTGGAAGTAGGTAGATGCAGATGTAGAGGAAGATGTGGATGGTACAAAGAGATGAGTAGGTACGAGAGGGTGTGTTTAGGTTGCTAGGTGTATGACAATTTCCTGTGGTGCCGCAGTCGCGGTTCTTGTCGAAAAAGCTTGTGAAGAAGAGGTACGTTGTTGTTGATGCGCAGAGGAGAATTTATGTGATTACCTGAGGTATGCTTCCTTGTGCACGCGTTGTGATAGCTTCCAGGTTTGGGTCTAGAAAATGCCAAAGAAGGTTAGTCGGGTAATGATTAAGTCGGTTAAATGAAGGAGAATTGATAGGAAAAAGGCACTGTGATACATAGGAGGTGACAAATGAGCTTAACGGGCTATCCCGGTCCTGTGTAACTGTTCCAATTGGGGAAGTAACTTCGGTGAAACCAATCAAGGCCGAGGTGAGTGGTCAATGGCAAGTGCCAAGTGACGAACGGGGCTTAGGTAAGGTAATTTGGTAGAGAGGCAGGACCTTGAATATGGGAAGTCCAAGCTTCAGATATAATAAAATACCTACCTAGTACCTTACATAAGGTTTGTGTGTAGGTTACTGCCAAGTATGTATCGTGTGTCCGGACCTTCTTGTCTCTGGGTAGGGGAATAGAAAGATACCCGCGTCTGTATAGCAAGGTACTTATAAAGGCAACGATGAAGAGGTTAAGAGTGAATGAGATACAACAGATAAGCCGGCACTTGCATGCACTTGAAATAGGGTGATGATGGCATTGTTTGTACGGTGACTGGTCAAGTACAAAAATACTTCCAATCAGATGACGTGAAGAATCGGGTGCTTCAAGCCTCAATTAAGCAATTAAGAAAGGAAAACTGACCCACATACCATATGTCTGATGTTTTATGTACAGATGTACTGCGTATTGTGCTAATAGGTAGCGCCTTGTGCGTGGGTTTGCACGTGTTCTGCGTACTGCGTACTGTGTACCGTGTAACGAATACAGTACCGTTATGCAGTTATGTAACTGATAACTCGTTATGTAAGGACGATTAGGAGGATGCTCCGCGCCAATTGGTCAAACAGCTTTGACGAAATGGATGGTTCGAAGGTGATGCGTGTGTGTTGTGGCGCAAGTTGCAAGTAACCGTGGGATGGGGAATTATTTCAGTTTTTTGTTCTGAACGTGAAGGTGGTCTGAAAAATAAAATAATAATTAAAAAAAGGCGACGGGATGACGGGATGGAAGCGAAAGAATAAAGGAAGGTTTGTTTTAGATCCAAGGATCTAAGGATCTAAGCCACTTCGACACTTCGAACAAAACACCTCTTTCACTCAAATTCACAGGCGAGCTTGTGTTCCGCTTAAAAAATCCCTTGGGGATGAGGGGGCCTTTTTGTACCTGGTGGCAAGCGCGACAGGCTGGGTCTGCGACTTTCGACAGGCAACCCCTCGCTGACCCTTGTCCGTTTGCGGGGAGCTTGAGAAGACAGGGAGCTCCATTGGATCAGTCCATGATGTGGCTGAAGCTCTCTGCATGTGGCTGGTACACCTCCTGACCTATCAACCTCGCCCCTGAATAATGAGTCTACATACCTACATGTATATAGTGACTCAGAGGTAGGTAGCTGTCCATATAAATTTACCAAACATATGAAGCAAGTTATAGAGGCCCATTTGCACATCTTTGCAAAAAAAAAGAAATTGCCCGGATTTTGCTTAAAGGGGTAAAGTGGTTGCAGCTAGTCTCAATTAGTCTGATATGTCAGTACTTTATTCAAAATTATCTAGCCAATATCTAAGATATACCTATGTAGATACATAGAATATTAGGTATAAAATTATGTTCATTTGATAGTAGTCTACTAAATAAACTGGAATTAGCGGTTTTAATTCGTTAGATCTTGCTACTAAGGTGTGCTATATTTAATAAGTCATCAAGCTCTGCCAACCTTAGTAGGTAAGTGCAACAATTAGAATAACCTCTCTTAATATAATCTCTTAAACAAAAGCTTAGGTAGGTAGGTAGGTAGGTAGGTAAGGCGGCATGAATACTACCTAGGGCTACTAATAATATTTACTACCTACCTACCTACCTACCTACCTAGTCAGGTTCGCACTTGGAACACAACACTTAGAACACTTAGAACACTTAGAACACTTAGAACACTTAGAACACTTAGAACACTTAGAACACTTAGAACACTTAGAACACTTAGAACACTTAGAATAATACATCTAGGGCTAGCATTGGATCCTTAACAATACTTGAATACTGGATTGCAGCTATTGCAGCTTTGTTCGTTTATTCGCAATTGCGGTTGTTTGATTACAGCGACAATAGGTACATACATTTATAGCTAAATTTGTATGTAAACTTAAGTACCCTACGTCTTTATTCCTACTATGTAAGTATCTCCCTATCAATTTCTGCATACTTACTACTATATTAGGAATAGTTACACCTATTATCCGAAAAAAGATTTTTTTTTTTGCAAAGATGTACATATGGGCCACGGCACAAGTTGCTTTTTGACACTTTTATCACCATCACATCTATTGATCACACCGATGAGTCCGTGACAACACTCTTCATTCGAACATCATACCCATTAAGGATCTAATCCTCTATATGCTCGCATAGGAAAAAGCAAATGCAAGTAATCATCGCCGTCATTAGTATCTATTGGTAATATTGATACAGTGAGGTTAGACACGTCTCTGTTCTCTCTTTCCTGCCCGTCTGCCCTGTCCCTTTCCCCGAATCCGTAGTCGTTGATTAATCCTGAGTTCGTGTATCTCTCCTTGATAAGTCCTAGGCCCTAGGTCCTCGGTCCTTATACCTAGAGTATGATCTTGAATGAGACGGAACGAAAGAGAAAGATGAAATCGTACCTATCTAACGCCTGCGCTGCCAATGCAGAAAAGAGCAGTCTATGCACGCGCGTGCGCCCCTATCCATCATGCGATTTCCTTCATATCGAAATTCCCATTGTAAAACTTAACGAATCGCACAACACTGAAGCTCTCGTCCTATTACCCGAGATCATTAACCCTCACCCCTTTCTGCGGCGTCTTTCCTATCCACCCCTCGCGTGAGAATCCAGTTGTCGCCGAAAACCCCACCAAGTAAAGTCTTAATCCCGACCCAAAGGCCAAGACACTAGCCGACCGTACAGGTATCCCCCTAAGAACCCGTCGTGGTCGATGCGGTGCTTACACTCGTTCCCTTACCCCCGGTTAGTTTCGTACCCATCGACATCACACCTGGTGCTCCGGCCATATTAGCTTCCATCTGGGAGAGCGCGCTTTTCTTAACGACAAGCTCCGGGTCACCTTCGTCTCCGCCGACGAACGTCCAGCTCTCCTCTTCCGAGTCATCAACTGTGGTTCCGTCGGGGCTGCTTGCTGTAGCCGCGTTCTTGCCAGCCTTGGATTTGATCAGACTCTTGGCATATTCGAGGTCTCGATAAATGCATTGAATTGCCGTGTCGACACCATTTTCCTGCACATGACATAATTAGATATAGCATGTATAGATAAGGACCGAGAAAACTTACCCTTCGAATGGTCTCTCCTAGTACCCGAGCTTTGACGATCATTCGTTCGCTGTGCGTCGTTTCCCACAAGGCCCTCGCGAAGCTGTTCGCGCCCCATTTCTTCAAGCAGATGCCGACCCCTAGATCCTCGACTCGGCTACCGAAGAAGAACTGGTCGCCGAAGAAAGGGCGGATGATTGTAGGTATACCAGCACGTAAGCTAGCACCCGTCGTCCCCGAGCCGCCATGATGAGCGGCGGCGTCCATCTGAGCGAACAACCAGTCGTGGGGCGCGCTCTTTATCTGGAATATCTCGGGAGGGAATTCTTGCTCCGGAGTGGCCGCGTCCTTATTGCCGATACGGTCAGACCAACCCTTGGATAGCACGCAGCGAACGTCAGCCTTCAGCACCGCGTCGATAACCTCTTGCGTCATCTTTGCCGGGTCAGGCACTATGATCGAGCCGAAACCGACATAAACCAACTTCTTCTCGTCCTTGCGCGCCTGCTGGATGAAATTCATAAGATCATCAGGCGGGGTCCATTCGGTGCCTTCATCCAAGAACCAGTACCCAGTTACGCGAATCCAATCGCTGTAGTCAAGCGGAGGTGCTACGACTGCCGGAGAGAAGTTATAGAGGAAAGGTACCTTGTTTGGCTGCAGCTTCTCCAAGTTGGTGTTGGGTAAATTAAGAATATTATTCCGCCAACGGTTAATCTGGTGCGCCGTCGCTTTCCAGAATACGTTGTCGAACATGACATACGTGACATAGTTGTAGGCACCACCCATCTTGTGTTCGGGCATGACGAAGGCGTGCGGATAGGCCCGTGTGCGGGTCCACGGCATCGTGAAAGCTCGGAAGTAAGGAATACCTAACGCCTCTGCGATATGTATGCCGGCCATGGCGCTAGGACTCTCAATCAGGAGATCCGAATCTTTACATGCTTCGTAGGCGGACGCAAGGAGATCATCCAGCCAGCCCCGGAATTTCGAGTTGGCCTCTTTCAAGAACGCCCAAGTGAACGTACCGTTCTGGATACATATGCGCATGAGTTCGCTAGGATCGCCAGAGACGGGCGAGAACTCTATGCCGTGCCCCTCGATCCAATTCTTGAACTCAGCATGCGTAGCTATCCGAACCTTGTGGCCCTCGGCCATCAACCCCTTACATAATGCGATGTAAGGTTGAACGTCACCTCTCGAGCCAATCGTCAAACAGGTGACACTCATGGGTTCGGATGGCTTGAAGTTGAGGAATGACGCCTTGGGATCATCGAAAAGAATCGTAGGGGAGGAATCGTTGAGACAAGAAGTCTCGTGAGGCATCTTGAGCTCGTGCTCGTTATTATCCTGAAGTCGCGCTTCGTGGAGCGCGTCACGTTCCGCCATCGCTTCGTCTACGTCTTCTTGGTCTTCCTGGTCTAACTTGCCGATTTCCCGGAGATAGCGCGTCGTCTCAAGGTTCCGTAAAAGGGTAACTGTGCAGTCGTCGCGTATCTCGGCTTTGTTGAACTCGAAGAATAGCTCTTCGTGACCACGAATGACGACTACCAGGCCGGAATAACCAAATCGGAAACCTTTCTCCTTCTCGGCCGTTTCGATATCCTTCAGAGGAAGAATCAATTTTGTTCGGGTCCCGAGCAGCAAACTGCGGAAGCAAAAGTGTCGGTCGCTTATGTAGACTTTTCCGTAAAGGGGCAAAACGCGGACGATGTAGCCGTAATAAGTTGCCTGGAGTTTCTCGGTTTCTGGTAGGGCGAAATGTGCGCGGAATCGGTCCATGTCAACGCCGTCGTCGTCGTCCAATTCACCGTCTTCAGGCTTGAGGGCGGGAGTTTCGTGGTAATGCTTGCGCCCTCCTTTCCACATGCCGGATACCTTTTCTACATATCCCATCGATTCGGTAGCCAACAAATTGCTCATGTGACGGCTAGTTTTATTCAAGTAGTTAGCAAATAAACCCGCACGCTGCAATGGGTAAGCGCCCATGTTTGCTATTTTCTGGAGGCCTGGAGAGGTTGAAGACGCTTGATCAAGCTTCTCATCAGCTCCGAGATCGTTCACATGACCCGTCGTAGCAGCGTGGTGCTTAACATACGGCAACGATTCGTCCGACGTCTCGCGCAAGCGACTTGTCCCAGACGACCTATCACGCGGCGAAGTGCGCGAGACCGAGATAGAGCGCCGGATGGTAGGCCTATGAAATACCTCGCTGCCTCGCAGAATCTGGCTTCCCGAAGGATCCTCGTTTGAGGACGATGCCATAGCGGACGTGCTTGGGTCCTCAATCGAATGCACGTAAGAGTCGGAAGATTCCATCTTGTCCTGCTGCGTCGCATTGTCATGCCTACGATGTTTGCTCAACGACCTGCTAGCACTGAAACTTCGACGAGGCGACGCATCTCGCGTCAAAGCATCCAGATCAAGGCTTCGCCGCCCGAGTTGGCGAAACGCGTCGAAGCTACCACGAGGCACATCACCACTAGCGCGGGGGCTCAGTTCTCGCGGGCTATGAGGCGACATGGGAACTAACGTTGCCCGTACATTCTCACGAATCTTCGGCGATCTGATATCGAGCGGAGGAAGACCCTTGGCCCGCTTGATGCTTACGGAGCTATTCCTAGGTTGCGCCTCTTGTGCCGATTTCCGGGAAGGACTCGATTCTGCAACGCTAGAGTCTTTCTTCGACGCATTATCGACTAGAATCTTGAGTACGTTGATCGCTTCCTTGCTGAAGCTGAAAAAAGAGAAGAAGTACTAGTTAAGTCAGTATAGTTCAGGCATAACACAGTATAGAGTAACTTTGGCGGGTTCTTACCTCGTCGATGGCATATGTCTCATCATTGTCAATAACACGAATCTTACATGTGTCAGCGAACTCAATCATCTGGCTATCTTCAACATCGATAACATTCTCGATGGGCAAGGAGATCTTGACACTATCTCCGTCATTGTGAGACCTGAATATGACCCGTTGTAGACTTTTGACCCATTCTTTAGCACTCGGAGCGCTGTCAGCTCTAAGGTGATAGGTGCGGTGATTTGTGACAACGGAGAAGGATAAGCCGTCTTTTTCTTTCTCGTCCACGCTTGCCGAGATAGCATAGCTTAGATCAATCTGGCCGTGTGGGAAGTAGAGGTTAGACGGGTCTTTATAGTAGGCCAACACGTCCCCCTTTAGGCGAAACCAGTAACGACTATACTTGGGGTTTCTTTTGCCGCTCTTTGACAGATATCCTGACTTGGCAACCTCGTGCTGTATTGGTTATTAGTAACTCGGATTCTTTATCATTCAAGGGAAACCCATACAGCTTTCTTCGGTAGATAAGCATAAAAGCAGATGTGCTTCGCCGTTATGTACATGTAACCTTGTAGCAGCACGCTTTGCAATAACCAACAAGGATACTCTAGATAGCAACATTAGCGATAATTCACAACCCGACGATGGACAGGGGTAGGCACAATACCTTCAATTACTTCTTCAGGTTCGTCAAACTCAAATATTTGCTTCAGCTTGCGTGCCAGTAAGCTCGGCCCAGCATCGTCAGCATCAGCTCTACGATGATCCCCCGACAATCTTTCGAGGTCAAAACTTTGCCTAGACGACATTTCCACCCTCGCTTCTAGCATCCGACTCATCACCGGTGCAAGTCGTCCTCCTTCTTGTTCAGCCTCTGCGGCGTCAATCGTGGGAGAGAGCGGGTCCACAGTCGGTGAGCTTTGGCCGTCAGCGTTCGGATCGCTAGGTTGCGCGCCCGACGACTTTGACTGCTTGAATCTAGACCTTGTTGCGAGACGCGGCAGTTGTGGCAACGAGCGCAAAAGATGGCCCGAAATTCTTCTTCGTTGCTTCTCGCCCTTCTCTCTTTCCGACGAGCCCTTCTTCAACACCACGGTCTGCGCTAGTTGTTCTCTTTCTTTACCCTTCCTTAGCCTATCAACCTGGTCGGTATCCTCGTCTTCGTCACTAGATTGTCCTTCAAATCGGTCGTTAAAGTCTACGCTCGAACCAGCAGCCGCAATCAAGCCGAATATCGACTGGTTCATATTCATGAACATCTGGGGTCCTTGCGTGGGAGGTAGGACATCTTCATCCACATCGTCACCGTGATCTTTAAGGCGGTCGGGAAGCTCCATAGTTGGCTGGTGTTCCTCTTTACGCCTCTTCTGAAGCTTCTTACTAACACGCCGGTGGGCGTTACTTTCTTCTGACGGGGGAGCCATGGCTGGCGGTGGAGTTAAAGTATTGTATTATTGACTACTAAGTTCAATCACTCCTCGTACTAGCTTCGTCGAACATGCGTGACTCGGTTTAGGCTACACGGGAGACAAGCGAATGGCGGAGGAGCACGGATATGCAGGCGGTAGGCAGCGTCGCCAAGATTGAAGATTCGAGACAAAGGCTCTGTGGCTCTGCGAGGCGTTAGACTTTTACCAAATCAGCCCCGAGCTCGCCTGTCGATTCGGGCAATAGGATTCAGTGATGGAGATGCATCATCGTTGGCAATAGAGTGATGTAAATTGCTATCAAACGTGGAGGGAGTAAACAGGCAGACGAGCGAGCAAAAAAAAGCAAGCAGGGTATGCAGTATGCGGTATGCCGTGTACGGTCAGACGGTCTAAAGTGAGGCAGATAATGGATAACGATATTAGAAGGACATAGTTATTGTATTAAGACCCTGAACAATCAGTCGGTAAACTTCATTGGACGAGCTAAAAGAAGCAAGGACCGATGACTAGATTAAGGATCAGGACTGGGGATCAGTTGATTGGACAAGCTGACAAGCACCTAGGATAATAGTAGGTAGGGTAAAGTTGACTAAGAAGGTTGACTTTGAAATGTGCATGTGGATGGATTGCATTGTCTTCGAAGCGTGACATGGCAGCCTGGGCAGCCTGGAACTGCTAGGAATAGACTGCGCGCTAGGAAAAACTACAGCACCTAGACCTGGTTGTGCTAAACTCTAGCATCACATTCTGCACATCGTAGCTGCTACAGGTGCTACAAGTGCTACAAGGTACCACATTATTTGCTTATCAGGTAGTATTCAGATACTGATAGGCCAGCTCAGGTTAGCTCGGACCAGCTAGAGTCGAGCTAGACCCGGGACCGGGCAGCTAGGGCCTCCCTATCGATAATTTTCGCGATGACGTTGAACTCTATTCTCCATCCATCGTAAGTGCTTCCTAACAGAGCCATAGTTCACTCGAATGCGAGGTTTAAAAGATGTTCTAGACTCGGGTATGCTAATTTTTCTAACGAACGTCGTTTCTCGTCATTCCATATCTACCCGACACGACGACTTATGGCTGGTTTATTGAATACTATCGAAGTTACTGTCCTTTCGCAACGCAATTGCCTCAGCGTGTTAGATCACAAGACTGAAGATCCCGAGTTCTCTTAATCACATGCCAGATTTAAAATGTGATATAAGAGTTCGGGAGATTCTCCAACTCAACTCTAAAAAAAGACGTGACTTGGATCACTGAGTACACAGGTATTTTCAAGAAGCTGAATATCCTTATAAGGTGAATAACTGTTCGTGTATATGCAGCTCCAAAGACGAATAATTGAGTCGAATTATTGAATTCAACCAACACGGTGATAATTGATTTTCTGTGTCGCTTAACCCAAGAACGTGACTTCAACTAGACATACCTAGGTATGGTCAAGTGCACAAATCGCATTAGGACTTATTATGCTTAGTATCCGTGTCCGTACCCCGTTCCCGCATCCCGTATCCGTATCCGACAGCGTCCCTATTATCCGAGTCGCTTTCCATTCGTAACTTATTAATGCGTCGGATAGACTGGCTAGCATTGAAGCAGCTCCTAAATTCTTACCTAACCCTATTGCAGCCGTAGGTACACTTTTACCACGGATACTATGAGGTGCGAGACATTGCCCGATTATTCTTTATATCCGAATTTGGATCTTGCCATTAAACAAATACCCCTGATGATTGGCAACGAATTTATACCGTACTAGCTTAAGATCGCCTAGGATATCTGTCTAGGATGATATGGATGAAGTGATGCACATCGTTCAAGGCAATGGTCTGGCCCCTGAAAATCATAATTAGATCCCAAGATCCCAAGTCACCAGGCTGTCAAGTTGATTTGGGTGAAATGCATTTTTTATTCAGCTGAACTCCCATTCGTAGAATCCGATCATGCCATGCGATGCTCGAGAAAACCGAAGACTACCTGTCATAATGTGCAGGCCCCTGAGTTACAACCGTCCCAGTCGTCAGGTATCCGTTCCCTTGTTCCGCAAATAGAAACCCTTCCGCCAGCGCATTTTCTTACGCGACCAGCTCAACAACACCACCAGCCTCCGTGATCTTCTTCTCCGCTAACTTGCTAACCCATCGTGCTCGGACTACTAGAGGCACTTCGGGGATTCTGCCCTTGCCGAGGACCTTAGAGTAGCCCAGGGGGAGGAGGTCGATGACGGGAACGGTGTCCTTCTTCTGGCCGGAGATGTAGGCGTCGCGGGTCTCGGTGGGGACAAGCGACCACAACTACGAGATGTTAGGTTAGCAGAAGAAATATGGATGGCACTAAGCTAAACGCGACACTCGCATGCCGCGCTGTTCGGAAACGAGTGGATCGAATATCGTACCTTGTCTAGGTTGATGATAGGCTTCCAGAAGTGGTTCTGTTGCTTGTGGAAGTATCGCATACCGACCTTACCGAAGTAACCAGGGTGGTACTTGTCGATGTTCGTTCGGTGGTGGTGCTGACCACCGGCCATACCACGACCACCGGGGTGCTTGCGGTGCTTGCCGACACGACCGTTACCGGCCGAGACGTGGCCACGGCTGTAAATATTGTTAGAAACTCCATTCCATTGAAGCGTATTTGGGAAATTTCAAAATCATGGGTAAATCAATTGTTATCCCATTTGTCGCGCCGAATGCCATGAAGTGCCATAAATAACAATCTTGTTCGCATTTCCCTCAATCAATCGAAATTCCTTCGTAAAATATCCTCGGACCTCTTCGCTGCTGGTCATTGTTGTGTCTGTTGTTCCTCCTCTTCATTATGCGACAAGACCTCCACACAAAATATGACACAGGCATGTAAAAAGGCGATTCGGCGCGACATTGAAGCGGTAAACGGCGAAATAGAATTCGATGAGGAATAACATACTGCTTTCTGGTCTTCGATAATCTGGTAGGCATTTTGTCGAATGAGTGGCTTGATGTAGAGTGTTAGAATTGCCTACTCAAGGAGGGTTGCGGAAAAAGGTAGGGTGGGTTTTGAGTTGTATCGAAGTTTGTGAAATTCTCTTCGTTTAATTTTCGGAGTAGGGTTTGGTGTTGTGGAGCAAGCCACTAGACATCTTTCAGCGAAATGATTCATTAGCCACATATGACTCAGCAGCCCAGCCACGGTTGAGAAATGGATACGGCCCACTCTGGTCTCAACCTTGAGTTTCCAATTGTACCTTCGTACTCCGAATCCATTGCACCAATTAGAATCGATCAGATTACCTCTTCTGGTTCACATATACGGTCTACAAACACGAATAAAACGACGGTATGGAATTACAAGAGTGAATATAATACCAGGAACACACTACTAGTCCTCGTCTCCTCGACTGATGCACCGGCCCGAATAGATTGTTTCTCTTGGTTCATGATGAACATTATATCGGCCATCCGGGAGCCAATGTTGTTGTGGGGTCCACACCGCAGGTGTATGAGTTCATGCTTCTTACCTTAAGTAGCCCGGCTACGAAAGACGCGTCTAGCTATAGATCGTCTGTAACATTTTAAGACCAGAGTATCAGTTTAACAGAGTTCAAAAACTCGTAGTGCATCAGTGATGCTCAGATACACATCGTAAACTCACCAGGACTTCATTCTAAGTCGCCAACATGGATGAGATCACAGATGGATTCAGGAAGATTGACTTCCATCATCCATATACACCGTATGACGTCCAAGAGCAGTTTATGAGGACCGTATATGAAGTCCTCGAGCAAGGAGAGGGACAAATCGGCATCCTTGAAAGTCCAACCGGTACAGTAAGTTGAAGCTTGGCTCTAGTTAAGATCATACGCTGATTCTTCCAGGGGAAATCTCTATCTCTTATATGTGCTGCTCTTACCTGGCTGCGTAATCATAAAAGGTCCAAGTTTGAGAATTCCGTTGCCAAAGCAGCTGAAGAGTTCAAAGATGAACCCGACTGGATTGTCAATCAGATGCTAAAAAGGAAACGAGAAGAGATGCTCAAGCAGTGGGAGGAGAGAGAAGCACGTCTGAAGAAAATAAGAGCCAAAGAGAAACAGCAAGAGGAGAGGGGAACCAAGCGAAGAAGGGTAGACGATGACAGCGCTAGAAAAAGTAACAAGACTGTCGATGACGAAGACGAATGGCTCTTAGACGACGGTCAGGACGAAGATGCATCTCATGGCGATGATAACCTGTCAGGGTACAGCAAGGAGACGAGGAGCCTTATGGGAAAACTAGGCATGGGAACCCTTCAGACGAAGGAAGAGGAAGACGACATGGGAGGAAATGAGATCAAGGTATGTCTACTTATAAATGCCCTTGTTATTCTCAGCTAATCATATGTAGATCTATTACACATCGAGGACGCACTCACAGTTGACGCAATTTATCGCAGAGTTACGCCGACCAACTTTTCCAGCATCCCTACCAGGCTCTCTCCTCAATGATGACCATGACGCAGACTCTGAAGATATCAAGCACCTCCCATTATCCTCTCGCCAAAGGCTCTGTATTAATCCTGCCGTGTCCCGCCTTGGTTCTCTTGCCGCCATCAATGATCGCTGCAGCGAACTTCAACAACCAAAGTCCAAGGATAGGTGTCAGTTCGTACCCAACGCAGATAACCTAAGCCTCACGCATCAGTTCCGAGATAACGCACTTGCTACTCTTCCGGATATCGAGGACCTTTTTGAACTCGGAAAGAAACTTCACGTCTGTCCATACTACGCTTCGAGAACTGCGGTGCCTGGCGCGGAAATTATTACGCTTCCTTACCCATTACTCTTGCAAAAGACCGCTAGAGATGCTCTCGGTATAAAACTTGAGGGCAATGTAGTCATTATCGACGAAGCTCATAACATCATGGACGCGGTGGCAAGCGTATATGCTTCTGAAGTGAGCCTTAGCGAGTTGAAACGAGCGAGACAGATGCTGGGAGTATATGTGAAGAAGTTCGGAAAGAAGCTCAAGGGTGAGAATCGAGTTATGGTAGGACAAGTTGCAAGAGTTGTAGACGGCCTAAGAGATTGGCTAGAAAGCGCCTTAGCATTGAAAGTAAGACGAAACCCCCACGTGGTTACAAGTTCCTGCTAACATATGTCCTAGAATGAACAAGGGATAGTCGACCCCAATGTCCTTCTCAGGTCTAAAGGTATCGACCAGATCAACATGTACAAACTCATCCAGTACATACAGGACTCAAAGCTAGCGTACAAGATTGAAGGTTACGTCGCGCAAGCCGAATCCCAGAGTACCGATAATACTTCACCTAAAGCCTCTTCGACGCCTGTGCTACACACTCTCCTATCGTTTCTGGTCTCCTTAAACAACCTCAGCTCGGAAGGCCGGATCTTCTATCACAAGGTTTCACAAAGTGACGTAAAACTATCATACCTCCTCCTCTCTCCCACACATGCATTTTCCTCTGTCGCCTCTAGCGCGCGAGCCGTGATTCTTGCCGGCGGCACCATGTCACCCTTTGAGGACTACACCGCACACCTCTTCCCAGACTTAGCAAAAAGTAAAATCACGACGCTAAGCTGCGGTCACGTCATTCCGTCCTCGAACCTCTGCGTCTGGACGCTAGCTTCCTCGGGACCAAGGCGTGACGCCAGGACCACGGAGTTCGAATTCAGCTTCCAGAAGCGTAGCGATAAGTCGATGATTCGCGACCTGGGCGTCGCCATCCTGAACATCTGCACCGCCGTCCCCGATGGCGTCGTCGTGTTTTTCCCCAGCTACGGATACCTCGAGGAAGTAGTGGCCACGTGGACCGAAGCTGCTAGCGCCGGACAGGCCCCATCCCTCTGGGAGAAGCTGCAGGCTAAAAAAGCCGCATTCCGCGAGACCAAGGGCGGTTCCAGCGACGAGGTCCTGGAGCAATACACGCAAGCGATCCTTGGCGGCGGCGGCGGCGGCGGCAGCGAAGCCGAGTCGACGGCTGACGAGCGCCACCGCGCCCAAAGCAGGAACGGGGCGCTGCTGCTGAGCGTGGTGGGCGGGAAGATGAGCGAGGGCATAAACTTCTCCGACCGCCTTGGCCGCTGCGTCGTCGTTGTCGGCCTGCCCTACCCCAACATCCACTCCCCGGACTGGAAGGCCCGGATCGAATATATCGAGTCGACGACGCTCGCGCGCCTAAAGGCTGCTGCTGGCGACCCGAACGCGTCCGCGCCGAGGGCTGAGGACGTCGCGGCGGCCAAGCAGGCCGCGCGCGACTTCTACGAGAACGCGTGCATGCGCGCGGTGAATCAGAGCATCGGCCGCGCGATCCGGCACCGCAACGACTATGCCGCGATCGTCTTGGTCGACAGGCGCTTTGGCACAGATCGGATAAAGGGAAAATTACCTGGTTGGATCCGGGGAGGATTGGTCGAGGGGAGCGAGAGTGCGGGCTTAGGTCAGATGATGGGGAAGCTAACCGGTTTTTTTAGGGGTAAGAAAAAGGGTGAGTGAGATTATAGCTTCGATCACCAACGCTGTTTGTTTGGTGTCACTGCCTACCCAGCTTAAGGTCACTTTTTAGGGTAAGGTAAGATGAGAAGGGATGAATTAGCTCTGAAATTATACCTACATAGAGCTACGGCTTAGATGTAGGCTCTAACAACTATTTGTAAAGTACAGTAGTTCGCGGGTTTGTCCCTGTCTCGGTAATCTGCAGTTGCACCAAGTAAGAAAAGCTGTTACTCTATACATGGGTAATACGTTTGTGGTAACTGAGGCTCGTTTAGTGACATCCAATGGATGGTAATACGTTTTAGGTAAGCTTTAGACGATCTAAAACCTGGGGCGTTCTATAATCACCTGAAGATTTACGATTTGCTTTCTATACAGGGCTAATGCGAGGAGGATAATGAGTCCTCAAACGGAGGTCTTTGTTTGGCCTGCCCCTTACTTCTACCGAGTATACCTGCTACTAGTGACGTGGGTTTAATTGCTCTCATAAGGAAAATTCATGCCGGTTCATAGAGGATCGGCTCTCGCGTGTCACCCTCCGATGGCGTTCTTACTCTCTTGGCAACACGTTCTAATGTTGGCGATGATGTCCGCACGGCTCACACTATCACACCTGCATCCAACGACTAGATCCCTTATCAGCTTATGGACTATCTAGGTGGGAGGCCATGGAAATTCACGCATGATGGAAGAGACGGGAGGTGGGAGGCGGACAGCTACATAGACTGCGTCTTGAATCATTGAGACAGTAGCCGATTTAAATGAGACATCCGGCCTAGAAACTCCGGCGATCTACTATATAAATAAGCCCTTTCACCTCGATCTGGTTCAGTGGTAGCCAGTAGATCAGATATTTCCCTTATTTTCAGTCTAAGACGCTCCAAAGATGTGTTCCCTTACCTTGTTCACCTTGCTCTTAGCCCCTCTAGGGGTTCTCGCTTCTTCAAGCCCTTCTAGCCCTTCAAACCCCCCAAGCGGCACCATCATTTTGCCTAATTTCGAACCGCCAAACATGGTTCGCGATGCTGTGGAAACCATCGCTACACCTGCGCCGTGCGCATTTCTGAACCCGTTACCCAGCGAGGAAGAGACTCGCAGGCGGTTCGACAAGTTCGCCGACGCTTTCATGGTGAAGCATAACCTCACCGAAGCGTTCGAATACGTATCCTCGATATACATAGTACGTATGCCCTTGCGTCATAGATGAAGATAGCTATGTCGTGGAAAGACAAAGAGCAGAAATAGAAGGCTCGCGTCTTCCTAGGACGAGTGGAAATGCTGACCCGTTTGACTTGTCACCCGCAGAACCATGACCCCATGTCTCCGGGGAACGGTCCTGACGTTGCTTTATCTACCTTGTCCACATTTTGGGATCACATCCAGATCACACCACTCCGTCAAAAATTCGAGGGGAACATGGGATGGATGAGCTATAATGCCATGCCTAAGGGTGTAATCAACGACCGGTTCAGATGGGAGGCAGGCTGTATCGTTGAACACGTAAGTGTATACCTCATCTCACCGAAGAGGTTGACCTCACCCTCCCGACCTCACCGAAGCTCTCGACTTCACCCTCCCACCCTCATCCCCGTCTGAAACATCGAGGCTTTCTTGTGGATCGAAGACGAGTACTGATATCTATTAGTGGGATGAGGAGAAGTTCCCTAATAAATGAGCTATATACGAGCAGAGATACTCCCATTGGCGGTGGCCGATAGATAGTGGCTTGGTGACTTTGGGTGGTGATTTGACAATTGATACGCTATAGATCTGATCCCTCTTTGTCTTAACTTGTTTGGCTGGCGCGGACTAGTTTTCTGTAGGTGCCATAGGTGCTTGCATATGGACAATATGGGCAATATGATTGGTACCGCGAGGTTGGCCAGGGATGTGCGTCATCTTACTTCATGTCTTAAACTCTTGGTTCATGTTGTGCGAGTTCACGTTGTGCTTCGGTGGGAGAAGTGAGTACCTGCTGTACGTAACCTAGGAATATACTGCTTATGTAAGAGGACACCGAGTGGGGGCAGGTCAGATTCACTGATTGAAGTTGCACATTCCAATCTTTAAAACGAAGCTAATGCAGTTCATCCCGCACCGTCCGCCATAAGTATATTGTACCTTTTTAGCCAATCATTAGGTATGTGACCCCGCCATCTATCGATAACGCACCAATCTTTTGAATGCCGAACCTCTTAAACAAGACGCGACAAGAAACGCGTCTTTAATTAGCATTTTCTCCAAGTTTGCGCTGTTACCAATCCTCTGCCTTGGTCGAGTCATTTTGCACTTGAAACTACCCAATTAGACGTAAAAAGAAATACTACAATTGACAAAATGGGTTCCTTGGCACAACACGAGGAACACCAATACCTTGATCTCGTCCGTGAAATTTTAGATCATGGAGAGCGTCGACCGGATCGGTAAGTTGCATTATCATAGGCATAATTCTATGCGCGGGACCAAACACTGACTCAAGCCCCTCAAATTATAGAACAGGTACAGGCACATACTCCATCTTCGCCCCTCGCCCTCTCAAATTCAGCCTCAACAACGACGGCAAACCAATTCTCCCCCTCCTAACAACCAAGCGCGTCTTCCTCCGCGCCGTGATCGCCGAGCTCCTCTGGTTTATAGAGGGCAACACTTCGTCCGCCTCCCTCAGCGCGCAGGACGTCAAGATCTGGGACGGCAACGGGTCGCGCGAGTTCCTCGACAACCTAGGCTTAACCCACCGCGAGGTCGGTGATCTGGGACCGGTATACGGCTTCCAATGGCGGCACTTCGGCGCCGAGTACGTCGACGCCAAGACCGATTACACCGGTCAGGGATACGACCAACTCGCCGACGTCATTCACAAGCTGAAGCATAATCCGTACGACCGTCGCATGATCTTGTCGGCGTGGAACCCGGCGGACCTGAAGAAGATGGTGTTACCGCCGTGCCACATGTTTGCGCAGTTTTACGTCTCGTTCCCAAGGCAAAGCGGGGGGAGTAGCGAGGGAGATAAGGAGAAGCCGAAGGGACATCTTCACTGTCAATTGTACCAGCGATCTTGCGATATGGGTCTCGGCGTCCCGTTCAACATTGCGAGCTACGCCTTGTTAACGCATATGCTCGCGCATGTTTGCGATTTAGTCCCTGGTAGCCTAACACATGTTATGGGTGATGCTCACGTATATGTTGACCACGTCGACGCCCTGAAGGTCCAATTAGAGCGGGAACCACGACCATTCCCCGAAATAAAACTATCGCCTGCAAATAGCGACTCTATCGATGGTTGGAAAGTGGAAGATATCTCTGTCCTGAATTACGAACCTCATAAGACGATCCCGATGAAGATGTCTGTCTAATACGAATCAATTTTCCCTTAGTTGCATGATAAGACGATTTACATAGCTAGGAGCGAGATGCGGTATGATAATGAATGTATTGATTAGGATGTCGCGGGATGAGCTAAACTACTCGCTGGGTTCAACCAGGTGTTGGATATCGCGTTAGACGCATCGTCGGGAGACGTACATGACATACAAAGTGAAAATATTAGACATCAACTGCATGTCGATTTAGAGTAGAGGTATTAAAGAACTCTTACTAGAAAGCGTACCTTAGCTGTCTAGAGGCCCTCTTACGTAGGTATGGACTTACTACGTACTGTTTAAATTTACCCCTGAATATATCCGCTTTTGCACACCTACCTACCTACCTACCTACCTACCCAGGTACTATAATGTTGAATTTCACATGTGAGTATTTGTATAAGACGAAGACAGAGGTTAGTCATTGAGACCTGCTGGACTAGACACTGAAGATGGCTTTAATACTACCTACCTACCTAGCTATCTGGCACCTTCCTAGGTGTGTACCTAGGTAATAAAGTTGAGGTGGCTCAGTCCTGTACCTACCTATTTAATCTCCATGGCACAACAGTCTGGGCTACCACGACCTACTAGGTAGATAGATTATAGATACGTATATGTCGGTCTATCCATGTCCCTAATCTTAGAAACATCACTCATCACTCCCCCTCTTAACTCTACACGATCAACTCTCCCATGTTAGCATCTCACCACCGTAATATAAACATGTCCGCACAACCAACCCCAATCCCCTATTTATTACACCTGATGCTGCACAAACCGCCGAACTTATATGCCTACCTCGAGGAGGTGAAGCACCTAGAATTTGCCGATTAGGAATGCGGTTACCATACTCTTTTCTGGGGCTATACGTTTCCCAACTTGAAGACCCTCAAGCTAAAATGCTCGGTCCACAACACCGATGATAGCTTGATACCTTATCTCCAACCTCAACTGGAGGTGCTGGAATTTAAAGGGGGTCCGATCTCAGATGTGACCCTTGAGAGGCTACAGGTTTGTGATATGCATCAACTTGATGGGCTGTGCTTACATAGCCATTGACTAATCATAGTACTGTTGCCCGGAACTCAAAGTGCTACTTATTGAGAACCCTCATCTCAACCTTTGTACACCGGAAGGACTCCTTCGCTACCTCGCTGCCGCGACATCTTTGAAGCGTCTAACGCTACGATGTGGCATGGAGAGTGTCGTTGGCGACCGCGTTTTTATTACCCTTGCTAAGGCGTCCGTTCTCAGGTCTCTCGACTTCCGGTTCCCGATCACTACAAAGCTCATCGAAGAAGCCGTTGCTGAAAGGAGGCGGTTCACTACTTGGAATAGCCAGTTATTTGGGGAACTTAGAGAACTTGTTTGCGAAGCAGATTATCAGGCGATCACGAGACTGCTCCCTCATCTACACAAACTTGTCCATCTCAATGTTAGCGTCAAGGGCGGTACTAATCTCGCAACGAGGGCGCGAGACTTGTTTCCGGAACTTTGCCGACTTACACTCCAACTGCGCATCCTCATAATAGCGTACCTGCCCAGATACCCCATTCGGATCGACCCGATAATGATGCGGAAATTTGTAGAGAAAAGGTGCTGGGGGTTGGAAAAGCTAGAGGTCTACGGACGAGCGGTCACGGGGAAAGGATTTCTCGAACCCGTAGTTGATATATTACAACATTCGGGTTCATTAAAGACTCTGCGGCTATCGATGGATTGCGATATCACGGAGGTCGCGCTGGTGGCCGCTGCCACTTACGGGGGTAAGAGATTACACGAGCTTGATATCGGCGGAGTCTACAATTTTGCAAGACTAGAGAGCCTTTTCATGGCAAAGAAATTCCAATTTGGCCCCCAGTTCAGACTTCTCGGCATTGGAAAGCTGATGACGCCGCGTCATGAAAGTCTCGAGGAATTGAGACGAAAGGTAGCCGAATACGCCCACTTCGTGACTGAATTTGCTCCTGCACTAGAAGATTTCAACATCTTATTTTCGAAGAAGGGGGGCTTTGGCGATCACTTAGAGATATATTTGAAAGAACACCTTGAGGACCCGGAGTATGAAGAAGGTAGGTACTCCAGTCCGTGATCGATCACTTCTGAAAGCATACCTATGTTCTTTAGCATAACTGATTGCTGACTCGAAATTGTTTAGTTAGCGATTTAGTAGGACCTGTCATCAAAATAGGAGAGAAAACTCCATCATTATAATAACTCGATACCTACGTATGCGGCGTTAGCGAAATGCGTTGTTGCTTAGGTGCCTAGTATGTCCGAGATTGTAGACTTATGCAAGCCTCACTAGGTATCCAGAGGTGGTGGCGTGGAAGCATCGGGAATTCCGGAGCCGTTCTACCAATTCGACAGACACATCGCAAGGGTGCAAGCAACTGCATCGGTTCCGTGATTCTTTCGTCTTTTTCGAAATAGCAGTTGTGGGGGAGAAGGAATGCGATCCCTGACCTTACATTTTGCGGGAACGATAAAAACTTCGGTAACCGACCGACTCGTCGGGATTGTCAGCACGGAACTGAAAAGGTCGACCAGCAAAAGTCTCGGGTTTTTTCACCTCGACTCATCGCCGAGGTTTCGGATGGCATAATGCATTAAAATCCTATTCCACGGGAAGCTATTCGTCCCATTCTTTACAGACAGCGGTAAAACATCCTCTTTAGAAAATCACCAATCATAAACCGGACAAAAATATCCAAGGTTCGTCATCAACGGAGAAACTCAGATGCCTCACGTCAGCGTAGCCAAGTCCCTTAGTCAATCCCTTACCTAATACAGGCTCTAGGCATAACGCGAGACCACTAATCTATCCATACAGCGTTTCTCTTTCGACCCCGACAGTGTTCGTTTCATACATACATAGTAGTTATTGAGGGTGGGAAGGTGTCGACCTCGCATAGCCCTACAACCTCATTAGGAAGTCAGCTCTTAGGCAGACCAGATATGCAGGACAGATTGTGACGGCGCCGGCTCGTCAGTTATCCCGTAGGATGGTACGGGCGAGTAGGTGATGGGTCGGAGTTGTGCGAACTGATCGGTTTAGTGGTACGGCACGTATTGATAGTTAGGTAGAGGGAATAAGAGCATTGAAATGTGATATGTCGACGGACTATCTCGGTAGCATGGTGAGTAGTATTTAATGATGAGTTTCAACCCTCTCTAGTTGCTGCCATATTCTCATCGTCATCACCATCACCACCATCATCTTATTCACATCCCAACACAACTACTATCAACAACGAAACAAACCCACAAACCCGATAACCTCTAAAACCACCCACCATGGCCCCCGTAACCGAGCTCGTCCTCTCCACCCTCAAACCCGGCGTCTCGGCCGAGTCCCTGTACCCCATCTTCGCAACCCTCAAATCGCAGCCGGGCAACACCGCCGTCCGCGCCGCGCCCCCCTCCGAGGACCCCTCGCAGATCCGGCTCTTCATCGACTGGGACGACATCGCCGCGCACCAGGCCTTCCGCGCCACCGACGCGTACAAGTCGTACCTGGGGCAGCTGGCGCCTTACGTGACGACGCCCACGCAGATCATGCACGCGGAGCTCACGCCGTTCCCGCCCGTGGTCCTGGAGAAGAGCCCGTCGACCGAGTTCCTGCTCCTGTATATCGACCCCGACGAGGACGAGGCGAAGGTCCTGCAGGCGGGGAAGACGCTGGCGAGAGGGTTGACGGCGGACGGGATTAAGGGGACTACGGGGCTCAGCGCCGTCGGGTTGACCGTGGAGAAGGACGTCGAGTATAAGGGCGAGAAGGTCAGGGTTATGGTCATGCTGCTTGGGTGGGAGAGCGACGAGGCGCATAGAACGGCGAGCGCTACGGATCCCGCGTTTAAGGCGGCGCAGGTGGAGTTCCATGAGGCGATTCCGGACCTCAAGGGCTTTAAGATCGAGCATGTTGCTGCTAAGGTTTTGTGAGCTGTGATATGCGAGATGTGAAAAGGCGGGATAGGTAGAGATGGGATAGGGTTAGGTATGGGTTTAGAGATAGGTTAGGTCGGATTGAATGAATATAGGCGTTCTTTTCCTTGCGGATATTACCTGTTCTACTTGACATTGCTCCGTGATGATACCTACCTGGTAATGACGACAACGATGTGGGTTTGGTTTATGCGCGGCATTGAAAGCGATAAGTGAATGGCCACCTAATCTGGCTGCAAGTATTCAGTCTATCTACACGCGAAAACGACAGATCTTGTTCTATTTGTCTAATATCCAATATACATAAATTTCATTTATTCTACAGCCTTCGGCTCGGCCCCTTCTTTTGTACTCGCTTCCTTTCCTACTTCTTCGTCCAGAGATTGGCCCCGAACAACACCGACGCCATGCTCGGCCAAATCCGACTTCAGAACCGGAGGACCGGAGAAGTGCTTGCGGCCCCAGACGAAATACCATCCAAGACTAATGGTTGCGAAACCAGCAAACACCACGCTCGCATAATTCATGGTGGATGCATCAAGCCCGGTAAGATTAGTCGGCATGCAGAACAGAAAGACTGCTAGGACGATCCATAGGAGCGTCGTAATGTTAATGGCGAAACCAAAACGACCCAGAGAGTACGACGCGTGCTCTAATTGTTTTCGACCGCGAACGACTGAGACTAGAATTGGCAGGCCGTATGACGTGGAAAGACAGATCGTGGCGACTCCGGTGAAGCTGCTGAACGCTGCTGATGAACCAAAGTAGATAAGACCTAGTAGGCAATCTACAATGGCCGATAGAGTTAGGGCCCAAAGAGGAATGTCAAATCGCTTGTCAACTTTACTCCATAGACCAGAGCCGGGAATTGCGCCGTCGCGTGCGAAGGCGTAGGTGCATCGGCTCGAGGCAGTTAGGGCACCAACACCAGCGAACAACCAGATACCCAAAATAAGGAACAATAACCCAAAGCCTCCTCCTGCACTGCCAGTTGCCGTCTTGAAAATCAGACCAACAGGCTGTCCATTTGCGACTGAGAGGAGAGTTTGTACGTCCGGTAGTACGAAGAGGATGGGAATTAAGTAGATCAAGCCAGTGAAGCCAGCCGCCACAACAGACACTATGAATCCGAAATTAGCAAACTTGCAACCCAAAATCGTATGAAGGAAGCTTTGATTAGAGGCTTTGGCTCTAAAAATGGGCTTTGGAAGTAATTGACGGTTGGGAGGTGCTAAAATAAGCAATAAGATACTCACAGACGATGGCCTTGGGGACCTCCCGCTCAGGCGTCTGTACTTCCTCGCACATGGCAGCAACCATTCCGTACCCCGTAAGCACGTACGCGGGCTGCAGTAGACCAACGAAGAATGACCAGCCAACCGGCCACCCCGAAGCAGAGGCGTCGTAGTGGGCGAACACGAACTCGCCGCTTCGCTTACTCGGCGACATGACCAACAGAACGACCAGGAAGATGATAATCGAAGCACCGGTCCAGTATATGCACACGGTGTTGATCAGGTCCAGATACTTGGAACCGAAAATATTTATCAAGTAACAGACGAGCATGACAGCCCAGAACATGAGAATAGTCTGCCACTCGTTGGCCACGAAGTCCTCATTCCACAACGAAATCGCGCTGAGAATCAATTGAGCGCCTCCAAAGTTGATAGAGAGTGTAACGGTCCAATTTCCAACTAGAGTCAGCCAACCAGTGATCCAACTAGCAATGGGAGCCCAACGAGGTGTCGATAGCAAGGCAGCCCAGTAGTAAACACCACCAGCAGTGGGATAGACTGAGCAGATCTCGGCTAGCGAAGCGGCGATAGCGGTCGACAGGAGAGAAAGCAGAACCCAACCCCAGATGATGGTGACGGATTGACCGTTTGAGAGCGATATATAAAACGTCGTGCTGAGACCATAAGGTACGGCCATCTATTATGTGTTAGTATTAATATTATAGTATCATCTCCTTAAGTTGCGTCTTGAGCTCGTGGTCATCTAACGAGTCACGACTGGAAATTTTGAAATTCGAAATTGGAAGTGAAGATTTCACGTACTATCAACCCATTAGTTTCTACATACCACCGGAATTGAAGCTATTCTCTTTTTCGTACGTACCAATCGCAAAGGATAAACCGAGTACTGAAAGCATGCTGAGACTTCGCGGCAGCTCAGCTTTGTAACCCATCTTGGCGAGCGCATCATCGGCGGCTGTCGCCTCCCCCGACTTGCGCCGGGAGATGCTCGTAACCGATTCCCTCCTCATCGTCGATGGTTTCGCGATCGACTATGGAAATTGTGAGCAATCAGCGACACGGATTTGGATGTTGACGAAAGGAAGTAGCAGAATACATAACTACTTCGACTTAGGTAGGTACTCACGCGACTTCCCCGGTCAAGGCGCTGATAACATGAAGTTTCTTATCTCTCAGTCGATCCTTCGGTGAGTACATTCGTACTACTTTAATACCTGCTTAGATCCATGGATACCTATACATTTAAGTTATCGGCGGTCCGTTCTTCGTAGCAGATCGTTTCATTATTTCTTGCTAGTCTCGATATAGTGTAGCTCACGGCTTCGTTTCCTGGTATATCTTAGCTGCTAATTTCTGCTTATCTTTATGTACGTGTACATAGCCTATGTAGTATCGTCGACGATGGATTTTGATAAGTACCTAATTTCATTACAACATCGATCTTATTTATTACAACATTTCTGATTGGTTCGTAGGTGCTAGATAAACGACTAAAGGCATTTATAAATAAACTAACAGCATAGCACATCGATTTGAATACATTTACAATTGGAATTGCAATGATTTCAAAATGTACGGATTATAAACTCGAGACGAACTAATGTACCTAATAATTACTCCGAATAATGAAGCGATCTCCAATAAAACGCCGTGCGACCCGAGGTTGATGATGCCCGCATCGGCCTCCCCAATGAGTACCCCGCACGCTATACGCCTCCTTCTAGCGATCGCTACAGAACGAGATCAATGGCTTTAAGGCCAAGTCCGATCTTGTAAAATGCACTGACGTCAGTCAATCGTCTCCACTAGGTACGGTCCACGTACTAGAGCGCCGGCGCCAAAACGAGTCAAAAGCAATTGCAACCATGTCTCCTAAGCCTCGTCTAGATGGAAAGGTCGCTATCGTGACGGGCGGCGCGTCGGGCTTCGGACGTGGCATCGCGGCTAAATTCGCGGAGGAGGGAGCAAAGGTCGTCATCGCCGATCTCTCCGACGAAGCTGGTCAGACAGCGGCGCGGGAGCTATCGTGCAAATTCGCGAAGGCGGATGTGACCAAGCGAGAGGACTGGGAAGGTCTTCTCAAGGTAGCTTTGGACGCTTACGGCCAACTTGATATCGTGGTGAATAATGCGGGGGCCACGTACGTCAATAAGGCTACCGAAGATGTGACCGAGAAGGACTTCGACCTCGTCATGAACGTCAATGTCAAGTCGATTTACATCTCGACCAATGTCCTTCTCCCCTATTTCCTAGAGGCGAAGAGACCGGGTAGCTTTATCCAGGTTGCTTCGACCGCAGGTGTTCGACCACGTCCGAGACTTACTTGGTATAATGCTTCGAAAGCTGCTGTTATCAATGCTACGAAGGTACGAGGTGTTAATTGCGTCCTCCTCTCCTTGGATTATATGCTCCAGTCAGATTGAAAGTGTCTAAGGCCATGTATAATGCTGTGAACAATGCTGATTAAATCCTTATGATAGACGATGGCTGTTGAATATGGACCTCAGAAGATTCGGTTTAACGCGGTCTCCCCAGTAGTGGGAAGCACAGGAATGACGCACCTGTTCATCGGCAAACCTGATACCGCCGAGAACCGCAAGGCCTTCGAATCTGTGATACCTCTAGGCAGAGGCTCTACGCCGGAAGATGTCGCCAACGCTTGCTGTTACTTGGCCAGTGAAGAGGCCGCCTTCATCACGGGAATCAACATCGAAGTTGATGGAGGGCGGTGTGTCTAGGGAAATCCACTTACGAAGTTAACGATCTCGATGTCGGTTATCAATGGCATTTGCGCGGATATCAGCAATCTTTCGGTCCGAGGATAGTACGAGATTAATTCCGGGATGATGACGCTCTCAGCTGGATTCTCGTGGGCGACGGTGACTTGGTGTCTAGTTCATATATCTGCATGAATCAACAAAAATGGTACAATCTCTTGATGATGTGAAAGGCTTTTTAGGATTGGCCTATTCTTGCACTCTGTCTACTTCAAACATGCCTAGCTTTATTTCTCAAATACTCAGTCCAGAACAAGGGTGTCTCGTCCAAACCTGGGTGTGACGCGCAACCGTCCGCCTCCTATTCTAATCACCTACATCTGCAGTATCTTTCCTGGTTTTCGGTGCATTGCTTATTAAATTAACAGTCCCAGCGAGGTGGGATGCGGTAGTTGACATTTCTTGGCATATGAAAAAACGTTGCATCGACCTGCCGAATGGGTGCTGTTCTTTTAGACGTCCTTCCGGTATTGCCATTTTTGGACATCTCACGGCCTCCTTTTCTCCACAACCATCCCACGAAAATCCATGGTGTTGATCCCGGCCGTCCGTGAGCGCACCGGCATCTTCCATGCTTCTCTACACAGGGTGCCTATTTGGGCTGCGGTAGAGATCGCCGACGATGGAACGACGGTCCGCTAGCGCTTTCAGGTACGGAACCTAGAGTCCAGGGGGGGCCATTCGAGTGGAGTGGTGAAAGAGACGGAAACGAAGTGACAACCTATGGTTCTATACGAAATATTATCAAAGTCAACGATGTGACATCACGCGCATCACGGAACCCTTGTGCCGGTATTTAGTAATATATATATAGAGAGCCTCTTCGCCTTGGCGACGCCGTGGAACATTCTGTTCGATGTGCCATCATTGCCATTCCTAGACTTGGAGACTCGAAGATCAACTTTTGCCTGTCATGAAGAACTTTGTCAACGCTGCTGTCGCTGCCCTCGCGGCTCATGGTGCTTCGGCCCATTATATCTTCCAACAACTCTCTGTTGACGCTACCGAATACGGGCCATTTGAATATAGTAAGTCTGAGTTTTGGAGATATATGCTAGGAGGGAGGACGAGTAACAAAGTGCTAATACAACCTGAACTTCAACAGTCCGGCAGAACAGCAACTACAACTCCCCTGTTACGGGTAAGTTTATTAAGGCGCTTCTTAGTAACATTCGCTAACTGGCGTAGACCTGACTTCGAACGACTTAAGGTGCAATGTCGGCGCAGAGGGTGCTGACACTAAGACAGTAGACGTGAAAGCTGGCGAGCAATTCACTTTCACCCTAGATACCGTACGTATAATATCCTCAGATGTCTATCTGTTCAGTAATGTGACTAACTTTCTCGTTAGCCCGTGTATCACCAGGGACCGATCTCTATTTACATGTCGAAGGCTCCGGGCGCTACCTCAGACTACGACGCCAGCGGCGAATGGTTCAAGATCAAGGATTTCGGTAAGTACTGTTCACTCATTCATTTTAAAGACGATTACAACTCACTCGTGATCATAGCCCCTGATTTCTCCAGCGGTGAGGCAGTATGGGACATGTCTGGCTCTTATACATATACCATCCCCAGCTGCATCGAGGACGGCGAGTACCTCCTGAGGATCCAGTCTCTGGCCATCCACAACCCCTGGCCGTCGGGAATCCCTCAGTTCTACATTTCCTGCGCGCAGGTCAAGGTCTCGGGTGGAAGCGGTAGCTACAACCCCGAGACTGCCTTGATCCCCGGCGCGTTCAAGGACACAGACCCGGGATACACTGTTAACGTGAGTGCTCCAGTGCTTAGTCTGATTATATGAATACGGCATATATTGATTGTGAACTAGATCTACTCCGACTTCCACAGCTATACCGTTCCCGGTCCTGCTCCTGTAAGTTTTGCCGCATCAAATTGCAAATAGAGATGAGCTGACCCTTTCTAGTTGACCTGCTAGGCTATATTTGAACTCTTCAGTCGCTATGATGGATTTCAGGATCATGGGATGAGTGTGTTCTGGATTATACTTTCGTATGAACATACGGAAAGGTCTATATTAGGACGTCCTCCCATTGCAATCTACATCTAAATAAGATAGATAATACTAGGACTACAACCCAGCTTTCCATTGTCTCTGATTATAATCTTGAATGCTTCCGTAAAGTTTATTCCACTTATAGTTAAGGCTTCACATTCATGGTCCCTCGTGGTGAGAGCAACAAGGCTTCGATTATACAATTAAGTTGATAGAAACTTTCATTTGAATGTTACTGGGAATTATATCTCTATTTCAACTAGCCGATGGTGAGATTAGCTCGCAGAATTGCCTTAACCTGTAGTTACTGAGAGAACTGGTGTTTTCAGATACAATCTTAGAACAGTTATAAAACGACATGATGCTAGGAACAATGCCAAAAATGATATTTGTCATTATGGAACACAAAACATGTCCCTGAATTATGTTACCACTTAGTTTTATTAGTCGAAAATCAGGTATATGGCTTCGTAGCCTCTGAACTCAGTTTAAGTTATGTGATTATGCTAGAATCGTAAAAGTGAGTAGTATGATGACGTTCTCGATCTCAGCCTATGAATCAATCATTTTCAGAATATCTCCTACCTGCTTCACAAAAGATCGAATCAATCATCACCTTTGAACTTTCGTAGCTGGGCCCGTACTTCACAATAGCAATGGCTTATCAACTCCACGATGTGGCGCCGGAATTGTAGTCAGGTGTGTTGTTTCAAATTCGTCAGCTACGTAGATGTATTATAAATCAAGTTGTTAGAAACTGAAATCTGTAGGTTAAGCGCTTAAACTTGTTTGTCTGCATGAACGTGTACACACCAGCTCTTCAGATAGATAGAGACGTACGAAGACTAGCTATCCTTCGCAGAGAACCTAGACAACTCCTTGAGATCTCGTTCTTGTTTTTTTCAACTTCTATTTTAACTTTCTGGCCGCAGAATCTGGCCGTTATTACACAGGTATTAAGCTATGTTAATATATATGATTTGATAGCTCCGGGGAAGCATCAATACGCATCCTTGAGACAAGACTGAAGTAGAAAAACAAGCTTAGGGAGGCACAGTCACATAGACCCCGGGGATAGTTAGTTGACTACACTAAGGCCGAGCTGATTCAAACTTAGTCACTTATTGTTTCTACTAGCTTAATGAACAATCACGAAGATGATGAGCTCGTCAGGCAATCAAGGAAATTCGTAATCACTCCTTAACTACTAAGTTTCTTATCTGCTTACCCGAAGCCACAAAACCAAGAAACGCCTCTAGACAACAAGGTAAACAAGACACACCCACTCAACCTGACACCAACTTACCCTATCGGATTGCCCAGGGTGGCGAACTTCCCGCGCCACAACCAAAGACGTCAGACACCGAGTCGTCGAGCGTGATTACCTCTAGCCCATCATCCTCACTCTCATCCTCATTCTCCCCTGCCCGAAAGCGCGTCCCTCTGCATCCCCGGGAACGAAGATCAGATCACGTAACTTACTTAGTATCTAGACTAGATTACATACGAACGCGCGCGAGCCTCCGCGCAGGAAAGTGCAATTAAAAAGACGGAAAGCCCATTATTAAAGAGGGCAGGAGGATCTTTTTTTCTTATGGAAAAAAGGGGGGCAGCACCGGAAGCCCAAGTCGGCGGCCCACCCGGCTATAAACCGCAGACGCGATTGGGCGTATGGGAAGGACTATTGGGAACACACGGACGCCGCGGATAGATAGATAGAGTATAGAGTAGCGGGCGGGCGAGAGAAAGTACATACATAACCTTCACAGAACGGGCAGGCAACCATCACGCGGCGCGGGCAGTGACTAATAATCCACAACCCGAACCCGGTCACATGGGGTCTCGCGAACGCGAAGAAGGGGCGCAGGGCTTGATGGGGTTAAGTAATTAAGTGCGTACATGTTCAGGGTGTCTGTGGGTGTGGTGGGTAGGTAAGTAGTGGGTAATGGGTAGTGTATGTAAATGCGTATACCTGGGTATGTAATATGTATTCTGTACTGCAGCTACTAGATAATGTATGTAATGTGAATATCCCTTGGATTTCATGTACGTATGCCGATATACCCCGGAGACACACAGACGCACACATGAATGCAAAGGGATGGGGTCAAAGAGAAGAAGTGGAGGAGGGAGAGACAGGGATTACTCGACTACCGACTTACATACTAGCATTACCCAGCATTACCTGAATATACATAAGTCCCTGTCACGGACTGACATCTCCAACTTTTCCCTATTCTCTAATTTGAAGAATCTCCATGCAGCTATAAAATCCAAGGCAGGGCTGGCAAGGCAGAGAGTTCAACGCCATGGGTTGCAGAATGATGCGAGATGGCACGGCCCGGGGAAGCGAGATTTCGAAATCTATATCCACATTTCTGGGAGCAGCCTTGCAAAGATCGAGTTTATGCGTTGAATTATAATCTTAACATCTGGGATAATGGCTCTATCTTATCTGCCATTTGTCTGTTTGTCTGCGCTTTGGACGACAGGCCGTCTGAGAAGCCTCAAAAAGTGGAATGGGATCCGCCAATGGCTAGAACCTATGGATGTTTTATGTAGGATTGTTGTATTCCGACTATACCTAGTCTATCGTCTAACCAATAGCTATATCTTCACTAGGTCTCTTATTCTCCGCCGTATCCTCGTCAACTAATAGTCTGTAAAATAAAATATAGATGCTTCATGCATACTCGTAGGGATACTCACCTCTCGGGCGCCGTTCCAGTCCGATGGCGGCGTTGATCGTGAACGGCGCCATCGTCATTATCATACGTTTGTCGCGGTTCTGGGGCCTCGTCGTCTTTATTATATCTTGTAAAAAAAGATCTCCGAGGTTGAGCTCCGAATAGGCAGGTCGAAGCTCACCAACTCCGCCGCTCATACATATCCGCCTCCCTTCGTACGAGACCAAGATTGCCCACCTTCTTCTCCCGGCGGCGCTATCTTAATGACAGCTGCACGTCATGTTGACCCGCAGCGATAGCCGTGACGCTTTTTGCCGTCGAACATCTGCGGTTTGGGGTATTATGTGCGAATCTCGCTATAGAAACGTACGGATCTGCCAAACTAGCGAATATCTAATGTTTATCTGTCTCCATCGATCGGTGTTAGTTACACCGGAGTTGCGCGGGATCCCAAGTCGGTGTTAGAATGGTACCGATCAACTACAGACATACGATATTTACCATCTGAGAACCGAAACTGTCGGATGTCACCGGTACAGGCCCGTGGCGAGGGATAGGTTCGACGTGGAGCAGCTTAGTTGATTACGGAGTCTAGTAGACATCTGCAAATACTCTACGCTCTAGACGGCGGACTGTGGGTAGATATGACGGAAAGTGGAACGCGTGCTGCACAAACTACGGGTGCAAGCGCTTGCGTATGTCTCATCGCGTCCATGATGCGTGCGGTGGCTGATGGAGGGCTGGTGTGGGGGATGGCGCATCCCATGATAGCTAGACCAAGCTCGAGAGGGTGTAAGGGTCCTAGGCTGTGCGCGAAAGGGAAATCTCGCAGATCATAGGATCTCGACGGCCTTGACAGTCGATCAGATTGCACCCTTGCAGAACCGAACCCTGCTCGGATGGTCGGGAGACGAGGATTAGTCTCGTTGCACTGCAGCGGAGAGAAAAGGGTGTCTAGGATGTTTAAGCATAAGACAACGGCGTCATGGGATGTGAGGTGCGTTTTGGTTGGGGCGCGCGAAAACGGAAATAGCTTGACGATCCCTCGGTGAAATTCCACACGTCTGATAGGTCTACGAAGGGGGCTCTTTGTGTTTGAGGTGAGGGCGAACTGTTCTGTAGTATCGTGTAGATGAGGTGAGGGGTTCAGACGATACGGCTTGAGCTCATATCTTGGAATAATGTTTCTGAATCTCGTTCTAGAATGTATGGCTCCTACCTAGTCTATATTCTAAGCGAGATATTGTACGTAGGAGATCGAGTCGACGTCCTCCGCGAGAGATGATTGGCTCAGCCGACGAAGCTTAGCTGATTGGGGTTTAGCCATCAGCGTACAGTTGGAGATTTCCAAGGCCATGAACTGCATCCTAAAACTAGAGACGGCAACATAACACGAGGGTAAATAGATGGCTAGCTAAGTAGAGATTGGGCTGAAGAATGAGCGGGTACCGTGCGTATTAGAAGTCTACCCAGTAGTAACCTGACGAACGGGACGGCGGGGCGCCATACGCAGACCGATGCATATGTACGTACCATCGAAGCAGTCTTGGGATGGTGGATGGTGGGGGGAATTCATCAAGTTACGATCAAAGTGGTGACGGCAATTGATTGGTGATTCGCCTACAACATCAACCGTGCGGCCACACCGCAAACGCTTCGGGAACAGTGGCTGACCATGCTCGTACGTAGAGGGGTTAGGCTCATTCTTACTTGGGCCATCGAGCAATCTCGGGAATAACTTCGTCTTCGGGGGGTTATGAGGGGCGAATGGCGACGATAAGCAAACTGTCGCTTCTTTCGGACACACTTGATTATAATGGGACGAGAATAGACGAGAGGATGAAAAAATACTGACGATATTCGACGTCTATACGGACTGCTCATATGACATTGTCTCGCCTACCTAGTAAGCTATACATCTAGCGCTTAGTTTCTTCACATTCGTGAATGAAACCTTTAAGCCGAAGCTATCACGGAGATTGAAGCCAATTATCGTGTCAGTCTACTCGGTAGTGTGATGAGAAACACATGTTTTAGTAAATAACATCGAAATGTATCCATTGGCTTCCGTGATGGCCTGGCCTATGAGGTTAAGGGGTTGACGAAGTTCGACGCTTTTAGACATTGTGGTCTGAGATGGTATATTGCCACAACACTACCAGTGACCATATATCCCGTACTCAGTGGTATAGTCGCTACTAGCCAGGCGCGAACACCCCCGTGATCGTCCATTCTATAGGTAGTAGTATATCATGGTAGCAATGGAAAAGTGGTAGAACAGACCTAGTTTGGTAAAGATGCGCCGCATGAGGCTCAAGATTTGCAAAGAGGACGACAGCAGACAGGGAGACAAGGGGTAAATCCAGGCAACCTCGGGGATAGCTCGCCCTTCCAAGATGGTCTTGACTTTGACCAACAATGTGAAAGAGGTTGTCACAACCTTTCCGAGCTCTTGTATTGGCTCTCGTTCACCTCAGCTCGGCTCGCAGTTTCGTTTCAGGATTTCTCAGCTCTTGACGTCCATCATACCCAAAAGCAAGGCCAGGGTAACATTTGATGGGAATAGGAGGGATATGACGAAGCCAAGACGTAGGAAGTAAGCCATAGAGAAGAGTGCATTGGATATTGCAACT